AATGCTGGATTTGCTGTGCAGACGGATAGGAAGGAGCAGCGCCTATAGAATACAGCCTATATTCGTTCTGTGATGCTTTGCTGGTTTTGGATTGTTTGGGGAATGACTGCAGCAGGTACCAATAATTATGAGTCTTTGGGTTATCTTGTTTTTGGAGGGACGACGCACCCGATCTCGGATGTAGTGCAGACATGCAGTTGATAGAAGCTTGATGAATTCTGTGTCGAGTTCGTTGTCGGTGTACCATGGCCCACCTGTTAGTTCGACGGAAGGTTCTAGGTGGGCTAGCATGTATATCTTGCGGGTTGGGTGCTAGTCTAGATATGAGAACGGTGTGTACATGAGGTTAGAGTTGGAAGGCGAAACATACCCTGACGGCTTTGATAGCCTTCACGAGCTGCTTTTGCACCGAGTGATTTGAGACATCTGTCGATTACATGTTTGGTGCAGTTCAGGTTTTGGCTTTTAGATGTTTTGTCCAGATGCCTGATGTGTTGTATGAGCTTGTACTGTTTGTCTGTTTGCTTGTGCGATACCGGGAGCTCACCTTCGTTCGCTGAAGCTTGGATATGACCGAGAACCATAGCTTCTTCACCGCTCATATCTTTTTTCCTGTCCAGCGCATCAGATACGTCATAGGGGGAATATGGCATGATTGAGATAATACACACACTTCTATCTCCTTTTTCATCACCGCTCGGAAAGAGATGACGCCTGCTGCATTAGGACAGGACTTTGAGCATGCCCTGCGTTTGCATTTCAGTTTCAGGACGATAGAATACAGGAAAGCTGCAGTATGATTGAATGCAGGGTACTCCACCGCCCCTAGCAAGAAGTTGACGGCTGCTGTGCGTGCGGTTACATCTGGGACTATCTTTTCTGCGTCTTTTGAAGGTTAGGATCTGATGATTGGGTGGTGATCAGTGTGGTGGTGGATGGGGAGGGAAGGGAGGATTGGACGCGCCTTTTCGCTGCTGGAAGAGTGCAGCTTGGTGGAGCTTTTGCTCTTCGGTGTTGAGTTTGCGCCCACTCATGGTGCGGGAGTAGATACGACCTGGTCGATCAGAATACTGATCAAGTGTAAGCTGTTGCCGGAAGTCCGGACAGAGGCAATGAGCGGGTGCCAATTTCCCACGTGGTTTACTTCTCTGTCAAAGGGGTCTAAGCGCGCTTGACTTCTGAGAACTGAAGCACTCTTGCACAAGTTCAAGTTGTGAGAACCTTCTACAGCACCTACTTATATTAGAACATGGACAACAATCGGTCTACAGCAGGAACCTCGTTAGCTACGGGCTTGGATGATCTTGCTTCTTATCTAGAAAAAAGTTCTCATGTCGTCCAAGAGTATACCGACATGTAAGGTTAAATCTCCCTACTATTGCTGACTTGCACTGATTATGGGGCCTGTACAGCATCGAGCACAAGTATGCACGTCCGGCATTGAACAAAATTTCCAAATACTTCCAAGCTCAGCCGTTGACAATGGTGCGTCATACCTTCAAGATATCATACGATACGAGTAGCCTCTAAACTCCTCATCAGACATGGATCACCACGACTTTCTCCCTTTTCACTGTTATGAGTATCCTACCGGTGCTAGTCATTCATGTGCGTCAATCGCTTGTTCTTGACATTACAACATCTCATGAGGTTTCAGAGGCCTATCCATCTTCGCGGTGTGTGCTTCGATGTCTGTTGCTCTTGCGTTCGGGTTCGCGGCTATTATCGCAGTCGAGACCATGTTCGGTGCGCATAGATCTTTTCCTCAATTTTCGATGCGTCGCTGAACTTCCCACAGCTGCGGTTCTCCTCTCGATACTGGGAGGCCTCTTACTCTTCTCTTTCACCTTAACATCAGCCGGCGCGATGGCATATCTTACCTTCCGTCTCGGACGACACCTCCAAACACGGGGACGCTCCGGAATAGCAGAATGGGCTCATGAAACAAGACAACACTTCACTTCTGTGTCTGTGAAATCTGAAGACAATGATGATTCGGATTCGGGCGTTCTTGTTGCACCTGGGGTTCACGACCAATGTGAAAATCGAAGGGTCAGCTTCCGGCTCTTGATGCTATACTCCGTTGTTCGGTTGAATTCCATACAAATGGAAATTCTGTTCATTCATGCCTCTCGCATTTCTCTGCTGCATAATCCTCTCTTTTGCAGCACGTTCATCACGTCATTTTTTCGTTGCTGACCGAGTTTACTCACTGTATCGTTCGTAATTTGCACTTGCACACCTGCACCGAGTACTGTATGTGTACTATAGCTCTATCGCATGCTGTCGATTTGATGGTCTGGGCCTGGTAAGCCGCACTGGGTTGTAAGGTATGTCACAGGTATATTCCAGTCTTTTCCTTGGTACCCTCGCCTCCGCCTAACCTCGCTGCGTCTATTATTACAACAATCAATCAAGTCTGCTATTCGAATATTTATTCAAGTGTCACACCAAAGCTTTCTGGGCGGTCGACATACTTGTCTCTGATTCCATCGACCTCTATTCCGAAGAAATGCTTGGCATGATCTGCTTGGCACATTCGCGGCACTTGATCATTGCTTGTAGTTTCAAGTCCTAACTAAGCCGCCTGCAACGTGTCTGTCATCCACCATGGTACTCGTACGACATAAAAAGACTGCACGAAATTTGGCACTGGATTCAATCACGGGTGTCACTCTTTAGGTGCATTGCTAACCATTGTTATTATTGGCGCTGCACGTTCAGTGATATTACTATGGTTTATCAGCATGCGCACGATGCCCTCTGGATCGCTTGGTCTGCCTTGGATCGGTAACAGACATCAGATACCTGCTGTTAAATTATGGAAGAAGTTTGCAGAATGGAACGAGCAAATCGGTATGCCGGTCGTTCCACAAACTTCAATCGTCTGATACTGGCGATCTTCAAGGTCCAGTGATGTCTATATTTCTCGGACGCACGCCTGTTATAGGTGACTCTCGACCTAGTTCCATAGCTAGGCAGGGCTCCCAAACCAGCTTCAGTTTTAGGTACAGCTCAAGCTGCATAAGATCTCTTGGAAAAGAGATTTACTCTGGTAGGCCACGATTTGTGGTTGCGTGAGTCATTGTATTTCCTAGTGTTGTGTGCATGCTGGAAGATGTATGATATCTAGAGGTAAATTCTCTCGGACAGCAAAAGAGGTCTTATGTTGCCGTATGTATGGGAGCCACAGTGGCGCAAATGGCGAAATGTGACCTGTTGTGAAGTGCACCTTCAGCTTTGCCGATGTAGCGTCATCTCCATCTGGTGCTGGAATCGAAAAGTCAGCTTTTCGAGCTGGTGTCAAGTCTGTTACTTATCTTGACTTGTTGAGTTAGGCTGCAGGGACGCAGTACCTTCTTCCGTGCGTGTCGTCATACCCGATAAAGCTATACTGAATTTATGTCTCACACCATAGTTGCGACGCTCCACTTCCATCAATGTCATGAGGAAGGCACAGGCTGACCTGAATAATGTCACCGGGTCCGATCCTATCTTAGAGTTCCACAACAAAGAAAGCCTTGCGTACATCAACGCGAGACCCTGCGGTGGCGGCCAGTCGCTGTGCTAGGGGGAACGCCACATGATGTCACACTGGAGGACGAATACAAGGGCATGTGCGACGCTTCGAGTCTATGTACGAATGAGCTTCGTTGACCTTCCTCCAGGTTCATACCTAAGAACTCAGAGCTCGACGATTTTTCCCAACTTGGCGTAGGTTTTAATTCCCTTGCAAAGACACCATTGATGCTCAAGGAAGATGCGTCATCAGGGGTATCATGCACGATGCCAATATGTTCCCTGGCCCGGACAATTTGTGCCCAGAGCGGTTCCTCGAGACCGCCGACCCTCGACTTCAAACCTTTGACTTGCCTTTTGGGTGGGGAAAAAGAATTTGTTCGCTTGCGCTATCACAGTACACATAGGCACGCAGGTTGATTCATTATGCCACAGGTCCCGGCATGTATGTCTTTAAATTCGCCCTTCATCGATGCTTCCCGTATCCTCTGGGCGTTCGATATGCCTGCTATCGACGTACGAGAGTGAAAATTTTACTGGACTTCTGAACTATACCAACGGATTTAATTCTCGTTCGGTCAGGTTCGACTGCGCGATCGCTCCTCGCAGTGGCAGATTTGTCGAATTGCTGAACATGGAGCACGAGGGAGCAAAGAGCAGGATATCTGATTGGCAGTGGTGAGCTTGATGCCGAGTTTCACTACGGCAATTTCGAAAACTCCTCCTGCGAACATGATGTATCCAAATGAAATACAAGAAGTATGGATGCCTTGGATGGCTGTGAGACGTGCTTCAAGGGGCACATCCAGATCAACATGTGGGTGCAAATATCCACTCAGCCATGCCTTCCACCATTTCTTAACAGGACCTCTCTGCATCTATCCGCTTATTTGCCACACGGACCAGTTGGACCAGGGCATACATGTACAGCCGGAGGATCATTAGCACCACAGATAGAACACTTCAGTGGTTCTCTTCGCTGCGATAGGAGCAACCTATAACATGTCAGCATTGTGCTGCAGCGGAACGCCGGCGATAGGCAAAAAAATCTTACGGTACTCTGGTTGTGAGCATCAGGCCATTGATACGGTGTCAAGTGTACGCATGGGTGTGTAAATTTCAAGGACGGAAAGGCGTTGGAAATAGTGAGTGGCTTGTCTGCGTTAAATTGATTGACTCCAAGTTTCAAAACCCTTTTATATGCCACGGGAGGTGGCGTTGGCTCGTTGAGGGGCGCCACTCATTAACTAAGGTGATATCGGCCTGCGGAGGCGGTGTCTGTGCTAGCTGTAGAGACATTCTAGAAGCGGTTACCTTCCTGTATAACACGGTCAAGGGTCCACACGCGCTTCCGGAAAATTAAGGTCGAGCATAACACGTCTGGATGACCTCGCGATACCAGTCCGAACCTGGAGCAGGGGTGGGCATTTTGGCTCGCGCCCCTCACCTCCGTTCCTGGTAGTTTTCCAATGTTGGCTATTACAGCAGGGTTCGCGCAACAAATACAGCTTTCCGCCAGATGTCCGCGGCCCAATCACTGCAACCATCTTGCGGTGATGCCAAGTAGATTGTAGATCTGCGGGCACCAAGAAGATCTCATCACGCGTGATCCGACCGAAGAGGTGGCTAGACGTGGACTGAAACACGCATGGCCTAAACTTGCGTAATACTACTCTCGTTGATTATTTTAGAATCGAATATGCGGGCTGTGCATGCACGGCGTCGCGTTCTCGTCATAGGTTCCCTGTCGGTACTAGGTTGCGTACGTTCGCCCCGAATAATATTTTGAAAGAGGGCGCTTTGTCTGGCTTTGTACAATGGATGGTATATAGTTAACGCGTTACGCATATTGTTGCAATTACCTAACATCGGCGGTGCTTGGACATCAAAGGAATGTCACATGGCTTCGAGACAAAGTTCGAGTCATTGCTTTAGTAGTAGTACTACAGCAGAGCCATCAAGTGTAGATATATGATATCCAAACAGGAGCCACGACAAACATATATAGCGATCGAGAGATGTGGATCCAAGAAACTAAGCAATTCAGTAGCACGAGAAGACGGACTCTAGAGTGATACATAACTATTGATACAGGAGCGAAACGAGCCCATGGTGATCAGTAATCAAGAGAGAAGTATATGCGCACGATCACAAGTAAAACATGGTGTCCTTCAATTTCTTGGAGACGCCGCCACGCCAGAGTGCCTGTGCTTCTCGCATGACGTCTGCTTCGTTGGTGCTGGCGCTAGCGCTGGCCGTTGTGCCATCCCCAATTTGGCCTTGGAGGAGTTTCCTCAAGTAGCATCGCCCACGCTCGCACGCCACATCAGCATAATATGCAGGAGATACGAGGCTCACAGCTTTGGTGGCGCGCGCGAACATGTAGCTCAGGGCATTCGTAAGGCCCTGAAGACCGTCTGCTCCGAAGCCAATTTCATCGTGAACGACGTAGTAGTGGGTCGGTTTCGTCGTACCCTGCAAACCGCCGTGGGCTGCAAAATTGAGTGAGCTGAGTAAACACTGCTTCAAGTAAAAATCACCTTGGAGGAAGAAATCGAAGTCATATACCGCGGTGACGCCACGATCAACTACCGTTCCAGGCTTTGGATTGCCATCATTCGCAGCATCCTTCCTTTCGGTGGGATAGAACCTGGTGTGGTGCCTCTTGCCACAGATGACAATAGTCAACGGAGGCCGATAAGGCTTCTTTGGCTTGTCGAAGGTATGGAAGGCTTTCAGGATCTCTGGAAGCTCTTCCAACCGAACGATATTGAATTGCCCCTGAATTTAGCATGAGCAACTTGCACGGCATCTTCGCTGCGGAGAAATCCCACCTCGGAGACCCCGTCACGATAAACAAGTACGCGTTCAGGTAATCTTTTACTACGTTGCTGGAAAAGTTGAAGCCTCGCGACCATCATGTCCTTGAGGTTAGGTAATCATCTAAGTAGGTTGTCATTTGCAAAAAAAAAAAAAGGGAGGGACATCTTAAAGTCCATACCTCTTTCCGGGATTCCTGGATTTCGAGACTTGCAGGGTATTGAGCGAAGTGATCGTCCACACTTGCAACTACTGCAGCAATTGAGGCTTTGTCAAAGGAATCAGTACCCATTTGAACAATGCGATGATAGCACTCACGTGTTCCTCTTGCGCTTCCAAGGACCAGGGTGGGTCACATCCATTCCGACTACCATCGTTGGCACGCTGGAGAGCCACCGACCCGTGTTTTCATCGAGTTTGTGATTAACGCCACCCATCTTCATGTTCACTTTCAAGGCCACGTTTGCGAAATACTGCGGCTGTCCCTTTTCCTTCCTAATCTTGCCTACGTGTACACACACAGTAGCGACGTCGAGGTAGACGTCGCACAGGTGCTTCAATCCCTCATAAATGTTCTTGTCGCCATTTGATAGCATCACGAGCACCAAGGAAGGCTTTGGGGAGAGCTGGATCAGTGTCTGACGTATAGTTGCGATGGCGCTCTTTCTAAGTGGATCACTTTTATCCGCCGGTGGGAGGTTTGCAGCTACAACCTGAGGCTGATCATTTGGTACAAGGATCCCACTGGTCTTGCACATGGCCATAAACCCAGTGATAACGGGACGGAGTGCAGGGTCTTGAGGCCCCGCAAACTCTTCTCGATTATTGCGATCCCCAATAAGCAGGACCGCCCACTTCTCCAGGCGCGCGCCCACAGCAAAGCGAATGTTCCGCAGATTCCATGAAGCTCGGTCATCGACTGCGGGCGACACGTTGTTGGCGTACTTCAGACCAGGTCTCGGGAGGATCCGGCCGGGAACAACTGCCATGTTCGGCCCGATGGAGACGCCAAACGCGGTCAGTGTGGGACCTGGGTTTACAAACCCGAGCTCGTTGAGACCGTTGTTCACAATAGCGTTGCCATTGACATTGGGTGGTTGGCACGCGACTGTTATCATGGATGCAGTATGCTCGTCCGTAAGCTTGCCACGGAAAGGCTGGTCAGGAAGAATGTCGCAGACTTCGGCTGGAAGGTAATTCTTCTTCTGCCCCCCGACATCGACAAGAGGGAGGTCAGGGTGCTTCAGGCGAATCTGATATTCTATGAATAATACAACGTCAGCATTTGAAGAGGAAAACGTAATACTCACTCCGAAGGAAGTACTGCTCCACCGTGACTCGTCCTCCAAGTTCGTCGCACGGGAAGGCGTATTGGCGTGCGTTCTGGCGGGCAAGACTCTTGACAGTCTTTCGATAGCCAAGATGAGTAGCTTTGACCCTGACGCCTCTACAGAACACTTCCATTCGTGCGCCGAAACTGGAGTTGTTGAAGGCCATCATCTGCACCGCAAGATTTCCAGGGGTATAGAACGCTGTGGTGCAGACATTGACGTTCACCATCAACTGACGATGAGCGGGGCGCACGGAGGAATAGAAGCCCTTCCACGCTTCTAACCCGCCGCCAAGATTCGATGGAGTAGCAGCAGAACGGAAGAAGTAGCGGTCTTGACCGACTTTGATACCGCTGCGTAATGGATGCGCAGCAAGAATGAGGTTCAACGCGGAAATCACGGGGAGAGTGTTGTAGTTCCGATACTGGCCATCCCCATTTAGGTAACTGCCATATATATATAAGAATAACTCGTGACGAAACGCATGGCCTACTCACCTCATGAGATCCTGAGTGTTGATTTCCTGGATAAATTTAATTGCGAGGGTGTACTCTTTACCACCCTGCGCCGGGGGCCCACTTTCCTCGTCGTCGTAATATGGTACTTTGATTGTAAGAGGCTGTGCTAGGACCCGAGCCGATATGAGCTTCGCACTGCTGTCGTGCGCGACGGTGCCACGCATCCCAGCTTGTTGCCACGCAGTAGTCTCCTCTGCAAGCTGGAATATGCGACGCTTGACGCGACGAATAGCTGTTCCAGCTGTAGGAGTAATTGCGACATCATATTCGTAGACCGGTCCCTTGGGAACGCGCACAGGAAAGAAATTGGTGCGGAGTTTGATATGCTCCCCAACGGTACCAAAGCCCGGGCGCAAGGGCATGCTGTCAGGGTCATTCCCGGGCTGGGTGCCCCGTAAACGAGCAACGAGCGCCTTGTCGGAGTCGTCAGCAACTCGAGCGTCGACGGTAGCCGGTTGGTTCTCTAGAAATACTCTGCATGAAAGAGTTTTAGTAAGCAGAATGACACCGTTCCAACGTGGCACTGACCCGCCTTGTGCTCTAGGAGCACCAAAGCCCCTTCCCCGGCCCCCTCTGTCGAACCCTCGACCACCACGGTCGCCACCACGGTCGCCACCACCCCACCCACCACGGTCGCCGCCACCCCTCCCACCACGGTCACCGCCACCGCCACGAAAGCCGGACGGTGCAAACGAGCCTCGTCCCCGGTCAACGGGGCTTCCTCGTCCTCCTCTTCCTCTGTCAAAGCCACCCCGGCCTCGATCGCCTCTGTAAGACATGTTCAGCGAACTCTTACTGCAATGTACAGTAGGGTTCGTCTAGTGGCTCAATGTTGCAACGTTGCAATGTGTAAGGTCAGTACAAGTGATGTTAAACGCCGAACGGTCAAAAGGAGGTTTTTGTATTCCTTACATCACGTGATATCATATACTATAAGTACCCAGAGGGTTGGCTTTGTGATAATTAATTAATTAATTTGCGCATCATTTGAGGACGCGCGTATTAGTAGTACGCGGATATCTAGTACTATGCGTCCCCTCTATTGCCCAGACCCTTCATCGCCGTCCAGAAGCCTCCAATGACGGACGCGTACCGCGCACTGCCAGTGTTCAGGTCGGTACCCCGCACCCTGACTTAGTATACAAGCGTCTCCCACCTATATTGTGTCCAAGGTAAAAATGTAGAGTCGCTAAAATGCGTGATGAAGTTTAAAGATTACAACGAACAGGCAACAAACAAGGTCTATCACTTGCGAGGATGCTTCAACAGAGGGATCAAAAATATTTTTGCACGATTCAGACAAACAGAAAAGTTTTTGCAAAGCCTCGATCGATTATGTAACTTTTTCAGATTGTTTTGTTTGCGACGGTACCTTGTCAAACACCCCTGAGACAATTGCTTCAAGACAGGACAAGGCCACACCGACGAGTTATAAGACCTTGGGTTCCGTTCATTGGACATCCCCTTGACTATGACAGACGCAAATGGTTTCCAACACCCTTGACCGCATGTTCATAACCTCGGTATGGTTTGAATCTATTATTTATGGTATGCGTCCGTTGGTTGTCTAGCGAAGACATTATGTTCTGATTAATCTGCCCGAATCTCATTTGTAGGAATCAAGTGGGTTCGGAGATCTGGGGAAAGGTTTACGCTCATTTCCATCGACAGCTGCGTGCTTTTTGGCGCATGTATCTATATCTTGGCGAATCGGAACAGAAAGTCGCATAGGTTCGTGATCAGAAATAGTCGTCAATCACTCACCCGCACTCACCTTTTGATCAGGATCCTTTTTCTGTCGTGTATTTTCCACATTTCAGTCTCCACAGCACACAACGTCATCTCCCTCCTTCAGTCTCTGGAAGGATTCACAACACCTGCCATAATATCAGTCCCTAATGGAAGCAGCCTGTACTTCGTCACGACAACAGCCTTATTTATTGCGAATTTGGCATTGTATATCGCTAATGTGCATATCATTTTTTCTAGCCTCGGTGATTGCGACTTATCGTTCCTTCTTTCAGGTTCTCGCTCAAGATTTGCTGCTAGTGAGCAACATTCATCTTGTGGAGGTATTGAAGTAACACGCGCAATGACAGATCTGGAGGCTTTACATCGTTTGGAATCACAACTGGAAACTTGTCATCGTCTTTGTAAGATATCTTCCCATCTTACTTGTTACCTCTCTCTTATGAATGTCACTATCGCTAGTTAATTGTGGAAGCTGCACATATTAGTGGGCTCATTAATTTCCCTTGGCTCTCAGATCAAGTGCTAAGATCCTCTGTCTAGCTTGTGCTATCACATCCGTGGTTCTAATAGCTCAGCCTAGTGAGCAACTCTTCTCGCAAAGTGTCCAAGCTTTTGGAAAAGCTAGTTGGTCGCTCGATCTTTTCCTCAATACCTTTGTCACGTCCGGAATCGCATATTGTCTTTGGCATGCGGGACGAGAAGTGTCCGATTTCACTGGCCGCAATGTCTACAAGGCTGCTATGTTTACCATCATCGAGTCCGGTGCACTCATTGCTAGCTGTACTGTGGTAATGTTCGCGCTGGATATAGCTGGCAGCCCAGCTGGTCTCATGGCAGTCAACGTTGCTGTTCAGATTGCTGTAGGCACTTTACGCCCCTCCTCTTCTTCTCGTCTCACATTTTCCTAGACCACAACGCCTCTTCTTATCATCGCCCGTCTCGGCCTTGGCCTGACGCACGGAGATACACATTTCGAGAAATCGTCATCAATTCCCGCAGTGACGTTCGCTCCACCAGTCCAGGTCAATATCGCCGAGGAGGTCTGTAGCTACCCCATGACTTCCATGTCACCGTTCATTGGGAAGACTGATAGCATAGAGTCATCATACTGTGATGTGTAACAACAACTTACGTTCGATGGCTAGGGCCATTACGTGGATTTGTCTAGGACCTAGGTATACTAATATTCAACCATCACGCTTACTGCTGCTGCGGCTCTTTGCGGTTGCCGCTTAGTCCATGGTTGCAATTTTTCTAGGGCACTTGAGACTGTCGGATCATAGTGCTGGCGTGCGAGTTGGTTGCGATAGCCAGATGCTACTACTTACTAATTAATACTACTACTAGGAGAAGGGTTACCAAGGGCCGTCACGTGAGAGTGCGAAAGTGAGAGGCTATCCTGCAGCTTCAGGAGGTAGGTTGTGGAGTCACAAACGTAGTGTGTCGTAACTTGTTAGATCTGATGCCTACTAAAGATGTCCTACTCGTTGGCCTGGGCGCAGTTGGAACGATCTGTACGTCACGAGCAAGCTTCAGATGTCCTCTTGTTCCTCCCAATCACATCTGAACGTTTCATATGACGAACATTGACATTGATCTCACGCGTAGATGCTTATATCCTCCAAAGCAGCAAGCTTGCGCGAGTCACTGCTGTTGCCCGAAGCAATTATGATGTTGTGAATGGTGAAAAGTTTTGTTGTCTCATCGAGATTTGACTCACGATGCTGATCTGAGTCTAGCAAAGGGTATGCACATCAGAAGCAAAAAGTTTGGCAATCACGAGAGCTGGAAACCCTACCGTCGTGAGTAACACCACTGAGTATCATAATTCTCCGCGGTGACGATCACCGTGCATGTTTGGTTTATAGTGGTGTCGTCGGTAGGCAGAAGCCGCTGATAGGCCGTATTCCTACGTGGTTCTGACAACCAAGGCGATTCCAGAGGTGATAAAGACACCTCAGGTCCTAGAACCACTTCTTTCTCGTCCATATAGTGAAATACACCCCCAACCTACTTATGTCTTGCTCCAAAACGGACTCGGGGTGGAGCGAGATTTGTATCACAGCGTCAAGGCCCTTGATCAAGGTGAACCAAAGATCATCAGCACTGTTGTATGGATCGGAACGAATTTGGTCGAGAAGAATGTAGTCAGTCATACCGATTTCGTGAGCAAAGATGATTCATTTACAGCACTCCCTCCGGATATCTGACATACGTCTTGTGCGGACGCAGGATCGTGTTACCATCGGGATGTATAGACATGGAGACCACCTGACAACTACCCATTCTCCTGAAGAATATGCCACCTTGACAGACTTTGGAACCATGCTCGAAACAGGAGGCTCAGAAGTGACGATTGCGACAGAGATCCAGCGCAAGAAATTCGCCAAGACATTTTGGAACGTCGCATTTTCCTCCTTCTCGACACTTACCGGATCCTCTCCTACAGCGATGTTTCGACCTCCGCCTGAAGAGGGACAATCGTATAGTCCTTACATCGCACCTCAGACAGCAACAATTATCGAGAGAAACGCCGTTCCTGTTCTACGTGCGATCTTACAAGAGATGGTCACCCTTGGTGATTTCTAACTGTGAGACCTCTTCGTATGTCTTACCTATTTCGTAGGGCGTGCATTGGGCTACGCGGACAATGAAGATGGTCTACCTTCTTCCCTTGTCGATAGTACCATATCACGTACCGCAACACTACACCGCGACCCTGCCCATACTGCTCTCCCAAGCATGCTCCTTGACGCCCAGAATGGGCTGCCTATCGAGGTTGAGGTGATAGTCGGGGAGGTGGTCAGAATGGCGAAGGATGTGGGGGTAGACGTGCCAGTAAGCAGTTTTTTCTGTCACCGCCATCATAGCTGATATATGTCTGGCCTGCAGCGTATTGAAACCCTGTATGCTTTGCTGGCTATCATCCAAAACCAGACTCTTGGTGGATTTAGACAGCGCAAACTCTAGGCGCAGTGACCCTTCCATGCTACGATGTTCGTAGAATTTTCAGTTATTTTGACGGTTCAACTATTGGTTTTTGAACCCGACGAAGGTTTTGTGCTGCAAGCGGGTCAATGAAGCACACAAAATTGTAATGCGCTGCACTATCGGTGCCCAAGCACTTGTTTACAACCGACGAGTACCGCAACTCCTATCTCTCTGTGCCAACTTCGCCAAAGATAACCTCAAACTACCCCTTACGAGCTTATCAACTGCATGCTTGGGTGTGTTGTCTTGCGGATCTCTGTTCAATCTAGCGGTGCTATTAACGTGTCGTCTATAATAGATGCTGGAATATCTTTATGCTCGTCTGGGTACCTTGAGCTCTCCGTAGTGTAAACCGGAGAAATTCATTGCGGTTTGTAGAGCTACATATGGACTATGACGATGTCCCTTTGCCGGCGGTGGTCGGAAAATCGCAGTGAGCGGAGATTGCGTGAGCGCTGAAACGGCCCAAATGCTATCAGACTGTGATAGCAACTTATCAGAACCCCAGCCTCGAGTACAGTTATGATATCCTCCAGCATTAGCTCCCCTGGTAAGAGATGATCATTATTTTTCTGCATTCGGACAGTAACATTTTCCTGTTCCAGCTCCATCCGTGCGCCCTTACTTTTGCCTCATTGCACGGCGAAGTGCCGTTTTCTCTTTCAAAATGGACTCGGCGATGAACGAGATAGCAATAATATTGTTGGTTGCTCAGCAGCAGCCTGACCGCGGACAGATGATGTTTGTACCTTGACCGCAGCTGTACCCTAGTAGGGGCTGTCGTGACGTAGCCGTTACAAGTCATTATAACGTAAGTATGTAAAAGGATCGATGCGGGCGCCATTGGCGACTGATTTCACCGCTGATGCGACAGTTGCGAAAGACGCGGAAAGCAAATCAGAATGTTTCCAAGATATTCCTGATAAGTACTGACATAGAATCATACCATGTTCTATCAGGCCCGGCAGCCATATGTCAAACGATATCGCCCCTCACCATTCTAAGCTCGACATATGAGTCCTCGGAGCAAACATGAGTCGCACGAGCTTACTGTTCTGATGGATATACGAGCGTCATCACATTTGGAATCTAGGCCACCGAAACCGACTTTGTAACCTCCGTGACATAGGCACGCTCGATGAACAGGTACGAGGAGATCAAAGTATTGAATGATCCGCTTTCATGGACTTGTGCCAATCTGTATATAGATATGGGACCTATCTATAGGCGGATACGTGCATCCAATCTGATTGCACGCACGAGTTCCGCGAGCTCCCTCGGGCTTACTGAATTCCTCATTTCGTATCTCACCCGAGTATGCATACGGGCTTGAATATTTACTTCTAGTTTACTTCTAGTGCTTCTAGTGCTGCACGTCACCTCACGCCCTCAACTCAGCGTGCACATCGGCATATCAGATAATTAGCGGCAACTGGATCGGCATTATGTGAGTGAGTTTGGAGCTGGACGACGTGTGATGATTCTCGAAGAATGTTAATGATGCCATTGATGTTCTGTTAGAAATTCTTGCAGCGGAGTTAAGCTGAGTTCTAGAAGGAGTGGTACTTTAGAGTAAGACAGACTTCTAGAAACTTACAGGGTTACATGGTTACCAATCCATTGGAGATACAGTACTGTTGCAGGTGCGCAAGGCCGCAAACGAATACGGCATCCTTCAAAAAAAATTTGAATCGAATTATTGTCCATTGGGGTATGCTACCCTATGTTGGACAGTACTAACTAGTCTAGGGGGCCCCTGTGCCCCGCGCCTCATCTCAACATGCTTCAAGTTTTCAAGAGTACTTGTATGTGTTACACATGTACTTTGGCATGGTCATTCGTTGACGCTTAACGTTTAACGCCGACGTAGGAAATCGAGTTGTCATTTAACTTCGACGAGGGTCGGGTATGTACGTTGACATTTCGATAAGTACGGATTTGACCACGCGTCCTGTCTTATCTGCCTAAACCACGGAATAAATTGAACCAATGCAACCATACTCAAAATTGGGATATGCGCTACTGTACGTGGAGATGATATATATCACAGACATGGTATAAGCAACCAGAAGACGGGATATGTACATGCAATGCATGTGTCTAGTGATTTTGGAAAGCGAGGGGGGCAACTATAGTACAATGCACTTACTAGGAATGAACAGCGCTATCATGAACATCATCTCAATATAAAATCTACTTCCTCCATCTACCTCGCTTTTCCTGATATTCAACGGTCGCGTACCACATTCCACCAGCGAGCGTGAGAAGGATGCCAAGCGCGTTTGTTGGCGTTATTGTGAGCTTGAATAAAATGACCGCAAGAAACACAGAGAGTACTTGTTTGACGTTGGCTGTAAGATCGTCAGCAAGCGTGCCGTCGTATCTACAACAATGGTCACTCACCAGCAACAGTCATACTCAAAGGGCCTGCTGCCCTATTCGCCGTAAAACTCACAATATTAAGACCAAATGCAATCATGCCATTCACCCCAAGGAGTGCCGCTTTGATGGGCGTCATCTCGTGCAAACTCCATGTGTGCACGCGAGATAATTCCCCCGTAAAGTATGCGAGAACAACGCACTGAATGAATGCGAGCGGCGCCATCCGCGTTAACAGGTCAAGTGGATGCAATTGTAGCCGTGGTGGAACGACATAATTTACGCGTGGCTGCGGAGAGGATATTGACGGTGTCGACTGTAGGATGGAAGTATAGATGGTCTTAATGGCGGCTAGTACTGTTCCCAGTACGGTCAAAAGGAGTCCAGTCGTTGTGTACGAATAGTCTCCGTATGTCCTAGATATAAATTAGCAGGAGCAGTACTGGGGTAAGAGGTGCCTTACGCAAAACCGACGCCAGCGATGACAGGGACCAGAGATGCCATTTTGTGGCTACTACTCCGGGTGCCAAATAAGAACATCGACAACAGAATTGTAAAAATCGGCGTGGCTGCGCGGACTACTTGATGAAACTATAGGCTCATCATCAGCCCCTGGCCCACGCGAGGTATGCTATCACTCACTGGAACAGTGACCATATGAAGAGATATATTGCTGACGGCGATGTTGATAGTGTACAATACACTAAACGCCACAAGCGCTAAGTTGTCGGTGTCAGAGAGTTTGGCGGGTATGAATGTACCATTCTTCAGCAATGTGAGCCCTCCGACGGTGCCACAGAAAGCGTGCAGTGCAGTGAGCGTGTATGGAAAAGGAAAGTGGATGAGGACACCCTTATTGTACAGGGTCAGTCCCAGGTTGAAACAAAAATAAAGGATGAGCCAAAATGCCAGCGAGCGGTGGGTAGATGGAGGAGGCGATAAATGTGTTCCAAGCAGTGGGGTATCTTTCTCCGTTGTGAAATTGTGGTGGTCGGAGTGGTCATCGTGGATGAGTATACGAGTGTCAGAAGAAGACATAGGAAGCGAAGGCAGGTCTTGCATGGCAGAGTGCGATGGGGAAACGAGGCTGTTACTACTGCGTAAGAAGCGTTGACGAGAGACCAGAGATCTGTGACGCTTGTGCGATTTATCGGCCTCTGAGCCTGACAAACCTGACAACGAGAGTTGGGGTGTGTGCCTGCGATTGCTCCACACGTTTTCTTTGCTACCCGTATGGGGTTGCACAGATGACGATGTTGGAATAGAAGGGGATTGAGCTATAAAACCATGATGTTGGCGGATACTACCGGACAGTTTCTTCGGGAGATGTCGATGCTGGGGAAATGGAACTGACACCAAATCTAAGATCTGTTCAGATGTGACATGCTGTGACTCATGCCGCCGGTGTAAGCGTTCTGCAGACAACTGTGTTGGTCTGATAGTGACCGCGGAGTCGTCACGAGTACGCCTCTGCGCATGCGTAGGAGCTAGACGTGGCTGTCTGTTATTTGGCCCAGGTTTATTCAAGCCAGTGAGCCTAGATTCGGAATGGTTCATAGCGCAGTTTATGGCCAAAACATAGTCTTCCTCGGACTGAGGACATATGCCACTCTGAGGGCGGAAACGCGCGTGGGCACGATGGAAGTTTAGTAGCAAAAGGAGGCAAAAGACGCCAATGAGTATTAATAACATTTCAACGTAATAATCTCACAACCCTAAGACTATTCTTTACTTCCACTCTAATATTAACCTTAGCGGTACGGACCGCGCCGAGAATGAAGAAGACATAACATAACATTCAAGTTGAAAGTTGGAATGGACTGACAGCTTACTGACAGCTCTGTGATATCATTCTCGGAACCGTAAGAATCAACAGTGACAGAGTCGTGACGAAAGATCAATACAAGTCTTCTCTTACCCTATCGGAGAGTCGGCGACAGCATTTCAACAGCTTCACTGGCAAACGCCGAACACACTGTCAAATTCCAATGTAACTAACTTTAGGTTGGACTAGTAGGTGTGGAGACGCGCACGAGAGATGTTGGAAAGTTCCCCGTTAATACGGCATACACGTTCCATCCACCGCGACAACGAAACACGGAAGTGAGATGCATACTCAGTGACAACTGACCGCAGTCAACCTATTTTAGCGATGTGATGTTATATTTGGCCTTGTCAATCAATGGTCACGTGCAGGGCTGTGTAGTTTTGACCCAAACCCAAACAAATTAATTTCTGTATTTCGTTTCTACATGGGCTTAGCTAACCCCATCATCTCTTCGTGCGAACGTTGACGTTGAGCTCCAAGCCTTACCAGGACTGTCTTCTTCTAGATACGCATCGTTGACGTGTCTAGCCATGCCGGAACCAAATGGTTCAATTCAGACTCTCAAGCGAGCAATATTCGATGTGGAGGCGGCCCAGTCAGCGCCTTCAACCTCCAAGAGACTCAGGGTTGATCAGTCACCAGAAACAAGCTCGAGACGGGATGCAAAGAAACGGAAAAAGAGGAGAAAAAAAGAACCGGTAGTCGCTAAGCTAGACGGCAATCATCCTAGGCAGGATAGTTCGTCCCAGTCTCAGCGGCCGCCAGTGTCTGCTTGCAATGAAATCATTCGATTTACGTCCACGGAGCCGTCAGGAAGCAAGACCAGAGTAGACGTCCCATCACATTCTGCAACTTCTACCTCAAACCTTGTCAGTAACGAGAGCGATACCGAAAGGGACTCTGAGGGGGGTCTACAACAAGCGAACCTGGTATGTACACTATGCTATTGTTTGTTTCATTTTATCTCGTTCCCTCATGATGATGTCACACAGAAAGGAAATAGCTTATCTGAAACCACTGATCTTCGTGATACGAAGCAGTTCGCAAATTTCACGCAAGACCCGAAGGGTGTTGTACCGGAAAACAGGATTTCGCAACTGACAAAGGAATTAGCAGAGAGGGCCGAGGTGCGCGTTCCATCATACCCATCAATATTCAATTTAAATGTTTTATCATATCAGCTTTTGGCTGCTCATCAAAGTGTCCTCAATAACATTTCCCAAGCTCTGACATGTCAGATTTGCCTCGACGTGATGTACAAGCCTTATGCACTCGCTCCGTGTGGTCACGTGGCTTGCTACGACTGCCTTGTTCAATGGTTTAACGCTCCGCCTGCTGATAATAGACCTGCCGCACCAGCCATCGTACGGAAGAAGACATGTCCACATTGCCGAGCAGTCGTCCGAGATCGTCCCGCAGAAATTTGGACTATCAAGAATCTAGCGCACCTCATAGAGAAGAGCGGTCTCGCTAATGTGCCTCCGCGTGACAAGGCGCATGCTAACGCTGATCGCCCTGCGGACGCAGATCCTTGGAATGGGATCTTCCGGAAATCCAACCATGGTTTCCTTCCCTGGTTACTAGCGGACGATGCAGATGCCGAGCCCCGTCGCGGAGAAGACGTAGGTATGCTTGACATGGAGGACGGAGGCATATACCGATGTCTGGACTGTATGCATGAGATTTGGGATGGCGTGTGTACGGCGTGCGGTAGGCAGTATCCGGGTCACGAAGGAGGGGGAGATTGGTCAGACGATGAACTCGGCTTGGAATTTGGCCCAGGAGCAGAAGAGTTTGACCCTGATGATGATCCAGGATGGATGGGTCTTGAAGATGGCGAGGGGGACGACGAAGATGGCGGTTTGGCGATTGCCGATTGGTATCCCGGATTGCCATTGTTCCGTTGGCACGTTGGCCGTGAGGAGGATGTAGACGAAGATGGAGATGAAGAAGACGAAGGAGATGAAGAGGATGGTTATGAAAGCAGTTTCGTCGATGACGAGAACGACACCGGCATTCCTCGAGGCCCGATACAACAGCTGCCGCAAATATACGAACTTTCCGATGATAGCGATAATGAAGACCACCGTTCGCACGTAGATATCGATATCCTATCCGAGGAAGAAGAAAACGAGCCGTCACTTGCAAGTAGGCCGGGCCGGATGGCACCCATTGTAGTTTCCTCCGGTGACGAAGATGAGGACGAGGACGAGCTCGATAGCGTTTTTGCTGTCCGCCCCATGTCCACGCGTCCGAGACGCGGACGCCTTGTTGAGTCTGACGATGAGGTTGAGGCTTCATCGGACGGCAGTAGCTAGTGACTCGTGAGTTGTTATCTCCCTACATAGAAAGCATCTTTTTTCATTGTCCTCGCATCACTCCTCGCTTGGAGTGTGGCAGCAGAAGAACGGTGAGTTTCGCGAGCACCACTTCGGATTAACAACACCTCAATGTAACGGCAGTGAAAATTTATGTAATAATGACCGTTCCATCCAACGGTCAACTTACTCATTCGAATGATACAGGGCCTTCTGATGAGAAATGACCACGAAATGCTGTGGAGGTGTCATTATTCTTTGTTCCAACTTTATCCCAACTTTATCCCGTTAATTAATATTGCTACTAGGGTCGATCGAGCGCGTTAATGCCTTACTTGCAGGCACTTGATTTTTTCTTCTTTTCCAGAACTCATCAGATTGCCGCCAATCTCTATGTCACTGGCGAGACGGTCACTTGCTCCTGATTTGTTACCACTGCAAATACCAAGTGCTACCTAGTTATGCAAGCATACCGTGACTAGCAACGTCTCTTTAGACCTTGTTGACCTGCTGAGCGTCTGTTCACGGTCAATGATCATTTTACTCATTCCAGTTTGAGGCTTGTTCACCTCTCACTTACTTACTAGCTATGCAATTTAGTCCAGTTGACTGCATTTCCACAGAATGGATATCCCTATCAATGCTTGTACTGACGCATTTTCAAGTCGTCGACGCAATGATCACTCCGTCATAAAGTTTCACAAGTACTGAAGGACAACTCTATAAGTATAGTCTAACCGCTGTACGCTCTAGATGGTTTTTTGACGCACATCGAATGAATAACTGGGTTTCATTTGGGTCAGGACTTGGTCAATCACAAATTTGTCGTTGACCCTAGTGTGTAGGGATTCCCTGGGGAAGTATGCATTAGCCCCCGACTCGACAGAGGAAGGCTTTTATCGACCGTTTATCTACAAAGATGCGAAACGTGAGTATTTTGTCGTTACCATCACATGCTCAATAGAATATCGCACCACTTACCAGTCAAGCTCGCTCCACCAAATTACGAAATGTAGTTCTCCCAATCGCCAGATATCTGTGTCGCTAGCTTGCTTTATGATCAGTTGGTGGTAGTTTGTGTTCCGTCCACTGATGAACTAATTGCCTTACTATCGTCTCACCGGTACCACTGTCGTCCTGCCACATTATCTTGTCGCGGTCATGTAAGGAATGTCACTCCGCTAGCTATGGAATTCCCTTTGTACTTCCGGCTATAGACTTCCCCCTGTACCGGTTCGACGTACTACTCGGCTGACTACTCGTACTGCCACTCACTTAGATATAAAAGCCGGTCCTTACCTTCTGTATCGACAGTGAATCAATCCCCCTCACTCATCTCTCATCACTCGTGATCCATCAATCCCCGTCGAACACTTACGCAGCATTACAGTCACGATTAAGTACTTTAGCACTCTTTGCAGAATTTAAGTCGCGAGTGTCGTTCGTGCTCCGAACGTATCTCCTCATGGTTCGGTTGTAGATTGCACATCAATTCTTATCCTCGGCTGCTTCCGAAGCATCTCACTTGCGAGATTGGGAAATATGTAGCGACTTGGATCCCCTGCTCTGAGATGGCTACAGTCAAACACAGTTCGATGACTCTGGTATTCGCACCTCGCCTGCCACTGCTAGGATCACTGGTTTGCGCTGAAATATTGAAAAGAAATGTTAGCCAGATAATAGCCAAGCCAAGAGCAGGACGTCGGGTGCCTGCGCCGCTGCGATTTTCTCTTGTATAATACTTAGCACACATATTGACAGTTACCGATCCAGCTCAAATCCAGCTTATCTTATCTTATCTAATTAGTATGTAGTCAACGTTCAACACTCGTGGCTTGGAATTAATTGTCTTGTACTTCGTCCTCAGGTGCCTTAATATTGTGACCTTTGTGAACCGCTGGGTCTGGGCTTGCGACTTATTGCAGTATCGTCAAATTCCCTTTAGCCCAGACTGTTTCGATTGACTTCAAGCGAAGTAATACGTACGGTATACATGGTGTTAGTAACAAGGTCCGTTTCAATGTCTTTTGAAGTTGTTGATAATTTGAAAAATCAGTTACTTAGTAGACGCCAGCTCAGGTCTTCTCGTCATCGTTATGCCTCCGTATCGGCCCATTTTCGGCGATTCTTCCATTTCTTGTGCAGCGCCCATGATGCTGGGTATGGAGAGCTGCCTCGTGTGGACAACGTGGATCAGCCGCGCGACACAGATGCGTGGGCTTAATGCTGCGCAACCTAGGCAGCCTTCATACGAGCACAAACATGCATAAGATGTATGGTTTTTCCATGCTTCTTTCAACTACACTCATAACCTGCCTGCCACTGCCCTTCTGCCGCTCATTCACTTTTGCGATCACTCCAACCATCACCACTTGTCTTCCTTATAAGGCTGGCGTCCCCACACCCCTCGACTGTCATGCGCACTAGAACCACCAAAAGCAGTCCTGCTTCTCCCGGCCCACGTCCACGCTCCCAGTATTCTTCCAACACCATGCACTGGCTCTTTCGCTCCAACTTGCCCCATCGCAGAAGCTCTGCAGCATACAGCGCTGACCTTGGACGAAGAAACTTTTTTGGTATGAGCGAATTATTTGGTGTTCTTCTGAACGTGCGTCTGCAATGCAACATTAATACTGCACAACTTAGCTCACTCTTAATTATTCCCAGCCTTCTGAGACGGTTCGCTCCTTGAGAGAGTCAAGGCGCCTCCTCGAGGAAGCCCGCAACGAAATCAACGAGACACGCGAATGCTCTCAGTTGCGTACGAAACACGCGTTTACTCGCCTCCCATGGTTTCTTCCGCGAGAAGCTGAGATTCGCGCGATCGAACGTGCCCTAGAGGGCGAGCCTTCATTCACCGTCTTGTTTGGCGCAAGTTCCGTTGGGAAGGTCAGTCCCTCTACATATCGACGCGATCACCCGTTCACCAACCATGTTAGACGGCGCTTGTGAGAGAAGTTCTTTCGCGGAAAATCTATCATGTGCTTCACTTTGATTTACGCATACCTGGTTTTGCGGATATGACGAGTCTTTATATGAGTATCTCGCAGCAGATGGAGCGGTACTTTGATGAAATATCAAAAACGATACCTGGATATGAGGAGTTCCGGAAGGAGGGTTTAGAGTTCAAGGTGCGGTGACCTTTCACATGATCGCGCTGAAGAATGGAATTACTGACATCCTCGCAGCACGACAGATTGAACGTTGAACGAAGGCTTAACGATTCTCCTGTTGGAAGCTCTGGTTCGCAAGTTCGGACGAGCGATATTGCGAGACTCATGGAGCTCTTTCAGGTACGCATTCTCACCTGCCAACGCTTCTTTCATTGATTTCTTTTGATCTAGAGTTCACTTCTCAAATACAGCGAGTTCGAGCCTCCAGAACAGCCACTAGCAAATGGCAAGCGTAAGAAGGACTCAGATGTGTCCTCAGACAGGACAAAACTCAACAGCTCGTCACCTTCTCCACCCTCGCATAAATCCCGATGGTTCTTCAAGCGCAAATCCAAGAAACCATCCGATGGTCAGCAGAGCCAGGAATTGTCCTCGTCGCTGCTCAACTCCAACGTCCGCGAAAAGGAGCCTGAGAAGGTGACCAAGAGGATCCCGGTAGTGTTCATCGACGAAGCACATAAACTGTGGGTTCACCTTCGCCAAGGTCATATATTAGGCGCTGATGAGTCACCGTCGCCGCAGCCCTGCGCTGATTCAGTCATCTGACGCGATGAAATGCCTCCTGGACTCAATGCTGGTACTCACGAAGCAAGACAGGCTGTGTCATGTAATTCATGCCACTAGCGACCCTTTCTATCAAGCATGGCTACGGCAGCTGAACGTGATGCAACACTGCAAGGTGTGCATTGGCACCTCACATGGTTTTCAGGAGTTGATTAGTGTTATCGAGGTAGATTATTACCGTCGGTGATTGCACGAAGACAGAGACACGCACATTCTTTGTCGAGAGAATGCTGCCTCGTGTTCCAGAGAACCTACGGGCAGGCTTGTCGTTCGACGTCTTATACGATGCATTTGGTGGCAAGTTAGCGCACTGGCAGGATTATATAAATGATTACGGTATGTTATTGCTATTATTTTGTCTATTCAGGAGGAATACTGACGCATCTTTCGCAGTCAATGCAGGTGGAAGCTTTGAAAGTAAGTACACCTAGCTATGACACTCTCACCCAATAACGTCGCATCACAGTCAAGCAAAGCTCCCACTTCCTTCAAGCACACGCAGTCCTCAACCTTCACATCATCCACTCCTCACAAGCAACCACGACGATCAGCGGCGGTCAAGACCCCACAACACCCAGCACACCTGCCGCCCGCCCGCGCTCCTCCGGGCCTGACGCCCTGCACGCCAACCTCGGGCCTGCAGGTTTCAAAACATATCCTCCTGTTCGAAACTCCCTCCGCGACAGCAGCGGCATCGGTGAGGACTACTCTGCCGATTTCAGCGCTATGCAGCTGCTCAAGGTGATGAGCAAGCTGAGCCAGGCGGGGACGATCCACTTGCCATATTTCTTACTGTGTCGGGAGCTTGGTGTGCGCGCGGTGGATGGGATGGTTAAGGGGCGAGTGTTGAATCTGCAGTGGACAGACCCGGTGACGCGCGAAGGAGAGCCTCCAACGCGCCCAGAGCCGGTAACGCCCGCAACCGTCAACCCGCTGGTGGGCGCTATACCCAGCCCTATCAATATCGGGAGCGGCAGCACGCTCGGTGCGTCCTCAGAGGACGGTGATATGATGGTGATAAATCCTATCAACATGTCTACGCGGGAGCTGGGGCAGATTGACGAGGAGGACGAAGAAGAGGAAGTGATTGGCCCCAAGCTGATGCCCCTGACGCCGATTATGCGCTACGCGATGCGGGAAGTCGTGCTGGAGTATGAGGATGTGCGGACACTATCTGATTATGCTTCGTTTACTGATGTTGAGGAGTACTGAGTGGCTGGCTGGCCTCTGCCTGGACCTGTCCTCTTCTTCCCATCCCAGGTATCTATTAAGTTATTCATCGGTCATCTCCCTCATAACACTGCATTCGTTTTCTGACTGCTGTACTGTACGCCATGTTGTAGTTTGCTTCGCATCTCTCGCATTAGTCCTGTACGTTGCAGACTCCGTCCCATGTAATGAAACTCGCAATGTCTCGGCTAAGGGATCGATCGGAAGTGGTGACTGGAGGTATCGCTCCAGATTTTTTTTACAACTCGAACAGCAGATGGACCATTCGTACTACAGGTCTGACTATACGATGTTTGGTGTTGACGTAGCCACTCGACTTGTGAGCCTAACCACAGGCGTACAATTGCAATTGGTGAGAATTAGGGGCCAAGACTGATTAAATAGAATCGAATTCCGCAAACCTCACATCCGCCTTTGCATCAAGCCAGGCAAGCCATTTCTTCAAGTACGGGCTACCATGCTTCACGGTCGATGAGTCGCCAACAACACACTATGATTCCAGATCAGTCCAGATCATGAGGATATTATTTGCACTTTTACCAGGTGTCTCTTTGCTCGGGTCATGGCAACTGTTGGATGGGTAACTGAGGACGATCGATGCCCCTATGAGAATAATGTTACACACCATTCATACGTCTCTTCTCTTTCAGAAACCCGACTTCGCGCTGACAATCCTCGTGTTAATAGGAAAGGTATTAAAGAGGGTGTAATGCACCTTGTCGTTACTGCGCACCAAGCTGATGATGACAGCGTCCTTCTCTCGCCCCTGCATTCCATCGACTGTCCCAATCTCAAGCTCAAGCCCATATAGCGGCCTGAGCAAGGAAGTGAGAAGAGTGACCTGTGCTTGGTATCTGATATACAATGAATAAATCCGATTTGCGCGCCTTAGCTCGGGAGAAGATTGCATACGGAGTGATCAGCGCAATTTGTGATGACAGCAATCCAGCTCCCACCAGTCGTTCTACCCATTTTAACACCACAGCTGCTTCGTTCTCGTTACAGCGGCTGCCTTCGTCGCCATCTCCGTCCACTCGCTCGAAATATTCACAACCCGCAGTATCAAAAAACACGACTGGCGTTCCCAGTGTTTCTTTGATGGTGTCCTCGTCTTCCGAGGAAGTAAAGGCGCTGGCGTTGGGTAGGTCCTTGAGGAGATGAGATCTTACTGATTCATGCGATATAAGCTTTGACGCGTAGAGCATTTTGGAAGGAAACTGGCAAATCTGTGAGTGCATGCTAGGGATGTAAGTTGTGAGCTGTTCAAGTGCAACTTGAGCGTGATTTGTGTCTCACCGATATTGTACATTGAGCAAGCGTTTTATGTCTGAACCATACATTTTCTCGAGTCGGTCAAAAAGTGTTGTTTCTAGTGTACGAGGTGGTCGTAAGCCAGTCCGCTGATTTCCTTTCTTTTGAATTTTTTTAGGCTTTTCTTTAAGCTGCGGTTCTGCTTCAGTTGATAATTCGATTGCCGCGTCTTGTTCCATGATTTCATCTCCTTTGATCGACTCCACTTCGGAATCTGCATCACTATTACTCGTGCCCTCGTCTTCTTCAGGGAGAAGAGGCTTTGATGCTGTTGACTCTTGCAACTTCTTTTGGTCATTCGCAGTTACTGAAGGATTTTCGCTCTTTTTGGACGTCGCAGTCCCCGTTTTTTTCTCGTCATGTTTATCGATAGAGAGAATTGTAGGTGGCAATTGCATCGGGTCGCCCGCTAGGATGAGCTTTTTCGCTTTAAATATCGGAATCCAACACACCTGTGGGCATATCAAAGGGTCATTCAACTGAAACACAATCATACTTACTGCTTCGAGCGCTTGCGTTGCCTCATCAATAATGACTACATCAAACTTGTGGTCACGGAGCTGTCTGCCACCGGCGGAATGACATGTAGCAAGGACAATCTGCAGTTGATCAATGATCGTTCCGGTAACCCCCGACAGTATTGCAGGCCACACCTGAGACTCTCCAAGGACAGTCTTGACAACTCCACCTTCGCGCTGTCTGTACCTGGACTAGTAGTGAGTATGCACGCTGAGTCTGAGAAAGGGGTGTATGCTCACTCCTTCCTGAGAGCTTTCACTTCTTCCCACATCTTCTTCCGTTCTGAACCTCTGGGTTTCTTGGAGCCTTTCCCCTTCCCAGCAAGTACGTCGAGCGTTGACTCGATCTCAGATTTGACGTCCTTTGCAAGCGCGGCCTAACTTCAAGTCTCAGCACCAACAACTGTGTCAGATACTGAAGCAGGATCACTTGATCGCTCTTGCTGGCCTTCACTTCTAGCGTTGCTTCCAGAACACCCTGCTTGGCCATCACGCGCGCAGGATGGCCTATGCGGGTAGCCGTCAAGGGCGTCCACTTGCCCTTCTCAGGGGGTGGTATAGCAAGAATACGCTCTAGGATGTTATCGACAGACAGATTTGAAGCACCACAGACAAGTATTCGCTTCTGTTTCTCGTTGGTGTTATGCTCCGAAGGAGAGGTGAGCTGACGTATAATTTCAATTAGCGTGTGTGTTTTTCCGGTCCCTATCATTGCCATCAAGTAATAATATCGAGTGAAAGGAATGAATAGCTTTACCAGGTGGTCCATGAATGCATGCGACTTCTGGGGATTCAAGAGCGAACCTGACAGCCTGTTGCTGGCTCGGATTCAGATAGTCATCAAAGAACTTAGGCTGTGCAATAGGAATCTTTTCAGATGGCGAAGATATTCCGAGTAGAACTCGGATGAGAGGTGTCATCTCATAGTCGCCTTTGTCGTTGGACTGTTTGAGCTGCTATTAGCAATCAGCAGAGCAGGAACATAAGGTTCAGTTACCTGTCTTGATGAAGGAATGACGATTTTCTCCAATTGATTGAGTGCTTTATCCATTCTTGAATGTGGTGCAATTTAGAATACTTGCAAAGAAAACAGTGACGTGATTACCTGTCGTAAGTGACGCTATTGGCTAACTTGAGTAATCGACAGCGCTCGGGAAGGTCCAAATCGTCTGAACTGGATTCTGAAGGGTCCACTGCAATGATTATGCGGGTATCTGACACCTATTTTGGAGTGCGCAAGTCAGTGATCGCCTAGTTGAAACTACACAAGGTCATACTTTGTATACAACACCTTCTGCAGCACGGGAGCTCTCAGCACCAACAGATGCAGCTTTCTTACCTTTCGCAGATTTTTTCGCGGCGACATTCGAGGATATGTTCTCTTCGATGCAAGCGAGGTCTCCCGGTCTTCTGAGGGCTAAACCACAACACCTACGCGTATGCGAACAATGGCCTACCTGAAGTTATGGGGAGGAAATATCTGTGAACTGTGAAACGCTGTAGGACGCTCTAGTTCGACTAATCTGCGCTTCTTCGTAAGACTTGGATCAGAGAACGGAAAAGGCGGGAAGAACATACGTTTTCCCGCCTAGTCCTACGTTGATTCCAACCACCCCGAGACTCCCCAGTGCGAGACCTTTCTGCTCCAGAAGCTTTGGGCCGCAGTTTGTGAGGAGCAGGGCGCTTCGCTCGATCTCTGCGTTGCGTTCCTTTGTGAGCAGTTCACGATGGCGGTTGATGAAGACTTTGAGGTCTGCTTCTGATGCCATATCGTCGACTGGAAGGCCTGTGGTAGATTTGGACGTCGTGGCAGAAGGTCGATTATTGTGACAAACAAGATAGAATTATGTTTGCGAGCAACTTGGACTCGCGACACCTTTTTGAAATTCAGCTTTCACCAGAATCACCACTCCGAACATTAAGTAACGCAAATCCGGATCGCTGGTCACTGGTCACCATGTAGCTTTTAAGCTTCAAGATTTAAGGCTATCCTGGTACCGAACCAGAGTTGACGCTATAGTATAATCCAGAAGGCAGATGCCAGACGGTGTGGAATAAAAGTTTTATGTAATCTGTAACAGACCGACTCGGACTTACTACAAAGAAAGGTCTTCGATGAGGGACCCCGACGCCTTATAATTATGCATAGTATATCATCATCATCATCATCATCATGATGGACCCTCGCAACTTGTTGAGCTACCTCAGCTGCTTCCCAAGCTTACATTCTTCTGAGGTCGGATATTTATGATCAAGCGCTGTGCCACAGCCTGCATATAAAGTTATTCAGAAAGACTGACTATGCTATTAGATGAGCCCCATCCCGCCCTTGCCTCCAACATCGTGCCGCACTAGCTTCATTATCTGAATTCGCGAGGGAGCAGCCGGTATCTTGGTCGTACGGCTTTATTCGCGAAGACATAAAAACTTCAAGTTGAAGATTTTGCAACGAGTTCAGTGGCAATGAGCGGGTAAGTGACAGTACTGGAGGAACATTTTAAAAAAATCAGCCCGGTGAATTCTGTAACGCTCGTTCTAAAGTCTGTATCAACTTGCGTTTACCGACACCGCGATGCTAACCACTCTATTGGAGTTAGCAAAAAATGAATACCCTGACGAGGCTTTGACGAGAAATTTGGTGAGACAATTTTCTTTGTGCGTGAAATAATGTTTGATATCAGCCTGCAGATCGCATATGGAGAAGGAGGGGACTGCGCGTTCTGCAGGCTCATAGGGGTCATCATGCAGGCTGGTGACCCTTTTGTCATCAACTGGAAAATCGTAAAGGCAGAAAAATTACGCGAGATTGAAATCAGATAGGGTGGAATGTAGCACGCTGCGCTGATTGCAGGAGTGGACTACGCAATTTTCCTTACCGCCAGAACATCGAACAATCGTCATGCCGATGCGAATGATCGCGCGGAGAGCGAAAAGTAAGTACCTCGATATTCTGACTCAACATCGGGTTTCCCTGAAGGGCTAGGGAAGGTTGGACATCTGGAATATTGTTTCTGCGATATCATCCGATCATGACTGGACTGCAGCCTGTGGGAACCTCATGGAATTTTACAATGTCTTATTGCTATTGTACCAAGTTGGACTATTCTGGGAGTCTGCTGCCAGCTGGACGCGCGGCTTTTTTTTCTGTCGCAGATGTGTCTGTTCAGCTCCGTCCCTACTTATAGATCGGAGAATGTTGTTTATAGAGGCTGATTGTTTCTCCACCGAGTTATGGTCTATGGTGTGAAAGGCCACAAGGGCTTCCCCATGTCTGGCAGTAGGTGCGTCATGCTATTACTTGTTAGGACATCTTTGATGTTCGATATACAGTATCCTAACTTGGAACCGCCTTGCCCGTTGTCATATGGTAACGTTTGCGCCTCGAATATAAGAACGGAACCTTTTTTCCGTACTGACTGAACCAGACCAGAACCACGCTATCGAATCCCTCCCCCGTCTGAAGGCACCCCATAATGCGAGATCTACCTATCGAACTTATCAGCACCGTCTTTCAGAACGTTTCCGCGACAACCGATCTTCTCCATTTACGCAGCTTGAACCGGTCATTTATGAAGCTGGTCACTCCCCACGTGTTCAGCAAGCTCCACATCAAAAACAGTATACAGAGTGCGCAAAACTGCCACTTGATCATTGGTACCGCAAGCCTTGCCACCCACATTCGAGAAGTCGTCTACGATTCTCGTGACAATGAACATTTCCAGCTTCCACCCGACAACACGGGCAAGTCGGTTTCCCTTTGCCCACATTCTACAGATTCTAATCAGGGTAGTGCATGTAGATTCTAGCGATGCGCTAGAAATCAGTGAGCTTGAAGAAGCACTGACCACGGCATTTTGCGGAATAACCGCACTTCCGAGCATTGAACGCGTCGTGCTCAACTTTTGGCCATCATTTCTCTGCCAGTCAGGGAGAGAAGTTTGCGAGAGCCCATTCTGGTTCATAAATCGGCAGCTCATCCTAATTCACGCCATTCATCACGGCATGAAGACATCTCGGATGACCACATTGTCGCTCAACAACGTCATCCTGCCTTCCACATGCTACGACTTCGTGACATCCCTTACAAATTCACCCCTGACACATCTCTCAGTGTCCGTTGTGTCCAATGCCGAACTCAGTGCCTGGTCAGCTTCAAAGAACGTCAACGGATCACTTGGAGCACTCCTACCTCCCTCTAACCCAACACTGAAATCACTTGTGCTACGCAGCCCTCAGGGCGCTTACCACAGCCTCACGACCCGACTTTCTTCATTCCACTATCCGTCCCTTGAATCGCTCGTGCTCGAAAATATCGTTTTCGATCACATGCCTTCCGCCAATGGCATGGAAGAGTTTGTCCTTCGCCACAAGAATACCCTGCGTCGACTTGAGCTGCAATCATGCGCATGCTATATACCTGACTCATCAACTGATGCCAGGCGGTGGTCGACCATCTGGCACCGATGGGCTGCTGAGCTCACCAGCTTGACAGAGCTCGTCGTTAACAGCGACGGTCATAGATATGTCCTCCTCGATGCCGACCGGGGTTATATGCCTCATGGACCGGTTAGCACCATGGCGTTTGAAGATGATTCGTCAAGCTTGCAGATGTTCAAAGATAGCATAGCAGCTGATCAAGCTACAGTGGTATAATTTATTTCGACGTATTCTGTATATACGTTTTTCGAAGGAGCTCTGGACGGTGTGAAACGCGGCAGGACGCTCTGGTTCCCGCGATTCTTCGTGAGAACTGGGAATAGGGAAAGAAAGAAGTACCGCGCATCAAAAACATCACCATGAGTGCGAGCCTTTCAGCCACAGGGCAGCGGATCTTAACAGTTTCCGTTGTCTGTTGCGGTATACATATGGACTCGAATTCTCTTGCAAACAGTCAAGAATTTAGGATTTGACCAACCACGAGACTGTTTTTGGTCATTCGTTAAAGGGCAGTTCAAGCCGAACAGATTTACCCAGGTGTGACAGCTATGACACTAGGTACTTAATAGTTGTGGGCCACTCAAAGATACCCATGATCTTCATCGACCCTTGTTCAATACATTCATGTCTGACTGCTGCGATATCATCCTCGCCCTTGTGAACTGCTGTTGTGCGTGATCCGGATATTCATTCTGACTGTGACTCACTGCTGAACATTGCTGCAGGTGTCTTCAGTTTCTGCTGCAATGGTGAAGGATTCTGACCCGCCTTGTGCCAAATGGCTCACTCACGAGGATAATGCTGATAGACCCTGTTGCATGCTCCTGTTGTTGTAAGAAGAAACAGGACCAAGACCTAGAGATGGTATACCCAGAAGTTGTGCAAAACCAGCCTTGGAGAAAGGACCCTATGATTGCTAATGACATGAGCCGAGAGCACGCTACAGACCACGTACAAGAGCAGTGGGGAGGTCAAAATAATGCGGGGTAACATGACGCATAGACATATACAGAGCACCATATTTATTTCGTCTTTCAAGACACGCTGTTTATAAGTTCATAGGTTGAAAAGAGCAGTCGCGGTATCATTGACTAAACGGCAGAAACTCGAGTACGGCTAACGAAAGGAGAATACATACGTATCAGCGGACGCACGTAAAGGAAAAGACATTGACAACACACTTTAAATATACATCTTCACAGAGTCCTTCACACACCCCCTACGAGCTTAACTGCTGACCCCGTTCTTGGCAAGATATCTTGAGTTCACAGCAACAAAATGGTATGCGACCACGGTGATCATGGCGAGGGCACCAAGATAGTTCGCCAGGTTGTACAGGGTCTGATGGCTCATCATTTTGGAAGCAAAAGAGTGGGTGTGGCCTAGTCAGGAATGGTTCAGATATTGTCGACAACTTATGACGCCACGTACTTTGGCTTGTGAGCTTGGTAGTCGTAGTTGGTCAAAACACTTCAAAACACTGCAGCGCGTCAGAGGAACACGTGCACGTGGTGTTAGTTATCATTGTTTGTTCCTGCCGGAAAACATCGGGTCTAACATCCAACGCCGAATCATTCAGTCAAACGTCGGTCATAATCCAACACTTCGCCCGTCATGCGTCCCACTGCTGCACGTCTAGATGGAATGCCCGGACGTACGTTTTTTCTGCTTTTTTATATGGAACGCTTGTGCTAATTCGAGCTTACAGCTAAAACATTTGTGAGTTTGCCTGCAGCCAATCGCAAGTATCATACTGTTGTTCTTACCTCTCTGAATAGTGCCCTTGGTGGGGTGACACCAGCATACATAAACAGCGAGGAGTGGTTGTTTATAGTGCGTCGTCTAATCACATTGTCTTCAACAAGTCGCTAACTTCAGCTCGTGCTTTTTACTTGTCGCGTCGTTCCTCGTGTTTCTATCATGTTGTTTGTCTCTGCCTATTTCCGCATTGGCAGCCGTCTCGCCATTCAGGCAACGAGGCTCCAAAGCCATATTCAAAGGCTGGTTATTCAACGGCTACAGGCGTCTCGCTGCCCAAGTTCCCTACTGGATAGTCCCTTTTGCTATCGGTGTGCCAATCGTTGCATTCCTCTATAAGCCAGCTTATCATACTTAGGATACGGAACGTATACTTGGGCTAAACGCCGTGACGCTTGGCAGAACAGCAAGGCTGGACATCTTGCGCTGGGTGGCCATCATTGAGGTATCTTGTTAGATTCGCAGTTCCGAAATAGACTTGGTTTCCTTTCAAGGATGTTTTTTTGCCCACGTTCTCCAATAATTGCTCGGATGCTTGTGAAAACTGGAATATTCATTCCCGTCATGAGTTACCTGAACTCTAGCTCTGGGCTCCCACCCATAACTCAATGGTACCATACCCGTTAACAGTGGCCTAATATTGAAGTGAATGCATGCTTGATTATGCAAAGCCAACGTCATCCTAAGGTGTAAGCTGACTGGATGAATAAAGCTGACTGATCAGCGGTCATGATCACGACTAATTGCGCCAAGTGAACAGGGGTACAATGTGTATAAATATTGCGTAGTTAGCGTTGAGTTAGCGCAATATTCATTACTTCCTCTCTTCTCATAGCATCACCAGCTTGAAAGATGTCTTCAGTCCGCCCTCTGTTCGTGGTCGCTGGTATCGGCAATGGCACCGGTAAGTCATACTCGGTGGGTACAAATACATAGGGCTGACGTCTGCACAGGCACAGGAGCTGCAACCGCGTACATATATATGATGTCCTTCCTCACCAATGTGTACTGATAGTATGAACAAATTCACAGTCGTCTCTTCGCCAAATCCGGCTACAGAGTCGCTCTCATCTCCCGAGGACCAGAGCACCTCAATAAGCTTGCTGCAGAGCTGAACCAAGCAGGTGGAGAGGTGGTGTATCTCACTCCTATTTATATGTGCACATCCGTTAACCGCCTCGTTTGGATCAGGCTGCAACATTCCCCCTCAAAGACTACACCCCTGCATCCATCAAGTCCGCATTTGCTTCCCTCAAGTCCCACTGGCCCTCCTCCCCTCTCCGCGTCGCACTCTTCAATGCGGGCTACGGTATCTGGAAGCCATTCCTTGATATCACTGAAGACGAGGTCCGCGAGTCGATCGATACTAACATCGTGGCGGCCTTTGCCTTTGCACGCGCGGTCCTTCTCGAGTTCACAAAACTTGAACTGGAGACCGCGAGCGAGGGTGGAGCCGCTGGCGATGCTCGCAAAAGGGGAACCCTCATTTTCACGGGCGCAACGGCTGCTATCAGAGGCAACACCCTGACCTCCGCGTTTGCTGCGAGCAAGTTCGGTATTAGGGCTTTGTCCCAGAGCTTAGCCAAGGAGTTCGGCAAGCAGAATATACACGTGGGTGTTTTCTGCGCTTTATGGTTGTTTACGGACTGACATCTCAACTCTCAGGTCGCTCATGTGAGTCTCCATCTTCTGGTGCTGTGAATTTTTACGAACATTTTGGCACGCGCAGAGTATCATTGACGGCAGTGAGTGTGTCGTCAGCAGCTCCAAGGTATCGTCTAACGAGGAACAGATATTCTCACTGACCGCTCCAAATCTCATCGCAACGATGCCTCTTGGGAGGCCAACCAAGATGCTCGGCTTGATCCCGACGCTATCGCAAAGGTCGGAGCGTTCTTATGATGGTGCGCGTGTGAACTGATCACCCCCATCAGTCCTACTTGCACCTCGTCAAGCAAGATAGTTCAGCGTGGACTTGGGAAATCGACCGTAAGTGTCGTTGCTACTTGCCAAGTTACCCTGTTTTCATACTCTTCTGCACAGTGCGTCCTGCCCACGAAAAGTGGTGAGCAACTCGCCCAGCAAGTTTCGGTCTGGAGTGAAAGCAAAATCAGAAGTCATTGTATTTGTAAGTCTTGCAATGTAGTCATGTCATTTGTACATTCGCCACATTTTCGCGAATTCATCACACCCTATTGTTCTTTTGCTCCTCGAAGGCATATTTTACCTGCAGTAAAATGTATCGTAGCATTCAGAAGGCCAGAACAAGCCGCGAGATACCATCTTACCTGCTGCAAAAATTCAGCGTCCGTGATCACGCGCATGCCAACGAATGCAAGCGCCTTTGCGACATTGAGACAAGCATCGTGAGCGGCCTGCGAACGTGCCGAGTCGGTGAACGCCCGGGTGTGGTTACCGCCTCCTGGGACGGTTGGTATCGCTGGAACGTGATCTTGGAGTCAGATATTATCAGCGACAGAAGGGAAAATTGTACGAACAAAATCCGGGGTGTAGGCCAGGCATCACTGGTGGATAATGACTTTCAAAGTCTCCGTTAGAACACTACGAACAAGACGTACAATATGAAATATTCCCCTTCGCTGATATCAGTATACATGCTTTGAGATTTTATGCGAGCATACTCACAAAGTCAGTCGATGCACCGCCGATCCCATATTCGTAGTCGAATGACGCCGTACTTCTTCCTGACCACATCAGACAGCTCGTCGCCTACAAAAAAAATCTAGGAGGAATCACGGGTTGTCATAAAGAAGACATACCAAGGACTTTGTTCTGTACAAGCTCGTTCCCAGTAGACCCTCTGATGACCTTGACTTTCGTTCCGGTTGCAAGCGCTGCTGCTCTGCGTGGAGTTTGGGACCCAGAGTCTCGTGAATGAAGAATATCAACTCACTCGAAACAGGGAACAACACGCTTGAGCGTCTCTTCCGCTTCAACAGTCGTTGGTGCACGGATATAATAGCTGAAGCGCGTCATCGCCTGCAACAAGTCTCTGGAGCTAAAAGTCACACATACTACATCTTTGAGCTATCTGGGATAACTGACATACACGCTTTCAGAGGCATGTCCTGTGCTGCATGGCAGACATCACTCACTATTCGGTGCCCAATTCGAGCCCTCAAAAATTCCATGCACGCGGTGCGTAGGTTTAATCTGCTGGCGCAGCAAAGCGATGTTCGTATATGCCAGCACAGCTGCATCCAGCGCATTCTTTCCTTCCCAGGGGCTAAGTGCGGCATGCGCACTAAAAAGTACACGAGTCAGAGTTCAAGCCAGAGGATGGATGTCTGGAGACCGCACGTGTGGCCTGAGTATTCTACCTCCAGGCGTATGACTGCAAGACAGCTGCTCAAACTGATGGAGTGAAGGGGACCAGGGGCAGGGTGGCACCTATCACGAACGTAAGTAGGCGGATATAAGCATGCCTGGTAACGGACATGAGACACGCGTCCATATCTTTGTATGCTCCCCTCTCCCACAGCTTCACCTTTCCAAATCCGCCTTCCTCAGCTATTGAAGGTATGTGATCGGTTCATTGCAGTCAAGGGCACACCACATACCAGGTGTACCAAGCAAAACCACCTTCCCGTCGATGTCGAGCTGCTCCATCGCTGCTTTCGCCGCACAGGCGACAGCAACACCTGCGACGCCAATGAGATTGTGGCCACACGCATGTCCGATGCCCGGCAGCGCATCCATCTCTGAGTTCACTCCTAGAACGTGTCCGCCCTGCCCGTGGGTGTAGGTCGCGACCCACGCAGTCTCCAGGAGGTAGTGCCTCGTGACTTCGAATCCATGCTTCTCTAGGAAAGACGTGTACGCATCGTGCGCGTATCTGAGCGACCAGTAGTTGCATTATTGGCCAATTCGGAGTCAAGATGTGGACGCACCTTTCTTCATATTTGATCTCTGGATGATCTGTCAATGCGCATATAAATCAGTATTTCATGACAGCAGCAACTTTCTGAGTGTTCTTCGTGGGCAAAATATATGACCTTACCGTGAATATCGAGGTTCAGTTCTCGTAGATCGCTGCTGAGACGATCGATGGCAGTATCTACTACCGCAAGGATATCCGGTCGATAAATTTCCCCTTCTTCCAGTGTCGGCTTGACCTTATAGTCATCTTCTGGCCGCCAAAGAACGTCAGTCTGAGCTACTGTCATGTCAGGAACAATGAGTTGAAATGAAGATCAAATCTAAACCCACAATGACTCTCAGAGTCTCAGGGCATTAGTCGCATCTACTAACAAGGTTCCTTTTCCACGGCTTGGATCTTGTGGTTTAGACGTCCTTCTACATTACTTCCGATCTCTGCTCGGAGTCACGGGACTCGGTTGCTCGGTTGTTGACATGTCACGTGGCATTGAACTCAAGTTGTCTTGCTTAGATCTTCTTAAAGCAATAAAGCAATCGTAAATAATGTCACTTTTTATGTTACATGTCTCTGTTCCAAATCTGTTCATAGTCCTTTGTTTCCTCGAGCCCGGTTCCTAATAAGGTCTAGAGGGTCTATTCCATGGGCATTATCTACGGAAACACATAACGAGCCTTACGAACAACATCAAAAAGAAATCAATCTAGAATCTAGATCGACCTCAAAATCCACCAATTTACACCTCCCTACTCCTCTCTATATCTTTCAAGGAAATATTACTCCTCTCGCACATTCCACGGAAAAGTCCGCCTTCTAATCTGAAAAGATTAGATGGAGTGTCGAATTCCTGAGAGTGTGAGGGTTAACCGGTGAAAGACGCTCAAAGCAACCTACTGCAACGAGGCCAGCGTCGAGGACCAGAATTCGGTCGTATGAAATGATAGTTCGAAGTCGGTCTAAAGTATCGTCACATTACAGCGTTGCGCCGAGAGCGGAAAGGGTAGGACGCACGAGCGATACAAAGTAGCGTATGGGCCTTGAATTCCATTTGGATAGTGTGCTGTATCTTGTTATCAGTCTCGAGATCAACAGAGGCTCTGAAAATAATTCAACATCAAGCATCCAGGAGAAGATCGCATGACTAACGTGGCCTCATCAAGCACAACGACTTTGCAGTCTTTCACCAGCGCACGAGCTAGACTGAGCAGTGATCTCTCCCCAACACTGAGGTTCGCTCCCTCGCTCTCGATAGTGTTGTCAAGGTTATGGCGACTGGTAGAAGTTCGCACGCGCCTGGTGCCATCGCTGGAAGATGCATGTTTCGAAGTGGTACTAGAATCAACAAGACAAGATCGATGCAGCGCATCCCATAGCTCCGCGTCACCGTGCTGGGAGAATGGATCCAGGTTGGACCGCACGGTCCCTGGTGATCTTTGAGCCCTTCAAACAAGAGCATATAAATTAATGAGCCTAACCACTAAAAAGAAGAGGCTATCGAGTTCGTGGATCAGTCCTGTGTTAGTTGATACAAGGAACTTTACAAACATCTTGCGGGATGATAGATATCTTGGAGCGGAGGTCTTTTAGACCGATTGTAGATATATCGACACTGGAAAAGGTGAAAACCAACAGTCGTCACGAGCGATGACTAACATACCCATCGATAGTGATCGAACCACCAGACAACTCGACAATTCGGAACAGCGCAAGCATCAACGAAGATTTTCCGGCACCAGTCCTGAGGGGATGGCCGCATCAGCACACATATGTGAATCCAATAACTCAGCCAACCTTCCAACCACACCTATCTTTTCGCCTCCCCTGACCTTGACCGAGACACCTCTCAATACGTTGGGAAGACCTAGTCGATATGCCATCTTAACGTCATTAAATTCGACAGCGCCATATTCAGGCCACCGCGCTGGGGGTTTGCGTTCTTCGATCTCATGCGGCGCCTCTTGAGGGATTGCGTCTCCTTCGACGTATTGTACCACTGTGAAGAGCGAGCGTGAGCGGAGGTATCGTAAAACTTGTGGCTCACATCGTTCCACTGAATTCATGCAATTCTGAAGCAAATGACAATTAGATAGCCACTGATATAAGACGAGGAAAGCCCTACCTCGACGTCCGCCGTCTGTCTGGTCACCTGACGACACATTTGTGACAGCATGGCTTTGATAAGACAAGGTTAACCTGCATATTGTGGTAACAATATCAGGAGACCCACTGGTATATGTGAGTACCAACCCTATCTGGGCGGCGTCAATCCCGGAGACGTCGATAACTGCTAGGAGAGCAACCTATCGAGATCGCAGCATTAGGTGAACCTCAGGTCTTTGTCTTTAAATAGACACTTACAACTAAGACTAACATGCCTCCCATGAAGTCCAACCTTATCGCAAGCCATCTGAGGGAAGGTGATGAGCCAACGACGGCCACGATATAGGTATAAGATCGCTTGCCTCTGGTTGGTAACAACGATGTATAGAGCTCTATCCTCCAGATCGATGTAGTATCTATTGGCGGCAATGAACCGCTTCATTTCTCCGTAGCTTCGGATGGTAGGAAGTCCTGTCAAAGTCTCAGAAAAGTGTGCATACAGAAGAGAGCGAAGCATAGAATCTGGTGGTCGATATTAGAGGCTTTCTAGGTCAGAAACACGACAACGAACCCAGGCGCTTGACCTCGCGAGCACTAGCTCGATGAAAGGCAGCGAAGTAGCTGTAACCGATCAAGATGAAAAAAACAGCAATAACTAGACAATCGTGAGTCATATCCTCACAAATGATATCCATATACTGACTAAAGTAGGGTTCAAGGAAAGCAATGATGATAATAGAGCCAATGTAGTTGGTCAGCGTAAGGACAACTGGATCTCCATGGTTAGTCTCCGCAAGCGAAGCGTGCGGGTAACGTACGCAATCTCATTGCAACTGGACCAGTATAAGTAACATATCACCGCGGTGAGAGAAGACTCACATGCTAATTGATTGTCTACACCTGCGCAAAAGGTTTCAGTAAAGCAAGACATAGCATAAATTAGCGGGATCCTGACTGTCGATATCTTTGCCAAAAATGCTCAGAATGCGGCCCATAGGCTATAAGAGCCTAATAAACATATGTTTTGGTACTTTCACAACTACTCACTGTAGTATCAAAAAAGGACATGCGAGCATAAAAGACGTTGCGCACGGACTTGTGGTGCAGGTTTTGGGACACATGAAAGGCCATGAAGTCCATTCCAGCACAGCTACAACAAGTTCTGTTGAGTGAACACACCACCATCTGTGATAGGAACATACATCAAGAATGCGAAGATCGCTTGAGAGACCCCGAGACAACCATATAGCGTCTGATAGAACGAAATTGGTCGGTCTAATTTGCTACGCCAAGGATTTCAGAAAGGAAACAAGAAGTTAGTAGAACGAACTGACTTGCCCTCCCACCAAACTAGCGTGTATGCGTTCAAGATCTGGCTTCCCTGCATCGCGAGCATGAAGAAAACAACCAGAGGTCCTGTTATCGAACCGCGTGCCGCAACCAAGTAGGTCCAGTACACTGCGAAAATGACTCAAGCTAGGGAATCCACGACAGATGACTTGAACGCACCTCCCCAAGACACAGAACCAGTCGAACGCTTCTCTTTGACGATCAAGCGACCTTCAAGTATACCACTTCCAGTGGCCTTTTCTCTGGCTTTTTTTGACTTCAACTTGACATCTTCGATGGTAACAACTGTCTGCGAAGTGATTTCTTCTGCCTGGTCTTCATCTTTCCCCTCGGACGCGTGACCGCCGAATTCCAGGTCCAAACGCGCAAAGTCCCCACCGCGGGAGATCAATTCATCGTAGGTTCCGCTCTCTGTGATGACGCCGTTGTTTAGCGTATAGATGCGGTCTACTTGAGACAGGAAGTGGATCGCGTGCGTGACCAGAATGACGGTGACACCGCGATTGCGCAGGGCTCCCACAATGGCATCTTGGAATAAGGACTTCCCGACGTGAGCATCCACTGAAGGTATTTTCCAGTATGATACCAGAGAACCAAATGCCCAGCTCACCTGCCGAGAGCGGGTCATCAAATATGACAATGTTAGGATCAAAGTACAGGACACGAGCAATGTTAACCTAGGTGGAAGATAAAAATTGTGTCTTGAGCGGAGACGCGTCACAAACTTACTCTTTGTTTTTGGCCACCACTAAGATTGATACCTTTTTCTCCGATCTAAGATAGAGCTTAAGTCGTGTCATCAAGTTGCATTCAGTCACCTTGCCTCAGTCAAATCCCCATCAGGGAGCAGTTGAAGATCTGGAAGTAGACAAGCGGTCTCAAGAACACGCCAATATCTATCTTCCTCGAATGGCCGGCCAAAAATGATGTTATCACGCTGAAGTCAAACATCATTCTTATTGACTTTTTTGAAAGTAATGCCATGCTCACCAAGGTTGCATTCTGGATCCACGCAGTCTGCGGGCAATAACCAACGCGACCGCCAAACGAGACATTCCCGGAGACTTTCCTCATCTCCCCTATCAATCCTTGTAACAAGCTGGACTACCCGTGTGTCAATATTAGCATCAACATTCATTCGACAAGGTCACCTTGCCACTTCCGACACGCCCGACTACGGCGACTAGCTGACCTCGTGGAATTGTCATGGTTACATTCTTGACCCTAAAGAGCGGTACATCTCTTCCAGGAGCGGGTTTCTCTGTTGCCTTGTCCTCCTGCGCACTCTTATCCTTGCTCTTCAGTGGACCGCTGCCGCTGCGTGCGCCCTTCTTCGAGCTGAAATTTTCACTAGAGTCTTTCTCGAAGGACTCCCACTCGAACGTCGCGTCCTTCACCAGAAGCGCGGGTTCTTGATCCTCGTCGATCACGAGTGCATCTCCGGAATTAAGCTCTGCGCGAAATACGTGCGTGAGCCGCTGGATCGCGCTGGATGCATCGGGGATGGCTGATAGAGCGCGGGGCATCCACATCATTGGTTGCCGGAGAAGCTATTTACTTATCGGTTAGGCACATGTTTATCTATCGTAAAGGATCTCACCTGGAACAGATTCAGCGAGGTGAATATGACGGCAACATTGAAGTTGTGCGCTGTAAGGGTGTACGTGACGAAAGCTAGTGTAGCAGCGAGAACTGGGAGCGAAGTAGCGAGCGCCAAGCTAGGATAGATCGAATCAATGATGCGTCACCAGGCCACACACGTCTAGACATACTTCGCCGAACTTGAGTGAAGAATCCGTCGGATACCATGCAGTTCCTTCTTTCGAAGCTCGAAGATCCCTAAGCAGCGTGCGTGAGCGTGATGTTAATGGTTTCTGGTATCATGACTTACTCTGAAGGAAGGGAACCTCGTACGAGAAGTACTTCACCACGCGCATGGCCCCTGTGCACCCCTTCAGCATTCCCGGACATCCTAGCTGCTCCAAAGCTACGTACCGAGTACCTCTAGTAGGACTTTGGCTCGTTGATCAGTCCACTTCATTGACCCCAAGCGAACACGATGCTGCAGTGTCATTAACCGCTCTTGAATTGGTATGATGAGGACGAATAGCGAAAAACCGGCGAGTGCAGACGGTCCGAGCTAATTTTCAAGTCTCATTAGAACCAAATTAATTTATCGTGGCGTGCAACAAACCTCGTTCAGAAGAATGATTAGACAAACTGTGACCTGGATAGGCACAGTCCAGCCTGGGATAGTAAGCTATCTCGAGATTTCCTGCAAGTCAAAGGAGTGGCATATACTCGCCTGCATGCTAGTGGCGAGAGGTTCAAGCTGCGGTTAGTTGAAGGCGGCGTATGTTTAAGTTTGCTACTCACAAACCACTGAGCGCACGCATCAATCCTGCTCACGTCCGTGGAAATATGGTTAATAAGTGCGGCGTTGTTGAGTTTGACACGCGCTTTGCCTGTGAGGTTCACTCCACGCTCGTAGATACATGCTATCAGTGCGGCTCTAGCCAGTACGCCTGTTGTCATTGACCGCCAAAAGAACTTGAAATGCATAAACTTAGACGGGTTTAATTCCGATCCATAAAAGTTTTACAAACCTGGTGAGTGCATATACTCGCTGTCACAGCAAGCGCGAAGAGCCCAAGAGCCATGGCGATACCGCGGCCGACATTGGGGACAGGTTCTCCGGCAATAATTGCGGCGGAACGCTCCTCCGCAAAGACAATGATTTGCTGGAAGAAGACATCAGAGCCTACCACAACCAAAGACGGCTCGCTATTTACCCGAAGGACAATCGGGCTCATGAGTTGTGCTGTATCACCAAAGACCTGAGTGAGGTGTTGAATGTATCATGACAGTGACAAATGAATACCCATGCCTTGAATATACCTCCGATCCAGAACATACTACCAAAGACATCATTCAAAGCCCATGTAAGGCTGGCCTCTTTCCGTCCTTCGGATTCTCGCCAATGTTTCTGAAACGCAACACACCGCTCAGACCAAGTCGCGCCTTGATTCTGTTCTTGCCTGAAAATCGCGCGTAACGCCCAGCCGGTACGTTTCACGAAGGACGGCTTGAGTTCTTCACTCTCAAGACGTGCATTCCAGTCGACTGCTGCCTTAACACGTCGCTGCCATGCAGCCTCCAGTTTGGCGGCAAGGACAGCTGACTCTCGGGGTGCGCCCAATTTGTAGAGATCAGACGCTTGCAATGTGCGCTGATATCCAAGGACCTGAATATATGTATTGGAACAGAGTATCTTGGGATCGAGGTTCAATAACTGACCATTATACCTGTTATCCAGGCGTAAGTGAGTTGAGAGAAAATGGAAGCATTGGCCAAGGGCGTCAGCTGCAGAACACAACGTTATCGTCCTTTACAAGATTAGCGAAGGGTGGTTCACGCACCGCTGCATCCTCCAGAGATGGGGGGGCTGGAATTGGTGGGTCCTTAGGTAACCTACCCGCGGCTCGATGAAGTGCAAATATTGCTGGCAAACCTTCACTTCACTTACCACAACTGCCACCATTTTTGACGAAAGTTTGTATACTCATCGCCAGTATCGAGTTGAAGATTCAAAGGTTGGTAATTGTCTGCGTTAGCTTCCCTGAGCTCTTGCTCGCCTGTGACCGTTTCGCCCTGCGTAGCCCGCTGGGACATCATATGGAAGGAGGCGGTGACAGCCCTGAGCCAGATGAATGGCAGCTAGCTGGAAGAGACCATTAGCCGCAGGTGAAATTATATACCTCCACCCCAGGCGAGTCGTTTCATCAAAGAATCTTCATTACGTTTGCACCAGACTCCAACCCTGATTCGCCTGGGAGTGAAGTCCTCTTATCCCCTCAATAGAGCAGCCACAATGCAAACGACTTATCTCGAGAAATTTACGCCTCCGAGTCGGTCTGCAAGTTCGCACTGGCCGATCTCACGCACACATTTTGTGCAGTTCTCCGCTAGTTCTCCCGGTCTGTGAAATTCTGAGGTAAAATTCTGAGGTACTCCGAGGCTGCCGCGTGGCAAACGATTCCTAAACTGCTTACTACATTGGGCCTTCCGCTAATCGGATGACTATAGGCACCAAGTCAGTTGTGGTGCCATGGATCATCGTCATCCGTTCTAACATACGCAAATTGTAGCTGATGATCTTACAATCAAAAAGGTTGACAAGTCAGTGGCTACACTCTTAGTTTCTTATCTTCCTCAAATGTGTCCTTAACCTGCGAAACACAGTCAAAAGAAAATTGCCTGAACGAAACGTAACACCTACTTTCTGGAGGAAGGCCTCTTCAGTCAGCACTCGCATGCCTACGGCAGCGAGCACCTTCGATACCACCAAACAGGCGTCATGGGATACTTCGGAACGTGCAGCTCCCGTAAATCCTAGGGTATGGTTCCCACCATCTGGAATGGTCGGGATGGCTTGAGCAAACGCCGTTAGTAGTATCGTGCTCGTCCGTTCTGAACCTGTGCCACTTACAAAAACCAGGATGAAGACCTAGGCATCACTGACGAACAAGAACTTCATGAGCAAAGGTTGCCTACCCCGAGTCATGGAAAGACGCACAGTATGAAATGTTCCCCTTTGGATCTGACACGTCAACTCTCTCGCACTTTCTGGATGTGCGAAACACTCACGAAATCAGTAGAAGCACTCTTGATGCCCCATTCATAATCAATAGCACCGTAGCGCTTCAGGACAACATCAGCAAGCTCATCGCCTGGTACAACATTCAGTACCAAGCCACTGTATCCTGTGATTTCATACCAAGTGCTTTGTTTTGCCTGATTTCGTTGCCTACCGATCCAACCGTAACTTGAACTTTGCATCCAGATGCGAGTGCAGCCGCTCTGGGCGAATATATAATATTGCTTAGTCATTCGAACAAGCCGATAGTGGAAGACTGACTCGAAGCAGGAAATGACGCGCTTCCTGGTGTCTTCCATCTCTGAGGTTGTGGGAGCACGGACCAACCACCTGTACTTGTGTATAGAGCGCTCGAAGTGGGTAGTTCCTCAGGTCGACTTACTGCATTATAGCATGATCCGGTATGACTGGTTATTTAAGAATTGTCTTCAAGTGTTTTGACGGAAAGGGAGGAAGTCTTACTGTTCGGAGCCCAATCCTTTCCTTCAAAGATGCCGTGCACGCGATGGGTAGGTTTAATTTGTTGACGAAGAAGGGAAACGTTGTTATATGCAAGGACAGCCGCATCGAGTGCATTTTGTCCCTCCCAGGGGCTTAAACCAGCGTGAGCACTGTAAACGGGAAGAATTAAGTACTACAACTCGGTAAAGAGTACGAAAGTCGCTCACGTATGACCTTGATACTCCACAGTAATGCGAGAGATAGCCAAGCAACCACTCAAACTAATGGAGTGGCGGGGGCCAGGTGCAGGATGGCACCTTCGAAGCAGGTTGAGTCCTGGTCATCTGATATAGACCACCGATAGAGGAACTGACATGAGGCACACATCCATCTCATCATAAGCACCCTTTTCATACAGCATAACCTTGCCAAACCCGCCCTCCTCAGCTGCCTCATGTTATCCCGAAGCCGACCATCACAAATGCAGACACCGACGCACCAGGTGTACCTAGCAGAATCACCTTTCCATCGATATTCAGGTTCTCCATTGCGGCTTTGGCTGCGAGAGCTACCGCTACTCCGGACATCCCAATGAGATTGTGTCCACAAGCGTGTCCGATCCCAGGGAGTGCATCCATCTCAGAGTTGATACCCAAAACGCGCCCTCCTTGTCCATGGGATGTAGGTGGCAACCCAGGCAGTCTCAAGATGATAATTCTTAGTTACTATGAAACCATGTTTTTCCATAAACGCAGTGTATGTGTCGTGGGCATATCTGTGACGATCCTCTAAGCATAGCTATAGCGTACGGCGAGATCTGAATCTGACGTACTTTTCTTCGAACTTTAGCTCTGGATGGTCTTTCGAAAACGTGTGAGCATAGGATGCGTTGATACAAAAGGAAGCACCGCTTCAAGGGTTGACTATTACCATGAATATCGAGACTCAAAGTCCTCAGTTCCCCACTCAGTCCATCGAGCGACGTCTCGATCACATCGAGTATATCTGACCTGTATACCTGGCCCTCCTGAAGTGGGGGTCTGATATTTGGATCATCTTCTGGTCGCCAAACTGTGTCAGACATGGTGAGAGTAGAGAGTACTTCAAGTAACTTGTAGACACATGCTGATCTGATTCATCATGTGATGGAATGGCCCGCGCTTGATTGATGAGTGGTTCAAACGTTCAAACTTTCGAATTAGGAGTCTAATGTTACAAGTTGCAAATAACTACGCGCCAATCGACCCCACTCGCGCCTCGACGCTAGCTCAGGAACTTCATCAGTGGGGTTTAGTAATCCAATAGCGATTACAAGCAAAGGTATATACGTTATACAGATAGCAGATGAGCACAACAGATGCACAAAAGAGAAATATTAAGATAGCACAAGCCAGCCGACACGACGAAAACCTCTACTACTATGATGCTGGCGCCTGCGTCAGACGAGCGTTCACCCGTAATCGATGTTGCCGGTTTCTAAGATGAACTTCATAGTTCTGCAGCGTATCTCCAGGCCCAGAGTTATATAGCTGCAAACCGAATTTAAGTCTGCGTTGGTACGAGTCTAGCAGTGCCCACGAACCTTGCCAGGGCAATCCAAGCATTTCATCCTCCACTCTAGTATAGCACGTGGAACCGGTCTACGCAGGATTGCCTCGAACTTATCATCTGGGTATTGTTCCTGAAGCGAACGAATTGCTGTCGTTAGCCAGGGCGGAGCGGCCTGTTCACTTAACATTCAGCATCAATAAAATCCTGGTCTCAGAGGGAAAACGCTCACGTATGAGCCGTTTGAAATTGGAGCAGCAGTACTACTTTCCATGGGTGAAGTGGGATGCGCATTCCCATTTCCTGCTGGACGAGGTGACCCAGGTGACGATACAAGTCCTCCATGGCTGGCACCGTTGACTTTTGTGATGCGTTGGGCAAGGGGAGCTTCTGTATCACTAGAGGCAGTAGATACTGGCGACATGGCTCTGTCGTCTTCGGAAGGTAGTACAGAGTTCAGCAGTCGAGTAGAGATATCGACGGAGAGGTCTGATTTCTGTCGACTGGGCGTATCTTGGCCATCAGCAGCCACTTGAGAATTGGGCGCTCGTCCTTTTCGTTTTGTCCCGATTTTAACATGTTCCGTTTCGTGTCTTAGGCCCAAATGGTAATCGGGATCCTGATTATATGTCACAGGGCGGGGTCTGCGGTGTCGATGCCAAAATTTACCTGAATGACGGTGAGGAGTCAGACAGAAGGGTACGGTTATCTGAAAAATCAACGTACCACATGTGCCACATTGTGATTTGTCCCCCAACGGACCCTTCCTTCGTCCGATAGCAACGCTCTCCGGACACCCACAGTTCGAGCAGTGCCACACCCCATTAATCACGTTAGCATGCTGGCCGTCGACAAACTCTTTTTCCTTGGCCTCCCTTTCGAGCTCCTTGGCCTTCTTTGCAACGGCTCGCGAATCGGGGGGAGGATTACTAACTGAGGAGGCAGGTGCATCAGTGTCAAGAAACGATGAAGGCAGCATCGACGCCGATTCAACCGCTGTCGAGGGGGTGGGAGCAGTGACCTGAGCACGAGGGCGAAGCACAGAAGAAGGATACGAAGGGGCCTTGAACAACCCTTTAGGTTTCTTCTCTTTTCCAGCGGCGACAGTAGAGATGTTCTGCTGGGGAGGCAACTGCAGCGGCATGACGCTCGTGCCATTTTCTGAGGCCACCATGTTGGCAATCGTGAGAGAAGCAGCGGCTGCCGCAGCACGTCTTGACGTTGGCGCGTTCGCGGCTGCCAATGCAAGGGTTGCAGCATCCAGCTCTGGGAAGCCGATGGCAGGTGTGCGGTATGTGCGATTAGGCTCCCGATCAGGCAAAGCGATGCCCCGACGACCCCGTGTATTCCGCTTCCTACGCTTGGTGAGCTCTTTCTCCCTCTCTTTCTCACTACGTTCAATCTCGCCGTCACTGAGATAGTTGAGCAGCGGAGTGAACAACTGTACTTGATCCATCGCTCTGGCACCGGCTGTAAGACCGGGCAGGAAGGACATGCGCAAGTCATCGTCTTGGACATGCGATCCATCTGAGGGGTGCCCAACGAGGAACAACGACTTTTGATAAATTTGAACTTGTTCTCGTATGCAATACGCAATGGCCGTTCTAGGCGAGGGATTAGTGACAAAGTCGTGGACACGCAACCCTACGCACTTGAATTCCCCACCGAGACCCAACTCTTTCGCATACACCTCTGCGAACTGTTCAGGTGAGGCATCCACATTCTCAAGATCCCATTCAAATTGATCATCCAATTTCATGGATCCGACGATGACGTCGAGCTAAGATCAAAAGATCAGCCCAGATCCACGAAAAAAAACCGGGTCCATTAAAAACCTTGATCAAGATACGTAAATCCTCATGCACCGTCTTCTCATCGACCTCGATCTCATCCGGGTTGCGTGGCCTCTCCTTGTCAGTCTCGAATGCGTCACTTTCTTCAGCCTTGACCGATGCCACCTTGCGCCGTTTACGACGATTCTTCGAGGATATGCTGCGAGAGAATGCGCTTTCCTGCCGTGCTCGCTTGCGCCACGATTCCCACCATTTCACATCCTCATCGTCAAGATTGCCCCGGTCCACCATGATCGAGTCATCCTCTCCGACAAGCTTGCGAGCACAATCCTTGATGACGTCTTCAGCGTCCGTCTCCCGCATGTCCGCGTCGGTTCCGTCTTCTTCATCCGCTTTATAGCCATCCGTCAACGCCATGTCCCTCGTTGCGGTTGGCGGTTTCCAGTCGCCATCCATGCTGGCAATGTGAGCCTTGAAGTCACTCAACTGCTCCTGAATCGCTCTCGTGATGACACCATAATAACTCTGGGGCAGCGCATAATCCTCAATGAGCGTCTGCGCAAAGTGTTCCGGGGTGATAACGGGATCTAAACAACAGCGTCACAACAACGAATTATAATCACTCAGAGCAAGAGGCCTACCATTTAGGTTCCAAACAAACGTCTCGCGCATCTTATGATGCTCCACATCAAACTCGAGTCTGATCGGCACGAGTTGCTCAGGGCGATTGGCCAACTCAGGAGGAAGTTTCCTTGGTCTATTGAACCCGCAGGAATCAATCAATCTCCCTCAAAAAAAAGAAGACATAACAAGAACTCACATCCGAATGCCTTCTCTCCTCACGCCCTTCTTCCTCGAATTCGTGTTCGAGCTCCGGTCCGCATTGGGCGCTCTTGGATACTTCACATCGAACCGTTCGGGCCTTCGATTCATGGCCATGCTCGGAACATGGTCACGCTCCCACCAGGCGCTTCGCGACGCAGGGCCGAGCGTACGCAATTCCTGGGCCATACGCGCTTGTTTAGTACGGTACTGCGCCTCATGTACTGCATCACGTTTCATGATCTCCTTCAACGTGGAGATCTCCGAAGGGGTCAGTAACTTCACCGGATCTTCGACTTTGCCCTGCGAGGAAGTACCAGCATCTTCAGAATCGGTGGCGCCTTCGGCAGGAACCTTCTCGTCTTCACCATCGGTGGTTGCTTCGGGTTTCGAGGGTAGGGTGTAAGGAATGTAAGTAATCTTGGTCACCGCGGGATTGAGCGCTGCAAGATGAGGGGGGAGGTTCGGGACCGCAGGTGCGCCTTGATGTGATGCTGCGGCGTTTGGGGTGCCGGGAAGCGTGGGCGCGGGGGGCATCTCGCCAGCTTTGCGGACAGGAGGCATTGGGGAGCGGTGGCCTCGAGGTATTTGGCAAGCAGGAGATCGCTGATGTGGGTTGACTGGCGGTTGAGAGGGCTGCCGGGGTATACTACCCATACCACCATCCATATTTCCCAATCCCTGGACACCGGAGTTATCAAGACCCTGACCCATAAACGGTGCGGCAGACGCCGGGGGCATACTCTGGGGTACGACAAAGGCGATACGAAACACATTAACGGGGTAAACAACGTTGCCAAATCAGTTACGATACGCGAAGAACGGAGGTCAACTCCTCACCTGTTCACGCCCATGGATCGAAGCCGAGCGCTCTCTTTGCATGGTCTGGTCTCTCTCTGGCCGCTGCATGGATTGAGGAATCACAGGGGGCCCCATAAGACCTCCTCCTGCCCCGCCTAGCATGCTACCGCCAGCCCCCAAACCGCCCACAGTGTTGGCATTCATGTTCACTGAGCCAAGATTGCCCATGCTAGGTACATTCCCCATGCCACCTACACCAGCGTTACCCATGGTTCCCATTCCTGTGTTCATGGCGCCGCCCATACTCATGCTGCCACTACCGGGTACGCCACCCATGGCGGGACCATGCATTCCCATAGCACCGCTTGACATGCCTGTCATTCCAAGGTTGACCTGGCCGCTCATGCTCCCAGGAGGGCCACCAGCAAGATTCATTATCCCGGTCATCCTCGGTGATTGCTTTGGCGACGCAGCTAGATGCGCAGAGTCCCCCCTCGTCGGAGGGCGATTCAGATGCGGATTCAGATTCTGCACCTGGTTCATCGCGGGATTGATATTCGACGGCGCCAGGTTCATATGCATGATGTTCTGTTGGGCCTGGTTTGAGTTCATCGCTGGGTTGATATTCGGGGCCTGGTTCATGTGCGAGTTGATATTGCTGCTGGTGTTCATGTTATGGTTGATATTGGCACCGGGAGTCATGTTGAGGTGCGGATTTAAATTCATGGATTGGGGGTTCATGCGTGGATTGACGTTGGGAGCGCCCATGCCGCCGCTGGTACCGGGTCGAGAGGATGGTGGGGGCATCAGGCCAGAGTCAAGGTTGTGGTGGGAGTGGTGGGAGCGAATAGAAGCGGATGAGGAGGGGCGGTCACCGAGCTGGGAGACATCCTGCGGCTGCTGACTGGGCTGCCGGTCATGGGATTGACTTGAAGCACGGTCGTGTCTCCCATGCTGGCTCGGTGGGCGGTCGTGGGTCAGACTTGGGCCCCGCTCATGGTGTTGCTGACTAGGTGCGCTTGGCGGTTGACCGAGACCAAGTTGTTGTCGTTGCTGCTGGAAGATGACACGATCCTGTGGCGACATCTGCGTCCAACGCTGAGGCGTGATGGTCATGCGCATTTGAGGGTTGCTGGAGTTTGGCATACCGCTCATCATATTGGACATGCCCATGTTCTGGATCCCAGCCCCACCCATGTTCTGGATACCGCCAGCCATGTTCATCCCACTTCCGCTGATGTTGGGCATGGCGTTGCCCATGTTCATATTCTGCATTCCACCGCTGCCCATGTTCATCCCGGTCATTCCGCCCATAGACGGATGCATGGTGCCCATATTCATGGAGGCTTGGCCCATGCCACCTTGTTGCTGCTGGAGGAGTTGTGCGGGGGTGAGGGTCAAATTGGGGCCTTGTGAATGTGGTTGTTGGGAAGGGCCGCCCATGAGCTGTGACGGGGAAGCTGACATGAGCTGCGAGGGTGATATGGACTGGCCCTGGCTCTGCGTTGAGGCATGATTAGGCGTTGAAGGCTGCTGAGAGCCCTGATAATTGGGAAATTTAGCCATCATGCCATTCTGGGAATTTTGGGCGTTCTGGAAAGCGGCGAGGAATGACGGATTGATGTTGTTCATGTTCATGTTCATTGGCACATTGTTCATGGGCATGTTGTGCTGGTTCATCGACATAGCTTGGTTCATGGGTACACCCATGTTGTTTGCGGGATTCATGGCCATGTTTGCACCGTTCATTTGGGAGTTGTTCATAGGTACTCCTCCAGCGAGGAAAGACATGCCGTTGTGTTGTTGTGAGGAAGGAGGTCGTTGGGGGAACTGGTTATGGCCAGGTTGTGGTGCCAATTGGGGGGGATAGTTCATTGTAAGTCGTCTGTAGTCATAGTATAAGGAGAGAATGTCGAGTACAGCATGAGAGACGCACGAGTAAAAGGTCGTTAGCGCCCGACCCGGACGGTAGTGCTAGAGGGGGACAGTTTAAGAACATTGAGGGATAGTAAAGGGGGAAAGTGAAGCTTACGTTTTACAACAGGTTCTGACCAAGTTAGAGGATTTCGGATCGAGAGATAGCGTCGAAGATCTGTGATAACAAATGCTAAACGAGAAAACGGATATGATGAGATTTTATTGACCGGCCGGAGAGCGCGGTCATGCTACTGCGTTTACTTTTGATTGTACCAATGGATTTCACTTACCAACAAAACCTGTCCTGCGACTCAAAAGTAACTCGGAACGACTGCTGCGGAGCTGTTCCCAGGGAACGAAACTCGGCAAAAGAACAGCGCACAGGCCAATTGAAAGCGAAAAAGTAGTAGTATCCTGGTAATGTCCTGGTATAACTTGTAATACCTGACTTTGAATGGCGTAGGTGACCAGTCGCCAATGGTGTTCGTGTCTTGCCTGCTTGTACGAAAAAACAAGCCAACAGTCAACACAATGTACCGTCACACTTCATTGTCACATGTCACGCTCCCTTTCCTTGCCTGCTCTGGTGGCGCCGCTTACCCGTACTCTCAACACCGTCTACAATGTTGACTAGGCAGGTTCTCGATTCTATCTCTACAATCGCTTTTAATTGACGGAACACGATGGAATGAAGAAGTGACTCCGCATGTACCCGCCGATCCGAAAAAAGATGACACCCCAAGGGACCTGACATTTAACGGACTTAACGGGTCCACGCTGCGAACACAAATACACCCAAACCCCCATCCCATCCGCTTTCCCGAAGATCTTCTCTAGAAATAACGTTAGTGATCCTCGAAAATCGATTCGTCGGTGCAAATAAGTATGTTCTCCATCGCGATCTGATCCCCTCCTCCCAGCGAATCCAACAGATATTCACCAGTATCTACATACTAATGTACTTAGTCTCCGTGGCGATCGCCAAGATGTGACCTCCGGTTCGTTACGATTGAGTGCTGGTCCAGATTCTAACCTATTCATCGTCCCTGCTCTGGGTATGGATGGCTACCTCTTGAAATGTTTATCATAAAACGTTGACCATGCTGCCCTTCATGTAGCTTACAGCTCCCGTTCTGCATGCCGCAGCTCGCGCCTGAAAACCTCACTTTCATGCTCTGGGCACATATCTGATAAGATAAGATCGAGTGTAGCAGCAGGACGCTTGATATAATTCTGCCTGTAAATGTAGCCTGTAAGTTCGTACCTGTTCGTACATCACCGTCTGACCTGCTACATTACGCATGTGCCTGATTTTTTTCTGGCTTTAGTTTGTGCCGTCTCATTGAGCCGTTGCTGTGGTCGTAATATTGAAGTAACGCATTCGTTTTCAGGGAGAACGAACCACGAGAAATTTACGACCATCCATTTGTCATTCCGGGAGTACGACTTTGTGTCGCTCCTTCACACAGGAACGGCCGCGTCGCCAACCTGGCACATTCGTCGTTGATGTCGACGAGAATGTGCTTGCCTCGAGTCAGTTTGCCATATTGCGCTTCGATCCAACTATTTTCATACTTGGGCATGTACCTTGGCGGCTTGGCCGACTGATGCGCGTGCTCCACACGAGCTCGTTAGGTCATCATTTCCACTGTCCTCCATCTTCGTGGATTACCCGCCGATGATCGGTGTCATTTTCCACGACCACTGACCCCTTTGACTTCCATTGGCAATAAACAGCTCTCATTGGGCATCATCCTGAGTACTATCCATTTCGTTGCCGAAAATAACCATTGCCAGACCTTTGATTTATTTGATCTCTTTGGAGGAGTACATCTACAGTTACGTTCCTCATTACTGACAGTGAAACTGCTCGAATTGTAATAGCACACCACCATGCAAATAATCACCTGCACAGATAATTAATGTGGAAGGCATTCGAAGACACCACTCCATCGGAGCCAGACATACAATCATTCATGATGAAAGCCAGCACAACTCTAAGCTTGGAAAAATATCCTGCACCTTCACGCCAGCGAGAACTGACTGAAATACAACTACACGCGATAATTTGAACTGCCTACCGTAAGTATGGACTCAGATGGCTTGTGTAGTCTTGTCCTCTATTTCAAACTGGAAGCCACCGAGTAATAAATCACCAGGTTATAAGTTGTAGTGATGCCCTTAACGTCAAATTAAGGAACGACCGTCCTAGTCTTCCTTCTTCTATAGGCTGGCTAGGGGAGACTAACTACACTCAGCTTTCATTGAAGACCAGAACGTCGTTCCCTTTGACCGCCACGCGTCACGATCAGACATGAGACGCACCATCTCAAATTGACGTATGACATTGATAGGCAGACTGGTTATTCCCTGCCCAAAATTGTAAATTCCCTGCAAAGTTCTGCCGAACTGGCAAATGTCATTGTAGTTCCGACGCGTCAGGGGTACATTTACAGTGTTTTTTAGAAGCGATGTTCATTGTACGCAGACTATATCCATCTCGGTCCCTTCCCAAAAATGCAGGTGTCTGACAAAGTTTTGCACGAGGCCAACACAACACGTCATAATTGCAGATACATACAGCGATTTGGGGATAAGTTCTTACCACACATGTTGAGGGATGTTAAGGTGATCAGGAATATATGTAATGTGCTCAGTTGAGCTGGCAGCTGAGGCGCTTGGCCATCCGAGGGCCGCCGGACCCGCGATGTTATCTTAGACTTCAATACATTCCCGGATGGTTCGAGACTAGCGGCGGGAGGAGCTTTACAACATATTTTCATTTCGATTGGTCAGTTGGCAAGCGAAAATATTATGTAGTGCTGAGTCGGTCCTCGGACTGAAGCTGCACCCTGTACATTTTCTTTACCCTCCTTTTTCTACAGATATGCCAATCCTGTCAATCCCCCCGGGCAAGGCTGGTCAGTTACTAGGACTGTCTTCTACATGTATACTAATCAACGTGAGCCGCCTTATAATAATTTCCGCCGCTAACACAATCCTAACTTGTCAATTAGAATATATATTTTTCTATGGCAGGCAGATTACTCACCCCACGAGCCACTTCTAGCTGAAATAATCTAGACTCCAGTAGCTCTTTGCACCGTCATCCGTGGCGGCGTCACCCAACTCAGTAGAATAGGCCTTCACCACGATAGCCCAAGGCTTGATAAACGCCACGGCGACTATGCCCGGTATTCCACAAAGGCCCTGGCAAGGACCCTTGCAGGGAATGTGCTCGATTCACTTACTTGCCAATCAGCAACAGCGCTCAAGTGATCGCTTCTCTATAGTGGTCTCTGTGCATATAGGCTACCTTTGGTTTGTGGAGGATGCCCGAATTCAGCTCGCTAAGCCCCGCATGGAGGAGTTGTGTGATTCAAGGGAAGCTCAAAAATACGTTGGAACTTCGACTTCAACCGCTTTTCGACCGACTCGACATTGTACCAGATGCGGCCTAGTAACAGTAACTTCAAGTTTATCCAATGAGTAAGTAATCAGAATTGCAACAGTGGCGAGGCGCATAATCATATTGTGACTTTCACTCACGTAAGTTATCTCACTGAGGGAGTAATCGGAAGCTTTGAGTTTTGCCCCTCGGGCCTCAGAACATGCGTCGCGTGGACGTTCCCTGTGGCACTCCCGTGGACATTGCGACTGCTACGCCGCTGAGAATTTTCGTAAGCCACAGTCCCGGTCAAAAAACATTTCCGTGATGGATATATGTAATAGCAAGCACTGCCGCATCAGCGAGTATCGTTGAATGCCTCTTCAAAAATTAACAACGGATGCATTCCTACACGAGTCTTGTACCCTTCAAAGTCTTGGCAGTAAGACTCATCATAGTAGAACACAGCTCAACCGGCCATCAGTTAGTATTCGCTGTCGTAAGAGGATAAGTTGCGATCACTTATCAGACTGGGCCAACCTATCAGGGATTATCAAGTACTCGTGGGTTGGGCGTGGCGTCCAGGCTGGAGTCCTCATTACAGCACTCCGAGGATCCACAAGGGAGGCGAGCCGCTGGGTTCAATGTTACTTGGTGCCTGGAACTTCAGGGGGGTAGTCATTAGTGGCCACCAGTCCAATGATGCCAGCGAAGCGAGTGGAGCAATAGAAAGCACAGGTTCTATTCTTATCATAAGACCACGCGTAAGCATTTTCAACTTGCGGCCATGGAAGCGCTGGCTCGGTGATAACCGCGCCTTGATTTCGGTACTTACTAACTAAGTTCTAGCTGAGTAATAGCATCATTACTATAGTAAGAGAGCTGACTTGGAGCTGACCTGTTGAAGTTCGAAAGGTTGACGATGGGGCATCACCTATAGTCGGGATCTTCGAGGGGATGTTTGATAGGAAGTGCACATTTCATCGGAAGCCTACCCTTGATACACAGGCAGTAGTGTGGAAGAAACATGTGTCGCTGAAACGATTAGCCGCTCCATCATGGCGATGAAGCATAAGTATGAGTTACGAACTCTATCCTTTCATAAATCGCAGAAACGGTACCCGGGAACTCAATACTTAGCAATCTTCTTCAGGTTCACCGCTTTGAATTCGCCACCTAGGAACTGTCCCTATTAATATTACTCTCCTTGTCAATGTTTGCATCCGAGGGTCCCATTTAAACCGGTAGTAGGATAGTACTATAGCCTAGTCGGGACTCCGCCGGTCTTCTCTGTGATGAGCAGCAGCAAGGAAAGACAGCGAGCAAGAGGAGAGATAGCATGTGCGGAGTGTCGTAGGTATGTTTCCCATCCATCTCTCTTCTAGTTGTGATATTTACTTTTCACGATAACCTGTCAGACTGAAAGCCCGATGTGACAGGCAAGGTAAATCTTTACTTTAAAAGTTGTCCTGGACATCGGACTGATCGTACCCATAGTGCCATGCTCTACTTGCGTCAAAAGAGGATGCAGTATGCTTTGCCCCAATGGTGAGAATTCAGAAGTTCATAACGTCGAACATGCAAATCTTTCATATAAATCACGCGTAGGCACCATGCCTCCAGGAAAAGGTAGCCGGTAAGCATAGTGCCACCCCGCGGGTGCACCAAGTCTGAAGATGGCATTCCCACCATCAGCTTCGTCGGTGTTGCCGAAGATTATCTACGCAACAAGGCCACCAAGCTGGAAGAGCGAATGCGTTCACTCGAGGATGCTCTTGCAATTCTGCAGGTCAATACTTCCACTCCGCCGCACCCATTGTTGGCCAAAAGATGGTCGACTGAAGAGCCTGATCACGGGAGGAACGTTGATACCACATCCACGACAGCAGAATTCAACCTACATGGTCTGATAGATGCTTTAGGCTCTTTGCACCTTGAGGGTGATTCACATTCTGGCCCTACTCGTTTCTTTGGACCTTCTGGAGGTTCTGAGGTGCGGACCAGACATTTGTCCATGACGAACTAAGAAACTCACTTGAGCCTTAGAGTCTATTGCTGGTTTGTCTTATTCACTCTTCTAAAGCGCCCAGTTAACAATGACCACAGGTCGCAAAAAAAAATTTGCCTGAAACGCTGTCACCATCGATCGAGGCACAAGACATCGAATACATTAACCTGCCTTATCCCCTCAACTTGTTTGACCAGGCTTTCCCTTTCGCTCCATCGGGGCACCCTATGGAGCCCATCCGAGAGATGATAGAATCCTACTTGCCGCCAATCCAGCGCGCTGTTTCGTTATGTGAGACCTTCCTAAAGTCTCTCTCATGGATGTTCCAAATAGTTTCGCGACAGCAAATTGTCGACAATCTCATCCCATTGATATACAGATCGAAGATGAAATCATTGGAGCGGCCAAGTTATGGTCCGCATGATCTGGCCTTGCTATTCAGTGTACTAGCCGTCGGAGCTTTGGTTGATCCTGCCCTTCCCCCTTATAACGCCGAAGCACAGCACTATCAAAAATTGGCGCGCACCGCCTTGTGCTTGCAATCAGTATTTTCGCAGCGGTCTGTGGTCACAATTAAGGTATTGCATCTTATGAGCGTGTACAACGGCATGAGCGGTATCGAGAGCAACTTGGAACATTGCTATTCCCTTCTTAATTTTGCTGGTCAAGCTGCACTCCAGGTCAGTTCTCAAGTATCAAAATCATGAAGTAGTCCCTGACGAGCATCACTAGATTGGGTTCCGTATGTTGTCCGCAAGGCAACCAGTGATACGTGGCTAATGTCACCATGTAGACAAGGATCCTTCACTATGGGGCTTTGAGGGGCGAGAAGCCTATGACCGCCGCTCATACTTTTGGACTCTCCTTTCCCATACTCTCTGGCAAAGCCTGGTGACTGGACGCCCTCCCGTGATTATGCCTGCTTTCGTCGACTACCGAATCCCTAGTGACTTTGACGAGGCTAGGTACCAGTCGGGAGAAATTCCCATCGGATGTAAGGTCATTCCGCCACATTACTGCATGGATAAGAGCTCTAATCCATTGCGAAGTTGGCAACTGGAGTTCTCAGTACACAATGGAGTGTCTAGCACCGGTCATCGAGGCGACTCAGGCTGCAATCCCACCCAACTACCAAACCATCCTCGAGTTGGACCGCAAAATACGGGAGTTTCCTGTACCTGTATCTAATGATGCAACTGATTTCGACCGTGTGCCTGTGGAGATGCGCTCCTTTGCTCAAGCACGTTACAAAGAGCTTAGTGCGTGTCGCGGCGATTTACACGGTTTCCTATCGACTAACTTCAAGTGCAAAGCGCTCATGTTCTTGCACAGAGGTTTTTTTGCACAGGCCATGGCAGATTTTCCTTCAGATCCGCTGAGAAGCCCTCTAGGCCGATCATTCATGGTTGCCTACCAATGTGCCAGTCTAATAATCACATTAACTATCGACCAACTCGCGCTACAACCCGTGTTATCTTCTCGAGTCTGGCGGATATGGTCCTTTGCTTTCTCAGCAGCAGTACGTGAATGTGTCTCATTTGGCGGGTTGTGCTAACAATGATTTATTGAGGTCATCGTTGGTACCGTTGCCACCCGAAGACTAAGCATAAAATTGGATCCAGACCCATTTGAGCATCTAGAAAGGGCGTGCACATTATTTCACGAAGCGGCGCATATTAGCAGCCGCGCGAAAAAGGCGTTGGTGAGTTTCGAGCAAGAGTGGCTATCAGTTACCCGAACTCACTATCTGCCTCTGAAGCCAATTTTGCTTCGTCTTCGTCAAAAAGCGGTTCATGCGAGGATCGATCCCCTTCAACAAGCTAGCCACATGAGGACTTCTGAGTCGGAGGATGAGCCTGACGAACTAGAGGTGTTTGGTGGTCGAACGATACTAGTAACAACGTCTGGCAAGCAAGTTTCGCGGTCTCCCCAACTTCCGATACAGCTTGCGAATTCCACGGTGACTCAAAACAATCCCTCAACCCAACGTGGCAATCATCAGTCACATGTTACTAGCTTCCCCGGTGTTCGGGAAGGGGTTGACTATGCACTTGGGGGAGGGGCGGTCGGGCTTCCTGAACTGGAGGTGCTTCACCGGGAGATTTCTGGGCCAATATACTCTCGCTCTTCGAGCGCTCCCTCGCTATACGGTCCCCCACAAGGACAGCAAAGTGGCTTGATGTTGGAAGACAGGTGGTCCTCTTTCGTGCACGATGCATCTCTTCCTCCAGGGTACTTTTCCCATCTTGGTCCACAAGTCCGTTGACTGATTCGTGATTGCACTTGTCCCCACGTTTGATTCGCCTCACTATAGATATATCACTGATTTGGTATATTCATCTTTAATGTGTTCGTACATTACAGCAAGTTACATAGCCTTCCATTTAGTTGTACCTACTATAAAAAGCTTTTACAGTGCTTCTATGCATGATGTTAGTGTCCATTCGGAGAAGGAAGGTCATGGGTTTGGGTTCGATGAAACAACGATGAAGCCTTTGATGCGATGAGCACGGCACAACGCATCAGGAAATCGGTGTGAACATGCTTTTCCTAGATATAGTTTGTAAATGTGATATACATATAGGTATGAGCAAATCTGCATTGAAGGACAAGATATTGCAAGAAGATGACAATTCTGAGGAAGATATGTTGTGTCTTGCAAGTGCACCAACAGTACTAGTTCACCACCAAGTGGTCACCAGCACCAGTGTTGTTACTAACCCGTTAAAAGGGTTATAACTTAACCCAGTTATAACCGGTTAAGAGATTAGTTAAATGGATTTGTTTTTTAGGTAGGGTTAGTAGGGTTAATGTACCAGGAGTTAATTGAGTTAATTGGGGGTTGGCCAATTTTTAATCGTGATCGTTGATCCTCTGTTCAATTCTTCCGGGATTGTATCGCCTTCCTTTGCCGCTCTGATGGCTAGGGAGAAGTCCTGGCTATGGGAACATTTTCATCAGGGGGCTGCGAAGGTCGATAAGGTGCACTGGCAGGCACGCTGTAAATACTGTGTCAAGGTGCAGGCCAAGAAGCTCGAGAATGCCGATCAGCTGGCTGTTGCGGTCCAGCACTACCACTTGCATGAGCTTGCAAGCGTACTATCACTCCTGGGGTTCTGCAACATTTTCAATAAATCTTTTGTAACTCCTCAACCACATCATATTTTCTTCTACAGATTTGCACCATTATAGATTCGTAGCTGCTCTATATGAATATGATTTTAAGGATTTTAAGGATTTTGTGGTGGAGTGTCGGATGAAGGCCGAGAAAATTCAGGGTCTGACTGGTATTCTGCAAAACATGGTCACTATGAGGGACCCCACTGGACAAAAATCAACTTTCGAAAAATGTTATCAAACTTTGCTCGCGTGGTGAAAACATTTACTAGTGTGACAAAAACATTTGCCAGTGTGACAAAAACATTCATTTGTGACAAAAACATTTGCCAGTGTGACGAAAAACATCTGCCATGTGGCCAAAAACTTTTCTAGGATGACAACTTTCTGTATTGCAGGATACACAGTGGAAGTACTGAGAGGGAGTGGCACGCAGGGGAGAGTAGTACTATGGTGACGATTCCCGCTGTGTAGTTACTAGCGAGTCATCAGCATCAGAGTTTCGGAATCAGACTGCAGCAATCAGGTTGCACTGTACCATAGACGTAGTAATGACAGTGTATGTATAAGGATAGTTGAAGCTTGAAGGTCAGAGGCACTAAGGTAAACTTAGGTAAAGCTGTCTTGACCAGCGTCAAAAACGACACAATGAAGCATAAACTCCAATTCAGCAATATCGCTATCACTGAGAGGTGATTTACCCAGAATATGCATCATCTTTCTGTTGAACCACACATCCATACTGTAGTTGCACGCATGTATGCTTGGAGGCAACAGATCGTCGTTGCGCTGAAATTTGATGAGCAAAAGAAATTAGTACAGCCAGAGTAAGCTCAAACTCACATGATATTGACCAGCAAAGCAGACGGTCTCTGGGATTGTTTGATGGACATAAATCTAGGCAAATTGGTGAGATGCAATATTGACGAGAAGGAGAAACAGAAGACGCACAGTGAAATCTTGCCCTGGTGGAGGCAGCAAGGTAACTCTGCTCAAAAGCTTCACAAAGTGGCAGGCACGATAGGCAGGGTCAGCATTATCGATGTCCCGTTGAGCCTCATTGACCAGATCAGCCATTTGAGGGTGCGGTGGATGTCCAATGCCACGGAAATAGCGCTCGAAAACAGACCGGAGCTGCACCACTAAAGGAGGAGCGGTTGCAGATTCAAACGTGGGATCACCACATACAACAAAGTCCAGACGGCTTATTACTTGCTCTCCATTAGTGATGCGCCAATGATAGCAATGTGATAAGAGCCACTTGGAGGACAATTTCAACATCTTGACGATGGTCAATTAACGAACTTGTATTCACATCAACACAGCTCTGCTCACCTCAATTACTGATTTGTGCGTTGTGCTCAGTTGAATGTCAATGCCAGCCTGAAAAGCCTTGAAAAGCTGGGAACTTGAAAGCGCCTCAGGTTTGATCCCTAATAATGTGCTAGTGTGCAGGGAAAGAACAACCGCTGGCCATTGCTCATCGCTGAGAGGTGCCAACCGGGATACCTAGATTGATATAACTAAGATCATGGCCAAGTCAACCAAAACACAAAGTACTCACTGATGAATCAATTGTACCCTGTATAAAGCGTTGAAGGCAGGTCCTTTGGGAGGCCGAAATGGTGGAAGAGGTCAGATCACGTGGTGAGGAGGGAAGGAGACCAAGATCATCATAATGATCAGGAAATAATGCCCCGACCCAACACTTATCAGCAAGAGCTTCCACACCGGCGAAGGCAGCAATGAGTAAGGCAGGAGAGATGGGATCAGGTGCAATGTGCCCACGTATCATCATCATAGTGCACACAGCTCCCAATGCAAAGGCACACTCAATGTCGCTAGGTGTGGGAAAGTTATGGATGCACAGAACATGAAAGCCATGTTTATCAAGAATCTGGGTTATTCCATAGGATTCGCTCAAGCACAGCATGAGGGCCTCTGTTAATACCTGTCTCATGACGCCTTCACCAGAAGCATCATGGGCGCCATCATACCCACTTTAACAATATCAGCATTGAGAATTGACATTGGGCAGGTAAAACTCACGCGCGAAAGATCCAATGTTTTCCGAACATGTCAGACAGCTTCTGATTATGGGGCTGGATAGAAAATCGCTCATTGACATAGTAGGAGCGTGCATATGGTGTGTCGGAATTGCGCTGCTGTTGACATAAAAAATCTATCAAGCCCTCTGCACAGGCTTTGACAGTTGGACCATGGACATGGACCATGCTGTGCTCGACTTCGCTGTCAAAGGCTGTCATTATGGCATTATTGACCTTGAGTAAGGTCTCATAAGGAGGCGGAGTGGGTGACACATATACAGAGTGATGGTGAACAATGGGTGAATGTGGGGGTGAGTGCGAGGAATGATTGGGGGATGGCAGTGTCAGGTCGATGACAGTAGGGAAAGACGTCTGAGGGTTCACAAGGGCTGGCAGGGAATTAAGTGAAGGACTTGAGATAGACGAAAGTGAGGTAGCTGGAGAGGATATACTGGGAAGCACATTGGGCTGATTGTCAGGAGTACTGGGAATTGTCAGAGGTGCATACAAATCTTCATCGCTATCAATCGGACTAGGAACAGGAGCCCGAGCCGGTCGAGAGCGTCGGCTTGTGCCAGCTGTCAATGGGCAGAATGCCTTACACTCAACAGGAATAGTGTCGCCAGGTTCCAAGCCTTGATACTCTAACTCTTCCTCATCTGCATCAATGAGGATTTTGAATGCTCGATTGGCAAAACACATATGATGCTGGGTGCTGTGCTGCTGGATGGGTCCAATAAGAGGCCCATACTTAGGACCTAGATAAAGTCAGTAAGTGGAGGCGGAGTGAACAATTTTATACATACAGATAATAAGCAGTCCTACATTGGGATCGGTGGGGTGCTGGATTTGATTGACACGTTTGGATAGCGCATGAAAGGTATAGTCTTGCCATGTTTCAGTGGCGTCAAAGGACAGATAGTGCCCTTTAGGCATCTGGTAGCCGATCTTAAGAAGGCGAAATGGAAGATGTTGAAACTGGATCTGAAACTCGTGGTTGGGCGCAGATGCATCAAGATCAAAAGAGCATTCAGGCTCTGGGGGAAATTGGATGTTGTGAGACGTTGAGATGGCAAGAACAGAATTATACACTTGGTTCATTATGATTTCATTGTGTGAGGATGCAGTAAGAGTTATGCGGTGCACGAGGCCAAAATCTTGCAGGCCATTCAGGTCAGAGGCGAGTCGCTCCCCAACATGAATGCGGTGGGGAAAATGAAGGTAAGTATCCTCAAAGATGTTGTCAATACTGTCAGGAGCTGCAGGTGCAGCGTGAATCTGAGTATAAAAGTCAGCGTGCATAAACTACTGCTTTCCAGCAGACTTACATCATTAGGGAAAATGACAATATCAACCTGTTTCTTGGAGACCTGCTTCACTGGTTTGGAGACACTGTATGGCATGGTGGTTTTCCTATTAGAATGAACGCGACTGCGACCAGCTGTAGTCGACATTGGAATGCCTGCGTGAGGTACACTAAAACCGGGTGAAACTTGAGTGGCACTAAAGCGTGGATTACGAGAATATGGAGTAGCGATTGGGGCGTAGTGCAGAAGAGATGGCCAAGAACTTGCAGGTGGCGACAATGAAGATATAGCAGGCTGGGAAGATGACGAAGTAGCAGGCATGCGAGTAGTAAGCAGAGGTGCAGGGCGAGAAAATTGTGCCAGAGGTGACTCTGCAACAGGGGGAAGGTGAGGGGCTCTATTTGGCTGGGAAAATGCAGATGGAGGCTGATAAAATGCAGAAGTGCTACGAGAATTTGAAGTACTGGCAGATGGGGGTCTGGACGTGGTGGATAGAATAGCAGGAGGTGTAGAAGCTAGTGGGCTGTGTGCATTATAGCCCATTGCACAGCCAGCACATGGCTGACGTAAATCTGATATCTACCACCCAACCTCAGGATTGACGCGTTATGGCAAGAAAGTGGGAAACTCACTGGAGCATTGCGTACAGTTTGGTAACCTAGGCACATAACATTGTTGATTTGAAGACCTCCACGGGGAGGGAAATTAGGAGCTGGTGGCAGATGCTGGGTAAGTCCATGACCGCAATAGCAATCAGACTAGAAAATGCCAGTGAGCGGGCATCAACCTCGAAGGCATAGCTTACCTGTGAATCTGATGGTGTACAGGGTGTATAGATGGCGCAATCATCACCACACACACAACATCTGGCAGGGACAACAGAATTAGTAGACATTAGTGAAAGCTCGGAGCTGCAGGCAGGTGGGCGTGTGGAGGTGGGGGAAAAGAGACAAGAGATATTGTGTACCTGCCTGCCAGTTTCTAGTGCCAGTGAGTGATCAGAAGGGTTGGTACCACATTGGCGTCACCTTCTTAGTTCTTTACAGAGCTGTCAAGTTCTTTAATACACCATGTGATAATGCTTCAAGCGGCCAAGCCTTACCTTATGAGTGCCCATTTGGACCAAGGTTCCTCTGCCAGGAAGTGCACAGCCAAAGGCATCAAGTACACTGGTAGGAGTGTCACGGTACAGGCATGTTGGATAGACTGCCTTTTGCCTGGGGATTCATCAACCATCCATCAACTTCTTTGACATGCGATCATGATTGTTACCTAGATCTGATCGTTGCATCCTCTAAATGATTCACTGTATTCTTTCATCCACTCATTGAACCCATATGCTGGCCCAAGACATTGATCTGGATGCATCGACCTCATCAGGCTAGAGGCAACCAGAGTCGCTCGGAATAACGTTCTCTCAAGTGGACCCGTCATTACCCTTCCCGTACGCAACTCTAGATCATGCAATGCCCTTGCATTCTGCAATGCAGACCCCAACTACCTAGCTGTCGGCCTCAATAAAGTTCGTGGAGATTCTAGTCTCATCATCTGGGATATCCAATCCGCCACATCCCTACTATCTCTCTCTCTCCAAACCCTCCAATTTAACAGAAGAAATAGCAGCACACCCACAACCTCGAATAGCACGTGCTGATGTCGGCCATAGGACAGATGGACGTGTTCTACAACAGCACGCTCCTGCAGAAATAGTTTCAGCGCTCACATTCCTCCCGCAATCCACACATATCCTCTTGGCTGGTATATCAGCGCGGTGGCTGCGGCTCTTTGATCTTCGTAGTGCAGTCCCCGTAACTACCAACATCGCGACTAAAGTCCATGGCATCGCAACATCTCCAATCGACTCTTACCAAATCGCTTGCTGTGGAGATGGGATCATAACAGTCTGGGACGCCCGACGACTCCCACATCCATCACTCACGTTCACAGAAAAAGACGCAGCAGCTGACGGTGCTAGACCACGCTCTGCATCTTTTGTCAACCATATCGAATTTTCAAGCTCGAGAAGGGGTGTACTTGCAGTGCATGAGAAGGATTTTTGAACATGTTGCATATTAGATGCCAGTTGCAGATTGCCTGTAATGATAGTATGTCTCCTAGGAACACGAAGTCGATGACCAGTGCTATCCCTGTGTTTCAAGTCATGGCTTGTGATAGATCAGAATTGTGCAAACGTCTTCACCCTGGACAGCGAAAAAGTGCAGAACAATAGATAGGAATGGCCATCTCAGTACCGACTATGAGTCCATGTAAATGCAAAATGTTACCAAAAGAAGCTGGAAAAGATGATCCATGCGAAATGCAGAAGAGCGTTGACAGTGTAAGATGTAGACAGGTCAGAATGAAAGCAAAGGTGAGTACAACAGTTTCACAACGTCTCTCTTATGATACATCGACATCTGTGGCAGCCCAAAAGTCTAAGATGTCATAGTACCCGCGGCCTGTCCCATGAGATGTCTCCGTGGTCTTCTCGATTGGATTCTTCTGGTCGATACCGACCTTCTCCAGCATCGGGATCATGAAAGGGCTCTGGTTGAAGCTGAATGAGGGGTTCTTGGCCAGGCGCCGAGGGATGAGGATGTGTAGGTTTCTGCAGACCCGAAGGGGATTGGGACCAATCACGCGAGGGGGGCGATGGATGCCGCACTTGCAGCTCATATGACTCGGCCTTGGCGGAGGGAGAATAAGCATGGCGTGAGTAATCTAGTTTGGGAACGGGAGGCTCAGGGCTCAGGGAGTGTGAGTTTGGCGATGCGAAAGGGGGTGCTTGGCTGTTTGTGTCTCCCGATGGATATTGATATAGCGAGGGTAGTATAGGTGAGGGTGCAGGGATATCGGATGCTGAGTAGTAAGAAGGATTGGGCGAGACTTTATCCTCTGCCTCGTGGGGGTTGGGTAACTCGACTTGGGAGACTAGCTCTGCGCTGTTATCATCAGGACTCTTGCTACTGGCATCAGAACCTGCGAGTGATCTTGCAGCCATCGGTTCATAAACTTGCTGTAGTGCTAATTCTGACACTGAATGAGCATGAGGTTCACGGAACATTGGTGCAGTCTCAAGGTCAATGACACGTTTGTTCTTCAAATCCTTGTGGTGTCGGATTCCCAGACGGTCTTTAAGATCGCCTCCGACCCACATCTCACGGACGATATCTTTATCTAAGGGCATATATGTTGATTTGAAAAACTTGATGAGGAACCGGGGCACTAAAAAAACAGTGGTTAGGATGAGTTTCCAATGAAGGCCATCTCAACTCACCCAGTGCCACCAAGACGGAGAACATGACCGTCGCCCAGAACGTGACATTGCTGAAGAAGAGGATCTCCACCTTGTCTATAAACCCATCCGTAGAAGAGAAGAAGGTATTGACCGGAAGGACCAAGTAGATCATGATCCAAAGGAGCATGACAAGGGACGACCCGATGACGACGATCCAAGTGATGTGGGTCCAGCTAAATGAATCACCGTTCAACATTGTCGAGTAGCATGAGAAAGCACTCACTAGTGGGTGTTCATCCCGACATAGGTGTTCGCTGCAAAAATGGCAGCAATCGCGACGGTCGTTCCAAAGTCCGCCAACGAATCGATTCCTTTGCCGTTATATGATACGGCTAATCCAAGCTGCCAGACCAAGTAGGGGATGAAGAAGACGACTGCTGATTGGTAAAGACCATCGAGCATGTAGAACCAGAACTTTGTCCGTGTGTACTCCAAGCCTCTGATACCGTGAACATAGAGCTGAGGACTGTGAATAATGAGATTTGCAAATGCGAAGAATAAACTGGAAAGGCCTCCAGGATGAGGGATGAAGTCATCCTGACAGCGAAGCAGAAGGGTGTCAAAGATTTCTCCTGGATCTGGTAACGGATAACACGACGGAATGTGTGTAGAAGGCACCGATCGCACATATGGTTGGCCTGCTTGACCAAGGTTCGGCATAGAGAACGAATAATCAGAGCCATCAGCACTGCAGAAGATGTATGGCTTGCCCCTGGAGCTGGATAGAGGCGCTATTACAGGATTCTTCAAGAAAGTGCAAGGCAGGTGAGGAAGGTCCTTATAAACTACATGCGGCAAATCAGGACTGTATTTGAACTTGTCCGAAATGAAGGCTCCACGTACGGATATCGATCACGGAAATCTGAAGTTGTTTGGCGAAGGCTGAGTCGTCAGGAAGGCGCAACATCAATATCAAAAGTTTCTCCAGCTGGTGTGGACACATGGCAGCGTGATTTTACGCCCGATGAAAGACGACGCATACACCTACCAAAAACTCCCTGTCATTGATCCCCGACTTGATGTTCCTTGATGCATCAATGTATGCTGGCTGTTGGTAAAGAGCTTGGATTTAGCACAAATTTCACGGCAGGCGGAGGCCTACGCACCAGGTCTGTAAGAGTAAAGGGAGGTCCTTGTTTGACTATTTGTTTGAGGTCTTCCACTGATTTGGAAAAGAACGCAGGGATGTCGACCTGGGGTACGGAAGGAAGCAGATTAATCTTCTGCGTAAGCAATGCTGCTGCTCGCTTCATGCTTGAGTGAGCGTTGATCTCGAGAAGAAGCTCGGCGTTATCGGTGCGCCAAACCCGGATGGTACCGCAATCTCCGGTCATAGGAGGGGGAAGTGAGGAGATTGGGTCGGCGGGGGAAGAGTTTTGGGAGTCTGCTTTTCGATGTGAACGTGGTACTGGGCATAGCAGCCGTAGTGGTGGTGGGTGTGGTGATGTCGATTGTAATCTCGAACGAATTAGAGAACCTGTGTATACGATCAGGTTGAGAGTCTCTGAAGATGAATGAAAAAAAGACATACCAGAATAGCAAAAAAAGGAGACAGGCGGAATAATGAAAACCAGAAAGAAAAAAATAACTTACTAGTGAATAGATGAAGGGTTCATCGGTACTAGTGCAGAGACCTCCCGCCGCATCTAGCACCTCACCCAAACATCTAAAGAGCAAAATAATTGAACACGGCCTGTAAGACCTACCTGCACCAAATAACTACAAAGCATTATGTCATACTCAATTTTCAACATGTTCCGCAGTGTGGGTGTGATCTGTGATCCAATCAATCTCAATTCTCTGTGATCATTGGAAACTTTCTGTGATGGGCCGTGGACCACGAGGTGCAGAAAGTTGCGCCCGACAATACAACAGATGGGGAAAGGTGCGGGACATGGACAAAATCAAGGAAGCTATTGAAAGGGATCTTCGTAAGTTAATTTTACAAGATAAGTATGAATATTCAGCTAATGATATCTAGATATACACAAGATAAGTCCTTCCCAGCAGATTTCATCACTTTGCGAGCCAGTGGAGAAGACGTTCGCGAGATGGTGAGAACCAAATTCAGCACCACATCTTTACCAGAGCAACTGCTCCAGCTCCCCACTCGAGGCAAATTACTCCTCCCTCTGGACCATCTCTCCCTACGACTCTGTTCCCCCCGAGATTCCCCCTTACCTTATCATGCGACTCGAGCATTTTTTGACGGATGACCAACAAGGTGGTCTTTTGGCCCAATGGGACCGCTTCATAGCCTCCTGGTCCCAAGCATGGCCTGAAGCCTGACACCAATTGCTCTACCAGCGAGGCTTTGCACCTTGGCGTCTGGGAGGTAACTGCCAAAAAACCTCGCCTGACTTTGGAATCCCGAGATCAATCTGATGAAGCTGTTGAAGCCATGGACGATCTTCTGTGTTTCATCAAGACTTACATTGCGCCCAAGATCGGGACTGCCTTTAAAGAACACGCCCCTGTTCAGTGGGATTGTATTTTAAAGTTTGTCCCTTGCTACTACATAGTGATCGCCTAGTACTGATCTTTCCTTGTCAATCTAGAGCCAATGATCGGGTGCTCAAGCTCCTTAAATGTGACCTCAAGTTGCGCCCCAGTCTTTTTATGGGTGGCCCATTTTTTGCTGTGGCAGCCAAAGAAGCTGGATCGGGGATCATGCATCTTGATTGGAATGATGACAAAGTGATCTACGCATTTGTTTTTTGCAGTTGGGGACTGGGAGGGGGGGGAGTTTTGTGCCCCCCAACTAGGCATCAAAATTCCCGTCCGCCCTGGGCAGGTACTGGCTGTACTTGCTTGTGTGCTTGCTCATTTCAGCACACCAGTTACAAGTGGTCGTAGAGTAGTTTTTACGTGCTTCACTGATCGTCTGTTGTTCCGTCATGGTTGCCCAGATGTTGTTCAATTTTCTTACTAGGTTTATCTACATACAAAGGCCCAGCTACTCTCCATATTTACCCTCCCATTCATCTACTGTGACCATAATTTGCACGAGTCGACTCTGTAGGCCATGAATTTGCATGGTTTTGGCTTCAATGGAGTTCTCCAGTGCTTGCCGACCCTTCTCCATGTTCGTCTCGCCATGGTCCATGCAGACCAAGGGTACATGTACGTCGCTTCATAAGATCATGCTATGAATATAAAGTAAGTCAACACATGCGGCCAAAGAAATCCGAAAGACCTTTAGAGCTCAGGCTTTGTAGTTCTGGCGGGACTGTTCAATGTCTACACGCCACGCATTTTGCGCATCATCAAATACATTTCAAGGTGAGTTCCTGAGTCAACAGCACATTTTCAGGATTCACTGACATGATGTCAACATTCGAAGCAATCAAGCTCATGCACAAGGACCAATGAGTTGTTCATGCACTGGACATTGGCCTCATTGTGGGCCATCTCCCACCAATCATTGCTGCTGATCACTTGTCGGCTTTTCCACATAAGCTGCCCCTTTACGCAGGCGCTGGCCCAATCCATTGCTCGGGTTCTCTATCCTCAATGAGGCTCCCAACATAGCACCCAGTTCAACCGTCAAGGATTCCCAGGAGGCTCCTAGTCTTTTGTCCTTCATGGCGATCCCCGCAACGTGTGATTAACCCAGGGTGTGCAATCAGCACTCAGTGCCAATATATTCTATCGAAGCACCGTTGTAATTAGATAGATATCAATATTTGAAGTAAAAAATTTGATTCATGAAATAAACTGCAAGCACAGTTGCATCGACTGCATCCAAAGTATCTTCCTCTCTGTCATGGTGGAGTCCGGGAGATTTTCAATATATTGATGTAAGGTAGCAAGATGCTGGGGGGACAGGGGACAATTTGGCTCCTTGACCTTGACCATGTTGAAATGATCAGGTCTGTGAGCAACAAAGGGATTGTGACCTAGGTGGTCAGGCTGGTTACCCTCTGTATGGTGTGCATGTATGCGCTGATCTTCATAAGCCTCCCAGTCAATACCATACTCGTCAACTTCATCGGCATTGAGATCTTTGTCAGGTGGCTGAAAGCTTGCAGCATCAAATCCACGTGCTCCACTTTGTAGAATGCTGAACCACCGAAGATCAGCTGGCGAACAACTCCACTGTCCATCTGGTAAGGCCATCTTGTGCATGTTCCATGCATTGGCCCATTGTGTTGCCTCCTGGTTGATCAAAGGTAAGAAAAGATGATGTAGGAGCCAAATATGGGCTGTGTTGTCGGGATTGAGTCCACCAGTCACTTCGAGATCTTGGAAGAATGTCTTCCATTTGGACCCAATCATGCTGGTCCAGTCCACCCACAACCGCTCGATACGGATATTATGGACACTTCTGCAATGACACTGAACTAAGTTGAATCACAGCAAAATAAATTAAAATCCTACCTTCCCCAGATATATGACCCCCTGTCTTGACCTCGCTGTTCCTCCATATATCTAGCAACAAGCACATTCTCCCCTCCGTGATCACCACGTACCCAAGATGGTAGATCGTGACTTTGAATCAATGACATAAATAAGTCAAAGACAGTTGCAGCACGGTTGTTGTTGCTGGCTCGAATCCCAGTAATGAACCTAGCAAAACCATCTATAAATGCATGGATTACGATTTTGTAGTGGATCAGGCCTAGATAGTGATTAGAATAAGTATAGGCACAGGATAGTCACTCACCATGCTGGCCATCATGGTGTGCCAAGGAATTATATCCAGCTACATTGTACACCCTACGTGAGATACAGCGTACTCCAAATGCTGCCACTGGGGGTCCATTAACACGAGCATAAGAAGCTTGTACACGGCTGCGGGGGACATGTTGCCCAAGGTGCAGCAAGTGCCCATCAATCATCCACCTACCGAAAGTTGGGAAGAGGTTGAGAATGTGCAAGACAGTGGAATCAAGCTCCTCATCCGAGAGTATAGACTGTGAGCCCGTTGATGATTGGTACACCCGATGAGCTTGACCATCTTCATCGATATACGTGATATAAACAGGTTCCCCTGGTTGCACTAACTCCTGTTCAAGGGCCCTGCGTCGGACAGTCCGAGCAGAAACACCGAATATCTCGCCAAGCTCTGTGGGCCCTCGGAGTTGATAAGACATGGCAAGCACCTCTGGGTCTATCATCATCCTCGGATGCCCTCGACCACCCCCATGCACAACATAAGTGTGAGCCATCGGCTCAACATCAGGAACATCCGAGGACACTAATTTAGCTGCACCCAGGTCAGTAATCATGTCTTGAATACTTTGCTCCATTATAACCCTATCCGCTGATGGAATAATGGCATAGTGCTAGGATATTTGGTTACTTCCAAAGATCAGATTACTAGATTACGAACTTGTGTAATGCTTTGCTGCAACCGGAGGCAAATTTGTATCTGCTCCTGCAATCGCGCTTCATCTCCGAGTTGTGTTTGTAGGGCAACGCGGACTGCTTCTTTAAGATGTGAAAAGGCCGTCACAATTGTTTGGAATGGAAGGGGTAGTTCAGCGCCAATGTTGGCCATTGATCATTCACAAGTAATGGTTGAAGGAGAGATGCGGGACAGTCTTCCATCTATGGTATGAGCTATTGATGAGGCCTAGGCTCTGCACGTCTCGGTATATCTATCGCCTATCTTTTTTGCCAGCCCTCTACTCCATCTATAGTTACCGAAGATTCAAGATTATTCACAGAAACACATTCCGTTGAAAATATCATCGTCCTCACAAGCTGCCCCTGGGCTGTGCCGAAACCGATTCTCAAAACAAGTCCCAGACATCCCCTGTCCGGAGTTGCTGCAGTAACTTGTCCTTGATCTTACACCCGAATGGCAGCATTAGCGAAGGAATAAGTTAAGAGTGCCAAACATACCCGTCGGGCTTGCTTGAAGCACTTTAGTTCCACTGAACAGAACTGCATTCTTGTGCGCGCTGTCAACATCGAGTTTATCTTTGCTGTCAAGAAGCTGGATAGATTCCTTGAGTAGCGGCGTGGATTCTCCTGATAACATGGCATTGTCAACGATACATGTTCCTTGCACAAGAAGAATGTCGGCAGGAACTACCGTTTCAGACTGCTGATGTGCTGTAATGATACGTCAGTCAATAGATTCGACAACAGACAAATGACACTTACCAACAGAAACAAGGTCTCTGGGGAGAAGATCATCAGATTGAATAGCAATCCAATTTAATTCGCGGTAGCACTGAATGAGATACGGAGCGACAGCCATCATTCGGAATTCTGTCAGAGTTTTCAAATGCTACAAACTAAGTTAGCTTCAGAGTTATTAATGGGAAGAAAAGATGCGCCTGCCAGACAATGGTGCACTCGAACATGATGAGCATGAATAGCGTGGACAAGCTGTAGTACCAATACTCATCCAGACACCAGAGCGCAACACAAATATATTTGAAAGACGAAAAATGGAGCCATCGCATGTTCACCGAAAAGGTCGGAGAAAGAAGGGATCAGAATGTTGTCAATATATACAGTCCACGTCCTCGATAGACCGCGCCTTAGAATTGGCGTGTGAGGATAAGAGTTTATCACTACAAACCTAAGAGCACACCTTTCGTGTTGTTCTCCAAGCTCTCGCGCTAGAACTCCATCGAGTAACAAGGAAACTTAGAGCATGACCTGCGCGCCTAACGATACACAAGCTAGGGAAGTCCACTCCTCGCTTTTCAACCAGTCGTCGTACTTGATATAATAAGCATACACGAGAAGCAGATAGAGCAAGAGGAAAGGAATGGTGTACAAGTGCGTGTACCACGGAAGGGCAATGTGTAGACTGGCTTTAGCGATTTCATTAGACTGCACGGTGACATAGGCCCTGCATTTACTGCGTGTTAGCAACATTTTGAAAAATCAAAATTGGGACTTGCATATTCAGGCGACGCTGGCTATAAGCCAGATACCCAGATAGCTGCGAGTAGGAACATCAAAGTTGTCTTCAACGCGAAAGCTTTCGGCCACGTGACCAAAGTTTTTGTCACACAACAAATGTTTTTGCCACGCGAGCAAAGTTTTTGTCACAAAACAAATGTTTTTGCCATGCGAGCAATGTTTTTGTCACAGAACCAAATGTTTTGTGCCACATGAGCAATGTTTCATGAAAAATTTGATTTTAATTTAATTGTCCAGTCGCTCCCTCCATAGGTCACGTCGTGTCACACATCGGCACAGTAGCGGCACCGTCAACTTTCACTTAGAGGAGATTGAATTTCTTACACTCTCCTATCTGCTGTCACGCTTTCATACATGTCGTCAATCCTCTGTCTATAGCATCTTAAAACAAGAGAATGGCCTCTATCAAAATTGTGTTCTGACACCCTGACGAGGTGTTTGATATGCTCCAGGTGTAACTTTTTGAATATCTCTCTAGGATCTATGGGATCTGGATCATTTAAGATTATACAAGGTTGCAAATCACCACTATTCTGTCTCTCGCAGCTGCAACACTCAAGAAAATTTTATTCTACTTGGACAGTACATCATCTCTAAGTAGCCTACATACACATGAATTTTTTCGAGGTGATTCAAGCAGCGCATTGAGGTGTTTTGAACATTTTGCATATTACATGCCAGTTGCAGATTCCCAGGAGTGATAGTAGCTGGTTTTCTAAGCGAGCCGAGGTACGAGGCGGAGTAGAATTTAGTCTATGCATGTCGGCGCTAAGTGCCGCACGAGAAGTAACTGGCATGCACTCATGACCAGTGCAGTCAGAAGTTAGTGAAAGTTTTTGGAAAAAAACCCGGAGGGTTTTTTCGGCCTAAAACATGCACCTGAACTGGGTAGCAAGGTGAGCTGTGACGGGGCGGGTGGGCTCCGATCAGGTCACCGACATTGCAAGTGTCGAGTGCAGTGCGTCGGACGAATGTAAGTAGTTGGATTAAGTAACAGAACTACGAAGCATTTATCTGCACCCTGAGAGAGGGAGTGGCGGGCGGGTGCAAACAAGAACGAGGCTTTGCAGCGTGTACAGACTGCAAGCCGAGTCGAAGCGGTACCGCGGATGTGGACGGGAGCAAAGAGCGCTGCGCCACATCGCTTACTAACACATAGACTAAATTCTACGCCGCCTCGTACCTCGGCTCGCTTAGAAAACCATCTATGTGTTAGTAAGCGATGTGGCGCAGCGCTCTTTGCTCCCGTCCACATCCGCGGTACCGCTTCGACTCGCACTGGTCACGAGTGCACGCCACTTACTTCTCGTGCGGCACTTAGCGCCGACACGCGTAGCACTAGTTTTCCGCGTTCAGGATGCTTAGGTAAGTCGCCATTTGAATTTCCAAGTTCAAACGTTCAACTTGCCACCAAGTACTCTGACCTGTCGCACTCGCTCTCTCAGTCTCTGAGAGTCTGTCACACTCCTTGCAGCTGGACCCTCCCTCGTGATTCCTCTCTGGCCCCTCATGGTGGTCCCTCCTCCTTGGTCCCTCCCTGGCTTCTCCATGTTCCTCCATGGTGGAACCTATCTGGCCCTCCTTGGTGGTCCGTTCACCCATGGTCCCCTCAAAATGGTCCCTTCCTGGCATGTGGTCTTTCCTTGGTCCGTCATAGCCCTTCCTCGTAGTCCTGGGGCCCTCCCTCTTTTTCTCCCTTCCTAAGGCAGGTTGCTATCAAATCTCTGTCCCTCTGCTTTCTCTCTGCTTTAGTAATACTATACATATATGCCCTGTCTTCAATTAAAATTTGATTTTATCTATAAAATAAGTGTTGAGGTATCGGTCGAGACTTACTCAGTAATGACTTGGTGTCCTTGTGCAATTGGCAGCTTTTGCCCAAGGCATTCTAGCCTTATAAATGTTTGTAACTGCTGGCGGATGTTTGCAAAATGGATCATGATTGTGCTCTTGGTGACGCAAGCTGCCTATCTAAAGCTTTCTCAAGTCGAGTACGATTATGATCATTGGATATTATTTAAATTTTAGGTTAGAGAGAACTTTACAAAGCTATATCATGTCCGGGTCAGTTCCCTGATGACCATATATACTTTCCTCATGAACAATCATAAATATACGGTACTGGCCTAGTGGATTGACTGATTCCGTATCATCGTGCGTTTCACAAAATTCAACAATGCTCCAAGTACAGCGACGGCGGTGTCTGATATGATGGACTACAATCTATCGCTTATTTTCAAGACTTCTGACCTAGGCCTACCACTTGTACATCGTGTGGGCTGACTCCACCTAGGAGTCCTCGTGACTGCACATTGGTCCTCCGAGGTGCCGATTTGCAATTGGTCGTCGAAGCACCCGCGGAATGGGCCATCCCGCAGAAGGGGCTTTAAAAAAACCGTGCTGGAGGGGGTGGATGACCATCTGATCTCCTCTAAACAAGAACGCGAAGCGCGATGTTCACGTTGCTAAACATTGCCTTGTTCAGTGGTGTTGCAATTGCACAGGCCGTCTCAATTGGCCCCACGGTCGACTTGGGATATGTAACGTACCTCGGCAACCAGTCGTACCCAAATACGGTGGCATACCTTGGGATACCGTATGCCGAGCCCCCTGTAGGCAACCTGCGCTTCCGTGCAACTGTCCCTCTGAACACGACGCGTGTCACTGAAGAGGCTAAGGGAGAGGCGCTGGTCAATGCGACCTACTACCCTGACTTTTGTATCCAAGGAACAACAGGTGGTGTGTGACGTTGCCGTCCTTACTGGATCTTCTCTCTGACCCCGCGGTTCAGTTGGGGATGCGGGAGGAGCAGGATCAGAGGACTGCCTAAAAGTCAACGTTTACTCACCCTATGGTGCCAAAGAAGGCGACAACCGTGCGTTTTAGACGTCCTGCCATGTGTGATAATTTCTCACTATTCTTATGGGTCCATGTACTAGTGCCTGTGCTGTTCTATATCCATGGCGGAGGTAACGTTCTGTTCTCAAGGACGACCGTACCTGTTTGCTCATCTCGTTGCACTGACAGGATATGTTTTTGGAAATCCACGCAACTGGCCATTTGATAGCTGGATCAATCAAAGCCCGAACGTCATCATCGTGTCTATCTATTACCGTCTTGATTCCTTCGGCTTTCTAGCCACTCCCGAGTTCACCGACCCCACGTACGGCGACTTTAATGCGGGGTTCAAGGACCAGATTCAGGCACTCAAATGGGTAAAGTCATACATCAGCAAATTCGGTGGCAGCCCGACCAAAGTGACCATCAACGGTCAGAGCGCTGGTGGCAGCTCCGTGGAGCTACACATGACTGCTAACCAGGGCGAACAGTTGTTTTCTGGCGCTATTGCGCAGAGCGTCTTCAGGACACCCCTTCCCACCCCTGAGCAACAGCAGGTATGTTAAGCGCCCGCCAGACTAAGTTACCGGGATGAGCGCCCGAACTAACGCCCATTCACAGCCCCTGTTCCAATTCTACGCATTGTATGCAGGATGTGGAACAGGTTCTGTGGCAAAGCAAATGACATGCCTCCGTGGTGCAAGCATCAACGCGCTTGCACGGGCACAGGATGCTGCAGCCCAGGGAAAATTGTGAGTTCTGTTCACTCTACGCGAAGCGCAACTGACGTGGTGGCAGTTCCGGCTTGTACGATTCATTCCACCCCGTCTTGGACGGCGTACTTATTACTGGACACCCCACGAGAATGTTCCAGTACGGTGAGTTCGTTCATGTTCCGCTTATCGTTGGGTATGTTGGCACTCGAGTCATTTCGGTACCGCGCTCCCGTTGATAACAGCATTTATAGCTCAACGTCCAATGAGACTCTTTCTGGCGGGGCGAATATATCTCTGGCACTCAAGGAATTTTTCCCATCCCTGACAGATGAAGACATTCAGGAGTTCTTGTGGCTATATCCCGCAGATGAATTTGATTCTCCGAGTCAACGTTTCCAGGTGGCCACGGGCGAACCTGATGTAATATGCGGTGTAAGTCTAAGCCTCACACCGCTGCGTAGTACCTCGAGTCATGCTTACAATATCCACATCGGATTTGTACACGTCAGCGCCAGGCCATGGGCGCCCCGTCCTCGCTATATTCCAATACTTGGGCTTATCGGTACAACACGCCTAATCCGACGAGCGGTGCCGACATTGTCGCACATTCTGCGGAGAACTGGATGATGTTTGACGGCACCAACACTGGGTATGCGTCCATCTGATTCATCCTAACTCAAAACACAGGTTGATAGAGATAAAATTTTAGTCCCAACGGCTCTACGACATTTACGCCACAGACACCCTCCGAACTTGCATTCGCTTCCGAACTCGTTGCTTACTGGCTTTCCTTCGTGCGCGCCGGCGATCCGAATGCGTACAAACTGGACAAGTCTCCGACGTGGGAGCAGTACTCTGAGACCAACCCAACCCGGATAGTCCTGATGCAGGACTTGCAAAACCTGACGGTTGTCAGTGGTAGCTATATGGAGAGACAGCCTGTTACGGAGACCGTCAGGTGTGCATTTGCAATTAGCAAGGCGCAGGCTTGTGAAAATTAGGCAGGATTGTAGTGACTCGTCTGATACATTTACATTGTTCCCCCAACGTGGATGGAGTCCGGGATTGTACCGATACATTGCCAGTGTGAATCTGCCACGAATAAGTACGTGAAGAATGAAGAGCTTCCAGTGTTATCATACAACACAGGAACCTGTCAGAGGTGACTCCGGGTGCGCGTGTATAAGTCCATGACTCCTATGATACGGCGATCAAAACCGAGTGAATAAGTGTAGTAAGATATGTATAGTAACAATTAACCCCTGTATCGTGTAAAAATCAAATACCCATCTAGGGTGCATAGTACACAGATCATATTGTAAGAGCTAGGAGAGTTGGACAGGAGAACGGATCTGGTAGAACATGTGGTCACAGCATTGGGGAAGAATCACTGCGGCGAGCGAGCTCTGGCGCCTGGAGGGGAACGAGGCCATGATACGAGTAGCATGCCATCACTCATTGCCGCTGATATAGTACTCATCTGTACGAATAGGGTCAGAGAGCTATGAAGAAGTCACTGATCTATGAAACTCACCATTGTACCGGATGGAACATCCAGTGTACGAAGAAACTTTCCGTACTTAATCTCCCTCACAGGAAAGCTTACAGACGCGGACTGGTCAGAGGGTGCTTTGGACACGCGTTCGCCAGAAATAGCGAGAAGATTATCGCGCTCGAGTGTGACTCGCACATCATCTGCTTTCATGCCAGGAAGTTCAAGCGTAGCGGTAATACGCGAGGAAGATGGGTCGTCACATATTTCCACTCTGACAATAATATCAGCAAAAATGTCTTCAACCGGTATAAAACGCATGTAATTACCTCGGTCTGAATATTACGTCGCTTCGAGATTGCTCTTGCATTCTACGCGATCTTTGTTCGTGAAGTAGACGAAAGACATATCTCCTTGCCAAGGCACGATCCAAGGCGTGGAATTGTTCTTCGGTATTCCGGGAGTGAGACAGCTTGCGAAGGGAAGAAGTGGTGGATGTCATGTAGCGATTGTTGTATGGGTAAGATTTTGCGGACCTCTCTGGTCTTTATATACATGTTTCGCAAGATCCCGGGAGAGATCGGCACTTCGACTCGATTTCGGAAGATCGGAGGTTGTGCACAGCTTAAGAACAAGAATACACAGCACTTAGGCAGGTCTGCGGGGCTACGATTCGGGTGCACAGCATGAGTAATCTTGATGAGTCCAGAGAGGAAGACTAAGCTTGCCAAGCTTAATTCAAGTTGTGGCTGATCCGTGAATAAAGACCGAGAATGCTACCATAGACAAAACTGCCCAGTGGTAGTAACTGAGTCTCGGTGACTCGAGACTCGTAGTCCTTCTAGCTAGCGCTCATTATCATGATGCGTCACTCGGGTCTTGGAGCTCGGAGTTGGAGAGCTGATTCAGCAAAGCGCCATTACATTGTTCAGATGAGTCACAGCATGTTACCAATGTCACGCGTTCTTCAGCTTGTTCCGCAATTACCAAGTTCACTCACTTTGAGCGCTTAAACGAATTTTTGACACCGTTCTAGTGACATCTCGTCTATATTACTTTCTTCGAGACTCGACACGTTTTTCGGGATGAGTAAGGTCGTTTTTGGTAGGTGTAGCATCGGATTTTGCATTGCTTTTACTAACAAGTCATTCGCTGTAGTGGGCAATGTCCCCTACAACATGGGGGAGGAAAGTTATCTGTATTTCATGTGATATCATTCCGACAGAACCTTTTATACAGGAACAACTCATAGATGTCTTCAAGTCGGTCGGTCAAGTCGTGGGCTTCAGGTTCGTATCGATACTCTCCTTAACCTGAAGCCTCAGCTCATGTCAATATTTTTTTAGACTAGTCTTTGACAGAGAGACAGGGAAACCTAGAGGTTATGGCTTCTGTGAATTTGCTGGTACATCCAATTCATTTTTTCTTTTCATACGCCTTGATGCATGTCTGACTTCAAACTGGCTCTTTTCCGCAATCCCGCCTAATCTGTGCCTCCCAACGCGTGTCTCGCTCGATTTGTCATTTTGTGTCACCTGTATCTGGTGTGCACGGACTCAAACTTGTGTTTTCGCGTTGTGCCTTGAAGATCATGAAACCGCTGCATCTGCTGTTCGGAACCTCAATAATGCCGATGTTGGTGGCCGCCCTTTACGAATTGACCTCGCCGACTCCGATCCCTTCCTCGAAGGCAAGACCACTGTGCGAGGCGAGCTGCTGGATGGGAGTGATCCAAGAGGCCGCTGGCGTGATCACCGTGAGCACCAAGACCGCGATCGTGACCGATATGATAATCCTCGCGATCACCCCAAATCGCAAGACCCAAACGCTTTCTTATCAAATTTGCCACCTGGCGTGCCCATCCCTCCTGGGTCAACTGCATTAGATACCATCAGTCAGACACTTGCAACTATGAGCCCAGCTCAACTGGTCGAAGTGCTTGCCCAGATGAAGGTGTGCTGCGGTTCGCACCGGCGAATGACACAGAATTAATGATGCATGCGCGGATCTTGTTTGTGTAGGCTTTTGTGATCACCCACCCGGATCAAGCAAGGGCGCTGCTCGTTGCGCATCCACAATATGCGTATGCTTTGTTCCAAGCATTGCTGCTGAACAAAATAGTAGACCAAAGTGTTCTTCAGGTATGTTCTCATAATTTCGGTGTGGAGTGACCGTCAAGCGAAATGGCAATTGCACAGCGTATGCTTCAAGCAACTGCGGGTAGTGGTGCTCCCCCTCCGGGAATTTCTCAACCGCCCCACCACACAATGCAATACCAACAGCCTCCACCCATGCACCAGCCCCAACCGCACATGCCTCCGCCAATGTCCGCCCCTCCTCCCACGCCAACTGCTCCGCCAAGCATGTACCCACACCAACAGCCCCCATCGCACATGTCGGCTCCGCCGCAGCAGCAATCTTGGTATCGGCCTCCTCCACACGCAGTCCCCCCGCCTCAGTCAGCTCCCATGCCCGAACTGAACATTGATCCGGCGCAAAGGGTCCGTCCTGATCTGCCTACCTGATTTAGAAACTGAAAACTCATGTGCCTGGATGTACAGCAAATGCTAATGCAGGTACTCAGCTTAACTCCAGACCAGATCAATGGCTTGCCGCCTTCCGAACGAGAGGCGATCCAGAACTTGGTATGTCTGATCCGAGTCTTGTTTGGTCATCTTCACTCACTCCCTGTCAAAGCGGAATCAATTTTTGGGAGGTATCTCAGCGTAGTGGATATCTGGAGCAAGGGCTGGAACATCTCTAGAGCCGTGAGCATTCTAAAAATAGCTACCTTCTACATCTCGTGTCTAGCCGATGATCTCCGATGGCTGCCCTTGCCTTTCGCGTTCGTAGAATGATTACCTATTCTCCAGATCTACTACGTACTATCTTTACTTACACCAACTTGTTCGCGAGACTCCGTGACTTCTTCAGCGCCAACAGTTTCTGTTCAATCTCTACAAGTGGCGCCATCTCGCCTTTGGACTTGGTGCCGACGTCATCCCGGTTTCGAACGTTAACCGAACGGCTATCAAGTTCTTCCTGCCCGACAACTAAGTTGTGTGAATATGCTATTGCTGGACAATGCAATGCTATAGGGCTCTCACCAAGAATGAAGTTGTACTGTGCAATTTCGCCATTGCGGATCTTTTTCGGTAGAGTGTCTGCTCCGTTGTCAACGTCTGCAAACAGACCCAGATCGGTGAGCCGAGTGGCTATCTCTTGAGCGTATTCTTTCTGTGAAGATGATATATGTCAGCATCAGATCGTCACATACCATCGGAGTATACTCACATATGGCACAGCGACAGGAATGACAACCACTTGACGAGGCGAAAGCCAGAAAGGCCTTGACTCGTCGTGAGCCAAAGGTTAGAGAACATGATCGGAGCAAATGACTCACCATTTCCCGGCAAAGTGCTCCGTGATGATCGCAATGAAGCGCTCCAAGCTTCCCAAGATCGCACGATGGATCATGACAGGACGTGAAGGAGGCTTATCAGGGTTTGTCATCTCGTCCGCGGAGCGATACTTCAACTCGAATCGCTCAGGGAGTTGGAAATCGAGCTGTATGGTCGCACACTGGAACGATCGGCGGAGGGCGTCACGGATAGTAATGTCTATCTTGGGACCATAGAATGCACCATCGCCAGGGTTGACTTGCCATTTGCCTGGGTATTGTTTATCGAGTGCTTTGGTAAGTTGCTATAAATTCAAGGCAATAAGTTTGCCAGTCGTGGTGTGCTGTGAAGGGGAAACATACCTCTTCCGCAGTATTCCAAGTCTCGATGGTGCCGAGATAGTTATCAGGACGAGTAGATAGCTCGAGGTGGAACTCGAAACCAAAAAGACCATATATGTGCTGCATGAAATCAAATAGCAAACCGATCTCATCTTCGATCTGCGAGGGCATGCAGAACACGTGCGTGTCATCCTGCACGAACCGTCGAACACGAGTAAGACCGGTGAGAGCACCAGAAGCCTCATTTCGGTGGATGATACCAAATTCTGCCATGCGAATGGGAAGTTCCTTGTAACTCCGATCCCGGGAATCGAAAATGAGGCAGTGACCTGGGCAGTTCATGGGTTTTAATGCCCACTTCTCTTTCTCCACGTCAAGGGTGAACATGTCGTCCTTGTAGTTCTGCCAATGCCCAGAAGTCTCCCACAGCTTTGAGTTGTACATGTTCGGGGAGATGACTGACAGATTGCTCAGCACCAGATGTCGTTGGAATTATCCGTTGACTAACCTTCTTGGTATCCACGTTTCCAGTACTCGGACTGTGCTGATGTCAGTTATGCTCTGACTACATTCCGGGCTTGAACGCACCCTCATCAACTCAATCAGAGAGTTATAGATTCGAGTACCATGAGGGAGGAAGAAACAACTTCCAGGACTGAGGTCATTGAAGAAGAATAGTTCTTGTTCCCGACCGATCTTGCGGTGATCACGTTTCGCAGCCTCGACCAAGAATGCTTTATACTCGGTCAACTGCTTTTTATCTGGGAACGAGATACCGTAGATGCGTTGCAATGAGTCGTTGTTTGCATCGCCCAGGAAATACGATGCAGAGTTCTACAAGAACTCAGTCAGAGCACTACTGAGTGAATTGCAGACCATATTTGCCTTGGTGACCATGAATGCCTTGATCTTGCCGGTGTGTGGTATATGAGGACCGACACAAAGATCTACCATCGGTCCACAACGATACACGGTGGTAGAGGTGCCGTCTGGAATCTTGGTCTCGATCAAGTACTTTTTGTATTTATTGTACTATCATGGTGTTAGATGAGTGTGTGTTCTAGAAAATATGGAAGGACATACGCTGAACATCTTTAGTAGATCCTCTTTCGACACTACGAGGCGTTCGAATTTCTGCTTGTCTTTGACAGCGCTTTCTGAAATCTTCTCCAAAGCGGGGTAATCTGCATTGGTAACAGCTCTGCTGCAAGTGAATAGCTGACCATCATAGTGTTAGCCACAAATTATTACCTGTCCTCAATAGCCATTTCGTAGAAGAAACCATCGTCGGTTGGGGGGCCAATGCAGAGATGACAACCGTAATGCCTCTCAGCGGCTTCACCCAAGACATGTGCCGACGAATGCCAGAAGACTCTCTTCCCTGCAATCATTGATCATAAGATGAAAAGGCGGCTATATCTCTAGCATACCTTCTGGATGTTCAAAGTCTAATAATTCTAGTTGACACGAAGCCTCCAATGGTCGTTCTAAGTCCCATAGATCACCATTGACCTGCACGAACCATGTCACAATCTAAACATCGAGAGACAGAGTCGCGTACCTTTGCGATTACAACTCGTTCCGACAGACTCTTTGACACTTCTTTTGCAACATCCATAGGGCTAGTCTCCCAACTAGTTCCCTTGCGCTCCGAACCATCAGGCATCGTGATCACGATCTCCTCCCGGTGCTGAGCTGAGACTATGATCAGCACAATTGATCTCAGGATGGATGACATACATACTTTTCACAAATTCATTATATTTTGCGTGCAGCTCTTCGAACAGCTTGATGCGATGATCGAAAAAGCCTGGCGGTGGTTGGAGCTACTCTGCGGTAAGTTAAAGTCGAAAGAACGTGTGCAAAGATCGCTGACTTCAAGTGGATATTGAGATGCTGCTGCCGCCGCCTTGTCCTTCTTCTCTTTTGGTTTCTTCGCATTTCCAGCGTGTGGTCCGTCGAGGGCGGGTATCTGGACTGGCTGCGAAGAAGACGCGACTGAAGTAGCCATGGCTGTCGAATAAGCACGGAAAAAACTGACTTGTGGCCTATAGATGCAAGGAAAATATATACAACGGGCTAGATATGGGGAAGCCCGAGTCAGAGATCTGAGCATCCGAGTCAAATCTGTTTTTGGTACGATGCTATCGAGTCAGGGTTTGACGAACTTTGACGCGTGATCTTCGAGTCACCCTACCCGACAATTTTCGTGAAATTTGGTGAAATTACTCAAGAGTCAAAGCACTACTGTAGATATCTAGACTGCAAAGTGCAGTGAAGCAAGTAAAAAAAAACACACACAAAATAGATACGCAAAGTACTAGTCGGCGCTTCCGACCCTCCACACTTTGATCACTCCTGCTCGGTCGGCACTCACGATGCCTCCTCGGAATGGGGAATCAATGCAAGCCAAACACGTCACGATATCCTGGTGTGACTTGAGAAGGTTCTGTTGGTTGTGACTAATCATTGACATCCTTTGCGGAGGTCGATTGCTCTGACTTGCTGAGCTGGATGAATGTGCCCATGTCTCAACATTACTAACATACGGCGAACCATCTGAGGCACGCACAGTGCTTGAAGTCATAGTGAGCAGAGGATCTTTTGTGAAAACAGAGTCCCTCACCTGTAAGATGGCTTGTCATGTTCTGACTCTGGGCCAGCCACAATAGACGTTCGTTCTAGTTTACTGAGATCCCACAGTCTAATCCTTCTATCCTCCGAACCTGTAACCATGAACCCCTTGGAATTCCGGCTCGACGTGGGGACGTCGACCGACAAATCCACGATTTCGGACCTATGCACGCCGGAATGTCCGAAGTCGACTCCAGCTACTATTGCACGAATATCATGTGAGGGTGCCGGAAGCGCCTCATCAAGCCGGGCGTTTTGAGATGGTCCTCCATTCTTGCTGGCATTGGCGTGCGCAGTCCCACCTGGGTATCTAGTATTGACAAGAGCCGCGATGGCCGCAGCTGGGCTCTGTGAGGCCTCCACTGCCGAATGCTCTATAGGTTCGGGGGCGCACTCTGTTGGCGTAGACGTGGTTCTTGTCATATAGCTCTCCATCAGAATACCGTTTTTGATGTCCCAGACCTCAATGAGGCTTATGGGTGAAGACTCCAGACCACCCTTCCAGCTCTCGACAGCAACCATTACCCAACTCCCTTTTCCCTTTGTGGGATGGATGACGCATTGGTTCACTCTCGATTTTCCTGAGGTAGTTTTGCCGACTTGCCAGCTCTTGAGAAGCAAGCCAAAGCGCCGATCCCAGAGTGAGAGCACGCCCATAGAAGTGCCCACGAGAATCCATGTGCGTTTGCGGTCCAAACACATACAAGTGATGGGTCCAAAATGACGCGGGTTTTGCATGTGCTGCAAGACTCGCATGGTCCGCAAGTCCAGAATGGTGATGACAGAGTGCGTTGTCGCAAAGACAAGATTTGAAGCGACATCTGATCAAAACCGTTTCACCAAACGGGTTGAAACGAGATAAATCAATATCTTACCTGAATTGTAGTGGACCATGCATGTAATATATTCGCCAGGCGAGTCCACTCGATATTCTCGAATGGTTTGAAGCTTTGCATACTTCGGCAAAGACCCACTTTGATTGACGTGCACCCTGATGACATGCAAGCTCCCATCCTCTGCTGCGCTGGCAAAACAATGCACACCCTCCAGCATGCAAACGTACTTGACACGCGCATGATGCTGGCTGTACGTATGCCGCGGCTTACTTGTCACACTCCGTTCCAGCCGTGCAGTATCCCATACTTTGACAGTCATGTCATCCGAACATGAAACAAAGAATGCATGGTCTGGAGATACAGCCAGCGCAGTAACGCAGTCGGTATGAGACTGTAGGTGAGCGATGAGGGTGGCTTCTGTTCGCCGACTGCTGCTGTCGCGTGTAATAAAGCTTTGTCTGGCTGTATTGCGTCGACGAACAGGTCCTTCATGCACTTTTGGACCGAAGTCATGCTGCAGCTCGCGGTTGTTGTCCGAGTAGATATTCTCGAGCAGATTGTTAATGCCAGGTTCCGGTCCATCTGTAAATCATGTGAAAGATGTGAGCGGTGAGCAATTATGGTAGCTTTCAACATACCGTAGGTCGAAATAGGGAGCATGGAGGATATACGGGGTCTGTTCACACCTCTCGCAGTTCCAGCAAGTGAGATCGGTGACGATCTTCCCGACCGTTCTGGAGAACCTTCTGGACGCATCTTAGATGGCGCCTCCAGTAAACCCACTGCATTCGTATTGGATGAGCCAACCGCAGGAGCAGCTTTCTGCCCGTCTGTGCTTCCGACATGCAACCTGTGCGTAGTCCGGACAGTCGATGAATTGGTAGCAGACACCACCGAATCTGTTGGGCTGCTCGGGCGATCATGTCCCGGGGGCTGAGCAGGAAGCGCGAGAGTTGCTGGCTGCGAAGTGGAAGGCGGAAGGGAGGGGGATTGCACTGCCTGGCGTTCCCGAGCAGCAGCGGTGAGGTTAAGCGATGATGAAGAGCCATTGATAGCAGCTAATCTCCGCTTTAGGTCTTCCAGCGCAGGATTAGTTGCTCCATGGTCGACACTAGAAGCCCTGCTCATACGTGGCGTACCGAGGCGTCCTTGGAAGTCAAGCCTGCGCGAATAGGATGTCAAGCGAGAAGGTCTGGGCGTTACAGTCATATCGGACGTAGAGGACTTTGACTTGAGGAAGACCGTCTGAGGAACGACGGATAATTTCTGCAGTTCAACGTCTCCCATCGAACGAAGATTCTTTTCCAATTCTGGTTCTGTTCTTGGTCTGGATGCGAAACTACCAGAAGATCGATCAAAGAAAGCCGTAAATAGTAAAAGGTGAACCAACCTCGATGCATTATTGGCAAGTTTAAGGACATAGTCCCGCATTGCCGTGAGCTTCATCTCATCAGCAGGTGTCATACCAAGGTTCTGCAATTTCAGCAACTGCACCTTCGTCCCTGTTGCATATATCAGCCCCGCCATGGCTTTAAATAAACCCACTCACTCTTCTGACTTATTCCGCCCAATACCGCCGGTCCCTGCCTTTCGCATGGAAACTATGCTTTCCTTTGGCGATTCCATCTTCGAAGCTGGTTTACGATGTCCCCTCCAAAAGGTCGTCTTCTCCGCCCTCATTGCCCATTGCACAGCGCCATCAAAAACGGGACGTGGTATCTGAAGTCATGAGCAGCGAACCTAGATCTATGAAATTCGGCTTACTGGTGCCTTCATTGCAGACAATAGACTCTGCTCTTCAATCTCCTTGACGTCCGAACGCAAAAGATGGCGCAACGAGGGGTACAGGATGCACCACACGTCGCTTTGAGGTAGGCATTTTGCTGCAGCTGCGATAAAGGAAGCTGCACCTGAAGTTACACAGATTAGGCAGTCTCCTGCCATCAAATGAACGTGTAAACCATACCCTGTCGTATCCAATATTGGGGTGGTAGAAAAACGGGAGAGTGGCACTCATCAGCTCCCAAATGCGCATCTTCTGGAAAAGACCCAACTCGCAAAGGCTAGTGAGGGCGGCGAGTACCCGCGCTACCACAGTTTCTTCCACATCTAGAACCAGAGGCGTCAGAAGTATTCAACTACAGATGCCGTCAACTTTACCAGGAAAGTGCCTGTACCATCAGCGGCAGGATATATTCAGTCCAGGCTCCTACCTCCAGCACACGCCGCGACATCGACGATGCTCTCAAAAAATGCATGGCGGAGGTGCCAGTCTCGGTCGTTCAAGTACGTGATCATATGGCTCAAGACGACATCGTTTGTTCTTTGGCCGCCAAGAAAGACGCAAAGCGCGTTGATATTGTGCAGCACCGCTCTCTTGACAATGGGAGAGGGATCCATGAGAAGCGTTGACAGCTGTTCCTGGATGGAGAGGAGGAGGTCTTGTTTCATGACGTCGTACGAGACCTATCATCAAGACTCAGATGTAAGACAGAGCAAAGAGAGCTTATATGACTTGCCTCGAAGTGCGTTTCCTCGTACTCCTGTCTGTCGCCATTGATCCCAGGAGAAACACCGTGTGCCTTGAGAGCTTGTCCCATCTCAAGGTAGCGGTCGGCAGTCTGAGCGAGGGGAGCAATGCACTGCGCATACATTGCCCGAACAGAAACCTCTGGATCTTGCACGAGGTAACGCACATTCGGAATGATATACTCTGGAAAGATTGATGCGTTCGAAGGAGTGATAACATTTACTTGAGTCAGCTACACAAAGAATTTACTCGTGAGCACAGCGGAATTAATGACATAAGGGGTACGCACAATCTGAACCAACGTCCTTACTGCTGCTGCCCTAACTATTGCAGCCTCATCACGCAACAACTCTACGATGTATGGCACGGCTCGATCAAGCTTCGCCTCATCAGTCAGCCGAGTCGATAGAGCGAGCAATACATCTAGAGCACGGAGGCGAGACGAAGGGAGAAGGCAGTTACGGATATTGGCTAGAACGAGGGAGAGAAGTATGAGCGCAGGACCATCTTCAGCGGGAGTTGGGTGTCGATTTGAGGAATGAGACGGAATATGCAAGGAGACAGGAAAGATATCCTAAAAGCAATGTGAGACGATGTACCAGCTTTGCCCGACGCTAAACACAACGCATACCTGGAAAGGTTTGGAGGGTCCAGCGGAATGGCTGCCGAACTCAACTTGACATCCATCACAGTCTTCTCGACATCTGCGTCGTCAATGAGGTACGGGTCCACATTCTCATAGTCCTCCCAAATTCGCTCCAACCTATGGTCGCTATCACTAGGAAGTACACTATCATTCCCATTTCCACCAGCAGCCGTTGCCACTGTCTCCTTGCTTGGCGCTTTAATCGTTGTACTGGGAGTAGCTCCAGGAAGATTGGAGGGAGCAGCATTCGACAAGGAGAATGACGAGGAGGGAAAAGGAAGCGAAGAAGGACGTTCGCCAACGGAAGCCACATACTCGTGCAAGAACGAGTAGAAACACTCGGGCAAGACGGTGCCTCGTGCACCTGCCAGGAGCGTGTCAAAGGTTGGTCGTGCTGCAGGATCCAATGAAATCATTTGTCTGATCATCGACTAAATCATAGAAGACAGGTGAGCTTCGAAAGAAAATGGGGACTGGTCGTCACTCACTCGTATACCTTCATCACCTATTGCCAAAAGTTGGGCTTCTACACTGTATTCTCCCTCCCGATACTTAAACAGCTGACTGAGCGAGAAAAGAGACGCGCCCTCAAGAAACACTTCCGCGATGACACAGCCCACACTGAAGACATCCATCGCCTCGGTCACCATGGGCTCCTTCCTTTCGCCTTCCTCGTTTGCCCACGCTTTCCTCGTCTCTTTCTCCGCCTTATAAAATCGTTCTGGGGCGACATAGCAAATCCGCCGTCCACTGGTATCGAAGAAGAATGAGAAGTCTGAAGGATCATCTAGAGGGAGGCGCGTAGGTTTCAATGAACCAGCAAAGTCGGTCACATAGATCCAATTTGACGACGTGACCAGGATATTTGTCGACTTGATATCTCCATGAGGGGTTTTGTGCAGATGTGCTTGAGAGAGTGCGGTGAGAAGTTGGTAAGCAATCCATTTCTTCTCAATGATAGAGAGGAAGGGTCGAGTACTGAATAAATGAGCACAAAAATAAAGACACGCGTCTCAGGTCACACCTTATACGATCATACAAGTTACTTCCGGCCCATTGACGAATGAGGTATCCCGCTTTCTCCGTCTCAAAGAATGTTTGGTAGGTGTAGATATTTGGGATATCCAGTAGAGCCTCCCTATCCGCTGCTCGAAATTAGCAGGGTGTACGTGGCGCCTTGAAACCACGTACCCTTCAGCTTTCTTTGGTAGGTTCTGAGATTGATTCCAGGGTCTTGTTTGATGAATATCTTGACAACAAGGTATCCATTTCGGTGTCTACATTTGACAGTCTTGAGGAAGCGCGCCTGATTGAGTCTATGCAGAAGGGTAAGAGTGGACGCGAATGTCAGAGGTGTATGTGACGATGGCTCACCCCTTGTCATACACAATGTCTCCTCCCAGCTCGGTCACAAATGAATCCAATGCTCCACTTGTCCTTGTAAGCGTAGAGCCCGACTGCACGTTCCCCATGTCTGCGCCTACTTCTCTCAGTTAATATAAGTTCGGGATCCAGCAATCGTCCAGGGGCTTCGGTACAGCGAGGCTCGATTCCTAGGCTCTGGTATTATGCATCAGTAAAATACCACGTTACTTAAGCTGCCTTAAACAGACTTAACTCGCACTTACTGATATGTCTGCAAGATAGATGCCCGGAATAATTCGTAGCACTGTATTCTGCCGATGAGTCTCCAAATGTCCAACAAGTCGTCGAAGATTAATGGAGTATGACACGAGAGTCGAATTATATTGAATAAATGATTATAAAGTTGGTCGCAACACAATCGGGTGGAAATACGCGTAGCCTTGGGTAGATTCGCTCCCTTGTCACGACTCAGCAGAAGCCTTGATTGTGGATGGTCGACCGGTCAAGCTTAAGACTTGCTGTCCAAAGTAAACTTTCCACGCGGTATGTCAGCAATGATGAAGCTGAGCCCAGAGCGACTCGGAGAGTGGCAGCAAGTCTTCCGATTTCCGACATTCATCCGCTCAGCTGGTTTGCTTCTGCACCATCATGTCAATGGAATCGCTTCAATTGCAACCTTCAGAATCTCTTTTGGAACTCTTTTCAAGGCCTCAAAATTTTGCCCTAAAGCTTTCTGATGAACTTTTGACCCCAAGTTCATGTCAACTGCACACACGTTCAGTAACAAGCATTGTGTATATGTCATACAGGCTTGACTACATGGCATAGGACTGATAACTTGTACCTCCTCGGTCCCAAGACTGGCATATGAGAAAAAGCATCCGCGAGCTGTTCCAACCATCAGTGCGCCTGTGTCTCGTTCACCACGAAAGCTAACTTACAAATTCCGTTATGATTGTTGCGGTGCTGGTGAAGCATTAATGGTTAGGGCCCCCACTCGTGTTCTCCGTCATGTTTGCAGTCATACTACCAGATGGCCCGGGCTGAGTTTCGACGAGCTGGCTGGAGTCTTTCGTTCGCTCCATTTCCTTCCTTATTTGCTCGTCAAAATGATGTTCATTGAAAGAATCCCGGCAACAACCGCGACAGCACTTTACAATTCACATTAGCGCCAATCGCATCTACTTCAACAATGAGCTTACATAGTTAGATGTCAATACGGAGAACGAACTTGTGCTGCACCAAGCTGCCGGAGCAGTTGTCAGCACGATGCCTGTGTTAATATTTTGGTCAATGCATTCAGATTGGCGGAACGCGGTTTGGCGTACAGCAGCCTCCGCATAAAGAACCCAGACAGCTTCCTGCGTCTGACATGACTAGTCCTACGTCTGAGAAGCAATTCAAAGTACCTGCAAGGTTGTAAAGGTGTAGATGCTAATGATCAAGCTTCAAGTGCGGAACATTGAATGCCCGTACTTATAGGTCGCCAATACGTGGCTCTAACTTACTATAGGAAAGGTTCGCCTGCCCAAGTTGGGCGAAACACAGTTTGTTGTCCTACTATAACTTGCATGTCCAAAGTACACGTTGAACGCGGTAGATGCATCGGAAGCAAGGTCTCCCGAATTCCGGCATGTTTGCTTCCGCAATGTCATGTCAATGATGTCGCTTCAATCGCAACCTTTGCAACGTGCAGATTCTCTTTTGGACTCTTTCCTTGGAAAGAGGTCTCAAGGTCTCGAAGTTTCATGTCTCAAAGCTTTCTGAAAAGCCATGTCCACACGTTCAGCACCGAATCGTGTTCAAGTAGACCACTACGTAGTAGTACACAGCATGTCCGAGTCCGAGTCCGAGTCGTAGTTCTGATTATGTGCTGGTGAAGCATTCTTAAGGGCCCCACTCGCGCCTTCCGTCGTGTTTGCAGTCATACTAGTAGATGGCCCGGGCTGATTTTTGACAGGTTGGCTGGCGTCTTTCGTCCGTTCCATCTCCTTTCTCGCTTGCTCGTCGAAATTATCTTCATCGAAAGAATCCTTACAACAACCTCCACAACACCCTTGCAAACCGCAGCATTTGATGTTAGCGCCAACCGCATCTATTTAATTAATAAACTCGGTGAGAAGGCGCCGGCCTAGTGAGAACGAACTTGTGTTGCACCAGACTCCTATAGCAGTTGTCAGTGCGATGCCTGCATTAACGTTGGTCAACGAATGCAGATTGGCGGAACATGTTATGGCGTACAGCAGCCTCCGCATAGAGAACTCAAACAAGTTTCTGCGTCCGACATGACTGATAGATGTGAAGCAATGGACAAAGTGTGCCCAAGGTTGCGAAGGTGTAGATGGAATTAAGTGCAGAATGCCCGTGCTTATAGGACGTTGCCGACACTCCGTTTCAAATCGACTTACCCCAGTAAAACGATCGCGTTACACGTACCTGGCGCTAAACACAATTTGTTATCATAAAGGGGAAAGGGAATCCACAAGTTTATGGTCACATCTGTCCCTAAGGTCGCCGACAGTACACAATGCTATGGGTACTCGCAGTACGATGTCACAGGCTGCAACAGATTCATCAGCCTTGTATATGTGCAGATAAGAACCAGCACTGCCTCACACTTATTTCAACGGGATCGGCTTGTCTGTGGAGCTTCCCGAGTTCATGTCTTCTATTGGTGCAGGTTGAGCATCAACAAGCCTTCGAGCAGCAGCCTCTCTGCGTTCCGTATCTTCCTTGAGTTTCTGCTCAAAATTGTCCTCATCCAAGGAGGACTCGAAACAACTATTACAGCACCCGCGTGGGCCACCACAACATTTGCAATCAGCGCCGAATGCATCTTTAATAGTCCGTGCTTAAGATATGACTGATATCAATGATACAGACCAAGGGAGACTCACGGATGTCACACCATTGTTGGAGTGAAGTCGTGATAACCACACCTAATTGTCGGTGCGCGATTAATGGAGAAGGATGATTTGAACGGCATGACCTACAGCAGGAGGCGCATAATACAGCCAGACAGCTCTCTGCTAACTGATTGTTGGACATGAAACAGAAATCGTATCGAACACAAAGGGAAATGGAATTTTTGGGAATTTGGGGTGGAGCCTCTACTTAGTACATATCATTAGCAAGAGTTACTTATTTGCACACTGCCTTGGAACGTTCAAGGAAGCACCGTACGATCTATGCCTAATGGGCCGGCCGCTTCCGACTCGTTGATTCCAAGTCAGGCCATTCTAGGCTTGCACGATTCCGACAACATTCGAATTACGTACGGTGATGAGTACAGTAACATAATGAGATTAGAATGAGCTCAAGTAAGAAGCGGAGTAAGTCTTGACCGAATGGAAGTTGAAGAGAACATAACTTGAAGCTTGAAAAAGAGAAGTGAGCCGCCACATTGGAGCATCAAATATTATCACGAGAGCGAATTCCTGAACGGGGAGATGCATCGAGGATCAAAACTTGCCTTGACTACACTAGGCCGCCATCCGAACTGATTGGATTGTCGCAGCCTAGTCTGTCGGTCGTGGACATGATCGGTCTTGGATGTTGAGATCTCAATACCCCCGAACAAGACGATGGTCATCATGGGCTGGATAAGTGGCATAGGACAAGCTTGTCTTCCACTCGTTGCGATTGACCAGAGTTCATAGGCTAAGGGCTTCCGACTTCGGTATGGATGTAAGTAAGCTGGGGATGATGGCTTTAGATTGAAGACCAGTTATAGTCGAGTAAATGATTATTTAAACTCCAATTTTCAAGGTAATAAATAAGGAATCCTGCCTTAGCTCGATCATTTCAAGAACTTACACTTATTGGTTCTATTTGACCACCATGATATCCGCCGACGGCCTAGAGGCAACTTGGACATTTGCTCAAGCATTTACTTCTTCTTTCCAAGCGTCTTGTTCTGGTAAAACCCGAATTCACCTCTACACCTGCTCCACTGACACTAGCCCGTAGAACTTGCCTCTCGTCTTAAAGATGCAAATGCAGATTCCGTACACTCCATCGCTGGAGAAATACAGGCTCTCAACAAGCGTTTGACTGAAGCCACGGGGAGGCTTCCAAGCTATGATCAAAGACAATGCGAACTGGTGCGTGCCCTGTGTCCGATTTTGATATCTGAGGTGACGAAATCGGAAAGCAACTCAAAGCATTAGAAAAGTCACTCGAAGGATTACGATCATTGGCCGCAGGGAAAACGAAATTCGCCTTTAAACGGAAGGCTAAGATACCATCATCAGCATCTGCAGAGACTGCGGCACAGCCTACTCCTGTGATTGCACCAGCAATACCTGTAACAATCATATCTAGTGCCTCCAGAACGATATCAGACCGCTCCAATTGTTATCTCTCTAGATCGTGCCTTTCTGGCACCAGCACATCCGCGGATCAAATAGAGGTGTCTATAACAAGAATATCGAGCGGCATTTTGAATCTTCTTGCGACTAACTGATGAGTCAACCCTGTCTGCTGTTTCCCTCTCAGCGCTCCACATCCGCGATATTCAGAATTCAATTCTGATTCTCGGGACCGTCGATGGAAGTATCATGTTACACGACCTAACAAATTGCGTGGTTGTTGCTAGATGTCACCAGGTAGGGATATCTTGTCTGTGCATGTTGCGCGTTTTATGCCTCTACTGTGCTCCAGTTTAGGATGCACAATTCTACTGCCGTCGATGCGTATCTTGACATTACGTCGAATCCAATCATCGAGAGCTGTGATCATGTGAGGTTCGGAGCGTACCCGAGCGAGCTGAAGGTCCGTTATTTCTCATATATTTAATTGCGTGACAATGCCGACGTTACCTCAGACAACCGCTGATCAACAACCTCTGGTTGTCAACGACCGTACCGAACTCCCTTTCTTGCCCCAGGATTTCTCTCATATTCGCGCCACACCATCACCCCATTGGAGAGCGCTGGAAGAAGACGAGCTGGTTCATGACTGGCCCCTTTCAGAGAACCATTACGCTGTCCAAGTCGGAAGGGCGCTGCCTCGTCCCCAAACATGACTGTTATCGCTTTAATATAGTACATGCAGTAGTACTCACAAGCCCGAGGGATTTGATCACCGATAACACTTCCCCAAGCTGAGGTTCTTCAGTGATACTAATAGCAACACACGTACTCCGAATTTCATGTTGATAAGAGCACTCTCTTCATGCTTCTGCGTGACCCTTGGGCAAGCACGTGGGTAGCTCGAGAGGAAGTCACATTGCTAGCTGGAAATATACCTGCGTGGATGACTTGGAGAGGGGAAGGGCGGAAGGCAACTCAAACCGAACTTGTCTTGCTGATTATTGTAAAAGGAGCGTGATTCAGAGTCAGATGCAAAACAATGCTTTTCACCAAGTTACTGTGTTCCTTCTTCTCTGCTAGGCTAACAAGCCGACCTCTCGCATCGTTGGAATTGAAGGAACACGCTTGCACAATGCTAGGAGAGACTACTAATGATCGTGGTAAGTTCTGTTGACAGTTGCAACACGCACGTGACTGAACGCGGTCGCGACAGTGCCTGCCCTGAAGTGTTGGTTGTTGAAGGCATACTTTGTGTTTTCTAGATTCTGATGCTTGTACTGACCTTTTGACAGCGACGGCGACGACGATCTAGTACTGACAGAAGAAACGCGGGCGATGTCGAGCTTCGACCCGCGCTCACCAGGTTTTGGCACGACGACATATTCGTCTATCTCTGATTCTGATTCTGGTCGGTGGCATGTCTTTCCCAACCCCGCATTTTACCAATTCTCTATCCAGATACCCCTCGCGCATCTACAGACTCATCCGCTTCACCAGGCCTCCTCCGACGCGTTGCTTTTAGTCCTCCCCCCTCTCCCTCTGACCGCAGCTACGATGGCCATGGTTACGATGACAGTTTTGCAGAACACGCTGAAGTCGAAGCAGCTCTAACAGAACTTGACCTTGACGCTGAGATCAATGCTACTCAGGACGCTGTCTCCCAATGGTCATCTTCCCGGCCATCCTACACGTCATTCACTACATCTACTCCGTACACCTGGTACAGGTTCTCACACTGGCACGTCGTACTCGGCAGACACCGCAACAGCAACAGGCACTTATTTTACACGCGACCCCCGGATCCTGAGCACAATCTCAGAACGCACCGAGAACCCTAGCCGACCGACCTCCTTTGCCCAGAACCGTCTGTCTGCACATCGCCTAAGCACAATCTCCAACCCACATGCTCGGTCGGCGACTGAAGCCACTGGCAATGCCAACAGACTCAGCACGCATTCCCAAGGACACACACGTGGCGCCACAGATATACCCACAACTAGCCGTCGCACGGGTGATCTTATTGCATTCTTCGAGGACCGCTCGGGTACCCCCGGCAAAGAAAGAGAGAGGACTACCAGCCCATTTTTACCTACCACTCAGAGCACGCCTCATTTAGGGAGTACCACCGGGTACACCTCGACTGGATACGGCTATACCACAGGATTTACTTCGACCGGATACGGATATACCACAGGGACAGGGGACAGGGGCGTATACCACCACGGGATACACCACTTCCCGCCCCTCCTCTCCCGCTAAAAGCAGATCTTCAGATTCACGCTCCACAGTCTCGACTTCTTCAGGTGGAGGTGGGACCGACCTCAGCTTGTCGAGTTTGTTAAGTCCGCCAGTGCGCGGGTTTGGCACGCCTACTGGGACGTTCAGTGGCAGTGGAACAGTGACGGCGACAGCGAACCTGACAGGGAGGACACAACTAAGCCCGAGCGATTTTGCGAGTACGTTTTCGAGTGCCTTTGGGGTTGCTAGGGGTGCGTGTGTCAATGAGTCTTCAAGCCTCAACTTCTTTGTGCTGACATTCCTGTCAATCCAGGGAGACATGATGACACCACGCCCACGCGCCAAACTCAGACCGCTCTGCGTCGCAGCACCGCTCCTCAGAATGAGACCAACACGAGCCCCAGGAGCCCCTTGACGAGCGTGCGGAACATCGTAGCGGCGTGGAAGGAACGCACGCCAGGGATAGGGAAAGCGAAGAGTGAGAGCAGTGAAGGCGGGAGCGCGATGTCTCCGGCTCCAGTACCAAAGGTGCGTGACTTTGCAAGTTGGCGTACACGCGTGCTGAGGGGTGTAGATGGAGGGTTTGTTCTCCCTTCGCAGACGCGCGTCGCGTCAGGGACCGCGTGGACAACTGCCGGTGACGCCTGACAGGAATGTTGGAATGGGCAACGTACACGGAGGCAATAACAGGAACAGGGAAAACGAAGGAATATCGGGCAATGGAAACAATGTACCGAGGAGGAGAGTGAGCTCCGCGAGCAGCCTCATACCACCGCCTTTTGATATGACTGATCTGGGGTCAAGGGAGAATCGGCAGGTATGTCCTATTCTATTTTTAGCTTTAAGTTCTCATCTCACTGTATTCCTTATACGCAGCCCATCCGCATAGGCACCCTCTGGTATCTCAATGTTCACTCCCCAACACCATACCGTTGGGTAAAATGCTCTGCACTGCTCTACCCGCACGTGCTTATTCTTTCTTGGAGCGCTCCTGGAGGCGGCCGGGGTGTAGTGAGCTTGGATTTGATCAATTGTACAGAAGTAAGGAGTACCCCTGGTTTTACGCATCCTGGAGCGAGAGGCGATGTTGGGGGAGTGAGCGCGGCAGCGCAGGTACGTGTTCTCACGTGGTGATGGGATGGAGAACGCTGATCATAGAATATGTTGGTAGGTGACTGATGATGGCGTGAGCCTATTGGAAGTGTTGTGTCCATTCCAGTTGTTGTATGGCGATGGTGTCGAGCGACTTGCGGCGGAGAGCGCGAGGGAGAGAGTAAGATGGGTGAGTGCAATTTGGTGAGTAATTCGCGATGCCATTAGAGTTGGGCGATTCTGATGGGTATCTGATTGACCTACATGATAATATGTGAACAGGGAAGCACTGGACCGCTCCTTATCGCTCCCAAGCCGCTCCCAATCTGGTTCTCCCACAGGCAGCATAGGCACCATTCTTTCCATTACCTCTACCACATCCACCTCTGCCGGGAGCAGGAGTACAGTCTTCGTGCCCCCCCTGCATACGATCCCGAGTCTGTCAGATTTGGGCAGTGATTCCGGAGGGCTGAGTCCTGAGTGCGAGTAGAGTGCCAAGTGTGGGTGGCCATGGACTCACCAGAACCACGGATGATACATCGTACCTGTACCCCTCTGACCCGCGCATCATCGCTCCATCCCGATCGTCATCCTTGCGCCGCACTTCATCTCTTACAGATCTCGACGAGGAGTTCGCTAGTGCTGTATCGCGTGCTCGTTCTGCCAAGCCCGGTCTAGGCTTTGGGTTGAGCTTGGTCAACGACGCCTTCAGTTCAGAGAGTGGTGGGATACTGGGTGTGGGAGAGGGAAGCCCTGTGACAGTGAGCAGTGGCCCTAGATTGGGAAGCGATGTTCGAGTCACCCCGCCTCCTACTGGGAAGATCAGGAACCGAGTGCTCAGTGTCAGTGAGGAGGAGTTCTTCAGCGCTGGCTCACGCACCTCCAGCGCGCCTGGCTCTCGGTTCGACTCGGACTTTTACTCGGCAGACAGTTCTAGGACGACTAGCAGCGGGAATGGCAGCGGTGGCCGAACAACGACAGGCTTAGTGACAGACGAGACGGCATTTGAGTTCACGAGCGGCGGGTCGAATACGCAGATCGTGCCGAGCACTCTGAGCTATAGACGCACGGAGAGTAATTCGTACCTTGGAGACTCGCATGACGGGAGCGGGAGCTATACGCCTTACACGTCGAGCGATGGGCGTTCGCGGACACCGTTCTCGTCGAGCGATGGGAGGTCAAGAACACCGTACACCTATTCCTCTAGTGGGTACACGAGCAGCACGCCCTATACATATACGAGTGGCAGTTATGCCCCTACCCCCAGTTCGCCATCTCTATCTCGTACTCCTGAGGTTCGGAGACGGCGGTATGGTGCATACTCTACAAGCGAGGAACCCTCTGACAGGGAACACTCTACGACAACGAGGTCGACGCTGAGCGGATGGACAAGGAGCCGGACACCCACGACGGCGACAGAAGGATTTTTAGCCGTGGAGGAGAAAGACAGCAGTGGGAGCGAGGGGTACACCACAGCGCACGCCTCACCTAGCCCGAGCACTGCGTCGTTCAAGAGCCTGCCAACGATCCCGAGCGAGTCAGACTATCAAACATTGGACACGTGCAAAACCTGCGTGAGCACAGAATTCGTAACTGCTGAGCGATGCGTGAGCGACATAGAGACAGAGTATGTCACAGCGGAGAAGTGCAAGACCGAGACCGAGACGGATTTCTGGACAGCAGAGGTGTGTAAGAGCGACAAGGAGGAGACGCAGTATGAGACGGCGAGCGTTTGTATTACGATCCCCAGCGAAGAGGGGTTGAGTACGCCGAGGTCGGGACTGGTTATGGAACTCCCCCTTGCTGAGGAGCCCATTTACTTGCACGAGGAAGAGGAAGAGGAAGAGGAAGAGGAAGAGGAAGTGGAAATGGAAGAGGAAGTCGAAGTGGAAGTCGATTTGCCGCCCACACCCCCGCCGAAGTCACCCAGCGTAGTTCCAAGTATTGTTTCTGAGGAACCAGCGGTGGAGATATCGATCACGCCTGAGGCTGTCACCGCGCAGGAAGAGATTACCGAGGATGAGAGCCTGCTGGAGAGCGCTCCACCTACTCCCGAGGCTCTCGAGACGCAAGCGCCCATTAGCTTCCACACCGACTCGTCGGTATCGTATTCGCTGACCGAGAGCGAGCTGGGCCCCACGCAGCCAGACCTTGATGAGTCCATCTCGAGCTTGACAGAGTCGAGCGAGCCCCTCGTCACCGCGACACCTCGAACCGAACAGACTCCAGCTCTTTCGATTTCTGATCATGATGAGGCAATCACGCCATCTGTCCACCCTTCCCAATGGCCTTCAGAGACGGACATCTCGTTTGATTCTTCTGCACTGCAGCCCACCCCTAGTGCGCAGAGCGTCGCATTGCAGGAAGGCATCGATGGGAGCTTTGAGACGTCATTTATGCGCCCGAGCGTATCGCCGCTGAGCAGTGTCGCGAGGCTGACGCCTATCACGGACACGGTATCTTCACTTACATCGTCTCCTATGCAGATGCTTCACCCATCAGAGGTTGTGTCTTCGCCCTCCAGTGGACCTACCCCACTGACGATGTCGACGAGTGCGTCAAGTTCCTTGTCGAGGACTGCGTCCACCGTCAGTGGTGTGTCAAGCATCGCAATTGAGGTGGAGGACGAGGATGCAGTTAGTGTGAGAGCTGTCAGTGACATTTCGACGGTGCCGTCTTTGCTTTCGACGAGAAGTGAGCAGTCAGTGCGATATGTGAGTAGTTCTTTATGTGATTTTGGTTGAAATGCTGATGAGTGTGTTCGTTGCAGATGCCAACACCCTCCCCCTTGCCGTGGAACGTGCCTCTCCCACAATCCCCTGCCCCTCCTTCGGTGTCGATGAGTGTGAGTATGACTACACCACATGACGATATTCCTTCCATCCATTCTGTCCTCGAAACGGAACACACGCACACGCACATCGAGCAAACCATTACGCATGATATTGACCGTCTTCTTCATCACATCCACGAAATCGACCAGTTCCGCGGGCAGGAGACGCAAGAAATATCAGAAAATGTGCGTGCTATCCGGGACGAACTGTATGATTTGTCCGAGTACGTCCGTACGAGGCTCGTCGTAGGGAGATCGCCACCCGTGCCAACCAGAGACATGTCTGTCGGGGGCAGCAGTGTGCTCTCGACGCCCAGAGTAACTGTCCCCAGTGGCCCAAGGCCGCAGAGGCTGGGTATCACCCTTGTCGAGATGTCCCCACCCCCTGTGCACCCCTCCTCCCCAAGTTCGCTTAGTTCAGGCATGTCATTCTTGTCTTCGCATCATTCGGACGACGACTTGAGTCTGTTGGAGACGGAGTTGGAAGTGGAGACCGTGGAGAGGTCGTATTCCATTTCGAGGGAGCCATCTTGGCCCTCGTCGTCGTCCTCATCTTCATCATCAATTACGCCATCCGAGATTTCTTCCAGCGAACCGTCCCCTGGACCCAGCTTATCGGCAACGTCTTCGTCATCGCCGACGCCTCCACCTTCGTCACCTACACCTTCGACAGCATCGGCCGCCACCGTGCGGCAGCGCGATAGCATTACGATTGAGACGCTGAGAGACATGTTAACCTCATTGAGAGAGCAGACAACCGCCCTTTGGGAGGGCCAGGTCTCAACAAACCATATGCTGGACGAGTTGCGCGAGACACGTGCAGGTCCTCTTGACACTACGGAGTTCAACGAGCGGCTTCAGACTGTTGAAGTTCTTTTGCGTCAGCTCATCGATAGACAGGTCGAGACTGAACGACCAGTCCCCATCCAGCCGCCATCAGAATCCATTTCCGAGCTTGGTACTGATCCAGATGCAGAGGATTTCCAGCTGCGCTGGCAGGAATGGACGCGGCTCCTGAGGGACCGCGTTCCTCTTGCACAACCTCAGCCGCGCAGAGCTCGCGGAAACCTCGATGATGAGCTGCTTGCGTTATTGCAGGCACCTTCGTCTCAAGTGCCTATAGGCGTTCAGCCGCCTCCAGCGTTAATCCCCTTCGCTTACCAACCTGCGGCACGCCCTCCAAGGTCAAGGAGTACTAGTCCCATAGCACGGCCCGCGACGTTCCCCAGTCGCACAGAACCGGTGGTGTTCTCGCCCGAGATTCAACATAGACCCATCGATCGCAGTAGCCGTCGTCGCCATGCACCGTTTCGCCGGACACCCGTGCCTGCAACTATGGAAGAGCCTGAAATGCCGCCTGTGTCTAGGCCACATCCTCAACCACCTGTAGTACCACCACCCGGGGTCTTTTCCGATCCTGCACGCACACGCCCACTTACTAGTATCCCCCCTCCTGAACCTGTAAGTGCTGCTGTTGAAACTAATCAATATGCTAAGTTTCCGCGTAGATTAACTTGCACGGAAGACCTCCGAGCGCACCAGCTAACCTTGAACCCAGTGACGACACTCGCGACCCTCAAAGCTGGTACCGTCCCCCCAGAGCAGGAGGCTTGGTATGTCCCTCACAGCTGTAATTGTAAGATCTAACCTTCACAATTCTGCAGGGTGTGCCTCCTCCGCCCAGTATCCCTGGCCAGCAAGGCGGTCGCCAATACGTGCCAATGCCTCCGGGACCAGTGAGTAAATTTTAGGGTGTGATTTCCGCGGTCCTGATTGCTCTCTCGCAGACCGTAGTGCAGATGCCACTCTTTGACACATTGATGAACATTCTTCGGGTAAGTTGCGCTAGTGACATACCATCGGGGTGCTAATTGTTTTGCATTAGGAACATCGTCTCGCGCAACTTGCGACAGTGGACCAACAACGAGAATTGATGAGGTATATGAGAGGTCTAAATGAATGGCTCGAAAGGGATGTCCAGGACCGTCAAGCAGAACTACGGGGAGTAACCGCTCGTGTCGATGAGCTCAGAAATGATCTTGCACGACTGGGATTGGGGATGCAGCCCGGCGTCCAACCAGGTTTGCATCCAAGTACGTAGATCTCATTGCTGGTTTGCGGACGCTGACTTGGTCCTGTTAGCTATGCAAATGCCGCAACCTCAAGTCGCTATGCCCCACGCCGTGATTCCTGGTGGACCTGTCGTTCCTCCACCCATTCTTGGTCCCGGACCTCCTCTTGGATTCGTCCCCCAGCCTCCACTAGAGCCCCCTGTCATCCCTGCTTATGATGGTTCTCCTCAGCCAGACCAATATAGTCCTTTCATACCCGATGAACCTCGATGGCCCAGGCAGGACATGCCACGACCTTACCCTTACCCTGCAGGTGCGCAAGGTCCAGTAGTCCCGGGCCCGGGTGGTTACGACGAATATCAACAACGTCCCGCTCAGTATGAGGATCGCCCTCACGATGAAGATGAAGGGATTATTCCTACAAGTCCTCATTCGAGGTCTGATGATGGGTCCGTGAGACATATCATGGTACAACCTCCCCCAATAATACTTCAACACAGTGATGCTCGACACAGTTATGACGGGGGAAGCGACGCCAGCTCGGGTACCCAACATACTTATGTGCAGCCTCGTGTACATCATCCTGCAGAGGGTGTGGTGTACGTAGCGCCAAGTCATCAAGAAGGTATCCCCGCCGTAGTACAGTCCGGGGAGTACACATCAGGCCATGGAAGCCCTCAGCCTCAACACATCAACATCAACATTCCTCCACAACAGGCTCCATTCCCTCCTCCAGTAGGTATGGCAGATCAGCATGTGCCGATGCAGGCCCCTCAGTATGGAGGCGCTGTGCAACCACCGCCAGGTATAGTGATGCCAGGCCTTGGGCAACCGCCGGGCATGATGATGCCAGGGTCTGGTACCGGACCACCCTTGATAATTCACCCACCTCCCCAGGGGCCGGAAGTAGTTGTGCGGCGCTCCAGTTCTAGGTCTAGGTCCAGTTCCGGTTCCCCGAGCTCAAGAATGGATCCACATGTAATGGTTGTACCAGGAAGCCCCCGGCACCATTCGCCTGGCCCTATCGTACTACAATCACCGTCTCGTATTGAATATGTCGAAAGATCTCCCACCCACCATCCAATTCCTATCGATGTCATTAGCCAGCCGCCAGCAATCGTGGTGCCTGGTACCCAAGGACATGTTTCTCGTTCGCGTTCACGGTCACCTCATGGACGCTATCATGGCAGATCCCCTTCATACGACGATCCTCGTTATCGACGAAGATATCATCGACATCCCGACTCTCCTGATTATTACCCAAGACGTGGGTATGGCCGTCGACGAAGTCGATCCTACTCGCCTGACCGTCGCCACCGTCGCGATTATTATGATGACTATTCTCCCGACCGTCACTATGGGCGGAGACGACCGCATGGTGACTCGTACTCGCGAACGCCATCGCCGCGGGGGCATAGGGATGATGACCGCCCCCGTCGCCGCCTCCACCGCCGCAGACACCCTGATTCACGCTCTCCTACACGTACAGAAGAAGGGGACCCAGGACACGAACGCAGTCATGGCAGACGTCCAAGGGATGAAGAGGACGCCCCTCACCGCAGAACTCCCACTTATGACGATGACGATCCCTCACGCCCTGGACCATCTCGCAGAACTCCCACTTATGACGATGACGATCACTCACGCCCTGGACCATCTCGCAGAACTCCCTCTTACAGAACTCCTTCTCACAGAACTCCTTCTCACAGAACTCCCACTGAATTTGAGGAAGCGGATGCACCCAGTCACCACCATACACCCAGTCGTCAACATACACCCAGTCGCCACCATACACCTAGTCAGGGTATCCCTGGTTCTCAGCCGTTCGAGGATGCTCCGCAGTCGCCCAGTCCGCCAACTATTATCAGGATTGATCAACCAGGCCGAACGCACCCTGATTCACACAGCCAACCAGTGATCATAACTCCACCAGGTAAGTGAGCTGCTGTGTGTACGGGCTTGCTCTGATAAACCTTCCAGGACGGCATCCAAGGAGCCCCACCTCCCAGCTGGAACATGAACTGCGTTATGCTGATGATGGGTACGTTCCGACTCTACCATCCCAAGGTGCACGGTCGCATCATCGGACACCTGTAATGGAAGACGATGCCGGACGGTCACCCCGTCGAACGCCTGATGACGATAGACCCTCGCGTCGTCGGACCCCGCCTGCAAGGGAAGACGACGATGGTGATGACGACGACGAACGGCATCGTCGGGCACCGTCTGCAAGGGAAGATGATGCGAGGCGCCCACATTATCGAACGCCTGAAGACGACGACAGACGCACACACCACCGATTGCCTGACGACGATGGACCCTCGCGTCGTCGGTCCCCGTCTGCAAGGGAAGACGACGATGGTGATGACGACGGCGAACGGCATCGTCGGACACCGTCTGCAAGGGCAGATGATGCGGGGCGCCCACATTATCGAACGCGTGAAGACGACGACAGACGCACACGCCACCGATTGTCTGACGACGATGGACCCTCGCGTCGTCGGTCCCCGTCTGCAAGGGAAGACGACGATGGTGATGACGACGACGAACGGCATCGTCGGACACCGTCTGCAAGGGAAGATGATGCGAGGCGCCTACATTATCGAACGCGTGAAGACGACGACAGACGCACACGCCACCGATTGCCTGACGACGATGCTAGATGGTCCCGTCGAGCACCTTCCACAGTGGCTGACGAAGCTGACCCGCGTGGAGATCGCGGTGCTTCACGTGTTCCATCCCGCGCAGGATCCCGCGCGGCAGGTGTGTCACCCGTTGTACCGGAGGAGGATGATGGCCGCCCGCCGAGCCAGATAGTCCATGTCCCCCCACCTCACTCTCCTACTCATGTGCACTTTGACCCAGCGACTACCGAGTTTGACGATGCCCTTCACCAGCGGCACGAACGACTGGACGAAGCAGAGCGTGAACTTACCCAGGTTGTTCATGATGCTCGTGAAGCTGAAGACCGTCGTGAAGATGAGTTCCGACACAACGAAGACGCACGAGAGCAAGTCTTTGTCCAAAACGAGGATCGTCGTGAGGCCGAGGCAAGAGAGCGCAGTGATGCACTATTCGCTCAGCTGGAAGAGAGAGCACACAGCGTACCTCCTCTACCAGTCCGTCCTCCTGGATCTGTGGACCCAGACAATGTTTCCATCATCGAATCGATTCATGCCGCTTCTCATGAGGCGGCTTCTCGCCATGCCTCTGAAATTTTGGACACAGTTAGACTTGAACGTGAGCAGTTTGAGCGCGAAAGAGAGTCTATTGCTACCGAGAGGGAGCGGGAACATGCTGAATTCGCTGCCGAGCGTGCTCGCATGGAGGAAGAGCGTGAACGAAGGGTTCAAGAGCTAGAAGAAGAACTTGCACGCGTTCGTGGGGAGCTTGATGGTGAAAGGCAGCTCCGACAGACCGAGAACGAGGAACAGGCGGCTGCCAGCGAACGTGATGAGGCCATGCGCGCACAATTGGGCGATATCACACAGCTGGTTTCGGAGCAACGAGATGAGTGCACCAGGAAGAGGGAGCTTATGGATCAACGATGGGATGAGAAGCAGGGCAGGCGTGCTGAGAAAGATGCGCAGTTCCGTGAACTGAAGGATATGGTCTCCAGGCTCATGCAAGACCGCGAGGCTGATCGAATTCAAGAGGAGGAGCGGAGACTTCAGGACGAGGGCAAACCAGACATTCAAGCTGTTATCGATCAGCTCACCCACCAAAATATCGAAATGCGGGAGGCGCTCCACATTCTTTCTGAAAGTATGTGTCGTGGGCGTGTCTTCGAATGGTGCTTTGCTGATTCTGTTTCTTTTTACAGACTGGCGGGTTGAAGGTGAACGGCGGCATCAAGACACCCTCGACGCTGTCCGTGCTACTGCCCGAGAGCAAGTTCCATTCAATGTGCAAGTGGTAAGTGCCTGTGAATTGTGTATCTTGTTAAAAACTCGCTCATACGAAACTGCCTTCAGTATCTTGATGAATTTAGCAAAGCACTTGCGACTGAGGTTCGCATGCTCCTGGGAGAAGTTGGCAAACTTCGTGAAGAACGTCGTAACATCCAACAGTAAGTTTGTGCTCGGACTCGTTGTTCATGTATCTAAACATCGATTTCTTCTAGTGAAGTTGGATATCTAATAATGACTAGAGCCAAATACAACCCAGGAGGGGAGTTTGATCCTGAATGGTAAGCCGCCTTGAACATCAACTTGGGCCGTTCTCATCTTTCTTTGACAGGAAACCACCGCCGATACTTGGTCCTGGTGGGCCCGATGCGCCACCACCACCCGAGGCACCTCCCCCGCCTCCTGAAGAGCATGGGCCTGTTCGTCCAGCGTGGCGCACCATTCCACGCAGCACGAGGCGCATTCGCAAGTCGCGTCCCGACCAACCACCCCCTGAGCCTGCTCCTGCACCTATGAGGCAGCCTGTACATTCTTGGGTCGCCTGGCGACGTGAGTATTTTCATTGCATCGTTTGAGGGGTTGAATTGACGCTGTGGATACTAGCGGATCCTGCTATGGCACCTACGCCGCCGTCGATTGAGCCTAACCTGATAGTGCCTGACCAAGGCAGCCCCGGTCTGTTTGGACCTCGCTCGCCCCGCGGCTCATACCACCGTTAAAGACTCGTTGCTCCATCGAAAAATAAAGCCCAGAAACCGATATCCTACCCACCATATCTTACGACCATCTTGATGACATCTAACGACTATCTTACAAGTCGACTGTTCTTGACTCTTTATCTTTATCATGCTCTTCATTTATCTCTCCCATACCTACTGCTTGCATCTGCTTTCTTTTTTTGTGTTCGTGTTATGCCTTGATTTGTGCTGCATGTCTCATGATCTCATCGTATGGCTTCTCTGGAGCCGGATTCACGTTGTATTAGACTTGCGAATGGATGGATACTTTTTCACTTTGGAACATGGATTGACTGAGACGAGTGTAGTTATGCGGAGATGCAAGTATGGTATGATATGCGGTGTTGAGTGAGACGTGTAAATAATGTGAGTAATAAGTACTAGTCAGCCGTACATACTGGTGACTATTGGGCGTACATGGATTTTTAAAGCTTCTGCGGCTGAGGTAGGAACGATGCGATCATAAGGGACGTCACTGGGCTGCTTCCCGTGCGATGGCGTCCCCTAGCACTGACTTCAACTTAGCTGCAAGGCCATCTGTAAGAAGTGTTGGGCCATCAGAAGTGCAAACACGATAGGATGGCATAGGCTGGTACGTTTCGGAAAGAATCTTCCAGGGTTTCGATGAGCTACACTCAGAAGAACTTGTGTATCCAAAGCTCACTTTGCTGTCCTGCACCAATACGGAGGCGATGATATCATCCGGGTCACCTATTCTGCCTAGCGCTGGAATGTTGCGACTGTCTGTGCGTCATCGTGATTGATTTCCCTTCTAGCCGAACGTAAGGGAGATGGGAGACACGACATACCATGTATATGCATCCAGCCTTGTTGTAGCTGCAGTGCGCCGTTTATCCAGATGGCATCTTCTTGTTCTCGTAGGGCGGTTTGAATTGCCTCGTGCATGATTGCGCGGAACTTGGCTACACATATGCGGACGGTCTGTGAATTGAGCGGAATAATTTACTGAAATGACGTACGATTCTCTACGAAATCATTTAGCCCTGCCTCTGCGCCCCCTTCACTTGTAGTCTCTGCGGGCAGCCATCCAATGACCGAGCACGAATCGGGGGTTGGGGGTGGTTGAGTAAGGAAGGAAAGTGCATAGACTGAAGGTGACATTGGGAGCGAAACGACGTGGTAGAAAAGGTCGGGGCGAGATGGGTCGGATATTGCTGAATTGGAAGAGGAGTAACGCGCGAAGAGAGTATGCGTACGATTAGGTGGAGATGTGGTTTGAGGATGTTTTGAAGTATACGGGATGGAAGTGAGAAAGTTGCAGGATCTTCTACTACATAGTAGAGAGCTGGAAGGTCGTGCTATGCATAGAGCGAACCGTTTGGCTGCGCTGGTTGATACCCGTAATAGTGGCATGTCGGGTTGGTGTCTGCTCAATCGGTAAATGTGACTAAGTACTAAGGAGTACTGACTCGGAGCACTGAGGACGCATCGGTAATCGCCGATAACTTCTCTTCCGAACTTTCAAGGTCATTGAATGGGTGCGATATGTTTGTGTATCTTTCAGCTTTTCTAAAAATTTCGAGCTGCCTGACTCCTGAGCTCGTGTATTGCACGACACCTGAAGGCAGCAGAAGCGGAGGCGATTCGACCAAGCGTAACCTTCTCCCAACCTTCACCACTAGTACTAGCTAATTAGTATCGGCCCTATGACCTGAGCGCTCAGCTGCAGATGAGCCATGGCAACTGTGATGTATGACTCCCACCTGTGGTATAGACTGCTCGCCGTACCAGTAGTGCCCTTGAAATATGAAATGGTTGGTGCGCGGCGGATGCTATGCTTGTCAAAGGTCGCATATAACATTGTTCCGCGGGGGCTTATTGTTATTCACTTCCCAATTGACGGTCGAAGGCGATTACGACAAGTACATTTTGATTGATTAATATTACAAGGACAGCCTGGTTTATTTCGGTCGAAGAAACAGAGGTAAGCCTGGCAAACCCTCCTAAACTACGCATAATAACGTGTCTTAATTGCTCTCTCCACCCGCCATCAGCCCGTCCATGATGGCATCATCATGATACATCGAGACGAGATCTACATAGCACCAAGCACCATTGCGGGAGAGATAGCCTGGTGCGATGCCTGATACGATGACTCAAGCCGTTCCTATATAATGACACTTACATGTGCGGAGATGCCCACACCTTTGCTCTGATCCCTCGGATATCATGACTTCAAGTGGCATCCCGTTGGATGCCGCTAATCTGTTGTCAACGTCGCTGGAAGGCATTCTATATGGTGAGTGTCTCAATGAGTTCGTCCGCTCCATGCTCACAAAGCTAGAGTTTTCTAGGCTTCTCGGTCCTCATGTTTATGGGTACCATCTGGGCTTTGACCTACAAATGTCAACTGCAGGACGTTAATCGCCCGATCACTGTGGTGGCTATCTTGCTATTTACAATGAGCACCGCGGTTAGCTCTCGCCTGTCACATCTGATAACATCTGCTGACGTCTCCCAAGCACATCATTGTGGACATCATTCGTATCGAAGATGGGCTGGTGAAGCATCGTGACACGTTTCCAGGTGGGCCGACCTCGTACTTTGGGGACTTTACCCTCAAAACATACGCGACCAAGCATGCGTTATACCTCTTGCAAACTCTACTTGCTGATGGGGTGGTGGTGGGTTCACATTTATACATCTTAAATCTCTCTGGGCTTATAGAAGTGCCTTGTGTTGTCAAAGATTTATCGCTCTTATGTTGTTTGGCAATCCATCCGGGTTATAATAATACCGAGCATGCTGTGGTGCGGTGTCGCAGGTTAGGCTGCAATCGTGCTCAGGAAGTTGTGTGTTCTGACGTTACCTCGAAGTGACGGGTGTTTTTGCAAATTACAGTATTTCGCAAACCAGTGGTTCTGAAGACATCTTCGCCAAAGAGCTTGCACAATGGATTACTGCATTCTTACCCTTGACTCTTGCGACTAATCTATCGAGTTCAGGTAAGCACGTTTTCGTGAGCGCTTCATGTCGAGGTACTGAATGTGTCCAGGATTACTGGCATATCGCATCTGGATGATTGAACGCAATATCTCTGCAGTTCGCACTATGAAGGGCACTATGATGCCGATAGTGCGCGTGCTTGTCGATGCCGCTGTTTTGTATTCTGTGGTGCTCGTTACCTTACTGATATGTTTCCTTTGTTCGAATAATGGAGAGCTTGTTTTATTGGATATGGTAATTCCGCTGTTAATACTTGTCATTGAACAAAAAAACTGAGCTTCGATCAACTAGGCCATGCCAATCATATCAATTGCCTTCTACATGGTGCTCATTCGCATCGCAATCAATAGACAAACGACTTACCTTTCGACTGGGGGAATAATCGGTGAGATGGAACAAGGAAAACTGCGGCCTTTGGAGGTCCATATATGCCAGCTTACGCTCGATGACGGTCCCTCGGCCTACGGAATAGGGAATGAAGCTGAAGACCGACCATTAACATACAGGGTACCTTTCGACGTATAATAGGCCTGAACGCCATTTTTCGCGCTTTTTCGCAGAGATTGGTTGTGCGTAATTTTACATAACTGACACTCGTTCGTTGTACCATCACTTGCTGTTCCAAATGTCGTCATTATATTCCCTGTCGCTCTGTGCACAATTGAACTCAACTCTAATAGATTGCATCAGCTTGTAAGTAGGAAGAACTACGATAAAGGTCGGGGCGAGGATATAGCATATTGCTGGGTTGGAAACGGCGTAACGTGCGCGCCGCCAGGGGTGCGATTAGTTGGAGACGCGAGGTTTTTGCATTTAAGTACTCAATCCACGTGATCGAGTATAGGCATGAGAATATCTTGTGTAAGCAGCTGTACAGTACCATCAAGCCCCACGATAGTACCCCACGCTTCCAAGTGTTCTCCTCAGTCACTTCCATCGTCAAACAGGTATGTTATAATCTTGTTGCTGCTGCTGCTTATCATTTTAACTTTGGTGGGTACCACTAGAATGAGAGAGAAGTGGAAGAAAAAGCGTTCCCGTAGACTCAGACGCAAACGCAGAAAGATGAGAGCCCGTTCCAGTTCGTATTCATTCCATACCATTTCTACTGTATTCTGATCAGACCAATTTAACAGAGTAAACGACCAAGCAGAGTGAGCCTGCCGCTAAGGCCTCGACACAATCTACTGTGCGCTAACGCCGGGCAGGTCTCGCCCCGTTCTCCTTCATCCGCGCCAAACAAGGTTGGAGTGAGACGGATTCTTCTCAGCTGGACATGCTGCTGGGGGTGCTGTTGGGTCGTGAATTGTACTCGTGACCAAATGAATCAAACATCGCTTTCTCCGAATCGTTTTGTATTCTCTGTCATATGTTATATTGTTTGAAACGACAAAAAAGCGCCTTGTTGGAGTGGCAGATCGTTGTTGAGCAAGAATTCTATGAATCAGATTGATAGCTCGCGAATCGGACCAATTATAACCGACGCGTCTTGGTAAACTACACTATAATTAGGATTCCAAACTAGCATCTGATCGCGTCTGTCAACTTACTTTACGATTGTCTCTCCTGAGCGCTGAGCATCGCTGCACCCTTGACTCCTCAAAGACCAAGAACCAACCCGTCAATCGACAATGAAACGTGCCAACATAACGGCATCCAGCTCCACTCCCAAGATAATCATTAAACCGCGCCTCGCGCAAACGCCAGCAACGCCGTCTGTCGTAGATGAAGACGACGACGATTCCCTCGAAGAAGGCGAAGTCCAGACAAAGAGAGAGGATTCAGAGGGTGTTCTTGACGAAGATGAGCCTGGAGACGAGGAGCCTGAAGAAGGTGCCGTTGATGGCGAAGGCGAAGGCGACGGCGAGGGTGAAGGCAGCGGAGTAGATGAGGCTATGCCTGAAGGTGATGAGCCACGACCTTTTCCCCGGCCCCGGGGACGCCCACGCGGAAGAGGTCGTGGTGCCGCCCCCACTGGTCCCACCCGCGCAAGAGGACGCGGGAGGGGAAGGGGCAGAGGACGAGGGCGGGGTCGGGGTGCTTTGACTATCCGGCTGCCAAAGCGCGACGGCGAAGATGCTGGCGAAGCTGAAGCAGAGGAAGGGGAGCAGGATGGTCGACCATTCATGCGAATTGGGGGGAAGGTATACTTCATCGACGGCGACGAGTTCGCCGCAGACCCGGACGAGAAAGGGGACGAGAAGATTGATGTGGATGGCAATCTGCTTGGAGGTGCGTACTAATCCTCTACCTGCCAAGTCTCATAGCATCTCATGGTCTCGATCCTCCGGGTTCTTGTTAAACATGCGACGTGGACAATCCAGGTCGTAAGTTCAAATGCCACACTTTCGTGCTACCTCAACGGCACCCAAGCCGGCAGTACATGCTCGCCATCGACGCCGCACGCGCGTCAGGGTTTCGTGACTCTCTGTACTTCTTCCGGCGCAATCCGCTCGCGCTGAAGCTCTCCGCCACGCAACCCGAAAAGGAGTTCCTCATCTCCGCAGGCAAGCTCGGTGCGCACCTGAAAACGCGTAGCGTCACCCTCGTCACTGCACGCAGTGCATATAAGCTTCATGGCGCAAAGATGATTTTGGGTACGCTCCTATTCTTCCTTTGGAATGAACCCGGTCATGAATTTAATTCTCTATCTACAGACGGCCGCTGGGTCACAGACGATTACTACGAATCAAAATCTCTTGCTGAGATCACAGAAAAAGGACTCAAACCAGGTGACCTCGTTGGCGAACTCCCCGACCCCCTGGGTGCCTCATCGCAGTCCGCACCTTCAGGTCCGCAGCCCGCCACCTCCACATCCTCGGGTATATACCGAGCAGGAGGACCTACAACCATCTTCGGGGGCGCTGGTTGGGGACCGTTTAGTGATGGACCACACAGCGCGGTGCGTAAATCGCTACTCTCAAGGGAGGGGCTCACGGAAGAGAACTGGATGTCGGAGATCGCGAGGCGCGTCAGAGATGCTGGTGATGAGTGGACGCGGATGAGGAACGAAGCAAGAGTTGCGTGTGGGGGAATCCTTGGCGATGGAGTAAACAAGGGGAAGGGGAAGGAAGTGCAGGTGGGTGATGGAGAGGAGAAGCGGGGGGCAACTGAGGAGTTAGAGGGTGCGGAGAAGAAGAGGGCGAGAGTGGAGGAATCCCAGTATCCGCTTGGTGTGTATGAGCCGCACACGGGACTGGTCCATTGTATGTATATTTCTCTACCGCTGTATTCCATTATGTTTGTCTTATTTCTTGTTCTTTTCTAGATCGCGCAGACACACAGCCTACCCGCTGCCGCTGGGAACAGATTGGACAGCGGAATATGCTTCGAGGAACGAAGGCAGGGAATGGCGCTTGGGCGCTCGCATGGGTCGATACACACATCGAGCTGCCCGCAGCGGAAGAGACGGATCTATATGCACAAACAAGAGCAGAAATTTTGGATGCAGTAAGGGAGCTATCATAGGTGACCCAATTTCGCCCACACTGTTTGCGCAATTTGAAAATTTGGCCATGCGGTGTCTGCCTGGTGGAGTTCAGGGGTCCGTAATACTGTTCTTTGCTGTACCTAGACTAATCGTTATACTGTACGGAAAACAAGGTCACCAGAGTTGGTCTTCGATCTTTACTTAGGTAAGGCTTGACACTTGGATTTGTGCGTTCTTTTCGCGATGCCAAGTGGCACTTCACTTGATGTGCTTCAACCGTTGACCCTGTTCGGGGTTGAATCTGATGTCTCTTGCGCAGTTTGCATTCGGAAGTTGCACTGCTATATTTCTATGCACTCCAACAATGGACGATGCCGGCAATGTAATTGGCCAGTCAGTACCTCAGGTGGCTGTTGTCCTAACAAACCCAAATCATTACCCCCCGAGTTACTAGATGCCCATTGGTTTTTCAGGTCTAACATTGTGGCAAGTTCGGCGACCCTTGAGTTAAACAAATCTAACGAACCTCTTCATAGTTCAAGCGACAAGCTGCTAGTGCCAACTACGTGCGATGCACGACTAAAGAGCACGTCGGTGACGAAAGACTGACGCCGTGTTGCGTCTGGACTCTGTTGGTGCCTTTTTTAAAAATCTAGGTTTGTTGTCCTCTGGTGGTACGTACCTCAAGTTGTTAGCACAATCCTCGCAAAGCGAACATAATTTACCCGTGCTATTGTCCATGTATGAGTGCTTCGGGAAGCATTACATACCGTCGTCTTGTTTGACACATGGATGCATCAATCAAGGAAAGTCAGGTAAGTATGTGATATCTGCGGAGCGTGGAACATATTCTTCACCCCTACTTGCACACTCACACTCGTCTGTCTTGCGGCGATGCCGAGATTTTGTTTTCAAACCGCTTTCATAACGATGATAACAATGTTTTAGATCTTGCCGTACTCGAGCCAAATCAGCACAGCATTCGAACCTGAGGACACTGCCTTTGAGGTCGAGCGCCGTGACTTATTGATCAATTTGTTATCTCTGTTATAAGTAGACGCTGAGAAATGATCTTGAGAAGAGACGGTCTTCCTTCGTACCCTTCGTCAACAAAGCCCCATTATCGGCCTGGTGGTGAGTTTCCCCTTTGACTGCAAGGCAAGGCTCTGGAACTGATCACACGTAGGGCGAAAAATCCAATGCGGCTGCTTCATACCAAGAAATTCACATTAGATATATCCACGGGTGTGCAACCTTATGCCATCTTGTCTCACCGGTGGCTGGCGGACAGAGAAGAAGTCTCCTTCCAAGACTTGTACACGTCAGTTCCTCCCAGTGAAGGCTTACACGATAGTCATGCCGTATGTGATCTTCCAATTCAAGCTTCTACTATCATTGACCATCGATTTATCTCAAGAGGCCCACTTTCCCTTCCAACGTCGAAGGCAAACAAGGCTTCACGAAAGTCCGAGATGCATGCGACCAGGCCTCTCGGGCTGGTCTCGAGTATATCTGGATTGACACCTGCTGCATCGACAAAACCAGCAGTGCCGAGTTATCAGAGGCGATTAATTCCATGTACGCGTGGTACAAGGACTCCGCCGTGTGCTACGTTTACTTGCACGATGTCGATAACGACACCGCTATGGACAACCTCGAATCTGCTCTCGAAAAAGCTAGTTGGTTCCGAAGAGGATGGACTTTACAAGAGCTGATCGCTCCCGATAATGTCTATTTTTTTGACAAGAACTGGGTCAAGATCGGGAGCAAGGCGACGTTTGCGTCTATGCTGCATAGAATCACCCACATCCGTAAAGATATTCTGTTGGGTAATCCATGCACATCCAGCATCGCTGAGAAGATGTCATGGGCCGCAAAACGAGAGACGCAGAAAATAGAGGACAGAGCATATTCGCTGATGGGGTTATTTGGCATCCACATGCCTATCATTTATGGAGAAGGAGAGAAAGCTTTCAGGCGCCTGCAGCTCGAAATCATCAAATCCTCAGATGATCAAACCATCTTTGCCTGGCACGACTCGCTGGATCATCCTCACTCTATCAGAGATCGCGGGTTGTTAGCATCGACACCAGATGTTTTCTCGGCTTCGCCCTATCCGGTCGTCAATATCGATCATTCCCATTTTGTCAACAGTCTGTTTCGCATCGCAGGGAGCCGCAGCCCCCTTCCTGACCTACCGCGTGGCTTTTCCATTTTGAACGATGGTATCCACATTACTCTTCCCATGAAGCAGGATCGAGACGCGTGGCTCGCCGTCCTCAAATGTAAAAGAGAAGATCAGGAGTCTTTCTATGGGATCTACTTGAAAAAAGACTTGGTTCAGATGATTTTCTTCGGACATCGCCGACGAAGCTTCGAGAACTCGAGGTCAGAGATCTCAAAGGCCTTGCCTTGCATAAAATACGTATTGTGGTTGACCATCACACACCAGCAACCATTCATCGACAACAGTTCTTCACTTTTCGGTCCACAGATCTCGTTTGGGAGCGCGGGTATTATATATGCCCTGACCCGGGAGGCCATCATGATGTGAATCAGGGAGGTGGCTACCGAGCTCTTGATGACGACACTCGAATTGAGCTTTCAAATAACGTGCAATGTGGCTGCGTTTACTCGGTGGGCCTGGATGGTGAAGTCACGGTGCTTCTCATTGGGATCGAACATCACCGTCCTTGGGTGCACCTCCTCACGGATACCAACATACGCCAATATGTCGACACTTCACGGGCTCGCCGTCAAACTGCCCCTCAGCCTCTGTTATGTCTCCCCCTACTTCTCCCCAATCTAACAACCAAACCGATCCTATTTCTTTTCTTGCGTCGTCCATTCCTCGTTCGGTGTCTCCCTCCCGTATTCCTCCTGGACCTAGCAGCAAACAGCTACAGAGGCGCTTCACCGCCCCTCAGGCTCATGCTGCGCAGCTCCGCGGGGGTAACACTGGGTGTCCTGTGTGTTCTATACTTCAAAACTGTGACATTGACATGCGTGCCCTCAAGGCTAAGCAGGGCTGATTTTGTGATTGGGACGATTTCAGGCAAGCAGATTGAGGTGGATATACGAAAGGGACAGACTTGCGTTTCTGAGGAGATACTCAAAGTTGACTATGTCATAACGTTGACTGTAGGTTAGTAACCCCGAGCCGGACTTTGTATTTCTGTGTAGTCTAAATTTATTTTACCAAGAGCACAGTATATGTCGCGAACCAGTGTGACTTGTTAACGAGACTTGTACGGTATCGACATAGCCCATGTACCTCAATTTTATAGAGGATTCCGTCATATTAGACAGAAATTCAGAATTGTTCCTGTGGAAATAATTTGGCAAGTATCAACAAGTATCATTGGTCGCGCCTAAAACAGATCACAGGGACTGACCACAGGACCCTTGATATCATGCGGCTCTTCTTTAACGCTGAAAAATATGCTGTAGGGCTCCGACTCTGAGGAAGTCTCAAGACAGATTCAGACCCTACCAGCCCAACGCATGGGGCATAAGCTATGACCCACAGGTAATTTCTGGTTGGAGGAGCCTCCAAGGTTAACCCACGAAACCTGTGCCTTGGCAGTATCCGTCATGACCAGATGGTTGCTCAGGGTCCTCACGCACGGGACGTTTAAAGGCGAGAAGGCTGACCATTTCCCCTTCAACAAGACAATGCCCCTCGAATCTCCTATCAGTTTCCTCACAAGTGCCCTCGCTTCCTCTCAATTGTCGTCGTCAAATTTTGATCTCGACGTCGCATCCGGAATAGCAATTTTTTTCGGAGGCAAAGCAGCAGTATCTGCGCTTGCATTACAACCGCTGTATGGTCAGCTGTGGCATGGATGGTACAACGCACCTGGATGCCACGCAATTGCGTGGGAGCTGGCTAGAACCTTGTTGCAGAGTTCCATCTCGTCATACTCCGAGAGACTCTCGCTGTCTCTCGGCATAGATGGCAAGAAAGGACCCAAATACATTGCTTCGCGGTCAGGAACGGTCATGCAGTATACTCGCCACCTTGCATACGTGCTAGTTAACTGGAGAGGAAGGGAGTGCAATCCAGTAGTTGTTGGTCTGAGGGTCAGCCCGACGCCGATGGAGTTGATGATCGTAGACTTCAAGAACAAAGTTCCGACGGGAAATGACACGCTGCCCCCAAGAAGTACCCGTCACTCCTCGTTGCCCATAATCCCTATCGCCACTAGCATCGTAGCTTGCGCTATTTGCGCCAGTGTTGAAGACTGGTTGTCCTTCAAGATGATTATCCTTGGGATGATCTCCTCTGGAATCACTTCTGCCATCATGAGCACTGGGCAGATCACCCTTGAACGGCTCAAACCAGCAGATGGAGTTCCACCCGGAGATGGGATGCTATTGTCAGATACCCGCATCGTCATTTTGAAAGGCAACGAAGAGGACGTAAACGCTGTGACCAAGGGAAGACTGCGGCTGAAGCTCAAAGGAGGTGGTTACACCCTCCTTCTCTGCGCGTTCATAGCGTTGTCGCAAGCTACCCTACAGCTCGTCTTCATGCCTTTCGGATCGCTACCAGGACAAATCATGTTCCTGATATCGCTCGTAGTGTCTGGGGCATGCAACCTGTATCTATCAGCAAAGGAAGATGATGTGCAGTCGAGTGCCCTCATCACCCTGCTGAACTCTCCAGAGGTGAAGACTTACCAAGCCAGTTCTAGAGCATCCGCTGCCGTTTTGGCATGCCTAGCGCTCTGTTGGGAGTCTGGCACGCCACCCGAGCAGGTCCTCCGGGAGATTGTACCCATCACGCCAAGACCATGGAAGGCCTGGTCTGAGTTTGTTGTGAATAATATCAAGAAGAAGAATACGCACTTCATGTATGGACGCAGCTCGGCGGGGGCCCACCTCGGGCTGGACGATCGGGAAGAGAAGCTTTTGCTCGAGCTCGTCGATGACGCTCATGCAGCATACGACCAATATTTGAAGGATAACAGTATCTCCATTACATAGCTATACCTACAACATGTACTATGCCTTCTGCGAGCCTTTAATATATAGTATTTACAAGCGGTCACTACGAAATTTTCTCGCTCTAATTCGCCATTTCCGTGGTGACTTCGTACAGATCATCTGCAGGACGCTGTCCGAGCATCTCACTCCAGAACTCCATAATCGGCTGCCATTCCTCCCTTAAGCTTGCGCGTGGCATACCCTCACCGGCACGTTCCACGTCTTTGACATTAGAGAAACCCTTCCTAAAGGCATCCAACGCCCCATTCTTGAACTCACGCGGGCGGCGAAATACAAGAACAGGTGTCTCGCATGGTTTCGACAACGTTGGATATGAGAGCAGCGGGCCAGAAACGGTCACAAGTGAGCCTAAGGGCCGCGCGGGGGTCTCCTTGTCGGTCACACGCGACAGTTCCAGCTCGCGACGCCACCACTGCACACATGCTTCAGCTGCGACACTTCCACCTTGCGCGAATCCGAACAAGTGGATACGATGTGGAGGCCACCCACAATCACCTGTTAAATGGCTGAGGACATCCTTGAAAAGATTGAGTGCAGGACTGGGGTCTGGTCGTTCGACGAGGTCTCCGAGCTGATCGAAGGAAGGATACCACTGAAAAGCCTGTTCATACAGGAAGGGAATACTAGTACGTTCTAGCTCGATACAAATACAATCTGGAAGATGGAACAGATACGTACACATCAGGTGCGCGGAGTGCGAGGGTGGCCGTTTGTGGGAGCTTGAGTGATCTCCCAAGGCGGGCGAAGGGGACGTTCGTGTCACCTATTCATCGAAGACTTGTTCGGATTAGTTGCTCTAGCTAAACGGTCGGACGCTGCGCTCACCGAGCCCGTGCAAAAGGATAAGGAGGTTCTCGTCCGTTCCGTCGTCACTAGGGGAGTAAGAGAATATCGTGTGTATAGAAAATGTCTGTGGAGGAGGTTTTATGCGCGGAGAAGGGGCGGATGCCGCTGCGAGGAGGTGGAAGTCTGCGGATGGGGAATCCATCGATAGGTGCTTGGATTGTAATTCTTTTCCTTCGAAGTACTGGTCTGGCTAGGGGAGACTAGAGTTTTCTATGAACTGAGATAATCCGAGTCATGTGATGATGATGATATATTTGGCCAAGTACAAGCTCAGGCATAAAAATAACCTCGATGGCTCAACAGCTGGTAAGCTATAGTGTTAGTAAGGGAAAAGTGGAGCTCTTACAGTCAAGAAATATGGAGGGATATGATACGAAGCAGGTGTAAAGCAAGCATCTTAGCTAAGTTAGGCGGGGAGTCGCGTGCGCCGTTTATACTCACCCCCAATTCTGCCGCGAGACGAGAAGAATGCTCTCATGCCTGTGCAATACTACGGAAGATCAGTCTAGGTTCCAAAGTCGTGCATGGACGCGGGGTTCGTCCTGATGATTGCCCATGAACCGTGGTTCCAGAGCATGGAGATGAGACACCCATGATGCTCCAAAAACCAGCCCCGATATGCTTGTGTGGGGTACGCCCGCGGCGTGTATCATCCGAGTCAGCAAAAAAATATCAGTGAAACAGAAAGTCAATCTTAAGGCCTTGAGGTCTGCTGACATTGTAAACACCATCTGTTTCGATCTGCTTGAAGGGGATTTCAGATGGATAGGTCCTGCGCGCGTACGTTATTGAGGTCTGCTGGCGATTTGCTGGCATTGTAAATGTCATCTGCTTGAAGTGGATTTCAGGTAGATAAGTGCTGCCTACATTCTCGCCACGAAATTCTGCCAGAACAGTATTTTCGGGACATAAAAGCAAGCCGTCTTCCTACCGTGCCCACCCTCTATTCAAAATCCCATATCACATCGCACAAGTAATGCATTCCTCCTTCGTCCTTGCCGTCCTTGCTGCTTTGATGGTATCTATGTTTGTCAGTACTCACAGTGATCCATGTCCTCATTTCTGCGACACTGGATATTGCTGCCTTGATTGTATATGCGAGAATATATACGACCACGACGAAGTAAATATCATTGGCACCCATGATTTAATTCTATGACCCACTGGCCTGGCAGGACCTACTTAAAAGTGTTTGTGTCGGGCCTACAGTTGGACCGGCTGTCGAAGGAGTCGACAGGTGAGCGACAGTGAGTCATGTTTCTACTTTCGCATTGGTGCACAGTGTGGCTAATGGCATGGTACGTAGTTCGCTGCCAAGTTGATCAAGATGCTTGCCACTTCTGGATAAATTCCACGACCGCTTGAGCAAGGGAGACCTTGGAATAGAGAACTGAAGTACTTTTACGAGTTTTTACGTCGTATTGTTTTGGCAGAAGCCTGACCACGTGCCAATGCAGTGCCGCTTCAATACATTTGTTTGGCACTTTGCGGCGCTGTCCTTCTGACCTGTAGGTTCCTAGACTAAGTAGTGTGAAGATATCTTTGGCCTCAGAGGAAAGTAAGTTCCTTAGTACTGTGCTGCAAGAGTTCACAGTATTTCGCACAATTCTGATTCATACATTGCTACTGTACAGAAGGCTAGTTGTTTAGGATCAGTATTCCCTCTTTCTGCTTGCCATTTTACTCTCAGCACTACCAAACCGGCTCCTGACGGGTTTGCTTGCGAATGCGAACCTTCAGTGGATGGAAATTAGATTTGGTAGTCGGTGATTCATGTATCCACATACCTCGTCACAGGCTCGGGCGATGCAGATTCAAATCCAGCCTCGGGCGGTGCAGATTCAGATCCAGCCTCGGGCGATACAGGTGCAGGGTAGGAAATTCTAGGGTAGTGTTGCCTTAGCATTCTTTCGTGAAGTTTGGTCATGATGTCAGCCCCATGCGGGAGGCCAGCGCTAGCGATCCTTTGAATAAGTGTCGGAAAGTCTTTCATGACGGTCGGAGTAGAAATATGCTGGAATAGAATTTCGACTTCCATCTCAAGAATGGCAGGAAACCTTCAGACGACGAGTCAGCATCCCAATGGAAGAGGATATGCATAACGAACTAACCTGGGTGTCAGAGAAGAAGAGAGTTCTTGCAGGATATTGTTCTCAGTCAGTCTAGATCGTATCGCAGCAAGCGCTTTGTCCTGTAATTTTTCCTGCTTTATCTGGTACAATCCCAGGCATCAGTCCATACGGACAGCATCAAAGGTTACATGAGACGCACTTTGCATGCCAGGCGATACATAGACTTCGGCGAGCATGGTGGGGGCTCATCAAGGCTCCGATGTTTCGCTATCTTACTTGCTTGTGATCGCAAAGGTGCAAACACGATCTCATCGGTGTAAAGATAGTACAATAAAGCCTCCCACCTACGTCCAGTTGATAAGCAACAGAACCAAGCACTAGGCTAGTAAACCGCACGTGTTGAATGCAGTATCCGTTACCAGTAATATGCGGCTCGGAATAGTACGTTGCACCCCTTTGGGAGCATAATTCTTGATTGACGCCGTTAGAGGCGTTCGCTCCGCTGCACAAAGTTCGAGCATTTCATCTTCAAAAGGTCGACGTAAGGTAGTCGCTTACCAGGATGCAAAAAGCCACCTACCATCTGGCACCATTTCGTTGGTTTCATTCTCTTCTTCCTCGAGGTCACTATCGGACGCATATCCATATTCATCGAGAGATATCCCTTCCTCACAGGCGTGATAGTCTTGCAGTTCGACCAAGGCAGGATCACTGAGCGTTTTTTCGGAAAGTACTGAAAAATTGTTTGTTGAACTTGACTGAGTAGTAACAGACATGTAAGATGGCTCACAGCTAGTAAAGTACTCCGAGCTCACGGCGAGGGCTTCGTCGTTGGCAAACAGTGACTGAAGCTTGGTAACGTTGCCCTCACGCTTTGATCGAGCGGAGAAAAGGTTGAATTGGGTGTCAAGAAGTTCCCCGATAAGCGACTTCCTCAGCAGAGCGTTAATCCGCGCCTGGTTGCTCGACATCGCGCAAGTGTATGGAGGCGAGGTGTATGCTGAGAGGGTAATTTACCAAACTGATGTGCAACAAGAGTCTGAGGTCGAATAGCCTAATCAACCCATGCATGCAACGCATGCCGAGTCGCGTGGTCGATGTGTATTTGATCAAAGCGCTATCAAGGCGGCGCAGCGGCCACTGGACCTGATATATGATATTTGAGGGACTACTAGCCAGACCTTGAAATAAGGAAGACAGTTATTCCTAAGTAACTTAGCAAGTACTTCCCGTCAACTTGAATATTGCAATTTCCGCAACCCGGCCATATCCGACTACGGCCTTGTCATGACCCATTTTCCCTACTAAGGCACACTATCATACAAGTGATCATCTGCAACCAGCTGCAGCCTGCATTTGGTTTCCGCCAACGGCCATGTGATGTAATCGTCGATATCATTCCTGCGGGAGATTGGAAATGGGCATGGGCGCCCTTATGGATCATGTGTATCGATGAACATATGGTCGTTGACTATACATATCTCCTTCAATTCAACTATATAAATGATAAGTTGCTTATCTCCATAATAACCAGAACTACACTCGAGATGGCTACACCTGTTGACTATGGCGATTTGGAGTTCACTAGACCCGCCAAACAGATCAAGGCCGTGAATCTGCCTGCAATGCCGCAGCGCATCTTCGATGGCATGAAGCAGTATGAAGATGCTGCTCGAGGTGTGTAGCAATTATCTTCTTGGAAGCGCGCTGTGATATATCTGATTCGCTTCCACCGCCAAGGTTTTAGTACCCCAGGTTTTGAGCGGACAGTCAAGGATGCCAGCGGGAGAGAAGTTCCAGGAGGCGTCATTGTCTCGCACAGGCCCGCAGACGCCCAAGTCACTCAGCTGTATCGCATGTCAACAGATCCTTCCAGCACCGAGCTGAGCCGGCTCACCTACTTTGACATCGGTTCTGGTAGGACGATATCAACGTTCTGTAGAATTCTTGAAGAGGACTGGCGGGGTGTGCGCAGGCGTGGAGGGGCCATTATGGTTATGGATCTCAACGGAAATGAACACTTTCAACTATGGCACGTGATCACATGAAGCTGAAGATCCTGTCTGACCAAAATCGCAGGCGTTACTGGGAGGATTCTCTTGCCGACCAAGTTCTTCCAAAGGTACAAGGAGAGCTGGATAATGCGCCTGGTCTGGGACGCATCGAGAGACTGACCCACGATGACTATAGATACGGTTCGGTTGTTACATCTCAGACAAACAAGTAGGTTTGTTTTTATTCGTTTGATTCTTATCTGATCGAATCTTGCGGGACAGGCTCATGGCCTTTTCGTCGAACAAGGAGAACAACAAGGATACCCTAGTGTATGTCACCAGGCTCATAGACTCCAATACGGGTGCAAAGGCAGATACTTCTCCCTTCACTCTGCCCTCGCGTTTAGTCGCACCAAGCACCGGGGAAGGGACGACTATGTACTACCCGCAGAGTTTTTCCCTCGACGACAAGTATTTGTTGCTCAAACGAAGTTATGGCTCGGCGTATAATGCTCTATACGTCGTCGACATTTCTGGCGAACAGGCGTCACTTCCCAAGCTAATCGAGTTCCCAGGAGCAACAGAGAAAGCAGAAGATACCGCGTTCGACCATGCCTCATTCTCCCACGATGCTAATCTACCCCACTTGATCTACTGCACCACGAATGGTTACGGTGATTTTGCCTCAATCGTCACTTATGACCTTGACACGGGGTCGGTCACCCACATCACCACTTCCAGTGCCGGAATTCAAGCCATACGACCGATTTTGTGGGAAATCCAGGACCTCAAGGTCACCAGCGACAATATCATATTTAGCGTCAATGTCGAGGGGTGGACCTCTCTCTTTGTCATGCCACTGTCTGGTCCTCACAAGAACACCGTGATCGAGGTCAAGGTTGCCTGGGAAAGGGGTTGGCTCACCTTCCAAGTGAATGACCTCAATGACAAGCCGTACGAAATGACGCTGCATCTCACATCGCACCACTCCAGAGGGCGTATCACCTACTTGGATCTTGTTCCATTGTTGAGCAATGTCAAGAAAGATGAAAATGGTCACGCCTACGTACTCGCTTCTGTCTCACCCTATGCACAGGCAGAGCCGCCCACACTGGCACATGAGGTTCCCCCTACACTCATCAGATACAAGAGCTTCGATGGCTTGGAAGTCCCCGCCATCTATTACCACCCGGCTGGTCAATCGGTAACTCCGGTCATTATTCACATTCACGGTGGCCCGGAATCTCAAGCTACTGCCAATTACCGCACGTTAGTCGTGGATGTTTCACATCATTTATAGACTGACAGACGTCCGTAGGCCTACGCATAGTTATTGTTGAATGAGCTGAAAATTGCGGTTATCTACCCTAATGTGCGCGGAAGTTCAGGATATGGCAAGAAGTACATGGCCGCGGATGACGTGCTCAAACGCGAAGATTCTGTCAAGTACGGTGCATATACACCTTCTCAGGGGCAGATACTCATGTCTCTTCAGGGATATCGGAGCATTGCTTGACCACATCACATCTAACATGCAGAACGAACTAGATTCATCCCGCATTGCTGTAGCGGGCGGATCCTGTGAGTAGCCTTGTCATAACATCTATCAGAAGACTGATCCTCACTATTGAAGATGGCGGATACATGTCCTTGGTGAGATATATCTATCTTCTTGATAGTCACATCGTTCTCACGTCCAGACACTGCATATAGGCGAGTCTGACACATTACTCCTCGAAGCTTGTCTGTGGTATCGAAAACTTTGGAATCGTGCACTGGCCCTCGTTCCTGGAGAATACCGCAGCTGTCCGGCGTGCGGCACGCAGACGCGAGTATGGTGATGAGACCATCCCAGAAATTAGAGAGTTCCTCGACAGGATCTCGCCGATCAATAACACCTCTAAGATCACGGTACCCCTCCTCATCACCCATGGCGAGAACGATACTCGAGTAACTGTGCACGAAGCTGTTAGCATGTACAAGGTTGTATCGAAGAATGTGCATACCGAACTCGTCATATGCGAAATGGAAGGTCACGGTACGTCTTTTTTCGTATATGCCGCGTGATGGTGCTAACAGGTGATGTGTTTTATAGGATACAAACAGAAGAGCGTGATCGAGTTCACTAATGCTGCTGATATCTTATTCTTGGAAAGATTCCTCCTTTCTAAGTCAGTTCTGTAGACTTGGCCTGAATATCTTATACATAAACAAGGCAGCAGAATATATGTATTTGACAACAACCATTTCGCTTGCGAAAGTGAGGCTGAGTCTTGCTTCCGTCTTACTTCCGTCAACTCAAGTGAGTCAAGCGACCCCCTGACTGAACAATTCCTGGATGCTTATCTACCTAGCCGCTCACGGACTTTCTTTTGCTGCCCCATAGTCACATCCATCAGGTTTGAACAACGATACCTTAGTTCATGAATTTTATGGTGTAACATTTTTCCATATCTCACAAACATATTTACAACTCTTCCAATGGCCTCGTTCTCAAATCGCTGCGCGGTGCGGTTGCACTGAACCCTGCGCTTCGTCTATAAGCTTGCGTGTGTACATCATGCTCAGTCCATTAACATTCTTCAGACATGCAGCCACTAAGACAGCATATATTGCGAACGCCTCTCCATCGACTCGCATTGCCGTTCTCTCTGGTGGTGGTGCCAGTCACGAGCCTGCGCATGCTGGTTATACGGTCATGGGATGCTAGCATCATCCGTTTCTGGTAGTGTATTCACGATTCCGAGTGCGAAACAAATTTGGGACGCCATCGAGTTTGCTGCCTTCACAAACAGCCCCATCCCTCGAGACGTGGTGGCCATCGTTGACAATTACATGGCGATCGTTTGAAATTTGGCCTAGCTATGGAACATGCTCATGCGAAACATCCTGAACTGAATATTGGGAGCGTGCTGAATGCGGATGATATTTCGCTTGTGCCCCAGACCAGGCAAGATGGGAAGGATGTCGGGATGGTAGGTCTGAGAGGTCTCGGGGGAAATATTTTTGTATGCAAGGTCTTTGGGGGGTATACGATGTTCAGTGGCAAAGGAGTATTTCTTCGTAGTTTGCTTCTGACAGTGTTTGTGATAAATCGCGTATTAATTCCCTGGTAGCATCCACTTCAATCCAAGTGCCCCTATCCCCACATTTGCATGTGCTAAGTGTCTCGGTGACGCACTGGTTGCACATTTACGTAGCATTGGTGTCGCACTCGGACATTGTCATGTTCCTGGATGCGAACCTCATTCAGGTCTGAGCCTATACACCATTTGTCATCCACATATACTAACATCTTCCACTGCATTTCACTGCCCCACTGCCAATTGCGTGTCATCAAATGATGCAGCTTCTCAACTGATTTCTGGATGGCCATGTTGAGATAGGATCCGGTTTACACGATGAACCGGGCGTTCGCTGTGCTACGTTGCAATCTTCTGGTTGGCTCACTACAGAAATGTTACGCTTGGTGAATACGTGTGGCGGAGGATAGAGTGGAGAGGATATTTACAAGGATGAAGGTAAAACATTGAATCATGATTAACTGCAAACATTAACTTCTCTTGCCATTTAGGAGCGTCCAAGTTTGATGTCCATGAGCGCTGAGCCATGGCTTCGCGAGGACAACGTGACTGTGTTGTTTATAAACAATCTTGGCGGCGTATCGCAACTCGAACCTGGCGCAATAGTGGAGGAAGTCCGTGACGTACTTAGTAGGTAGAATCATTCCAACAAGATCCAAAAGCAATTGACCGATCAATAGCGTCACAGAAGATTATTCCATCTCGTATCTACTGCGCTCCATTTATGACTTCGTTGAACGCACCTGGAATTTCAACCTCAGTTGTGAACGTATCCAGGATTCATGAACTTATCAACGGTGATTCAAGTTCTGGCCGCCTGGTCAGGAAAAGCTGACGAACTATATGTCGCTGCAGGCCGCAACAATGAAGATGAAATCGACTTACTCGCGCTCCTGGATACTCCGACCGATGCTCATTCTTGGCTCGATGTCCACTCATGGCCCACCGTCAGAGTCACCCCGGTCGAGGATGAAGCAGAGGCGGATGCCCTGCTGCGAACCTTCACTTCTTATCTCAGACTTCATCTGGCGAGGGTTCAGCTTGGCAAGGTTTGGGTATGTCAGAAGAGAACGTGATCAAGGGGCATGTCGAGCTGTGCTGGTCGCTGAGCCAGATAACTTACTAAAATATCTGTGCTTCGATAGTTTTCGCAACATTCTTCGCAGCATGGTCCAATGCACTGTGTCCATTAAGCAGCCCATCTTCACTAAGCGCAGCTCTAAATGCGTTATAAGCACACAGACCTGCTCGTCCAGGAGATAGAACCACTGTTGACGCCTTAGTATCATTCTGTGCTGTGCTTTCTCGTCGGATGGTGCTTCACTAGAAGGTGCTGCCATGGGGGCGAAAGAAGGTGCGGAAACGACTAAGGGAATGAAAGCACGATTAGGGCGGGCATCATATGTGGGGGATGGGGAAGGAGGGGTCGGCGTTCTTCCTGACCCTGGCGCCTAGGGTGTCGCCAGCATCGTGGACGGAAAGGGTATAGCTGTATGAGGATCACTGGAAGTATTGTTGTTGCATACTCAGAATCCCCTCAAACCCATCGAAGGAAGAAAGTGGTTCCTTCTAGTACTACAAACGGGTCGGCCCGGCGCGTACAGCAGTGAGAAAAGCGGGAGAACGAATGCGATGCTGCATATTGTAGTCCCCTGGTTCGGACACTTTGCAATATCTCACTCAACTCTACTTTAAATCATATTCTGCTGGACCACATATCATTGTACACTTATAATACACTATTGCGAAGTTGAATCTTTGAAATCGGTCAAGAAATGATTGAGATCCTTGTTGAGGTATGACAGAGCCTGTCACCAAGCCGAGTCTGCCGTAGCGGAGTTTCAGTTCTGCCGACCTACTTACTCATTCGTACCATATGCAAGTCATCTAAACAGTACCTACGGCTCCTCATAATTTCGTACCAGTTGATAATGCATATTCAATTAATCGCTTTTTATTGCTTTTAATAACAATAATGAATGCTACAAAGCCACGACACCACATGTAAATACTGCCCGTGCCAGCTACTGGATGCCGAGCGGAGCTTGTTTTCGGCGGATGTGACTAGTGTTGCCGTGAAGCGAACTGAAGTGAATCGAAGTGGAAAATTGAGACACTTCGGTAGACTTCGATGTCAATGAAGTTATTCGAAGTGCGCTTCGTTACACTTTGCGAAGTCACAAGCAAGTAGAACAGATTAGTAATCTAATGTAGCTACAACATAATCTAAGTCGAAAAGTGGTCCTCGTTTTCGTTTGCAAGCAGCTGAGCAAGTTCATCAAGCTTGCCTGCTGCCATGAGTTCATCTATGGCATTCCTAGATACTGGCCCTGAAATAGAATAATCTACTTCCTCCGCAATGAGATGGGATGTGAAGTTCAGCCGGTCTTGCTTGTAAGAGAACTTGAGTACTTGTAGAGCTTCGAGAACAGTTGGTGAGAGGTTAGCACGCCGATCTGTGCATGTCTCTTTGCTGGACGAGAAAACTTGTTCGGAAGGGACCGACGAAGCCTGCGCGGGAAGGACGTCCATTGCGATGCGGAAAAGCAGTGGAAATATATGTTCTTTTTGCTACAAAATATTATGTTCAAGTTAATTTGATGAATGATTGAAAAAAATGTGCGTACCTCCCAAAAACGAACAATATGGGCTGTGCATTCAGCCGTGGAATCAAGAAGCGCAGCTTCTTCATAGCGCTGCATTTCTCGCTCGGCATCTTTCTGGTCTTCCTCTAAATCTCGTTGCACTTGCTCTTCCAGCGTGAGTGTTGGAAGTGACTGGTCAAATGACGTGGAAGAACTTGGAGGTGGTGCAGTGAGAGTGGTGGTTAATGATGAGGTTGTCGAACGCCGAACACTGGTATTGATCTTCGTCAAGCGCCCAAATCCTGCCATTAACGACTGCACAGCCACAGATGTAGAATCAGTGGAGTAAGGAAGCTGTGATGCTGATATGCATGGTGTAGGCACTGTATCCCGTTCCAAGCGCACCGCTGTGCGGTATGATGTCATCTGTAAACCAAACATTAGCCCTACTGAAAAACGACAATGAAATTTAACATGCTGCTTCTAATGCCCATTCCCGTGCTCTTCTCACATCATTCTCACCCCAGTGGGCCTTCATCCATTCAAGTTTCAAGCTCGGGTTGATTACTATCTGAAGTTCAGTAAAATTTCGAATGTGAAAATAATCTTAAACTCACTCATTGCTAGTGCATAGATTCGTGTTTTCCTGCCTTGATGAATGTAGTTAGTGAGCTTGTCGAGGCCAATTCCAATATAATGGGCAAGTTCCCAAATGGTTCCCTTCAGTTCGGTCCATTTTGTTAGCAGGAGTTTGTATGCAGGAAGGGCCATTGACAAGGTCAGAGTACGCTCGCTTGCGAGTAGCTCTTGAGCTGCGTGAGGGACTTCGATAATTTGATGAATATCGCGGAGGACATCAATGTCTTTCGAGTCCATGGAAAGGTGGGCAATGTCGGCATTTTGGATTTCTTGCAGGAACGACTGGATAGCCTATTGAAAGAAGTAAATGTCAAATGAAGAGTTAGAGGTAAAAAAAACACGTTACTGGATGCAACGTGAGAACACGATCAATCATTTTGAATGTTGATGACCAGCGAGTTGAGCAATCTTGCAAAAGGCGAAGCACAGGCAATTTCTCCTTGCCATCAGGAAGCTTACCCTTCCAATATCCATTGTTGTTCCCTTGTTCGATGACTGCTTGAAGCCGCCACCGTCGCTGCCCTGAGTGCCTGCAAGAATTAACAATGTCACGACATTGTCCAACAGGTTCATTCGACAAGCTGTTAGCATAAGCGTGAAGGTCCGTCGAGGTGGAAAGACTGGCAGGCGCTTCCAACACAGGTCCAATAGGATTGTCCTTCAATTCTTTCAGAATTGCCTGCACTGTGAGGTTCATGACGTGAGGAAAACATCTGTTGAATTCAAGGATTGTGATGATTTAGCTTGCCGCCGCCAAAAATAAGCAACAGATTTACCGTAAACGATTGCCAGCGTGGTCAAAGGGAATACCCCTCTTATCCAGCTCCGTCTCGAGCTCCAACATAAATGTATCATTGTTGGATGCGTTGTCCATAGTAATCTGGCCAAACTAGAGTCGAGTTTGAATTCATTTGATATGACAAATTATGAGTCATTAAATTTACCTTGATCGTGACCTCAAGTTCATCCGTTATTTTCAAAAACTCTTGACCAAGATTAGCACCACTATGAGAACCCCCGATATACCGAAAAGCAACAAGGCGAGTCTTGTACTTGAGTCTGTCCTTCCCATCCCGTGTCATAAAGTGGGCAGTCACTGCCATGTAACTATCACGATTCAGGTCACTCCACAGGTCCGTGGTCATCGAGATGCATCCCAGTGCATTCTATATAAGTGGTAAAAATAATTAATGGCAAACTGGATCAAAATAGTCATGATACGGTACCTTTATATCATCTTTTGCCCTGTTGTATTCCCTGCGGTATTCATCCAAGACCATCTGCGTTATTTTCGTGCGGTGAGGAAGTTCGGTGTCATCAATTTTCCCATCACCAAGGTACAGGAGAAGCTCCCGAAACTCTGGACATTCTAAAACATTGAAGCTCTGCACACAAAAAAACTTGTAAGATCAGTATACATGTTCAAGTCAACTCGTAAACACACCTGATCATCAACAGCCACCCAACACATCAACAAGTGATGGAACATATCTACCGAGAAGACCTGTTGGTCTCCGCCTATAGAATGGTGTGCGCGGTGCCTGGTTTTAAGTGACATGTTCTTGCAAATTTGCTTCCAAAGCCGGTGATGCTGGCTGTCAAAGTGCTCGCGGTAGCATGAGGTCATCCCATCTCTAAGCTGCCACACCTTCCATCGTGGGTTTTTCTCATCATCACTGCCCAACGATGTTTGAAATTTTGATAACCGAAGGAATGTATGTAGGACTCACCCACAAAGACGACATGCCACATATTTGCAGTTCGGTTTTGCTGTCAATCGGGGTTGATTTTCCGGCATCTTATCTGGCCTCTCCTTGTCATTCAAAGCCCACAAAAAGTACCAAACATCAGTCGCAACTGCTCTCGACTCCCACTGGACGGTGAGATCCACCTTCGTTAGTGTTACCATGCGGAGGGACTCCATCTGCTGGTGAGGCTGCGGCAGGTGCAGGATTGGAGACTGGACCAACACTGCAAACAGCTGCAGCTTCAGGTGGCTGCTGCTGCCTGCACCTGCGTTCGTCTTTCTCTTCTTGTTGCTCTGCTTCCGAGTGTTGGTTTGACCACCCTGTATCCTCAACAGGTGTTTTACATTTGCGGCCACCCTTTTTTGCCGTCGTTCCCATGTTAACGACAGGAGCAGTCGAGTCTCAGCAGGATAGTACCTGTGTCTTGCTGCAACATTAAGATAGGTGGAGTCGAAGTGGCAGGCTGTGCAGGGCCCCACATCTGCTGTAGCAGCCCAACATGCTGCATTGGCATCATATACTGGGCATATTGGTTACTAGGAGGTGCAGGCAAAGGTGGAGAGAAGTTTCGCAAAGTCTCGAAAGAACTGTTTGGTGTCACTAATGGTGAAACAAGCTGTGCAGGACTGTCAGAGCTCATGGGCCTCGTTGCAGGCAAGTACTGAAGGAAACTGCGAGCGGCTACTAGGAAGAAAGCCTGTTGTTGAATGGTACATCGTGGACCGGGGGAGTAGTGAAGATGTTGTTGGTAGCCTTTCTCACAAATTCAATTCAATCGCAGAACCGATTTGAATGTTCGAGATCATGCCAGTGTACGAGAGGCTTATACTTAGGAAATACAGTGATGTTTTATGATTGAAATATGATAGACAGGAAGCACATACTACAGGGCTTTAGACGTGCAGTGATAATGATTAATCTATGTGGTAACTTCGATTCACCTCTCGAAGTGGACGAAGTGCCGCTTCGACCAACTTCGGAACAACGAAGTCAACCAAAGTCTCACGTTTTCGAAGTGAAGCGAATTTACCTCGAAGTCACTTCACTTCGGCGGCAACACTAGATGTGACATTGTGTTACTACTCTGTTAAATTGTGTGACTGTCCGAACGAGTGGTTGTCCGAAGTTGTGGTAGCCGATAGTAGTACTTAGTATAGAATTTGAAAAATGGTCTTTGTCATCATCAGTATTTGTTTTACCCGCGGCGATAGAATGGTGCACGACGATGGCTGGAACGTACTGTTCGCTTGCCATTCACTGTCATTGACGGTCCGCATGTGTCGATGACGGATTTTCTGTTCGTTGTGCGGTGCATCTCACCACCGATATTTTTCTGGGTCGGGACTGGCTTGCTTACTGTAGTGATGCGGCCAGTGGTCAGAGTCTGTCCTTAGGGAGATGGTGTGTGGGCCTCTGTAATGAAGATCTCGTTTGACTGACTCAGTGGTGTATGGAATCCGCACGCTGAGGTATGTCATTGAGTTTCACCTGTTATGCTATTGCTAACCGTTGACTAGTCATACTTTAGGTACATACTTCTAATGTTAGTGTTGTCTTTCCGCACGCTGTCATACTTTAGCTTTCCACATTTAGCACCTGAGTATCCGGGCTAACCTCATGGATGTCCATTCCGTTCTTTCCGATTTCTCTATGCAGAGACTATTGACTTAAGTTGAATCATGTAACGTACCCAACCTCTTGCTTTATTCTTGGACGGTTGAACCAGTGACTCGAAGCCTGAAGGCTGCCTTACGTCTAGCGCAGTTCTGATGATGAATCTTGTGCCGACCTCCCACGTCTGCGAGTCTGCTGTGAATGATGTGAGACACCATGTGTATAGACCAAGTCAGTTGACGGCACACATGCTCACACATTATATTTTCGAGCCTATCGCAACCTACAAGCAACGCGTCAGGACGAACGCCCAACGCGGAACACCATACCGAGAAGGACCTAGACTCCACGGAGATGAACCTGAGGGTCATGGAGGTCAGGTAATCAAATTGTGATGTGTAATACTGGCCGATGACATAGCGGGGCACCGAGGTATAATTTTACCCCACACACCCAGCTAGCTGCCATTCATCTGGCCCAGGGCTGTCCCAGCCTCCTTCCATATGACCTCCCGACGGTCAGAAGAATCCCTGCAGGGCGAAAAGGTCCCAGTCAGACAAGAGCTCAAGGATGTTAACGCAGACAATTACAAACCTGTAAATCTTCAATTCGATACTGGCGATGAGTATACCAACTTTCGTCAAAAGTGGTGGCAGTTGTGGTAAGTGAAGCTGTGTTTGCAAGCAATGTCGTTCTTCATCGAGCTGCGGGCAGGTTACCTGAGGACCCACCAATTCCAGCTCCCCCGTCTCTGGAGGATGCAGCGGTGCGTCAATCACCTTCGCTAATCTGATAAAGGATAATAACATCGCGTTCTACAGCTGACGCCCTTGGCCAATGCTTCTATTTTCTCTCAGCTCACTTACACCTGGATAACCGGTATAATGGTCAGTTGTTAAACCTCGATCCCAACATATTCTAACGCATATATTCAGGTTCTCGGATATCAGCGCACGCTGCAAGCGTCTGATCTATACAAAATGGACGCACCTCGAGAGTCAGCCGTTCTTGCCGCCAAACTTGAAGCTGCATGGCAGCGGCGTGTTAAGGCTGCGGCCGACTGGAATGCACGTCTTGAGAGTGGAGAACTCAGGCCATCCATTGTCAAGCGTACCGGCTGGGCGTTACGCGCGATTTCCAGGCAAGGACAGAATCAAGGTGCGACTTGGTCTGAGCGGCGTGTTGCGTTCCAGAAACATTGGCGAGAATCCGAAGGACGGAAAGAGGCCAGCCTTACATGGGCTTTGAATGATGTCTTTCGTAGTATGTTCTGGATTGGAGGTGTATTCAAGGTACGGGTCTTCATTTGTCACTGCTATGACACATTCAACACGTCGCTCAGGTCTTTGGTGATACAGCACAACTCATGGGCCCTATTGTCCTTCGGGTATAGAGCAAGCCGTCTTTGGTTGTGGTAATTTCTGATGTCTTCTGCCCCACTCCAGCAAATCATCGTCTTTGCAGAGGAGCGTTCCGCCGCAGCTATTACCGGAGAGCCTGTCCCCAATGTCGGTCGCGGTATCGCCATGGCTCTTGGGCTCTTCGCGCTTACTGTGACAGCCAGTGTCTGCACTCACCAGGTTTGCAAAACTTTGTGGACCGCAGTTAGACCCGCCCAAGCTTATGCATTTCAAGTTCTTCTGGCGTTCCATGGCAACAGGCGTACTGGCCAGAGCTGCACTGATAACATGTATCTACGAGCGTGGAGTGAACCTCACAGGCAAAGCGCGTGTCAAACTCAACAACGCCGCACTTGTGAACCATATTTCCACGGACGTGAGCAGGATCGATGCGTGCGCTCAGTGGTTTGTGAGTCGTAAACTTGAGCATACACTCGCGCCGTCAACTAACCGCAGCTTAACCCTCGCCACTAGCATGCAGGCGAGCACATCTCCTTTGATTTCGAGATTTCGAGATGGCTTACTATCTTCAAGCCTGGACTGCGCCTATCCAGGTCACAGTTTGTCTAATAATTCTGCTGACCGAGGTTTGTTGCACGCTACGACTAATTCATCTTGTTCTAAGGATATTTAAAATTAGCTTGGACCGTCTGCACTCGCCGGTTTTTCGCTATTCGTCCTCATCATACCAATTCAAGAGCGGCTAATGACACTGCAGCACCGTGTTCGCTTGGAGTCAATGAAGTGGACTGATCAACGAGCCAAAGTCTTGCTAGAGGTATTCGGTACGTAACCTTGGAGCAGCTAGGATGTGCGGAAATGCTGAAGGGGTGCGCAGGAGCCATGCGTGTGGTCAAGTACTTCTCGTATGAGGTTCCCTTCCTTCAAAGTAAACTATGATATCAAGAATCATTAACATCACACTCACGCCTGCCGCACAGGGATATTCGAGCTTCGAAAAAAGGAACTGCGTGGTATCCGAAGGATTCTTCACTCAAGTTCGGCGAAGTAAGTCTAGATGTCTATGACACGGTGACACGTTATCGATTCGATCTACCCCAGCATGGCGCTCGCTATTTCGCTCCCAGTTCTCGCTGCTACACTAGCTTTCGTCACGTACACCCTTACAACGCACAACTTCAATGTTGCCGTCATATTCTCCTCGCTGAGTCTATTTCAGGTGAAATGCTTTGCAGCAGATAAACATGCACCTAACCGTTAGCTTAATAGCTTCTCCGGCAACCAATGATGTTCATGCCCCGCGCTCTATCGGCCATCCCCGATGCATCCAGCGCGATCCAGCGGCTCACGCACGTATTCCGCGCAGAGCTTATTTCCGGAGATGCACTCGTGATCGACAAGGATCAAGAACCCGCGCTTCTAGTGAAAGACGCAACGTTCGAGTGGGAGTCCGTTGAGAAAGAATCCGGTGAAGCTTTCAGCTCGAAGAAGGGCACACACGGCAGTGGCGGCCCACCGAGGGGCAAGGACAAGAGTGCGAAGGAGGACAAGGCAACAGAGAAATCCGCTCCTGGAAGAGATGTACCGCTCTTTAGGGTCAAGAATGTGACAATGACCATTCCACGAGGTCAGCTGGTCGCCGTAGTCGGGCGTGTCGGAAGTGGCAAGGTGACTTTGTCGAACGAATTCTTGAAGTTAATACTAACACACGAGCAGTCCAGTTTGTTACAAGGATTGATAGGGGAGATGAGGAAAGTCTCCGGGAAAGTCTCGTTTGGCGGTCGCGTTGGTTATTGCCCGCAGACTGCGTGGATCCAGAATGCAACTTTGGTGAGCAGACGTCGCTCTCAAAGAAAGTGAATAAAAATAATGTTCGACTTCAGCGTGATAACATCATTTTTGGCCAGTCATTCGAGGAAGATAAATATTGGCGCGTTCTTGAGACCGCTTGTCTACTTCCGGATCTTCAACTACTCCCTGATGGGGATTTGACCGAGGTAAGGTGGATAAACGCAACTTGAGGACACAGGCTTATACTCTATCTCAGATCGGAGAAAAGGGTATCAATCTCAGCGGCGGTCAAAAGCAAAGAGTGCGTTTGTGGCGTGTCTCCGCTCAAGACTTGATTTTTATCTTCCACTCAGGTTAACATTGCTCGTGCTCTGTATTTTGATCCCGACATTGTCATATTTGATGACCCGCTCTCGGCAGGTGAGCTACGTACATGGTTCTCTCGGCTATATCATACTGACGAATACCTTCAGTGGATGCTCACGTCGGAAAGTCCTTATTCCAAGATGCGATTGTGGGAGCCCTGCGCAATCGTGGTGTCACCGTCATTCTGGTCACGCATGCGATCCACTTCCTGTCTCAAGTAGATCACATCTATACCCTGAACAACGGCGTCATCACAGAGAGCGGGTCCTACGATGAATTGATCTCCTGCGGTGGGGACTTTGCGCGTTTGGACCTGGAGTTCGGCGGTCACGCGTCTGAGGGGAAAGATGAGGACCAGGCGGAGGAAGTCACGCCGCAGATAGGCGTTACCATCGAGGACGTCAAGTTGAAGCCAAAAAAAGCCAGAGCAAACGCCACTGGAAGTGGTAAACTTGAAGGTCGCTTGATCGTCAAAGAGAAGCGATCGACGGGCTCTGTGTCCTGGAGAGGTGCGTCCAAGACACCTCCATGGCTTCTCTGGATTGAGACAATTTCACAGTGTACTGGGCCTACTTGGTTGCGGCCCGCGGCTCGATAACAGGACCTCTAGTTGTTTTCTTCATGCTCGCGATGCAGGGAAGCCAGATCTTGAACTCGTACACGCTGGTTTGGTGGGAGGGCAAGTCAGTTCGTTTCACTGACTTCTCGTTCCTTTCTGAAATCCTGGCGCAGCAAATTCGACCGACCAATTTCGTTCTATCAGACGCTATATGGTTGTCTTGGGGTCGGTCAAGCGATCTTCACATTCTTGCTGTAATTCGGTTCCTATTGCAGATGGTGGTGCGCTCACTCACAACTTGCTGTAGTAGCGCCGGAATGGACTTCATGGCCTTTTACGTATCCCGAAACCTGCACCACAAGTCTGTGCGCAACGTCTTTTACGCACGCATGTCCTTTTTTGACACTACAGTGAGTGTTTGTGGAAGCACCTAAAAAGACACTTATTAGGTTCCTATAGCCAATGGGCCGAGTCCTGAGCATTTTTGGCAAAGATATCGACAGTCAGCATCTCGCTAATTTGTGCTATGCCTTGCTTTACTGAAACCATTCGCTCAGGTGTTGACAATCAATTAGCATGTGAGTCACCTGTCACCGCATGGTGAGATGTTACTCATGTATGGTCCAGTGTCCATGAGATTGCGTACGTTACCCGCACGCTTCGCTTACGGAGACTAACCATGGAGATCCAGTTGTCCTTACGCTGACCAGCGTTGTGGGCTCTATCATCATCGTTGCTTTCCTTGAACCATACTTTAGTCAGTATATGGATATCATTTGCGAGGATATGACTCACGCTTGTCTAGTTATTGCCGTTTTCTTCATCTTGATGGGCTACAGCTACTTCGCTGCCTTCTATCGAGCTAGTGCCCGTGAGATCAAGCGCCTGGGTTCGTTGTTGTTTTTCGGACCTAGAAAGCCACTTATACCGACCACTAGACTCTATGCTTCGCTCTCTTTTGTATGCACACTTTTCCGAGACCTTGACAGGACTTCCTACCATCCGAAGCTATGGAGAAATGAAGCGGTTCATTGCCGCCAATAGATACTACGTCGATCTGGAGAATAGAGCTCTATACCTCGTTGTCACCAACCAGAGGCAAGTGATCTTATACCTATATCGTGGCCGTCGTTGGCTCATCACCTTCCCTCAGATGGCTTGCGATAAGGTTGGACTTCATGGGAGGCATATTAGTCTTCGTTGTAAGTGTCAATCTAACGACAAAGACCTGAGGCTCACATCATGCTACGATCTCGATAGGTTGCTCTTCTGGCAGTTATCGACGTTTCCGGGATTAACGCCGCCCAGATAGGGTTGGTACTTACGTATACCAGTGAGTCTTCCAATGTTGCCACCACAGGATGCATATTTAACCTTTTCGTATCAAAGCCATGCTGTCACAAATGTGTAGTCTCGTGACCAGACAGACGGCGGACGTCGAGGTAGGGCTTTCCTCGCCTTACATCAATGGCTATTCAATTGTCACTTGCTTCAGAATTACATGAATTCAGTGGAACGACGTGAGTCGCGAGTTTCATGATACTTCCACTCACACTCACTCTTCACAGTGGTACAATACGTCGAAGGGGACACAATCCCTGAAGAGGCGCCGCATGAAATTGAAGAACGCAAGCCCCCGGCGCGATGGCCTGAATATGGCGTTGTCGAATTTAATGACGTTAAGTTGGCATATAGACCGGGTCTTCCTAACGTATTGAGGGGTATCTCGGTCAAAGTCAAGGGAGGCGAAAAGATAGGTGTGGTTGGAAGGTTGGCTGAGTTATTGGATCCACATAAATATGTGTGCTGATGGTGCATCCCGTCAGGACTGGTGCCGGGAAATCTTCGTTGATGCTTGCGCTGTTCCGAATTGTCGAATTGTCTGGTGGTTCAATCACTATTGATGGGTATGTTGGTCATCGCTCATGAGGAATATTGGGTTTCACCTTTTCTAGTGTCGATATATCTACAATCGGTCTTAAAGATCTCCGCTCCAAGATATCTATCATCCCGCAAGATGTTTGTCAAGTTTTTTATATCAACTAACACCCGACTGATCCACGAATTCAATAGCCTCTTCTTTTTAGCGGTTAGTATCGTTAATTTACATGCTCTTGTTTGAAGGGCTAAAAGATCACTAGGGACCATGCGGTCTAACCTGGATCCATTCTCCCAACACGATGACGCGGAGCTATGGGATGCGCTGCATCGATCTTGTCTTGTTGATTCTAGTACCACCTCGAAACACTCATCCTCTAGCGACGGCATCAGAAGCAAGGGAATTCCCACCAGCCGCCACAACCTTGACGACACCATCGAGAGCGAGGGAGCGAACCTTAGTGTTGGGGAGAGATCTCTGCTCAGTCTAGCTCGCGCGCTGGTAAAAGACTGCAAAGTCGTTGTGCTTGACGAGGCCACGTTAGTAATGTACTCTTCTCCTGGATAATTAATGTTGAACTCTTTTCAGAGCCTCTGTCGATCTCGAGACTGATAACAAGATCCAGCAGACGATTCAGACGGAATTCAAGGATCGTACGCTACTTTGTATCGCTCGTGCGTTTTACCCTTTCTATTCTTGGCGTAACACTGTAATGTGATGATCCTTTAGACCGACTTCGAACTATCATTTCATACGACCGAATTTTGGTCCTCGACGCTGGCCTCGTTGCAGTAGGTTGATTGAGCATCTTTCAGGGGTTAAACCTTACACATTCTCAGGAATTCGACACTCCATCTAATCTTTTCAAAGTGGAGGGCGGACTTTTCCGTGGAATGTGCGAGAGGAGTAATATTTCCTTGAAAGATATAGAGAGGAGTAGCCAGGTGTAAATGGTGGATTTTGAGGTTGATTAGTTTCTTTTTTATGTTGTTCGTATAGCTTGTCGTGTGTTTCCATAGATGAGACCATAGAATAGACCCTCTAGACCCCAATTTCGAGGCGGTACGGCTGTATGTGTACTTAAACGCTTGAGCCCCTAGCACGTGTGATCTTCAAATCACACAACACGGGCTCCTATTCCTCTTGCTTTCACCTCAGGGATCAATTACGTGAAAGGAAAAGTTGTCGTTATTTGTTCCCGGAGACGGAATACTCTTGCTTTTACTTGATCAAATAATCGATGATGGAAGCATTAGACAAGAACATGACAGTGCTCGTGCAAGGGATTGATGTATTGTCCTTCACTGGTTTAAATGAATCTTTCGCCAACGTGAACTACTCAGGACACCACATCCATCGGCTGCCGGTGGAACTTCTACAGCACATATTATTGCTCATCGTGAACGACATACCAGACTCTCCTAGTATTTTCTCATTTGAAGATACCACTGTCTCAGCCAATGTTGCAGGTCCGCCCCTAGTCTTCACCCGGGTGTGCCGCCTTTGGCGAGTGCTCGCACATTCAACTTGGACAGGGGTCTGGTCGCGCATCCAGGTGGCACTTCCTGGGCGAGTTGAACCATTGGGGCCGTTTCTTCCATCTCTGCTCCAGTTTTGGCTCGCCTTCTCTGACAGTCGGCCTCTCACCCTTAGCGTCGCATCTGGACTACGCCGCGTCCCATTCCGCTGCACTTGGCCAGCTTCAGAGGCAAATTCTCAAGTGCTCAATATCCTCCTTTCTGAGAGTGGGCGTTGGGAGACGGTGACTGTCACGTCACCCGTGGATGATGACTTTGACACACCTCAGTTAAGAACCCTGGGATGTCACTGGTCAGATCTCAGTAGATTCAATGCACCAAATCTCTCTCTCCTACCACCTGATTCAAACCTACTCCTACCTGCAACAGTGTACGCCATCTCCACCTCCAGAATGCTTCCACCTGTGTCATACGCTCCACTTTAGTGATTTCCCCCCATCTGGAAACCATCGTGGTGGATATGGTTTTATCGGATATTGGCGCTCCAAGCGGTTCGGTCGCGCACCTTTGCCTTAAATCAATGACCCTCCCCCTTCTCTCGGTTCTTCCTCATCGACACGGATTTATCAAAATATTCCATGGACTTCATCTTCTCATGTTGCAGAAATTGACACCAGTAGCAGAACCAAAAGGATCAGAAGTTGAGTGTATTATGGCAGCGCTGGTAGCTGCATCTTGCAACTTGCGGGTGGTAGACTTTCAGACGGCCACGCCACTGAGCGAAGTTGATGCTGATATCGTTGAGCCCTTGTTCTCAGTTGTGAGGGAGGTTACTGTCCATGGGGAAGTGCTCCGTCGTCTTGTCAGGTAATAGTATGTCCTTCGCTCGTGACATGATACGTACGTTACAGTGCAAATTTTGGTGTGTATACTGTTTGGTGGAGCTCGAGACACCCGTCGACACCTTGCAAATGGCAACAGCCGTCGATCATAGTTTGTTGATAGTCTTCAAGAAGCCGGAGGTTCCCGCATTGAACTTTATTGAACGTTGAGCACCAAGTCTATAGCTTGTTAACCCCCACAAACATACCCATTGAACTGGTTTCTGACCCGTACTGCCGCAGTGACCATACCTGACAATTGCGAGTCGAAATGGCGAGACCTCACGAAGAACTCCACATATTGTGTGATTGCCTACGCTCTGTTAACATTGGGCTGGATTCATACGAGCCTGACTCCCAACACTTGCCGATCATCGACTCATCGGGAGAAGAAACGGGTGAAGGAAAGGCTCAGACGCGAGAAGTATTGCCTGGGCTGCGATTTCTACGAGAAGAGGCGAAGCGAGACCTGCAAATTCTCCAGAAAGTAAGTCCAGCTCACTGTAGGGACGTTTGCTGTTTATTCATTTTAATCGTGTCATTCAGTAGTTTCTTGATAACCCAGAATTGGCCTCCCTTCCTCCTCTCTCAACCAATGCACCATATCTCGTTGCAGTGTGGCAGGAACTGCTTCAAGCCCGCGGGGCTGTTGCGATTTATCGGACATTCTATGCCGCCGCTCAACCTCAGGCTTCCCGTAAACCCAAGAGCGGCACGCCCAAAGGGCGTGGCGTCAAGGTCGATGTGGTCGCTGACAACGGGAGACGTTGGATCAGAATCAATACGTAAGTTCATCCGATATTTCTCCTTGAATCAACTCTGGATGAATATTCAGGATAAAGAACAGTCGCATTTTGATGGAGTTTCACGAAATGGACTCGTATCTTACGAGCTCTGACGAGGACGACGGCGATGGGCAGTCTTTCGAGAAGAAGGAAAGTTTGACTCCCGAAGAGTTTGACAATTCTGTGCTGCGCATGGGTCGTGAACTTTTGGATGCTGCACGCGCAAACCCTCTTCATGGTTCCAACGAAATTCCTTCAGTTACCATGCGTCTAACCCGACTGAATCCGTCCCTCTCCGACACCGACCACAAAAAGAGCGATCCGAGGATCGCATATACAATCGAATGTCTCCAGAGAATGGGCATAGATATCCAATTGGGAGAAAAGCAAGGCATCGTAAAGGAGACAACCGACACTCCTGCGCAGCCAATGATAGAGTTCGAGCCCACCACTCATATCAACCTCGATCTCTCAGCATTGATAGCGCTCATCTCTGACATCACTCACTCCCATCTACCTCGTGATCCGGAAGAAGCCACCGCGCGATTCATCCCGCCGCAGAGATATGTGGAATGGAAGAAGCAACGTCTACAAACACTTTTCGAGTCTACAGATGTAACAACTACGTGGGAGGACTCTGGAACCCATTCAAGAGCACTTGCAGACCAGGCTCAACAAGAGATGAAGAAGGGTTTCTTACAAGATATGCACGACCGATTGAGTTCCATCTCCCCTACTCTGCAAAATATCCAATTTTGGACGACACAAGAGGCTCGCCAACGCTGTCTCCAGATCGTGTCCAAGATCGGGGGGACGAAAGAACGTCAGCGCACCGACGCACTTCTCTCTTCTTCATGTTCTCAGCCGAATATCATACCTGCTCATAATCAATACTGGGCGCATTCACGATATCCACCTAATTTGATTCCATTGTTGCCTATTAGGTTGTTTCCATCCACAGAGCCTGACGATACTTCCCTCCAGTCTTTTCAGCCAACCCATTCATCACCTTTCTTGACATCCCTTGCCTCGACCTGTCGGAATATACTATCCAAAGAAGAGATCTCGACACTTCGTGCATTGCAGAGTCCGCCTGGTCCACTCAGCTGCGCCTTACCTAAGTAACGACGCAGGCGACATCCCACCGGCGGCGGTCGCTGTGGCAAACCCGAAGCTCACAGTCCATACTGCCCAAAGCATGCTTTGGGGAGCAGCACTTGGATGGACCACATTGACCACCAATAGATCCAGCGTGAAGGCGCTACTTAGAGAGATGAAAAAATACGGTGGAGGTGGATCGTTGATCTACGAGCCCCCTGGCAGAGATGAGACTGCTCGCGCATCCAAAGCCGCAATTTGGATCGTAAACCCACGAAGCTTAGCTGAAGGAATGCGATCAGACTGCAGTCGCGAGTAATATCAACAGGGTAGGGCAGTTAAACGTTTAACTATGATAATGGTAGCGTCTTAAACGTAGTCCAATCCGGAAGCAAAGCTAAAATTACACGTAAGTACGTCGCACTACAGAAATCCACAGTAGCCGAAACTTGAAGGATGTTTTATGAAGGACAGCAAAATATCTTGTAGATGGTAAGTAGTAGGAAATAAGTCCTAGGGAATCAAGCAATTGCGGGAGCTTCATAAAACAAAGGGCCGCGCTGTCACTGGCGTCACAGGTCGTGCTGTGAGCGGTGTAGGAGGCCGCGAGAGCTCAGAATTAGCTGTCTCAAAGGATGTTACTGAACTTGAGCGCGAGTCAGCCCAATGTGGGTCATACGAAGTGGGTGACGGCGAGTATGGCGACAATAACGGTTGCGACTGTTTGTCAACTCCGGAGGGGGTTAGAGACGATCCGGATATGGCAGAATCTGAGGGTGTTTGCCCAGCCTCATCCGCAGCAGCACCGTTATGTACGGAGCTTCCTGCTGTGTCCGTCGAAGGAGCACTGGTACTAGACGTGTTGCGGAGGTCAGCTGATGTTGACCCACTTGCTTGGCCGGGCGAACTTGATATAGTGGCGTCGAAGTCGGGCGGCGGTGCCATATTAGACCTTGACGCTGAAAATGCTACAGCATCTGGACCATATGGAACCCCAAATTTTTCCAGCGCATTTCTGGAGGTGATGAGTTTGATTTGCTCGGGCGTCAGGCCGCCTTTCGGCGCCCGAAACTCGGAGCGCGTAGCAGTGTGTGTGAGAGGTGCCGATATTGAGTCCAGAGAGATGGTCGAAGGAGATGTCATAATCGCGGAATGGCCGCTAGGTCGGAGAGTTTTCAAAAGCGCTGAATTAGAGCCTGAGCGATTGCGCCTATGTCCGCTGTTTGTTGATGCCACGGAGAGGGATGAAACGCTACGAATGTGGTCAGGAGTGACAGCCCTGTTATAAACCGACACTGGTGGGTATCGTGATGAGCCTCCGAAGGGTTTGAAAAGGAAGCTGAATCTAGAGCGCCGTTCACGATCTCCGATGGAAGTCTCCGGTGCAGGAGAGGCATTACGCGATGTTTCAGGAGTATCCTGACCTACAACCTCAAAGTACGGAGGCGCTTCTCCTCGTGGGTCTTCGAACGCTTGTGTAGCATGCGAGGGAAGCAGCTCAGAATGACTTTCATGTGAGTGACCCGACGTGCCCACACTAGCAACGTCCACGCTTCTTCTCACTGACACGTCGCCAGGCGCGTTATATGTGAGATTCGGGGGGGAGTTATCCGCCAGTGAGGTACCGTGCGACTCGAGGTCAGGATTACGTTGTGCCCCTCTTGCTTCAAGATGCTCGTCATCTTCTTCCAGTATGGGCAGAGGGTCGTTAGGGTCTTCATCCACCTTCAAAGGTCCTCTGTAATAGCCATCGTGTCAAAAGAATGTGGGTGCTGCAGGTATGTACGTATGCACACCTGTAGATAACAAGTTCCTGGTCACCCGGTTCCTGCATGTAGGGCGGAAGCGATTTTGTAGAAATTTGACTTGGAGTCCGCCTGGGTCTCCGACGCCTTCCAGGGCGAGATGGAGCTGTCTGACCAGCAGATTGGTTCTGGGTACTCGCCACGGCGCCTGCACCTACTTCCCTGTACGTAACCCGCCTCACACATCCAATCAGTGTCAGCACGCCAACGACGACTGCGACTATTAGTACGGGTATCTATATAATTTATTATCTGGTTTAAGCATTCCTTTGGAGTTTAGCTCGAAGGCGAACAGTACGCACCCATACGGTTGCAGAAACACTGTTCCCCCCGCTTGTTTGACTGTCAGTAGACGAGCGCCGCAGCACTTCACCTGTCGGTCTTGCAGATGCGGCTGAAGAACAAGCGACGACAGAGAGAGCCAACCAGAGGAGTGTACGACAGAATGTAGATACAGATGAGAACATGCCGTAGCCAGCGATGGTATTGATCATGGTGTCGTGAAGAAGTCGTTAAATTAGCATTCAGTGCGCAGCGCTACTGAATCGTGCTCGAGGTGCTGTTGGAACGAGGGAGACGTATATAATGAAGTGGCAGTACTTGGTCAAGATTCCACTGAAACACTATAATTCACGCCGAGGCTGTGAAACAAGCGCCCGTGTAAGGTCCTACTAATGACCCCCAGGTACCAACCGTTGGGTCACACCGCCTAATTGATAATTATCCTCACTTCAGACCCTAAAAAAGAACGGGTCTCGATTACAGGATGGACAGGATCTCCCCTTCCACCGGGACCACCGTTGGAATGTAGTGCCTCGCATGATCCACAATCCGTGTCGGGGTAAGTGCGTTTGTACGAATGACGAGTTCACCTTAATGCGCAGCATCCTCATGACAGTATCAATGATCATTATGGGGGAAAGCCACGAATTCCCTGTTGCTAGCACAAACATTTTATCCACATGCGCTCTCTTCATGCGAGGCGTGTGGTGTCTAAGTTTTCCTCAGTTGCGATTGTCGGAAACAGTTGGTGGGGCCCTCTCAGCGGAGCAAGAGGACCTCTCACACCGAGTCCCAATTATCCGCTATTTTGGAATAATTATCTTCTCTATGCAGTCCAAAACGCCGCCCCGCAAGTTATCAGGAATCAGGAACATCTATCATGGTCCAGGACCATAACGAAGTTCGATACTCCGATCCGATGCCAGTCTGCCACAGCAGAATGAGGCGAAAATTTCATGCTAATCACTCTCACCCTGCACAACTGCAGCCTGCTTCACGGTCTCCTCATAAGGTGTGGCACGGGCGTCTTCAGCTTGTGGCGCTTGCAAGTATCAATTCTGAAATGAGGTGCGAGCGAGGATGCCGCATGCATTAGCCTAGAGCGAGTATTGATGGATGTGGCTATTCACAGAACACGGTTACAGTATCAACAAGACGGTGAATGAGACCTCTGCTGTGCAGGATCCGAAAGGCGATCCCGTCGGTTGAGGATGAAGTTTTAACACGCACCCGTAGATGTAAGGCAGAGGCGAGACTTTACTAATGCAAGATGTAAAAGTCAGGGTGGTATGGTTGATGATCATTCGAGGCTGTTGTTGGCTGTCGAACTAGAGACGTGCAACCGGACCAACTTCGCGTGAAATCGTAAGCGCATCATGATCTATTACTCGCCCTGAAATAACATGCAATGCGCAGTTGCGCTGCTCGTGCCTGACACTGACAGTGCTGGAACGAGGAAGTGGTCAAGCGATACCCACGCAATCAAACAGCAACCAACTTACGCCAAAGACTACCAAACAAGCGCCTGTCACAACGATAGGTAACGACCCGCTCCTCTCATTCCAGTTACCAGTAGACTATTTTACGCTCGCATTAGCAATTCAAATAAACGTCAGGACTATGTTTGTTTCAGGTATCGCTTGTTTCCTGTGTTGGTCGTAGCCCTAAGCGAATGCGAACATGATATATCACCGTAAGAATATCACAGGTATGCTCTACTCCGCAGTCCGTACTTTCTTTCCAGGAAAGCTGATATATCTTGAGCTAGAGGAAACCAATCATGACGACGCGAACAAAAGACAAAATGTCACTTACAAAGCTCCTCTGGCGATTCTTGTGGAATCTGAGGAACAGACAGCTCATCCAGGCTTTTCACAAGAGGCGAAACATCGGCTTACCAGATGCCCAGCCGAGTGGATCACTACATTAGATGAATTAGCAGGCCTTCTCCACACTCGGACCCTCGTGGCTTGTTCGCCCATAATCCTGAACAAAAATCAGCAGAGCGGAGCCCACCACGGGGAAATCGTACCCTTTGTCTTTGGGCTTTCCTGGAACGACCCAGCGTAGTTCTATTTGCTCATCTACCCTTTCCAGTAGCTCCCATGCTTCGTGCGATCCCATATGATCTGCAAACACCAAAGCCTCGTGTAGACCTGACATCTTCAGCTTCACGCCCCCTTGGGAGTCATCGCACAGGCCATAGGTAACATATGATTGTAGGGTATCAGCATGCCAAGCTCCGAAGAATGGGGACGCCTTGAATGAACGTAATGCATGCTCACTTATGGTATCTTACTTGAGTCCTTAAGTAGAAGTCACCACAACATCACACTCACCGCGACGGCCAGCAGTCGCGTCTGGCAAGGGCGCCGACCGACATCATCGGCAGGTAATTGTCGGGATAGCTTTCATTTTGGACCACTACTGGATCCACGAGAACCATCGAGGAGAATAGCGCAGGGAAATTGACAGCCGCTAGTATCCTGTATTGAAATCGAAACTGGATCAGAGTATTGTTGCTGGTAATAGAACGTACGAAGAGCAGCCCCCAAACGAATGCCCAACAGTAACAAGCGAGCGGGATGAAAATCCTTTAGCCTTCCGGTATTCACTAATTGTCTCCGGCAGAAGATATAGATGGGTGGGTAGAGCTGTCGACGAGGCATCTTCTGGTAAGTAGTGTAACAGGAAATGTGCAATATCCCGCGCATTGTCTGTCCAATCATCTAGCATAAAAGGTTCAACTGAGCACTTGAATTGAATGCGTTGAACCAAGGTGCCTCACATATGCCACTGAGATGTGTCTCGTTGACCAATGCAGCATCACCATGCTGGACAGCCTCCCAAGACCACACTTCGTCGATCAGTGAGGCTGCGTTTGACGATAATAAATATCGCAGAGTTGTTTCCCATATCTATACCACATTCAGTAGATGTCCCGAGAGATGATTCGTGTCAAGCAGACGACAGTACCTCCTTGGGAAACCCGTTTGCATGAGCAAGGAACAAAGTCAATCCCTTCGTCCCATTTGCAAGTCTCTTCGCATATCGGTTGACGCAGTTCCACAAAGGCTTCTCGCTTCTTTCTCCGCCTAACCTTCCATGCACGAAGCGCTCTTGTCGCTCAACAATTTCGGCGGTAAGCCGCTGGATATCTTGTTTCCGTTCTGAGGCATTCGTCGAGAATTCGGGGACCACAGGCAATGGGATATCCGGAGTTAGTCTTGGACAAGCAGCAGGCACAAGGTGGGTGCTAACAATATAATTATCGTTGAATAACTCGTTCCGAGGAGGGGATGGTAGTGGTGGCTTTTCTAAGCCTTCGGAACGCGTGTGGAATGGCAATAATGGCCTGGGGTTCACTGTCGTCCACTGGGGAGTCGGTTCAAACGGATATGTTGAGGTCATACTGGCCGTTATCGTCGTTCGAGGAAGAAGTAGAGTTAACGCCTGTTACACGATCGCTCACCGGCATTCGGATAAACTGATCATGGGATAATCATGGGATAATTTGTGCAACCGGCTACGTAGAAACCAAGTAACGACTCGGATGCAGAAGTGTTTGAGCGGGCAAGTAGCTAGGGCAAGTGCATCCACTTGAAGTCTCCGAAATTCAAAAAAACAATGTCATCAAGAGTGGTGGGACAAGAGTAGGTAAGTACCAGCGTCTACAACACAAGTATCACGTATTTAGAACTTGAAGAGGGCGTTTCTTTGAAGAAATTGTACGAGATACGAGCTGTGGTAGAATTATTATTGTTATTGTATTACAGTAAGTACATGGAGGATATTGTGGTGTCCAGGACTTAGGGTTGCCGTCGGATTATCAGTGACCGCAAACATCATCCGAGTGCCACTACGATTCACGAAGGATATCACAAAGCTTTCATGTCACCACCGGAACGTCCACACAAAAAAAAATACAGTTGACCTGTATTCAAGTTGTAGATGGGTGGATAAAACCTTCAAAGATGCATCTTCCGGTAAGTAGTGTACCAGGAAGTGTGCGATATCCCGCGCATTGTCTAGTCAATCGTCTAGCAACAAAGGTTCAACTTAGCCTTTGGATGTAACGCGTTATGGCAAAGTGCCTCACAGATGCCGCTGAGATTTGCCTCGTTGGCCGATGCAGCATCACCATGCTGAACAGTCTCCCAACACAACACCTAGTCGATCAGTGAGGCTGAGGTCACGATAATGAATATCGCAGAGTGATTTCCCATATCTATATCATATTCAGTACATGGTATGATTTGCGTCGAGTAGATGAGTACCTCCTTGGGAAAACCAGTTGCACGAGTAAGGAACAACGTCAATCCTTTCCTCCCATCTTGACCTCTCTTCGCATATCGGTTAACCACAAAAGCTTCTCGTTTCCTTCTCCACCCAACCTTCCCTGCACGAAGCAATCTTGTCGCTCAGTAATTTCGACGACAATCCGCTGGATATCTTGTCTTCGTTCTAAGGCATTTGTCGAAAATTTTGGAACCACAGGCAATGGTATGTCCGGTGTTAGTCTTGGACAAGCAGCAGGCACCATGTGGGTGCTAATAATGTAATTGTCGTTGAACAGCTCGTTCTGAGGAGGGGACGGCAACGGAGGCTTCTCTAAGACTTCGCGTCGCGTGCAAAATGGCAGGATCGGCCTAGGGTTTACTGTCATTCACTAGGGAGTCGATTCAAAAGGATATGTCGAAGTCATACTGGCGGTCATCGTCACATTCGAGGGAAGGAGAGGGGAGAGCTAACGCTGGCCATGATTGATGCATTAATGACCGCTCCACAATTCGCTCCCCGGTATTCGGGCTAGCACAGTCAAGCAGCCAATGCTATGTAGCAATGTCAGTGAGGTGGGCAGAGCTCGGCCGGCTTGGCAGCACTGGTTGTCCCTGGCAGATGGACCGGCAGACCTTCATGCTTCCAGACCAAAGGCTGGCATAATACTGAGCTCGACATCAAGTGCTTTCGTAAGTTCCATACCCTTTTAAGTTTCCATTAAACGATGAGGTCCACAGTTGTGTCACTGTTAGACGAGTCTCAAAATCGTCGAAGGCGACTAACACGACAACAAAGACCTAGATCAGGCTGAATGAATAGACCATGTGAGCCAGATACATACTTAATCTGCGCTGAAGCATACCTGCATTCGGAATAGACCACCACGACGATAGGAGATTCGAGCAAAAGTGGTTCACATTAACTTTATGACAAGCAACATTAATATTGACCGAACACATTTCACAGGAGTTTTAGCTAAGGCCTAATCCTTTTCCTATCCTAGTGTGTAGTCTTTCTAACCCTTTTCATGTAGTCCTACTTGCGCTAATTTTTTCATGCATTCCCCAATTCCCCAACGTGTTCTCCCTAATACTTTTCATATTGTCACTGTATGATCATTACAACAACATGTAGAATTGAGCAGTCCTATTAAATAAATCAAATATTTAAATAACTCAGGAAGCCGGACTGCCGTCGGCAGAAACTTGCTTATGCAGGCGTATTCGGTCTCTTCAATATATCTATCTTCTTTCTCCATCGCTGTTCTCCACCCCTTTGGTGTTACCTGAGCAAGAACTCACGACGTCAGACAGGTGTTGTAAGAGACATTGAAAGTCTTGAATGTTTGGCTTTGTTGCGCTCAATCACGTGGGTCTAAAGACGGGTTGGAAATCTTGCAAGCAATTGTAAGTACTGTAAGAAACGCACGGATGAACTTAGATTCATGAAAAGCTCGCCCTCCCGACTTTCTGAATCGTTTCCAATAACTCATAAGTAAGTACTAGTTACATGATATATGATATAACCTTAGTATTGGCCTACCAAGCCGTAGTCTGCACCCGTCCACGTATCATGTCGACATCAGTGCCATAATGTCGTGATGTCGAGTCTCACCGCGAGGCCATCATAGTATAGCAACCACGGGTCCCCGCCATATGGCTTGTGCTTCACTGACTCGGCTGGCGAACGCTCCATTTGGCAATGCAGCCTGGGACAAGATTTTGTCCAAAGGCAAATTGATATGGTCAGCACGGCATGTTTGACACCCACCACACTTACTGGATGATCCTAGCGGTCGGCCCATCTCAGTAGAGTTCGTTGTGCCACTGGGTGTCGTTCAATATCTGACCGTTGACTCGGGTAACCTTCTTACGATGGGTGTCATAGGGCTGGTAATTGAATGGAATAATGCCAATCGGATGTAGCACCGGGATACAGTCACCATGAAGGGTTGATGGGTGCAATATTGCAAACTTCTTGAACATTGGCTCAAGTCGTCGAGATCTTGATAATGGCTGGATTCACGGTATAAAATGATGTAGATCGACCGAGTCGACATTCATCGTATGCATCTATTGCAGACTGAGGTGCGTACGAAGTTTCGAAGCTCTTTTCCATACTTGCACTCGACGTTACACGGTTACAGCAGAAGCGAGGCTGTGTTTAAGTCGAAGCACTATGTGGCGGTCAACCATCCGTAATTTCGGCTTGGCATGACAGTCGATCATAAAGACTTTCCTTTTTCAGACAGTCGCTGGTCGCTGCTAACGTTGGCGATGCCGTCCAAAAAAGTTAGCACCCCGATATCCAATTTACGTCCGTCGTGACCGTTGATATAAAGGGCGGCGCTGCCGAAGACATGTAATATTTTTCTTTCCCTTTGTTCTCTCCAAAACACTTTCGTTCATCTTCATAACAGACTTTTACACTCATATATCCTATTTTATACGGTATTGCACTGGGTGCATTTGAGCCGTCAAGTCTTGTTCGCTTTGTAGGCTTCGGCTGCGCACGTACAAATGTTGAGTGTCCGAAACAGTCTTGTGAGTCTCCCTTTACTTCGATTGTGTCCGAAACTCATTAAAGCAGGCTGGACATGACGTATCGGGAGACGCAGCTTCCGCTTACGTTCCAGATCCCGAACGGACTCGGAACATTCGACTTGCTCTCGAGAGCTTAGATACTACCTTGGCTCACAAGTACCATCAAGAGAGCCATAGTCCCATATTTTGCTCTGGCGTTCCTTCCTTATCTACCCCTACCACGCCTCCAAAAGTGCATACAGTCCTTCGGCACAAGAAAAAATACAGGCCTCCCCCTTTGATATTGGATGTACAGCATTCTGCACAGCAATGTCCAAGGTCGATCCTTGATCCGATTCCTACGGAGCCACAAAGCCGACTACTCAAGTCCCAACGTAGTCTGCCCATTCTACGGACTGTACCTGTGACAGTACCCACTCACGCATATCGGTCATCTATTACCTTTGCTTTTCCTACTTCCTCTCCTGCCACCACAGTGACACCTACCCCAACCTATTTGACCGTGCCTTCTGTGCAACCCCCCCTCTCACCGTTGACACCGCCCCCGCCGTCCCCATCAACGACGAAGCGTAAGCGTTTCTCAAGGCTGTGCCGCAAGTTTGGCGAGTCCCCGCCCCCTGAGCTCGTCTTTGGTGGGGGTCCTGCGGCCACAGAGGCTCGCGGTGGCATGCAGAAGAATGCCTTAGCTCCTACCATGGAGGAGGACGAAGATCTGGACACGGCTAGTAGTGAGGGAACGAGCGAGGATCATCATCCATCCTCGCTTTTCATGAAAGACGCCGATAAACTTCATCATATCCCAAAGCAGTACGGCACAGCTTGGTTGCTGGAGAGGAAAGGACGGCGCGTCACGCAGCGCAATTACGAGGACGTAATGAAACGCCTGAGGATGCTTTGAACGCTCCAGTGCTCATACATCACGTTTCATTCGTTTCGCCCGTTGCTGTTTGTGAATATTCGTTATAATATTTATCATAGCGTAGAGCGCCTTTTCATCGACTGCTGTCATTGTGCGATAATTTTTCAAGGACATACACATATATTATTAATTGTAATACATACTTGCGTAGATGTCATCGAATTGCAGTGTCGAAAGACGAGCCCCACCTGCAGTGTGAACAGCATGGGAGTAGACGAAGTATCGGCATAGAGCTTGACAGAGGTGTATCCGTCCTGAATGCGATCTACAGAACCGACGAACCATAGACGAGCACCAACGGAAGGTCACTGAAGAAACGTTGGTACCACGAGTCACCTTGATCAGTACTAACAGGGTCATGACGCGATTGATTAGCATATGGACACGGTACCCATACGTCAATCAAACGAATGGATTGTCTATCCATAAATGTATGCCCCACATCGCGGGACACTGATGCCCTGAATGTATGACTTGACCAGTAAGGTGACGCAACGTCTTCCACAATGCATACAACCAGATTCAGGCGATATATTATGCGCGCTGCCTATGCCAAGAGCTGGCTAGAAGGTCGAGTTAAAATGTGGGGTCTACTGCCATCGAGAAGGTCTGGGACTGAATTGATCTGCGGCGCCCGGGCCAAGCGAAGTGAAAAGTTCCCGTCAATTTGACGTCACGGGATCGTTCGCGATTACATGTGTTCGCAGCGAGGCTTCATGGAAAGTTGGAGAAAGTGCGCTCGTGGAGTAAATGGTGGAGCAAGTATGGCTCTGATGTGGCGCCAGATGTAGTAAATTTCTTTACAGCAACCCAACGCAAACGAAACTTCCTACGTGGCAGACTTTGTCGTTCCGGCGCTTCTCTTTGTTCGTCGATGGGTTATCGTTCGGTCAAAAACTGAAACATTTTTGAGGGCAAGAGAAGAAAGAGAATTGATCTATAGCGATTTGGATTACTAGCCTTGTGAGTTTTTCCAATGAATTTGTATGAAAGATGCAAGGTAGTTGAATGGGAAGAAGAAAAGAGGTGTGGCTTGGTCGTTGTTTGCCTCGGTGATGACCCAATGTTTGTGCTAGCACACGCTTAACATTGTCCACGATCCTCTATCCTCCGCTTTCCCCTTTATCTCGACGTCAAAACCGACTTTGAAGACGAACAAAATTATATTTGAGCGTTGTTCATGTTAGTTAGGTTTCTTTGATGTCTGGTAAAGCGCCTCCAAAGGGACCAAGAGCGCTTCTGAGTTCTTTGCCTGTCTCATCGTCACAGCAAGCTTCGACCTCGACACCTTCAACATCGGCTTCACCTGGTGCTGGAACAAGTAAAATTGGTGCTCCTCCACCAACAGGACCTCGACTCCTGAATGGTGTCCCAACTCAGCCCCGAGGTAAACCACCCGGAAAGCCTTTTGTAAATGGCTACGTCGGGCCACAAACTACTGCACCATGTATAATAAATGCACCAACGGGTCCAAGATCGACGCAGAAGGGAAAACAAGCGGATTCAACATCAAATGTACGTTCTTTATTGAAAGAGTCATTTCTTGGATATGAATGTCATTTTTACAGTCGAGTCCACATGCATCTGCTTCGCCAGTTCAGGGTCACACTGAAACTTCACCAGTCGCGAGTACAAGTAAACTCGCGCCTGTAACTGTTGCTGATGGTGTACGACCACATCAACCTGTCAAGATCTCTTTTTCAATTAATCGACGTACTTCACTCACGGAGTCGCGTCCTCGACCACCTCAGCCTACTGAAGAGCCTCCCCCACCACCCCCACCCTCAGGACCACCTCCTTCAGACGTTCCACCTCCACCGCCACCTCCACCACACTCGCCGCCTCCTGCGCCGCCTCCAGCTACCCCGTCGTCGAGCTCGCCACCGCCACCACCACCACCTGCATCACGGCCTTCCTCCCCACAGCCACCACCACCAGTGTCTGCTCTTCGACCTCCTTCGCCCCCGCCTCTATCTCCGTCACCCCCACCACAAGACTTGTCAGATCACGCGCCCTCACCCCCACCTTCTAAATCGCCCTCACCTCCTCCTCAACCTCCAGAACCCGTTGCATCATCATCGAAACCGCCACCACCGAAATTTTATTCCCTTCCTCCCCCTCCTCCATGGCCTCCCTCCCGTTCCGAATATCCTGCAGGCAAGAATTTCAGAGTCATTTATGACCCTGCCATCGACAAGGATCGTGACGGACGTTTTCGCGCTTTGATCGAGAAGATTCGACCTACACAGGAAGGTTCGGAACAGCCTCGGATTAAGGGAAAGGGAAAGGGCAAAGAGACGCTCACGCGATATAATGGGGAAGTGATCGAAGGCGAGCCACAACCTACGACAAGCGACCCCCGCAAGGCACCAGGATACAAGAAGCGTCCCCACCGAGACGCGTTCCATGAAATTCGGTACGAGGTGCGTGGCGTTACCAATATCATGTAATGAAGTCTATTGACGCGTCGTAAAGTATGATGCCAACTCGACAGGTCCACCACCCCCCACAGCTGTGCTGATCATGAATTTGTCACCCCTAATACCTACGCAGTCAATACGTCGCGTCTTCAGTGCACATGGCAGGATCTCATCATTCGATCCGCAAATTGACATGCAGTCCGGGGTCGCACTTGGTATCGTGTTCATCCGGTACCAGACACATGAGGAGGCCAAGTCATGTGTGGAGCGCACCCATGGAAAGAAATTTGGCACAAGCATTGGAATGGCTGATGGGGATGAACTGAAAGTGGTTTTTGACGGCGAAGGTCTCAAACTGAAGGCAGTCCGGAAAGAACTAGAAGAGCGGAAACATCGCGACAGAGAGGAGAAAAGAAGGAAGGAGAAGGAAGCCAAGGCTCCGACATTACCACCTGCACCCATACCCGCACCCGCATCCGCATCCATACCGAAAGTTCAGACTCCCAGCTCGACACATACACCCGTCCCAGCCCACATGGCGACCGAGTCACCAGCTCCCACCGCGCCCTGCACACATCCCCTACACAAACGGACGCCTATCACCTCCCCGCGGCAGAAAAGCACCACCTGTCATGAAAGCTAAGATGATGAATTCGGCACTGAGTAATCGTTTTCCAGCAGTAAATGACCTCGCGCCCATGTCGTCTTCACAATCATCATCATCAACACCCATCCATACTCGAGGTCGTCCTTCACATCATGGTTCTAGTCACGCTCCAGCTCCTCCTTCCCGCTCACCTTCGCCTATCTCCCGTCGCCCAGGACAAGGGCGTCACCAACAGCAGAGAGAGGCTACTAGTGCCACTGTCATCGACGCCCTCGCCAAGAACGGCTTTGAACATGTCCGAATCGACCTCACTGGTGGTGCCATGATATCTATCCGAGAGGAGGATGTGCGTGCGTTCTTCAAAGACTTCAAGGTCGACTGCGTACTGCGAGATCATAACGCTTGGTATGTTGCGTTTCAAACGAGCGACTCCGCGCGACGTGCAGCCATGGTGCTCAGCTCGCGGACTCTTGGACACCACTCGGTAACGCTGTCAGCTTGCCCTCCTCCTTCTCATGTCGCGCCTGTGGCTGCCGAAAAGACCAGCTGGACACAAGAGGAAATAGTTCAGCAAGCAACAGACACCATCGTCAAGGAGCTCAAAGTTCTTTTGGAAAAGGACATCACTGAACGGGTGGCTGCAGCAGATCTACGGAAGTTGGTCGCAGACGAGAAGGCGAAGGTTGCAGAGACAAAAGCCAAGGAGGGTTCAGAGATAACCAACGAGCAACGGCCAGCTGAAAAGCGAGGTCTGAAAGGACTTTCCTTTCGGAAGCCGAAGAGAGTCAGGGATGAGGAAGCGAAGGCAGTCGTGGTCGAAGAAGAAGCCCCCCATATCGAGCCGGAAGAACCTGCACCCGTAGAGCCACCAAAGAAAAAGCGGAAGAAAGACGTTGTCACGAGGGTTACTAGGGTTGCTGATTCGGACTTGGAGTCCGAGGATGAGGAGAACCTTGCTCCTGAGCCCCGGAAGCGGGCCGTCTCCGAGGCTCGCGATGAGGAACAGGAGCCTGTGAAGAAGAAGCCGAAGAAGGATGCTGTGCTTGAGGATGAAGAACAGCATAAGAGAGCCTTGTCGAAGAAGAAGGTCACGAAGAAAAAGTCAGCAGCCAAGGTGGTTGTCGATGAGGTCATCCGACCCGACGAGTTGGATTTCAATGTTCCTGCTACAGCCAACATCCACATTTCAAAGGTGGAATCGGTTTCGCGGTCGCTTTCTCCCGTGCCAGAACCACCGCGACCTCCAAGTCTTCCTCCCGATCCACTCGAACAAGGTATATGCGACGACGACGAGGACCTATATTTCGCTCGGCTGGCTATGTCGAATGGCGCTTCGACCCCGCCACTCGTCCCCCCGCCTACTACCGATGCTTTACCAGCATTTCGGAAGCATCTCACAGGTTCAGCACGTACCGAAGGCTACTACAAGATCTCCCACGCAGAGAAATCTGCTTATGTCGCTCAATACGCCCTGCGGTCCACGACTGTTGAGGATGTCACCCCAGCTGAACCACCCGCACAGCCCGTCACCTTCTTCCCGCTCCAATCGTGCCAATGCTCGCCGACGTGCTCAAGGCCTGGAGGAGATCAACCAGGTGCAACGTGCTGTGGCTCTTTCAAAGGGAGAGACAGCCGCTGTGGAACTGAGCATCAAATTCAACCAACTCCAAACGCGGAAAAAACATCTACGCTTTGCTAGGTCTCCGATTCACGACTGGGGCTTGTACGCTATGGAAAGGATCGCCCGAGGGGAGATGGTCATCGAGTATGTTGGCGAGATCATCCGCGCTCAAGTCGCCGACAAGCGTGAAAAGGTGTACGAGCGACAGGGTATCGGAAGCAGTTACCTGTTTCGTATCGATGAAGACCTTGTGGTTGACGCCACGAAGAAGGGTAATCTTGGGTAAGCCCCCCTCTCACACCTTAAGTAATCCAGCTGCTGAATGGAGACTTTCCCTAAGACGTCTCATTAATCATTCATGCGATCCAAACTGCACTGCCAAAATTATCACCATCAACGGCGAGAAGAAGATTGTCATCTATGCGAAGCAGGATATCGAACTGGGCGATGAAATTACCTATGGTCAGTCATGCACGACAGCCTATATTTGACTCTACTGACGCAAAACGCTCTGCAGATTACCATTTCCCTATCGAGCATGATAAGATCCCATGCTTATGTGGTTCTGCGAAGTGTCGCGGTTATCTCAACTAGAAATGTTTGACGTTATCCACTTCGCTCTACATTGCATCTTCATACCCATTCAATGCTATCGACTAATCCACACTGCGTTATGTATCACTCACCTCTTGCACGTCTCCTTCACATGGCATTGTTTATTAATGATCACCGGTTTCCCCTGCTCGACGGGTCTGGCTTTTGCTTTAGTGAATCTTTCAGGAGTTACTCTTTCAGTGATAGCTTCAGGCACTTGCAACGAATCCTGCTTACGTGGCACTTGGCAAGTTCTGATGGCGAGAAAGTCGATTATGATCTGAAGCGAGGTCAAGTTTTCACCAGAGGGGAGTTCCAGACAGCAACTGTTGACATCCATGGCCTTCTCATTCCCTTACACTCTGGACGAACGTGATCCCGCGCCAATCATGCAGGAACCGATAACTTACTTCACAGCGCACATGTCAGTAAATCCTAGAGTCACCCCGGATACGCAATGGAATCGTTTTACTAGGTCATAGTAAGCAGCAGAATGTCGCGCAAGTGGCAATACGTATTCAATCCTCGATCTCGAGATCTCCATACGGCTTTGCTCTGAAGTAAGACTCATCGAAGTGATGAACCCGTACAAACCCATCTTCTCCTCCGGAAGCATAGCTCGTGCCAGCGGGATGAACAGCAAGCCTGGTGGTCAATCCATAAGAATGAGAAATCATCGGAAAAAAAGTAAATTGGGAAACTGACGTGTTGATGGGTCCGAAATGACCCTTTACTCTGCCAACCTCCTCTTCAAAGACCTTATGCCAAAACCGGGTCTCAAATTTGCCTTGCCGCAGCGACGTAGTTGTGACCTGCATGGCTTCCTGACCACCCCCCACAAGAACCTGTGCGCATAATCCGCCATATGAGCAAGGTCTAAAATACAAATTATCGACCTACGTATGGTTTGTTGGGTGCTAGTGATGCACTGTTCAAAGGTGTCTCCGTCGTAAAGGTTTTCAGTACTCGGAGAGTTTTTGTGTCATGTATCTAAACGAATGATGTATCGTGAGCCAAGTACCTTTGTAATCGATAGCTAGAAACTCGCCCGAGCAGTTTTGTCTTTGCTACTTGTTACGAAGTAGCTGCGATCGGGGGATAATTGCAAATCGGTGACAACATCCATATGCGCACGTTCGTTATTGAGAACTTCTGTCCCAGTAACGATGTCAAAAAGAGCGACTTTTCCAGACTCGTGACCGGTTAAGACCAGGTTTGGTGTGTGTGCGAACGCGCAAACAGTGGCCTTGGACCCTATGGGATTGAACATATGTTCTGGTTCCAGTGATTCTGAAGGGTAGCGGATGCATCAGGAGCGATCGAGGATAATATCTCCATCTTACGCACGAGCCGTTCCATCTCCATCACGGTTCAACTTGAACACTCGTATGGCACCTTGAAAGCCCATGCGTTGCTCAGTAATGCATACGACACGTTCGTCATCGTCGCTAAATGATACACGTTTCACAGCCGTCGGGAACTCCCAAACATAAAGGCATTTGCCGTCGGATACGTTCCATAGACGCAGCTCATTGTCAGCGGATCCAGAGACAAGAAATCTTGATTGTGCTGCCGGATATCAGTCAAGATCCGTGGTACCATGGCGTAGAAAAAGGGCCGTACAATCAACGTCGATCGTCCACACTGTGCCATTGTGGCCCTCGTATGTACCTAGGCGTTCACCGTTATGTGAGAACCAAACGTTGATGATATGGTCTTTTGAGCATGAGAACAGCAAGTCCCCTTCTGCATTGAACTTGATTTGAGTGAGGGATCGTTCGTGACCTGTGAGACGGAAAATTAGATCACAGTTAAAGAGTTTATAAGTCGACTTTGCCTTGTAATAAAATTGGCCTCTAAGATGAAATGATCAGTATGAAATAACATTCAAGTCTATGCATGTCCAACCATGTTCAATATCTGAACAGCACGTCGAGCTGATGGATCAGTGAAGCTGTATAACGTGTTCGAGGTTTAGAGGAGAAAAGATTTCTAACAATTTGCGACTACCGCATTCGGAAGTTGTATCGAAGACTGAGCATTTACAGGTCAGCCCGCCTGGTGCATTATTTACATGGGTCAATGACGAGACGCTATGCCATCTACGCTAGTACAGTAATGTGAAGGTGAACAGTCCGAGGTACGTTACAGGTGAGCTAAATGTTGAATGGCACAAGTCCATTCCATCAGAGAATATCTACCTCGTCCTTGAGTGTCCTCTTGATCTTCAACAATATTCCTGTCTTCCAATTATCCAACTTCGTAACCTGATCGTACTCGAAGACTGCGGTCGTGAAGCTTTGCTCATCGCCTTCGGTTACGAGTGCGCACATGTCTTCTAGGAACTTGCATTCCCGAGTTGAGCTGAACGTGACATCTTTCGACTTGAAGACCTCGATGTCTCGCTGTGCTTTGCCAATATCCTGAGACATGATGAGAATGTGAGTGGGTCACATCAATGAGAAACATACTTTCATGGCGAGTGCACAAAGGCCTGATCGTAACCAATAATCTTTCACGCTGTACTTTGTCAGGTTCGACTTCAGCGCGTAATTCGCTACCATCTCATAAAGCTGTATAGCCCCTTTGTAATCTTCGACTTCAGCACAGAGGTCCGCAGCATCCTTGCGACATGCACTAGCCGTTCTGTGACACAGTGAGCAGGTGTCTGCTCTGTGAAAACCATACGTACGCAGCAGCATCCTCCTGGTCATACCACTCAGCGGCTCGCTGGAAGCTGTCACATGCCTTCGCGATGTCAGTTAATTCGTGTTGATAGAGCTGGCCAATCTCCTTTTCTCTGTCTGCTGCCTGGCGGAACCTGCCCGCCTTGGTGAGATGCGTGATCGTGCAACCCAAAGCCTGAATCGCCACTGCAAAGACAGATCAGCATCAGTAAGTTACATCAAGCATGCGGGGAAAACATACATTGTGGGTCGTCTTTCTTGTATGCTTTGGCAGCATTCCACCAAGCATTGGCTGCATCATTGATTTCGTCGCACTTTTCTCTGCACTCTGCTTCTCTTGCAAATGCGTCGCCAGCCACCTTAAATTGCTTCTCGAGCCGGAAAGAGTTGGCAGCTTGTTGGTACAGGTCCCCTGCCTCCTCCCACTTGGTTGATGAAGAAGAGAACCATCCGGTCGAAGAGTTTGCCTTCTTATCCGCTTTCTCTAGAAGAATCTCCGCTGGTGATTTGGGCATCGTGGTTGTGGAGAGTCGGGACACTGATTCATCGGGAGGCGCAACCGGGGACGGGCAACGCCCTCTGTTACGCTTACATAAGGTCCCCATAACCCTTTAGGCGTTACTTTTGCCTCATAGAGGGGCTGGTCACCAGTCTAGTTACTTACACGTACATTCATGACTACCGTCGCCTCCCCAATGGAAGGTGATAAAGTATGTGAGATGCGACCCATGTTCTACTAACACAAAACCGAATATATAAGACATCTATGCCTGCTTTCTCTGCAAGTTCTTCGGCAGCTCCTTCACCCATGGCAAGAAGTCCCGTCCCTGCATATACGGCCTGAGTACCTCAGGTATAATGAGACCCTGACAGCATATACAGTATTAACGTCAATCCCTCATGTCACAAAAAGAAAAGAGGCGTACATCTGGCGTCTGATAATTCTCGACCAAACAGCACAATGCGCGCTCCGTGGCGCACATCGTTCCGTTGAGCATGTGCACATAGACTTTCCGTTGCTGGTCCTTCGCTTTGAGACCACAACGGATTTCTAGCCGCCTGCTCTCTGTAGTTGTTATCGAGTCAACCGTCAACGGGAAGTTCACGGATAGAAATCTAACTTACGATAATCTGTGCAATTCGAGCAGGAAACGAGTTCTTTGTATGCACCTTGGAATGGGAACCACGCCTCCAGATCGCATTTCTTTGACGCTGCAAGGTTCAGTGCACCACTGACGATAGCCACTACACGGTAAGAGAGACCCAGGCTCTGATAGAACGCTTCACTGTTCCCCAGCATGGTATCGAATGCATTCCAGCTCTCTTCGGGAGCGGTGAGGACGAACTGTTCAACCTTCTCAAACTGGTGCACACGGAAGATACCCCACATATCACGTCCAGCGGAGCCTGCTTCTTTACGGAAACATGTCGAATATCCAGCGTAGTATATAGGAAGCTGGGTTTTGGGGTCTTCGAACCATTCGTCTTGGTGGAACGCCGAAATGGGCTGTTCCGAGGTCGCGATGAGATATTTCTCCTCGTCATTGGCAATAACCTAAGTGTGATGATACCGATTAGTTTTGAATGACAGTATCTACTAACTTCGTCATGCCTTGTACAGTTCCTCATCGAACTGGTCAAGTTGCGCGGTCTTTGCCATGACGTCTTTATTGATGATGAATGGCGGTTGGACCTTTTTGTATCCATTTTTGCGGAGGAAGTCGAGGGCATATGTAATAAGGGCTTGGTTGAGGTCAACACCATCATTTGTGAGGAAGTAGCCACGGTGACCTGCGACCTTAGCACCTGGTGCACTAGTTCAGTACCCGATGGAATGCGATTGTAGTGGGAAACAAACCTCGATCAAGGTCCATTGCGTCTAGTCTGAGTAAAACTTCGTGGTGAGGCATAATGCCCGTCTTCCTTTCTACTTGACCATTGGGGCCATCTGGATGCCAAGTTCGGAGCGTTACATTGTCATCCTAAACCATTCTGTCAGCTTGACCGGGGAGATAGCATCTCGGAGACTCACCTCCGTCAAGCTAAATGGGACATCCTTCGCTACGATATTTCCTACAGTTGAAGCTTTCTTCCGCATCTCCACCTCGAAATCACGGGTCTCTTTGCGTTTCGCGTCTACCTGTGCATCTAACTCCTTTTGGCAGCAACAAGGTCATCTGCTGGTTGTTTGGCCTATGAGAGATCATGAATTCAAGTAAGGTAGTCAAGAAACGTCAATAAGAACCTTCTTCTTGGCTGCGATCTCTTTTTGCACTGCGTTGACTTGCTTGCTCAGGCCATTCGCCTCAAAATCCACTAAATATACAATCAGTACATGGGTTTCATATTCAAAGATAAAGCGTTTCGAGAGGTCTCAAGATCGTGCTTTTGAGAGGGCGATTCGGCTCGCCGATCATGAAAGGAAATCATAACTCACTCTTCACCCACTCTGTGTACATGTCTATAACCTGATCGACCAGCTCTACCGATTCTCCTCGTTTCCGCTGCGATTCACGAATATCCTCGGCATTCCCTCCTTTGCTGTCTATGAAGCTGGTCACGTCAAGCGTCATGGTAGTTAGATTTCTCTTCTAGTTTCGATTAAGCTTCTGGATCGTTAGCGATGGAGAAGGCGAGGATTAGTGTGATTCAAAAGCGAACAGAGAATGCTCGAGATCGAGGGTATCAGCTAGTATATGTCGATAGGTGTAGCGTCAGGAATCAGGATGATTTGCTATCCTTTGATCTCTTCTTACTGCAATAACCCTTCGAGTCATTGATCACGTTACGTAAGCGCGACGCTTGCTTCGCACTGAAATGTTCAGGCAGTGCACCGAGTCACTATGGAGAATATGGCTCTACGCCCCTGCACGCGAGCCCGCGGCCTCTCCCTTGTGGATGCTCGCATTTTAACGAATTTTGACTAGAAAGAAGAAGCAACGACGTTTAAATTTAATTGAACAAAGTTGCAACACCATAAGACCAAACAAAGGTCAACACAACATTCAACGGTTCGCGTCGTTTGAACGTTGTAAACTCAGTTTCTGGTGTACGTAGTAGTACATCAGCCACCCAACAGTATTGGTGTACCATAACCCTCGCTTGCCCCAGCTCCTATTTTTTTTTGCCTCTATCATTTCGCCTGACACGTGTTATATCAATGTTCCAGTTCATACGTCGTGTTTCGACTTCATTTCTGCCACGCCCAGATCGGCCCTGGAGAGATGACGGTGAGTCGTGCTTCATGTCCCAACATGGTGATCTGATGGTCTTCTGGAACTGACGCGTTATCGCATGATTGTGGCATTCAACTGATCCGATATGCAGCAACGTCTAATGCACCCACGATAGGTCGAAAGAGGCGCTTCAGCTTCGTTGAGGATGACGACGACGATTCTACTTCTACGGGTATCAAGAAACTTAGGGGGGACTCCGTGCAGGCTGAAGGCAGCGCCCCTCCAATAGCAGCAGTTCCGGATCAGAAGGAGGGAGAGGATGTTAAGTCAGTGACGCAGGGGGTAGAGGACGTGGAATTAGAGGATAAGAATAAGAAGGTGGACACATCCCCCGGCCCTGAGGAGATTCCTTTGCCAGATTCTCCCGGTGGAACCCCACAACTAGATATAAACCCAATGGAAGAAGCGGTCACGGGTCCAGAGGAGGAGGCTGAAGAGAAAGGCGCCCAAGATGACTCGGACACCGATTCGGTTGCTTCTTCATCTAAAGTGGTTGTGGACGAGGAACAGCCTGAGGATGATTCAAAGGATGATACCAAGGCACCTCCTACCTCAATAGCTGTTTCCGTTGAGGATGCACCTACCGCCGAAGGCACACCTACTTCCGATGATACCCCAGCACCCACAGAGACCAATGTATGACGCGAACCATACCCTCGCTTTTACGATGTTCATTGCTATATTTATCAATGGATCTGAGTACGCCTCGGTGCGTAGATCTAGTTGTTGATGAATGGATGGATAAAGGATGGATTGCACGCTGGATGGTGCAGAAGAGGGTTCTGCTAACGACTTACGATACCAATACCTGACGCTGTTTATACGTACTCCTACTAATTCCTCGCTCCCCTGTTGCTTGCTATCAATGTATTCAGAACAATGATTATATGGCTGTGTGATCGATATCATGCAGATATCCGAGGATGATCACGAGTCTAAATCACCGCTCTATCAGCCACAATACGTAATGATGGTCTTTGACTCTTCTCTGTCTCCTTTACTTACTTATAGGCAGGCTAAATATGAGCAAGATAATGATAGTCGTCCATCATTAGTCTTCTCCTATCGCATTCCCCTCCACTGATGACACCACTAGGTGGCCATGGAAGAAACATATGTACACGTGCTGAGTCCGTGAATGTTCATTTCAAGCGGCGGCCACGACTGGTCCTGCATGCAGTATCCTTTCATTCACATTACTCGTGTTGCCTAACGCAGTGTTGTGTATATGTGCTTAACAGGCAACTGCCAGCAAGCACACATCCGATTCAGCACTTCAGGTTCCAGAGAGGTGAGGTTTGTCATCATCCTGCTACTTTCAACCTGACTCGGTCCGATACAACTGGAATGTGGAGACTCCTCAACCAGTTACAAGAACTGCCAACTTACCCCAAACAGCGGCCCACAGCGGCCTACGAGTCATTCCAGCCGATATGGCAGGTACTCGCCTCATGTTATGGGTGAGGCATGCACGCCTTCCTTTTGCGCTTGTCAGCCTCCGTACACGATAATCTGAACAGCCAGCCGCCTACTCTCATGGACCAACCGTTTCATTCTACGGGACCTGATAGTGATCTCGTGCTTCTTACGCCCCTCTTTTCCGTGGCATCCTCACCTCTTCACGGCAAGCTTCTCCTGCATGCCCGCCCATTCACGGTACTTATACCTGACATTGATTTCATGCCTCCGAGGTTTCCTTGTACTTTACGCATTAGTATACGTACTTACCCCCGGTGATCGTTCAGCGCCCTTACTACCACTCCACGCCATTAATCGCACGAGAGCCTTTTGTTACCACTCATACAACCCAGTCCTCTACCTCACATTCGCCCCGCCATGTTTCGCTTCATGGGCTCCGAGTCCAGTGGCAAGGGTAAGCAGCGTCAGGAAGATGCTGACCAGCAAGTTCAGGTGCACATTCAAACTGAAGTCCACTCGAATCCTCCTGATGTGGAGCGCCAGGACTTCCAAGCTCTTGGCAGCACATCCTCCCTCCCAGCCACGCCCTCAAACTCTAAGCGCCCGCTGCCTCCTGGGCTCCGCGTGCCGACGCACCCTTACCCATATTGGCACCACCATACGCCGGCATCGTCTTCCCAGAGCAGCCTCGAATCACCTAGTACCCCTTCACAAGTGTCCTGGCTTGGAGGGACGGGAGGGTCCTCGGTTGCTCGTGCCGCATCATCGTCAGCACCGAATCTTCTGCCTCACCATTTCCCACCACCACCTCCCACTTCACCACCGGCAAATGTTCCACGCCCGAGGTCCTTAAACCCCTCTAAGAGCTCGCATTCATTGCGAGTACCAGCGCAGGAATACTTTGGGCAGCCACTCTCGCCAATCGTTGAACAAGACTATATGTCACCTGAGAAGCGTCCCGTGTCACTGCCAAGCAGTAATGAGGGCTCTGGTTCTCAAGCGAGTGGTACTACAGGCATCATGCTGACACCGATCAGTCCCTCTATGATGACCCCGACGAGTGCAGTGACCATGTTCGCACGCACAACGCCCACGCCAACCACACCAGTCGCTCCTCCGCAATTTGCGAGGCGAAGAGAGGATGAGCTTACGGGTGATTCACCCCGTTCGTGCACGATTTTTAGAGCTTTATCTCGTGACTAAATGGTTTAACAGGTCCATCGCCTGTATATTCGACTTTTCTGTCCCGCCCACTGAATAGGTCCATAAGTATGTCATCGACGAGGACACATCAGTCTAACAACTCGTTATTGGCAACACCGCCTGTTATCCCTCCTCTTGACCTACGCCCAGCGTTTCCCGGACCCCTCCCCCAGGACACACTTTTGTCCCGGGATATCGATGACGAAGGGTTAGGTATTCTTGATGATGCATCGAAACGCGAGAGCTTCGTCACAGCTCGATCAGCTATTGCGGCGCGGGAGAGCAGGTACTCTGCCATGGTTCTGGACCTAGATCATGAACTCTTTAATGATCAGGAGGACCCATCAAGTCAATCCGCGGAGTCCTCTAAGCATCCCCCAGAGCATCAGCAGGAAATCCCCCAGCTGCCTCCAGCAGCACACACCCAGCGACCGACATCGCCAACCTCAACGTATCCACCGTCGTACTCCCTTCCACAACCTAACGTAGACTATCGGACCAATCACGATGGGGCCCATACTCCGAGCCAGCGTGATTCTGTCCGATCGACATCGTCTTCATTCATCGACCGTCGCTTTGCGGAGTCTGAGTTATATTTAGGGTCACACTCAGAATGCTCTGACGCACGCCGGGCCAGCGATAAATGGGCCAAGAAGACTGAAAAATCCGATACAGCTCGGACGCTGTTCTGGGTTGGGTTTATCGCCCCGTGGTGTTGGCTCATTGGTGGATGGCTGGTGAAAGCCAAGAAGAATGATAGCTATGGCCGGAGCGGGAGCATGATACCTTTGTGGACGGGTAAGAGCGCACAGACCGTTGGCTCTTTTAAGATGCAGCCGTTGCACCATGGCTATCCCTTTGTAGCGCCTTCGGTGCAGAGCCTAACGCCGCCATCGTACTCACGAGCGGTGCATTCTCGTGGCCCTTTTTTGGTCGCGAGGAGTCCGTGGATTAAGAGGTGCAGAATAGCTGCTGGTGTGAGTGGGATTATTATTATGCTTCTGTTCATTGCTGCCCTGGTGGTAGTTGGGAGAAGCACTTGAGTCGACCTAATGGACAATTTCATAAGAACCCCATACCTCATGTGTTCATTGTGTTCTCAAATCATGTAGAATGAACAACACGATCATTACATTCTATGATCCTTCCATTACTTACTTACCGTGACTCGGACAGATTGTTGAAGAATGTGACTTAGCCACTTGCTTATACAACGAAGCTTTTGCCAAACAACAGCAAATACGGAATCATCCTTCGGCAAGTTGTCGGCAAAAGCAAAAGTTTCTTGAAAGCAACCATGAGCTCCTTCCCATTGGTCGCTCCGATGTTTCCTGCAGGGAGGGAACCCCTTCCTCCAGGAATGACAGAGGAGGACCGTGCTCAGCTCATGCAGGCCAAAAAGTACCAAGGATGGATGTCTATGGGCATGGAGTCTTGTGCAGCAAAAACAGTCATTGCTGGCGTTGGTGGTAAGTGCGCCGCGTTCGAAGCCACCGAGGTTATAACCCAAAATTCATCATCAGGATAATTCTGCAGGTCTCGGCATTGGCGCATTCTTCTCTCTCATGTCCTCGTCGTTTGCGTACGAGGATCCTTTGCTACGGTCATCCACTCAGGCCGGCCTAAATAACACTCAGAAGGCTCGGGAAATCTTCAAGGAAATGGGTAGAGGGATGTGGAGAAGCGGAAAGGGCTTTGGAAAAGTTGGAGCGTTGTTCGCCGGAATCGAATGTGTCATTGAAGGCGTAAGTTGCATTTTATCATTTTTGTTGACCCAGATCTCATACCTTGATTAGTACCGAGCGAAGAATGACATGGTAAACCCAATTGCTGCAGGGTTCGTTGCCGGAGGTGTTCTTGCACGAAACTCTGGGCCTAAAGCTGCTCTAGGTGGTGGATTGGCATTTGCTGCTTTCTCCGCAGCAATAGATTTGTTCTTACGGAGGGAAACATCAGAGTGAGCCTGAACCATTATCTGTGTTTGGCAACAGCCTGACATTATTTTCAGCGACGACTAGTCATTATGCATATTAATACCATTAGATTAATCATTCATTGTTGTTGGATGCACGCCACCACCAACGTTGTACAACGCGAAGGGCCGCGGTGCGCGGCAAAGCCCCGCTACATTTCTCACAACAATTGCTGATAGAAGTGTGTTTGACCGTATCCATGTCGCCTATGCAGTCTAATCTGCCGATATACAACGCTTTGAGCACATCCGTACTGCGCTTCTTAGCTCTGGCTTGTGTCTTGCTGATTCATCACTCGACCAACGTTTATTGGATTCGAGGATGTGTTAGTCACCGCATCAGAACCATTTCAATGTGTTGTTCTATCAGCGGTGCTTGTAATTTCTCCTTCGGATGACTACTTGACTAGTGATGCCGGTTGGATGGACGTAGTAGTCCAATTGCCAGTCCGTCTATCGACGGCTTGCCTCATTAGACGGGCTGGTCATCAGTCTCAGAAAGTCAGGGTATTGGGAAGTCTGTGAGGTCTGCGCAGACCGCCCTCTCTCGTTTGCCCGCCGCCTCCCTCGTTGCGCGCCACCTCTCTCGTTGCGCGCCGTCTCTCTCCTTTGTGCGCCACCCTTCTCATTGCCTGCAGTCCCTCCCGCCACCTTTCTCATTGCCTGCAGTCCCTCTCGCCACCCTCTCTTGTTTGCCCGCCGCCTCCCTCGTTGCCAGTGACCTATACTTGAACCGTGGGCGCCACATCATTCAGTCCCGCCCTTTGATTGCCCAATATTCCCGGCATACTGTGGCGCATGACGACCATTGGTCTGGCTGTTGACTGCACTGGCTGTGGTAGCGCTGTCGCACTTACGGTATGTTAGAGTGATCAGAATGGCAACGCAGGGAAGCCTATGGCCAGGGTAAGTGTCAGCTGCTTCGCATCTCTGCCTCCAACTAATTTCTTTGCTATTAGCATGCGCGATGTCGATTTTTCAGATTCTTCCCCGAGCTCCTTCAATTACCTGATGTCCTTGCAATCATTCCTTCATCCAGCTGTTCCCTAACCCCCTCGTCATATTGAAGCCGTAACATGTAAGTACAAGTAGAGGGTGGTACCTACTTAGATGCTCGTGGTATATGTACTATAGTTTGATAATCTGTAGCGGGCCCTGCTAATTTGCATTCAGTGTCTCAGTTGAAACTTTCGCCAGCGGCAGCTTATTTAGAAGTGAAGTGTAGGTACGAAACAGAGAAAACAAATGACTAGCCATGCAGACGATATCGATCGAAACAACAACGTTAGAAAGCGCAACCAGCTACGACCATCCGCGGGCGGATCCGCGACCTCCTCCATGACCTCTTTCCTTCTCTATGGCAAACATCGCCTCACGCATTGTGACTAGCATCCGATCATCATCCTCTCCCGTCAGTGGTGATGTCGGACTGCCTTTCTTTCCTACATACGGCCGCACCCAAGATGTTGTTGCGGTCGTTGATGCTGCAGGAGCTGTGGTAGTCGCGGGGGTCGTGGTGGTGGCTGGACTTGTTGCAGCAGCAGAAGATGCCGCAGCCTTCGGTTTAGCACTTGTCGCAGAGGAATTTGCAGCATTCAGCCATGCGTACTTCCCACCAAGTCCAGCAGCCTGACTTGCGACAGCGTTCGACAACTTTTTCCGCACATCTTCAGACATATTCCTCGCCGTTACACTGGGCCCCTCTTTTTTCTTCTTTTTCTTCGCACCTCCCTCCTCATCTCCGTCAACGGCCATGGCATTGCCACCTGAAGTCTGCGCAGATAGGTTAGCGGCGTGTGCAGCAGCCAGGTCAGCGCGTTCTTTGCGCTCTCTCCGAACATTAATCTCTTCCTCTCGCTCAATCTTCTCCAACGCAACTAGTTGCTTAGCGACGTCACTTTGTACGACTATGCTCCACATCGGTGTACCATTATCGTACAGACATGCCGGACGGTCAAACTGGGTGTCCGTACGATGGTAGGTTGCAGCAACCATCGCAGTAACGAGGTCTTGTAGACGGGCACGGAGAGCGATCGCCAAGTAATTCACTGAGTCTTCCGGGATTTTTGTCACCTTGTGTTCTGTGCCAATGCTGCGCATAGTGGCGCCGAGATATCGTGTGTCAAAGGAAGGGGTGACTGGTTGTTTACGTGATCTGTCTTCAAAGGTTCAATATGACTGATGCGAGTCATGGGACCTCTGCAAGCTTTCCTCCTCCGCCTACGGAATAGTCACTTCCGAATTCCAGTATAATGCCAGCGCTAACGCACCCGGAGATCAACACCCGCGCTTCCAAGTACATCATTCAAGGTTGCAACATCGGCGGTATCCATCCCACTATTGGCATTTGCGGCCTGAGTAGTTGCTCCTGTTGCAGGAGTTATTGACGTCTGCTGCCTCTGTACTTGGGCTTGGGCTTGTTGTGGGACATATGAATAATGCGAATACGCAGCTTGAGGATAGTGGTGAGTATATTGGTAGGAATATGGAGTTGTCCTGGATAAGATAGATATATTGAGCATTCGAATGGATATGAACAAAGAGAGAGCTTGACGTGGCGTGTTGGGATTGTTGCTGAAGCGCAGGATCAATTGGGATGTCTGAGTGATAGAGGTTTAATATTAATCACCACAGGGACATTTGGACTGTGCTACATACGTGTAGTGCCCCATTGTGCAGTGTACGAGGTCTGCGCGTGAGTTTGCGTGGGTGTTGGTGTCTTCGGAGTTTCGCTTTCAGTCTTCATGGCCTGCCTTGTGACGACACGGAGTTAAGTAGTGTTGAACTTTGCAAGATGTGCAAAGGGACCCGAGGTGTCATGAACGTAAATGGCACAGCGGAAAGGCTTCAGGATGTGATGTGATGTTTGGCTGTATAAACGAGAGACGGCGGGCAACGAGAGAGGTGGTGCACAACGAGGGAAGATGGCGGGCAACGAGGGAGGCGGCGGGCAAGTGAGAGAGGGCGGCGGGATAAGATGATCAGTGGTTATGTAAGACGGCGGGCAGACAGACCTCCCCTGGTGACTCCCGGGTAACGCTGACAAAGACTTGACACAGACCTAGACACAGACGTCTGCGCAGACCTCACACAGACTTCCCATTTCCTAGATGTTCTCACCAGTCTAGGCAACAGCGAGCACGAAGGTTTCGGCAACGTGTGCAATATTAATGATGAGCGCGGCGTAGGAACGCCTCGGTTGCACCCGTTAGCTGCCACCACTCCCAAGCACCGTCCCTAGAGCCGTCCCCTTCACCTCCTCAAGGCCCCTCAGTATCCAACAATTATTAATTTGGGTGTGGATGGGCAGAAACCAGTCGAATAAAAGCTCTCATCAGGCCCATCTGTCACGTCTAATTAGAGCAGGTAAGTGGAAACCTCAGGTGCGCTTTCCTGCAGCTGCCTCTCTGCCTGTAGCCATTGGGCAACGCCCCCACACTCACGCTCCCGCTCCCAACCCCACTGGCCTGTGAGCCTCTCTTTTAGAATATCCATCTCCTCTCGTTCATTGGATCGTTCTGTCCCATCATAATACCCAGGCAAGCGAAAGTCGAACATATATCCTGTACGTTCCGATTCACGTGCTACGAATTGAGCAAATGGGAGGCGAACGTCCTGGTATACTTTCAGTGCAGCGGGCACGTTATCCAATGTTGTGAGTGGGTGTGCAAGAAGGCGGCCGAGCACAAAAGCATCCTTCATACAAGATGAGTTCACATAGTCTGCCGAACAATTGCACGTACCTCCATTGCCTGACTAGCTCCAGCACCAAAGTGGGGTGTCATGGCATGAGACTACGTAATCTTGTCAAATGATTGGCAGGTCAGCGAGGAGAGACGCACCGCATCACCTATCAGAGCAACTCTGTCGCAAGTGGATAGCGGCAATTCATTTACTACGTGAAGCGCCCATCTTGAGGGGTTCTCGGAACACTGCAAAAAAATTGTCAGTCAAGGACAGCGTAAGCGACTTGGACCAAAAACTCACTTTCAGAAGGCTCTTGACACCAGGTTCGAAATCCTCGTATGCTTTTTCAACCTCTTCGAGGGACACATCTGAAACCCAACGACCCTCGAAATGTGTCCCGGCTTTCTGATCATCAGAAACATATGCCGTGATATTGATCTGCGTTCCTTGTGAAACTGGGTACGAGACGATATGCTATAAAATTATAACGACAGACTCGTCAGCCAGCAGAGGCCAGTTGATTGTGACAATCTACCTTTCCCTTCCCGCAGAACTGCGAAGTGAAAATTATTCCTGATGATCGCGACCGCTTTTCTGAGGACTTACAAATATGGAATTCTTCAGAGCTACATTATTTGGATCCATTTTGAAGAGCTTCTCCGCCGGAAAGACGGTTCGATAGACAAGCGTTCCAGTCCAAGATGGATCAATGTAGTGTCTTATCTACTTCGGTCTATGATCCCTGCGTCTATTGTTTCGAATAATGTCTTCCGCACTGAGGAACGGATGCCATCTGCCCCTACTAGCATGTCTGTGGGTGCGGTGCTGCCATCAGCGAAGTGGAGGATGAGCTGACCCCGGTGACTGGCTGTCATATACAGTGAGTCGTTTATTAAGGTGGACAGTGCATGAAGGCGGGATGTGTTGCTTGAGAATGTCGACCAGATGCTGACGATGCATAGTGAATGGTCCATCTGTAGATAGCTTCGTCATCTTTCTGCCGTCAGTTCAAAGTGGTGGAGTTCACGGACATGATTTTTGGAACCACTCAAAACCACCCTCTGGAACATCAGACTTCCTCAATTTTGGTCCTGTTGAAAAGAATCAAGTTAAACGCGGTTGAAAACTTACAAACTCTTTAAACAGACCATAACTAGGGGGCTTTGTCGAAACACGGGAGATTTCTTCATACAAGCCGAGTTCTTCCATGATCTGCATCGTGCGTCCCATAACTGAAATCCCAGCCCCAGCGGTCGTGATGCCGTCATGGGCTTCGTATAAATCTATGTGGATATCGCGACCTGCAAACTTCCCAATTGTGACAGCGAGGCACAAGCCCTCCTATGCCTGCACCACTGCTACAGGAAGTTCAGTCTGCGCACGGTCATGAGGGCTTATCTGACTCACCAGATTGCCACTCGAAACTTGGGAATGCCTGATGAGAGCGACATTGATGGTATGTACTTTGAATGAATTGGCGCAATGAGCCAACTGGCTACGTTTTTATGTGCGACTCTCGTCACCCCGGAGAACCTTTCCTGCAGTTGCCGCCTGGACGGCCGGCCATCCGTCGAGTCATTGAGCTGATTCTATACTACGAAGTGGACGCTGCTCATGAAATTATGTGCTAATTAGTCTTGGCGACATTTGCGTCCGTATTGCTTCCGCTCCTTATAATTCAGTAACTTACGTATAAGTTAGAGCCTTTTGGTAAAATATTTACAGAAGCGACTCAACTTGCTAATAAGCGAGCATGAGGCCTCAGCTGGGTATGCCCCGAAAAGAGCTTGCGCGAAAAACAGCTTCATCATAATCAGCGAGCTGCTGCTATGTAACAGTAGGGAATACGACCAACCCGCAGTTTATGGCCCTGTGATCTCGAGTTTAATTCTCCTCACAATGCTTCGGTGTAAGGGGAAATGGCAGGACACGTATTAGTCCGATTGCTACGGGGCCGGGTGAGTATGTGGACCATGGCCTGTTCGGAAGCTCCAACTCGGTCCGAGCCTCGTTCGGTTCCGACATGAGGTAAGATGCAAGTCCGAAATTCATCCACAACGTAGGGCACGATTCAATCTCGTAAAGGCATTGTGCACACTGCACGACAGAAGGCCCAGTGGTACCCGCGGCAAAATGACCTGGCAACGTCGCTCTCATTCCTCGAAGTTCTTGTTAATTGAATCAGCGTTGGGTACGAACACATATCAGAATGGAAGATAATCTGATAACGAGCATCATTGACATTGATAGTAAGAATGCCACGGTACTTGAATCATGGTGGTTGTTCTGTCCTTGTCGATCACGGTACATAAGTATGCTATTTGCACAAAGGATTCGGACAAACGTCAAACAGGATTCCGGTGGATTGGGTCCCTTTAGCAAGCTTGCAATGTCCGAATTCCATGTACGAGTCGGCGCTCCCGTAACCGAGCCCTCCGAGTTGAAGCTAATCTTGAGTAACTAAGGCCAAGCTTCTAAGCCTCTGAGAGGTTGCATTAATTGTCACGGTGCTGTGTAAAAGTTACTTAACTATCACCTGCCGTCAACCTTAGCCCTAATTACACTGATATGCCCTCGATTTCCTCTGCAAAAATGGATACAAGAAAGTTCAACCATCATTAAAGACGCGACTTGACCAGCTCGGATGAGCAACTGTCAAGGAAGTTAGCTGATGGTCTCATTCAAAACTAATCGATATCGATATTGCCAACGAAGAGGAGAAATATCTCATTGTGATCTCGGAACAGCCTATATCGGCGTTCCACCAAGATGAATGGTTTGAAGACCCAAAAACTCAGCTTCCCATATACCACGCTGGATATTCGACATATTTCCGTAAAGAAGCTGGCACCGCTGGACGTGATATGTGGGGTATCTTCCGTGACATCCGTGTGCACCAGTTTGAGATGGTTGAACAGTTCGTCCTCACTGCTCCCGAAGAGAGCTGGATTGCATTCGAAGCTATGGTAGGGAACAGTGAAGCGTTCTATCAGAGCCTGGGTCTTTCTTACCGTCCTAGTAGTGGCTATCGTCAGTGGTGCATTGAACCTCGCAGTGTCGAAGAAATGCGATCTGGAGGCGTGGTTCCCATTCCAAGGTGCATACGGAGAACTCGTTTCCTGCTCGAACTGCACGGATTATTATAAGTCGGATTTCCATTCGTGAAACTTCCGTTGACTGAGTCTAGGACACTACAGAGAGCAGGTGGCTAGAAATCTGTTGTGGTCACAAATTGAAAGACCAGCAATGGAAAGTCTATGTCTACGTGCTCAACGGAACGATGTGCGCTGCAGAGCGCGCATTGTGCTATTTGGTCCAGAATTATCAGATGCGAGATGTACGCCACTTTCTTTTGCAACATGAGGGATTCACGTTAATACTGCATACTATGCCATCAGGGTCATCATATTTGAGGTGATCAGGTCGTGTGTACAGGGATGGGATTTCTTCCCTGGATGAAGGAGCTGCTGAAGAACTCGCAGAGAAAGCAAGCATAAATGTCTTCTGTGTTTCGTTTTGTGTTTGTAAAATATGAGACGCATCTCTGCATACCTTCAAAACATTCATTGTGGAGGCGTACGCATGCACGTTCATCGTGTAGGTGTCGACTGGCACATAAATTACAAATTCAGAGCTACAATGTAGAACACAGTGATACATCATCATTCTCATTGCCCGCTGCACAAACCTACGTTTGCCTGCAGCTGCCTCTCTGCCTGTAACCATTCGGTAACGGCACCACCCTCACGTTCCCAACCCCACTGGTCTGTGAGCTTCTCTTTTAAGATCTCCATCTCCTCTCGTTCATTGGATCGGTCTGTCCCCTCATAATACCCAGGCAAGCAAAATTCGAACATAGATCCTGTACGTTCCGATTCACGTGCTACAAATTGAGTGAATGGAAGGCGAACGTCCTGGTATGCTTTCAGTGCAGCGGGCAAGTTACCCAATGTTGTGAGTGGGTATGCAAGAAGGCGGCCGAGCACAAAAGCATCCTTCATACAAGATGAGTTCACATAGTCTGCCAAACGATCGCACGTACCTCCATTGCCTGACCAGCTCCAGCACCAAAGTGCGGCGTCATGGCATGAGACTACACTATCTTGTCAAAGGATTTTCGGGCCAGCAAAGAGAAACGTACCGCATCACCTATCAGGGCAACTCTGTCGCAAGTGGATAGCGGCAATTCATTTACTACATGAAGTGCCCATCTTGAGGGGTTCTCGGAACACTGCAAAAATCGTCGATCGAGGACGGCATAAGCGACTCAGCTCAAAAACTCACTTTCAGAAGGCTCTTGGCACCAGGTTCGAAATCCTCGTATGCTTTTTCAACCTCTTCGAGGGACACATCTGAAACCCAACGACCCTCGAAATGTGTCCCGGCTTTCTGATCATCAGCAACAAATGCCGCAACATTGATCTGTGTTCCTTGTGAAACTGGATACGAGACGATATGCTATAAAATTATAACGACAGACTCGTCAGCCAGCAGAGGCCAGTTGATTGTGACAATCTACCTTTCCCTTCCCGCAGAACTGCGAAGTGACACTTATTCTCAATGATCGCGACCGCTTTTCTGAGGACTTACAATCATGAAATTCTTCAGAGCTACGTTATTCGGGTCCAATCTGAAGAGCTTCTCCGCCGGAAAGACGGTTCGATAGACAAGCGTTCCGGTCCAAGATGGATCAATGTAGTGTCTTATCCTACTTCGGTCTATGATCCCTGCGTCTATTGTTTCGAATAATGTCTTCCGCACTGAGGAACGGATGCCATCTGCTCCTACTAACACGTCCGTAGTTGCGGTGCTACCATCAGCGAAGTGGAGGATGAGTGATCCCGGTGACTGCTTGACATATCTAGTGAGTCGTTTATCGAGGTGGACAGTGCATTCAGACGGGAGGTGTTGCTTGAGAATGTCGACCAGATGCTGGCGGTGCATATTGGATGGTCCATCTGTGAAAATTGTCGTCATCTTCTACCGTCGGTTCAAAGTGGTGGAGTTCACGGACATGATTTTTGGAACCACTCAAAACCACCCTCTGGAACATCAGACTTCCTCAACTTTGATCCTGTCGAAAAGAATCAAGTTAAACGCGGTTGAAAAACAATCCCTTTAAACAGACCATGACTAGAGGAAGGGAGCTCTGTCGAAACACGGGAGATTTCTTCATACAAGCCGAGTTCTTCCATGATCTGCATCGTGCGTCCCATAACTGAAATCCCAGCCCCAGCGGTCGTGATGCCGTCATGGGCTTCGTATAAATCTATGTGGATATCGCGACCTGCAAACTTCCCAATTGTGACAGCGAGGACAAGCCCTCCTATGCCTGCACCACTGTACAGGAAGTTCAGTCTGCGCACGGTCATGAGGGCTTATCTAACTCACCAGATTGCTACTCGAAACTTGGGAGTGCTCGATGGGAGCGACATTGATAGTACTTTGACTGAATCGGCGTACCATGAGGCAACTGGCTACGTTTTATGTGACTCTCGCCACCCTGGAAAAGCTTTCCCGCAGTTGCCAGCTGGTCGCGCTATTTGAGTCATAGAGCTGACTCTTACTGTGAAATGGTCGCTGCTCCTGAGACCACTGTATGCTGACAGCCCTATTTACGTCCACATTGCTTCCACTCTCGGAGGGTATATTTTAAGTCAGGTCGGACCACTTAGCAAAACCTTGCTTATGTCAATCAGTATGTTCCTGATAGCTGAACGGCTGTGGCCCGAAAAGATTTAGGAGAAAAATAGTTGTCTTCATCATGGTCAGCGAGCTGTACGGAACGCGAGCGTCTTCAGCGCAGCCTGCGGACCTGTGATGTGCGGAATAATGTCTAGCTGCCTGAGTAAGGACTCAGAACAGTAAACTCTGTTGGAACACATATAGGTATTTAGCATTGGAAGCTCGAAGAGATCAATGGTGAGTATTTGCGCACCAGTGAGGGACAAACAGGATTGCGTCCTTTAAGAGCCTTTTAAGGGCACGAGTCGGCTCTGGACACTAATTATCGAGTATCTTCTGAGAGTACTTGACCCGGGCTGGCAGTTGTCGTAGTAAATTCGGAGTAACCCGATACTCGATTAATCAACAACAAACTCATTCGGGCTTATGACTGGTCACTGCACCTGTCAGTGACGTTGAAGCGAAAGACTGTATGCATCTCGTGCATCTACTTGTCTTCCGACTGTGCTCAATCTCAACTTTTACAGAGTTCAGTTTCTTCGACACGAGTCAGGGATTATTATGTCGTGGCTCGGCATCTTTGGACACAGGAAACGCGTTCATTTGTAAAAGAAGTTCAGATCTGCGATTCTCAGCTACTGGATCATCAATGTGTAGCGCTGCGCCCACAAAGCGCCCACTCTGCTAGGCCATCATGCTTCCATAATACTCTGTTTTGAGTAATTTGGGTGGATCCAAGGTTGCTGTGTACACGAGGTGCGAGGCGCTCGAGCTCCTTGTTTCTTACCCACTATGTCGTGCCAATATCATCTCCAAGGTCGCTGTCGCTACGGAGTTAAATGCAAGCTCAGCCACGAAATTCAGGCAAGTTTTAATTCACAGATTCTTAGTCGTGTACTGAAGCTTGTCATCACAGGGTAGCCCATCAGCGCGCCCTCAGCGTGTTGAAGGTACTGAGTCGAGCCATACTGTCAACCGCCCACCCAACCACAAAGGTCGTCGTCAGCACAAAGGCCAGCAGAATTATGGCAATCCTAGGGCAGCTGAGTTACAAGTGCAGCGCACCATCTCTCACAGGCCTGCCTCGGAAAAATCCGGCCATGCGTTTGTTGGGCCATCCCGAGGTTCCAAGGGTGGCGAAGTGTGTCGCGCTTGGAAGGCCGGGGCGTGCGCAAGGGGCGCCAAATGCCGCTTTCCGCATAGTATCGAAGTATGTGATGTTTCGGAGCCTTTGTTCCTGGTATTTAGCTTGGCGACTATCAGGAACATGTTGAAGTAGATGTTCATCGTGAACAAATTGAAGCAGAAGCCAAGTTAGCCACCCAGACTCGTGCAGCCGAGATTGCCAAAGAAGCTGCTGCGAAGACGGTCCAGAGCGTTGTTCTTGGGTCCATCGTGACCTTCGGCGCAGGCCTTGAATTATCTCACCTGATCACCGGGTTCGAGTGTTGCACCTTGCGTATTGCAAATCTGCCTCCCAATGTGCGGGAAGACGAAATCAATGCGCTGTTCACAGACAGAGGCCTTGATCGAGAGCGCTTCCACCTTGTCAGCATCAAGCCCATGCCAAGTGGTGGAAAGCTGAGCGCTGAAATTATCACAGACGCTGAGTCCGGGCAAGCGCTCTCGCTTGACCTCGGCGGTCTCGAATTTAGGGACGAAGTTCTGACTCTCGAAGTATCAGGCTACAACAGTCCCGGAAGTATGTCTGCGGCGACTGAACGTGACAGTGATGTCCTTACGATATCTTGGCGTGTCCCTTCCGTGCGCTATGTCGCAGAGTACGACGTTACGGTCAACACTACTGCGAAAGCACAGGAGCTGAACCACCGGATGTGCTCTGGGCGCCGGGTCAAAGCCGAGGTTAACGCCATGCCACCTGGGCGCTTCGTACCAAATTTCCACGACAATTCAGTCAAGATCAGCTTTCTGCCGCCGACTGTCTCTGACGAAGAAGTTAGAGCATTTTCTGGCTCAGATGTTGTCAGGCGGTTGGCGATGAAGGGCGTGGTTTTCAGCGACGACATCGGTCATATCATTACCACTTTGGGAGATGATATGGAGTGCATCTCTCCTGGAACTCTGAGGTCGCTGGAGCCGCGGCTGCCGACTCCTAGTCCGGATGGTATCGTTCTCGTTCGTGCACGGTTTTCTTCTTGGGATGACGCGCACACGGTGCATACCCGTCTCATTAACCATCGCATCGGGAACGTGTCCTTCTGGTTCCGACTCCCGAATCCTACACAGTACTCGATTACGATCTCCGCTGAGCAATTCCGCGCGCAAAAGTCTTTGTGGGATGCCTTAATCAATGGCATCAAGGACAAGCGTGCATGTATGTTACACGTTCATGAGCAGGGCCCTGTTGTTCGGATGCGCCTGTCTGGCTCCAAGAAAGAGGCCATAGGCGCACTTAAAGTTAGAGCGGAAAGCCTGATTGCAGGTGAGAAGGTGGAAGGGTGGCACATGACACTAGGATATCCAAACAACAAGTTCGCGCGTTCGGTTTTTAACGACACGGGCGCATTTCTACGTGCGGATTGGAGACGACAGGTTTTGAAAGTTTACGGAGAGCCAAAAGCTGTTGAACAGGCTCGTGAGCTGATCAAGGCCGAACTGGACCAACTCTCGTCCTTGGAGTATGCCAAAGTACTCGCGAGGCAGTCCGTTCGATTTTTTGTCGAACGTGGAATCCCAGAGCTGAAGGAAACCTTTGGAGAAGATAACGTTAAATTCGTTATATCTGCACGAAGGATCACGATCTGTGGTGGCGAGGAGGCTCGACACGCCCTCGAGCGTTTGATTCATGACTCGCTCAGTGGACCCCAGATCCTCCCAGACCCGTCAGGACAGCAATCCTGCCCGATTTGCTATGACAACATCTCTTCCCCACTTCGTCTTGGCTGTGGGCACATCTACTGTGCCACGTGCATGCGTCATTTCTTGACGTCCGCTTTGGACTCGGGCCAGTTTCCGCTCACCTGCCTCGGTGATGAGTACCAGTGTAAAGTTCCCATTCCTATCCCCACTATCCAACAATTTCTCCCTCTAACTTCCTTCAACCGCCTGCTAGAATTAGCATTCAACGCGCATATATCTCGGCATCCACAGGAATTCAAATACTGCAAGACACCAGACTGCAATCAGATCTACCGCTCCACCGACCCCAACACTACGACCGTGGGCCAGTGCCCGTCATGTTTTTCAAACATCTGTACATCGTGCCACGAGGACGTCCACGATGGCATGAGCTGCGCTGAGTACAAGAAAACTGGACGCCTGGCTGAGGAGGAACGACAAACGGAAGCATGGATCGCAGCTCAGGGCGGGCGCGTGAAGAAATGCCCACGTTGTCCAGCGCTGATCGAGAAAGTGGATGGTTGCAATCATATGACTTGCCAAATGTAAGTTATGTTGATTGCACTCCACCACTATTTCATTGATTTACTCGGGTACAGGTGCCATAACCATATTTGCTGGCGATGCATGGGCGTCTTCGCCGCTGATACCATCTACCCTCATATGCGCAGTGTTCACGGCGCGATCTACGACGAGAATCCCGTTGAAGAACAGGTCAATGTACATGAACAGCAGTGGCTGTTTGGGTTGGCAGCGCAGCAACGTCAGCAGGAGGTACAGCTGCGCAACTGGCGGCTCGAGCAAGAGCGATTGGAAGAGAGGCGAAGGAGAGAGAACGAGGACGCAGCGACACGGCAGGCAGCAGTGGTGGCTAGGCGATTGGCAGACGCACGGATAGATACAGCGAGACTGGAACAGGCGAGGCGAGACATAGATGCGAGAGAACAAGCAAGACGACAGGCTGGTTTGCAAGACTATCGTCAACAAGTACGTCAGCAGCAGGAGAGAGCGAGGGCTCAAGCACAGCAGCAGGAGAGAGCGAGGGCTCAAGCACAGCAAGAGGAACGACCGGGCTGGGGTTGTGCCATCATGTAACAATCGTGAAACGCATAGGGGATGTTTCCAGTCAAGATTCTCATTACACAGGACGATAAGTGCCAAGCAACAGCTAAAGTACAGATACATGATGTAGATATGATGTAGAATAAATATACAAAGTCGAACGCAAATTCGAACGCAAATACAAGCAAAGCAAGATCGTGGACTTCCACTCTTCAATCAGACGGATAACTATGGACAGCGGACACCATATTAGTCAACCAATTCGAAATATGTCCTGAACATGGACTCGTGGCATAAGGGTGTGTTGGATACGACGCTGTGCACATGCATGAAGAGGCGGGGGAAACGGCGAGTAAAGTATCCTAGGAAGCCTTCCGGTATGGGCCCCAGATGCCGCTTAACATGATCTGGGAGATCTTGATAATGATGTTTCTGCCAGTGCACGTCAGCCCCTGCCAGAAAGCACTTCGTACACGTTTTGACTCACTTTGTTACGTAGAGCCCTTAGTAAATCTTGCACAGACTTGCCGTCGTACTTCCGGTATTTTCCCAAGTTCTCGATGAAAACCTTGTCTAACCGTGCGTGCCAGTCATGACCGAGGACATCAAAAGCGCCGGTTTCGAGGATAATGAGGTTTTGGTCACGGGGATCTCGGCACATGATCTCGAAGCGGTCTGATGTGTCTTGCAAGAAGTTCAAACGACGGCCTGAGTCCCAGAAAAAGGGATGTAGAAGACATGATGTAGTGTCCGGCCTGGACGCGTAAATTACGAACCCCAGAGATAGAAGATGGACGAGGAACATACCTATTGCAAGCTTCAGGATCTAGCATTTTAGTGATTAAATCTACCGCCTCCGAGCCCTCTTCTCCGAACTGCTGTAGGCCATCTAAGGATTTGGCATTTTTTAGAATGTTGACCTCCCGCTCGAACCGGTCCCCGAATGGGTGTAATCCGTTAGTGAGGACATAGTAAAATAGGCATCCCAGCGCAAAAATATCAACGGACTTAGTCAGTCTCGTTGGCTTGCCTGATGTTGACCCATTCACCGCAGTACCGACGCTGCCTCGTGATGATTGCGAGTGGTCATCACTCATCGAGTCGTCAAGCTTCACTTCCCCCCTGAGAATTTCAGGCGCCCGCCATCCGACAGTGCCCGCAGCCATGGCGCCATGTGCTGTCGGCAGGAAACTCGTTTGGTCCACCTCGAGCTTCTTACATAGGCCGAAATCAGAAATGAGCATTCTCCGCCCGCCATCTCTTCCCGAAGCACCCTTCTTCGGTGCAGATATAAGGATGTTTTGGGGCTTGATGTCGCGGTGGACAATCTTGAGCGAGTGCAGGTGTCGGAGCCCGGACGTTACCTGGCGGAGAGCACGTTTTGGGTCGAATGAGTTGGATATCTCGCGATACTGGTCGGGGCTCTCAATGACGTCTGCAAGGGACGCGGGGCAAAGCTCGAGAGCAATGTAGAGGAAATTTGCATGGGCTTCTTGATAGTAGTATCGGATGACGTTCGGGTGGTCGTCCGATTCTTGGAGAATACTAACCTCACGGGAAGCGAGAGTGACAAAGTCTTGCAGGAGGCGCTTAACAGCTACTGCACGGCCCTGAAGGGAACCTTGGTACACGACGGTTCCGTGAGATCCAAAACCTTGGGCGTGTTAACAGATAAGAGCAGAATTCATTATCAAAACTCACCTAGGATAGAATCAGATACGACCAGGGAAGATGTGGCGACATGCGGCGTCTGAGGCACCACGAGTGTGGGAGAAGGAGTATTCAGGCTGTCTTTGACCACAGCCTCAGGAACATGACTGTTTGCATCCTTGTCATCAATATCATCCCCAGTGCCATTAACAACTGTCCCTGTGCCTTTTCCTTTCTTTCCTCTGCGCCCACGTCGAGGGCCTTTTCGCTTCTTTGGTGTTGCATTCTCCCTGTCACTATCTTCTGCCTCTCCAATATCATGTGCTACCGTGGCGGGGGTATCAGGTGGCTCAAGCTCTGCGAAGTGGATGGCAGGCTGCGGTACGTGGGAATTGGGGTCGTCTAGTGATAACATAGATTCTGAGTTGATGGTAACTGGTGCGGGTTTGGATAGAACCGGGGATATCTCCATTGCGGGTATGACAGGGGTATCTGGGCGATGAGGCAGTGTTGTCGTATCCCTATCCATCTTTCCATCGATGGCATTTGGCGAAGTCGCCGTGGCGGGCGCCATATGAAACCTCACGCGGGGAAGCTTTGATCGGAATACAAACCCGACCACAAAGACAGTGGCGAGCAGAATGGAACCAATGGCAGAAATGGGAGATGTTGGTCCGATGACCTTTGTATGTGCACCAGAGCTGGTGCCAGACCACGGCATCCAGCCTGGTACGATCGTGGATGTGTTGTCCATGGGATCTGACAGGGTGGGTATGGCCTCTACGTCATCGATTGGTGGATTCGAGTTGACATCTTCGACACCGGGAGGCAGCATTGCCCCAGGAACGCCAGGGAGTTGTTTGTTATTCAAAGACGAGTCAAGGTGGCGTTTACCCGTGAGGCATCGGGTATCGCTTGGATCACGCTCGCAGAGTTCCACCTGTTTGCGCCGCCGGGTGATGCCGTCGACAGAGTCGATGAGTTTGTGGTTGAATTCGGTGTCACCAAATGCAGTCAGTGGAAAACGGTCCACACTCATTACGTAGAGTGACTTCGTCTCTTCGACAAGTCCGACATAGGCTGTGTTGATGTCAAGGGTGGAAACATCTGATCCACGCAAGATGTCAGGACGAGGTTGCAAGAGCACGAATGGATCCGGTCTCTGAGCACTCGACAAAACATCAAATACAGCCACTCTATATGACATATTAGACACGTCCTGATGATACACGCGATGTTCCTTACATGGGACTATCAAAATGGTTTGTCCACATGAACTGCGCCTTCTGCAGAGAATATGGATCTGCGGAGTCATTTTCATGCGGTTTGAGTGAAACTATTGTGCCAGAGGGGAGGGAGTCGATGTATGTACTGTCTTGCGTCTTCCGGTACGCCGCTTGCATGACATTGTCCTGGTTGTTGGGACCATATGTGGAGAAAGACAGGTTCTGAATAGGAACCTTCCGACCATTGGGGGTATTTGAGCGGGTGAAAATGGATATTTGGTAGTCTTATGAGGAAGTCTTGTTTAGATGTAATAATTATGAATACAATGGACACCTACCAGTACGTCCAATAAAGACCTCCGTCGGAGTAAAATTCTCCTTGTTTGGCATATAATCTTCAAGCTCGTCCAAGTCAAGCTCCTCTTTGTTGCTGAAATTCTCAAACGGATCCCAAGGGCATTCAGCATTGATGGCCTTGACTTTTCCGGTCCCTAGCTCTATCGACAATAAGGATGTCTCTTTCTTTCCCACAAAAACTCGCTCATCGTCATCCCGCGCGAATTTAAAGGGCGACATTTCGACAAGTTGTGACATGGAAAAAGAGAGGCGCTGGAGTGAACTAGTGGGGGTAGCCATCACGTATATGTCGCCTGACTGTGGCTCGATAATGTAGACCTCATGGTGGGTGTCGTCATCGTCTGTCAAGTCGGGGTCATGGGTGGCATGCTTGGTACGAACGAGCGGCGCAAGACTAGACGGGGCCTCGGGCGCAGAATGCGATATGGACCAGAGTTTCTGTCCAGAGGTACGGTTGAGTGCGTGGAATCGACCATCTACTGAGGCAACGAGAACGATGTCGAGCAGCGTTACTTCTTCTTTATCCTCTATCAAAGATGAATACCGAGCGCTGACCGCCTCAGTGTCGGCACTGTTAGAGTGTGCGTTGTTGAGACCAGCGTGTAGTGTAACTGTCTGGGCAAGATGTATTGCTGCAAATAAAAAAATTAACGCTGAGAAATAAGATGCCATGGGTTGCGAGGGATGTTCTCTCCCCCATTGACCGACAGATGAAACGTTTAGGACGCTGTGCTGGCACGGCCTAACAAGCGCAGAGCAAACAGGCGCTCTCATTCCGATGCCTAGACCACCGGCTGTACCGCAACACCATTTCGGCATTATCGGAGACCTGCGCTGACCTTGAATATAGGTCCCGCTCTACGGCATCCTATGACCTTACTATCCCTTCCGGTGCAATCGGCATCCCACAGAAGTCGGCAGTCACGCTTTTTCGCAGGGTTTTGTGTGACTACATGTGACCAATTGAAACAAAAGTGTCACATTTTCTCGCCAAAATGTGTGACCTGCCGACTTCTGTGGGGTGCTGATTGCACCGGAAGGGTAGTATTCAACTTGGCTTGCTGCTTGTCTTCACCTCAAGTCTAGCTAGAGACTTGTGCTGTTGTGCACGCTGCTTTCATGCCGGATATTCCAGTTGGATCTCAGATTTTTGATCTCGCATTTCATCCCACACAATCGACTGTATATACTGGCCTTCTTAACGGAAAGGTCAAGGCATTCCGATATGATGAACAAGGACAGCATGAAGAAAGCTTCGTATTAAGGCCATCCAAGCGTTCATGCCGCTGCTTGGATACTAGCGAGGATGGCTCTCGTCTTTGGGCAACTGGAAAGGCAAAAACTATCTTGTATGTTCTATTTTGATATTTTGACTATTATCTCTTGTACTAACAACAAATAGCACGATCGATACCGCCACTGGAACCCTAAGTGAGACGCGTAAAGATGCCCACGAGTGAGTCGGCGATTCCCTGACGACCCCACGATTCGTTGATGATGGCAGCTGATGGCAGTGCCCGTTAAAGTTCCCCAGTGAATCGCATCAAACGCCTCATGCCCCAGATGCTAAGCACTGGTGATGACGACGGCGTCATCAAGGTCAGTCGATCCTGGTTGGTGCGCCACGATCAAATTTTAAGTTATCTGATAGCTGTGGGACCCTCGAAAGTCTGATCCCATTCGAAGTTATACCCATCATTATGACTTCATCTCTGATTTCCTTTGGTTGGACGACAAGAAGCAACTTATCACGACCAGGTAAGCAAGCACCCATAGCAACAGTATTTCCCGCATTCCAACACTCCTGTTTTTCACTTTGCGATAATCAAGCGGCGACGGCACACTATCAGTGATTGATGTGCGTGGAAAGAAACCGGAACCGGTGGCACAGTCCGAGGATCAAGAGGACGAGCTGCTCTCTATTGTTTCGATTCGAAGGTACTTCCGCTTACATATGTGTCTAAACATACTCATTGCGTACATTATCTCATGCAAAAATCGGGATTAACAGCGGGTCAAAAGTCGTCGTTGGTACACAGATGGGCATTCTGTCTGTATTTAATCGTAGCCATGGGTGGGGAGACTGCGTCGACAGAGTTCCGGGGTAAATTTCATCTGTTGCGGGATGCTCTCCTGAATACCTCCCTCATCGTTGTTGCAGACACCCCCAGTCGATTGATGCTCTTTGTACGCTACCGTCCTCATACCCGTCCTCTCACTCAACCATCCTCACGGGATCGTCGGACGGTCTCCTGCGGGCCGTGCAGCTATTTCCTACCAAGCTACTTGGGGTTGTTGCTGACCACGGATCTTTTCCCATAGAAAGGATTGCAGTCGATCTCGGTGGGGAAGGAAGATGGGTCGGTAGTGCAGGTCACGATGACACACTCAAGATGACAGATCTCAGGGCCGTTTTTGAAGACGAGGAGGGTGGCGAGGCTGTTGAGGACTCCGAAAATGTACAAAGTGTTCAAGCCTCGGACATAGACCTACAGGAACCCGACGGAGCTGATGACGAAACCCAAGCACCTCCCGAGGGCACCACAGCAGTAACCGAGGCCTCTGACAATGATGAGGATGTAGACTCTCACTCCCCAAAGGAGAAGAAAAGAAAATTAAAAAGTAGTAAAAATGCATTGGCAGGGAGGGGCAAAAAGGCGAGGAACCAAATTGATGCGGACCCTTCGTTCTTCAAGGGTCTATAATTCTGCCACCGACGTAGGGCCCATCTTGTACATTCATTACCGCCCTCAACGCTAATGTGTCCCCATAGTGCATCCCATCGTTGTGCCTCTCCAGACTAGGAGTACTTACAGCCGTTCAGGAACCGCAGGCTCGCCATGCTCAACCCGTCGGGAGGCTCAGGCAGGGTGTGAGATCAGTGCATCCACGACCATCTATCCCTGTCAGTGTTCTTGGTTGCTACATACTACATCAACTTAATGAGATCCGTGGGTCCTGTGTGGTTCTGGATGGGTCCTTGTCCGTACAATCTATTAATGGACAGATAGATCTGTGAAAGCTAGCTGCTTAGGTCCTCGTTGTGTGATAATTCGTGTCTGTTCAGATTGCATATCCCGTCCGTTCTCATTTGCATAATTCAGCTTTAGCCGCCCCGCATCCCCTTAATATGTCTAGGTAGTTGATGTAGCGCAAAATCACGTGACACTGCACGGATCTACATGGAGCATGCTCTTGGCGTCTATAGTAAAATTCAACTACCAACGTCGAGAGTCGTACTCTGGATTGCAGACTGCAGCATTCATAAATATTTTGGCTTACTACAGAGCACTTTCCCAAGTTTTACATTGTTATGATACTGTCACGCAATGCAGTCTGTACTCTCCGAGGCGCTCGGAGCTTGTCGACGCGCGCATCGACTATCCTTTCAGCACTCGACATCCCTACTGGTGCTGTGGAACTCCCAGGCGTCTACGATGGGCAGTGGTCTGGCTCTGGAGATGTGCTAGAAAGCGTGTGTCCCACGACTGGGGAGGTGCTTGCACGCGTTCGTTCGGTAAGCACAATGTTCACTGCGAATTGCAGTAACTGCATTATGTTCCCTTGTGCGGCATCTAATATAAAGTCCTACAGGCGACACCTCATGAGCTGCACAAAGCACTAGAAAAGTCTAAGGAAGCTTTTCATCATCTCAGGACGATTCCCGCTCCCAAGCGAGGAGAGCTCTTACGACAGATCAGAGAAGCACTTTCCGCGAAGGTATAGAGCCCCTGTTTCCACGAAATTTGGCACCTCCAACGGTCGTCTCATTGTTTTCTAGCGTGACGTTCTTGGTGCACTGGTCTCCCTCGAAATGGGGAAAATAAAAACAGAAGGCATTGGGGAAGTTCAGGAATTCGTGGATATTGTGCGGATTCTTTTACTTCTTTCGATTCTGATCTTGAAACCCTTGATCCGTTGAGTGCGATTATGCGGTAGGCTTATCTCGAATGATGAACGGCAGGGTTGTGGCATCTGAAAGGCCCGGTCACACTATCCTGGAAGGTGACTGCGCAGTCAATCTTATGACATGCTATGCTGATTCATTATCTGTAACAGTGCCCAACCCTATTGGCGTCGTTGGCGTGCTTACTGCGTTCAATTTTCCGGTGGCAGTATATGGGTGGTACGGCTTTCTACGACTGGCGCGAGACCTGAAAGCCTGACTAAGTTAATTGAATGAAGGAACTTCGCGCTTTCAGTCGCCGCTGGGAATGCGAACGTCTGGAAACCTTCGCCGAGTACACCTCTTTGTTCCATTGCTGTAACAAAGATTATTGCAAGCGTACTGGAGAAGAACGGCCTCCCTGGCGCTGTGTCTACTCTCATCACGGGCGAAAAGGATGTTGGAGAAGCTATCGTTGAAAGTCGGGATATACCCCTTGGTAAGCCTTCGTATTCAAGCGGCGCAGGGCGTTTTTTTAATACATATCATTTCAGTTTCATTTACAGGTAGTGAGGCTGTAGGCAGGGTCGTTGGCAAGGCTGTTCAGTCTAGATTCGGCAAGAGCATCTTGGAGTTGGGCGGGAACAATGGTACTCTTTTTTTTGCTCCGAAGGACCATGAGGTGGCTTCTAATAATGTCGTCCATCAGCGTCAATCATCATGCCAGACGCAGACTTGTCATTAGCTGTAACGGCTGTCTTTTTTGGCGCTGTTGGCACTGCTGGTCAACGGTGCACATCTACCAGGCGACTTTATGTCCATCGTGCGATTGCGCCGAAATTCCTCGACGCCCTTCAGAAGTTATATGCTACTGTGTGCGTTGGAGACCCTCTAGTAGAAGGCACTTTACTCGGACCTTTGCATACACGTGCAGCTGTTGGAGTTTACAGCGACGCTGTGCAGCGACTTCACCAATCCGGTGCTGACATTCTTACTGGTGGAAAGAAATATGACCATGCGGCATTGAGCCAGGGTAATTTTGTCCAGCCCACGATCACCGTTCCCAAGACCACGGATCCTACTGATAAGATATGGAGTACTGAAACTTTCGCACCTATCCTGAACGTCTGCTTGTTTGACGAGCTGGAGCAGGCCATTGAATGGAACAATGCTGTTCCCCAAGGACTGTCTAGCAGCCTCTGGACCAGAGACCTTCGGAACGTTGGCAAGTGGATTGGCCCCGAAGGTTCAGATGCTGGTATTGTCAATGTATGTTCATTTGGCTTCGGACATTCAGTCTTGATATAACAAAACATTTCCAAGGTCAACGTTGGGACTAGCGGCGCCGAAATAGGTGCCGCATTTGGAGGCAATAAGGTGTGTCACAGCTTCTGTTCTGAATGATCGACCTTCCCGGCCTAATTGCGCCCATTCTCACCTATAGAGCACCGGATGGTAAGGACATCTCCAGCTAGATCTGCTTCTCATATCTGACTTCTTTATTTCAGGGGCCGCGAATCCGGCGGAGACGCCTGGAAGCAGTACGTACGATGGAGTGCGTGTACGCTTAACTTTTCCGATGCTGCACCTCTGGCGCAGGGAGTAAACTTCTCCACATGAGGCAGGTGGCGTAGATGTGGTAATTTCAAGTCGAGACCTTAAGACTCGATTGGACAACGAGCTATCTCGCGGGTGTCGCACCGCAATTGGGATTTAGGGTGATTGCAGGGGGTCGGCCAAGTATGGATGATACCCAATGACACTCCTTCTGTCGTCGTTATTCTTGTAATCATTATGATCATAGCTGCCATTTCTTCTCTCATCACAACCATACCTATATCAGGACACCGGCCAGCGTCGCGATGATATATAAACGTGAGAGCAGTCCGAATATCCGTCAACGAGGTGACCTGGCTTGAACGTTTGAACTTAGATCTACTTAGATGTGCCAGATGTCACCCCTGCTGACATGAGTATGTTGACATGTCACCCAGCGAACACTGATTGGATTAACCGAGGCAGTGCGTCTGGTGAAAGCCGCATCGCTACGTTGCATAGAAAAGACTTCAATTATAAGGCTGCCGCATGATTATCTTGGACAAGTTTTTATCTCCACTCTTGCAACACTCCTCAACTGCCACTCCGTTGACGGAGTAGTAATCATTTAGTATCGTATGCAATCCGACGATCTCCCATGGCCAGAACTTGGCAACGTCTCCCGTGGCGCAACCCGGGGCAATCAAGGTCAAAAAGGTGCCTTGGGCCCTCCTGATGCTGAAGGTCGCTGTGTGCTCCAGCTACGAGTTCAACCCGGCGTGCTGGCAGTGAAGCTCAACAGACGTTCAAGCGATTGGTATCGAACCCTCGATAATGAAGTCAACCGTGCCCTGAAGTTAACAAAGACGTACTGGAGGAAAGCAAGAAGACGTCAGGACTAGTTTGTCAAACATGATTTACAGAGAAGCTTTAGTGTTAACATGTCTCTTGACGGCAGTGACGCTCGCGCAGACCAAGACCACATGGAATTGCATGAGTGGTTGCAGCAGCTCAAGGACAAGACAATGTCACATTTAGAGGTCCTCATGCAGAAAGGCGACATTCAAGGCCCCCCATATGTGATGCCCGACGAGATCGAGCTCGCCTTCCTGAGGAAGTTCATTGAGCGACACAACGCAGGTATCCCGCATAACCCCCGCTTGCGACATCTTGGTGTCAACGCACCGCAACTTCCACACATCGACGACTCCATGGAGCTCTCAACACCTGAGCTTTCCGAAGGAAGTTATCCGCCCTCCAGTTTAGTGGATCATATCGCTCGATTGCAGCCAGGTCAGTCGCGGTGGTCACTCCCGATTACTTCCACACAGCTATATCATTGACTCCCCATATGCAGAAAACGGTTCGAATGTTTCAAGTCCAAACTATGTGCAATCACCAGGCACATCTCGCCCACATATTATTCGAACATGCTCATCGCCTTCAACAGCACCGTATGAGCAGCTCTTACAAGATGCGCAGTCATCTGGTTCGTTGCATTAATCAGCTCTCCTGATGTTTCCAGGTTGAATTTCTTCACAAGGTCAATACCTTCAGGAAGCGCGGGTAACACTCGCACGCGCGCAGTCGCAAACACAGGACGCATTTCAACGGTATACTGCTTGTCTGGAAGCTGAAGCCCGTGCTAGGCGGGATGTCAACACCGCTGAACAGCATCGCGACGAACTCAGTGGGTGTAATGTGCTGCGCTAGCATCACTGCCCCGCTTATTGAAGTTTCTGCCAGTGACGGTTCTTCTATCTAGAACTCAGAGTTCAGCAGGTAACACTTGCTTATTTGGAACATTCATTTTTTACGTGCTGACAGTTTTACTTTCTCTTCAAGATTACTCGCGGCAGTCATCATTACCTCATGATGATTCTTCTAGTCAGCAAGAAGTGCGTTTGGAACTCACTTTGCCCGAGACACACTGCTCATTCCGCTACAGCACCCATATTCGTCTCACCATCTAGTCGACAGGAGACCCTCAGCAGACATGGTACCATCACAAAATAGTCCCAGAGTTGACTGGCGTCAGCCAGATATGACGGGGTCATTCGCTGGGGCCCTCGAAGCAATCCCACAATCAGAGGTAAGGATGTTTTACTGGAATTTCCTTTCGACACTGAGTTTACCGGGCAGATGCGATCATCAAGAGATCCATCCTACAGGCCAGAGCGCAAGCACTCGCGGAGTTGGGAGGAGGGTGGTCAGGTTGACGTACATAGTATGTGGCGAAGACCTTTTGGTTAGGAACCTGGTCCTGAGAAGACGACAGACTTTCAGGATTCAAATCTACCCCCACGCAAACGTTTGCATCACATAGTAGATCCGTGTGGTCACAGCGCACCTTTGATATCTCAGGCCATAGCACTGCCTCTATGACTCTGAGATGGCAGGTCGCCCATCGGCGTTCAAAAAATCGCCGACGGTGCGACTTTCCACTTTTCAGGACATTCTGTCACCTCACCCTGATTGTCGTGCATATTACCATCTCTTCCTAGTTGGGAGGATGGTCAGCATATTTTTGTTCTCCCGGACATTATATACCATCTCATTCTCACCATCGCTTTCTGGTCAACTGTGCTACTACTGATTGTATTTGGAGTTCTGTATTACACCGCTATGTCATTGATTCGTCGTTCTAGATTACCACAAGATCTCGATTGTTTAATTCCTCAGCGCAACGGCGCATGTCAAAAGTATTCTGAACGGTGTTACCATGTGTCCATGTGATTTGTCCGACGGCACGCCAGACGACGCCAGAAACGCTCAGGTGAGTGACAAGAGGTCCATGAGGAATCCATAAGCCTAGGGAAATTCTTTGCATGTGCCATCTGTCTGTGAGTACTTATAGGTACTTATACCCTGATGATGATGATCGTGCGCTGATCATGTCAGAAAACGGAGTACGTGATACGTGACAAGACTTTACCCCGTACCTAGAGCATGCTTTTAAAGATACTTATGTTTATCACAAGATAAGTACTGTTCCATGGCGGCCGAGCGGCGACCTCGTCCAACGGTTCAAATGCGGGCTTCGAGTTGTTTCCGGTGTATAATTTGATTGACTGCATCACGCACGGATGATGAACATCGAAAGGGCATGAAGCTAATATCGAAGGGACACCGACGCACATTTTTCCAGTGGTTTGCATGAACGGATTGTGATTGGTTAACTACGGATGCTAACTCTAAGCGCTGGTTGATATTACGTACTAGTGTGTAAAGACATTCAAAAGTCAAATCTGCCAACTCGTCTTCTTTTGTTAACTAAGTACTACATATAGTACCGCTGCAACTTCAGACCATCATGCTGTGGAATAACAGGGAATAACTTGGCCCTCAAGTAACGGGTCATTGTATTCGTAATTCCGACATGGTCAATGCCAATACAATGTCCGGCTGTCAGTGGGTAGCTTGACATACCACAGCCATATTCAACTCATAATCGCATTGACTCTGGTCGTTGGCCAAGCGGCACTGTTATTATGGTCAGTTTCGGCTCAATTATGGTCTTGCCAACGTCCACCACCACACGCTTTTTCGATGACGCACAAAGGCCGTCGCCCCTTCGTGGCCTGGATAATCGCGTGCCATACACGTGTATCTTCATCTCTCGAGTCCTTAAAAGCCTTTGTCGCGTCGTGTCGCTGACCTTTATAAACTCCCCGGTCGACCGTCCTTGCGTGCCTGTAGTTTAATCTTTGCCTCTCACTTTGCTAGGGTGACCTATCTGATTATACAACCTTCTTCGCGGATACTTCCTCTCGATGGCGCCGCACTTCAAGTATCGAAGTGAGTGTATGATCAATAGCATGTCCAGGTTATTTACCTTTCGACCCAGCTAAAATTTGTCGCAACTTCGTGGCGGGACAATGTGCATATGGCAATAAATGCACCTTCATTCACCCGCCCCCTGTACCGTTCCCACCATCCAACATCTTAAGCCCTTTTGCAAGACAACTGGTGCTGAATTGGTCGGCACTGCAACCAAACACCAAAAGCTTTGCCATGGCACCACAACGATCAATAGCTGGCCCGACAGTCGCTGCGCCTGCATATGAAACGCCGTTTTCCCCGACATGGTCGTCCTCTACGCCCATCTCAGGCACAGGGGAAAATATGATCGTCCGCCCGACCAATTGGAGGACTCAGCCGTGCAAACACTTCGTTAGAACACATGGCTGGTGCCCCGTTGGCGACGCCTGCAACTTGTATATCATTTCTTTCTGATGAGGGGGAGGTTCTGATTTTCACTCTTTCGTAGCATCCATGATTCAGCACCGCCATCCTCGGGGAGTCCTGATCAGATCCGAGATGAACGAGATGGATCTCCTGGATCTGACGTTTGTGCCAAGGGGCCATGGAGCACCAACAACACCGCTATGGGGGCAGCGCGGGCGCATTGTTGGGCATACATTCAAGGGATGTGCATCAACCCGGGGTGCCAGCTTTTGCACCCCGAGGACGTTACACCATGTCAGTATTTAACGTACATTCTACGTTTCTTTTGACACGCAAATGACCTCTCGAATTTCAACTATGACAGACATCCCATATACACCATGCCTCCGCTGGCCGAATTGTCCTGATGGTACTTACTGCGCGTTTCGGCACCACATTGCTATTCCTATCCCCGTGCCAGTACCTGCACCACTGCCATTGCCATACCCTCCGACAGATGCCAAGATTCCCGAGATGGCATCCGCCATGCCAAATCATATACCGCCGGTGTCTAGTCAAGCATCCGCTTTTCCATGCCGCTCATACGAGATCAACGGGACAACATACTTCACTCCGCAAACGCCAGCTGTACCATTACCAACGAACCCAACGATGTTCTACGATCACGCCACTATCTGTGCGCATAGCTATCCTGGAACGTTCGAGGCCCCCGACCATGTATACAATCAAGGGGTATACCCTGATGGGGACCGGGAGTCTCACAAGTCGCTTGATCCTCAGCTTTTGGAAAGCAACGAGCCGGAAGAGCAGTCCTCGGTTTATGTGCAACACGCCATTCAGCATGCGACCTCCGATCCTGGGGTTGCCATGGATAGACTTATATCGACTCAGGCAAACGAATTTCCATATCGGCCTCCTAAACATCAACGCGTGGGTCACGCGAGGCGTATTAGCATTCAGATGAAGAAGGCTGATGCACTAAGCCTAATTGCGGCTGCATGATGATCTAGCTTGATTTACCCCCAGGTTGATGATCGTATCTGTGCGCATCCGGTCATGGGCATGAGCTTGTATCTCACTTGACTACTCAGTACATCATCAGTCGGAGACTGTGTGATTAAAAACCTCTGCCTCTTCGTCCCTCTACTCACCTGATAGATATGTTACTCGTATGCTCCAATCACATGACTATACCCTCCCTGTGCAAAACCACTCCCACATCTGTCTCGATATCCACAAAAATAGCAGCACCTTCTGTAAATTACGTACATATAGGACCGATGGCGTTCCTCCCCCCGAAATCTGTTTTTATTTCACGAGCAAAGTCACAGACCCTTAGTAACACCCGGGATTACATGGGCGGCCGGAATGAAAGTAGCAGAAACATCCGCCCGCTGTCATTTCATCATGACCTGAGTCTGAATTAACCAATCTCCAAAAACACGGCTCCGAAGTCTATCGTGTAAACTGTTCACTGCGCTGTCAATGCCAAGTCATTGCTGGCACTTTGTCGTTCCTGCCGATCCTGTCGATCACACGGGGATAGAAAGCTATCCCGATTAGCCCTTTTAAAACCATTTCACTGTGATTGTTCTCGAATTCAATACAGTACAAACTCGTGGCATTTAAATTGCCAAGAAGTTGAGAAGCCTGGTCGTCGACGTCGCGTGTGGGCACCGTGGTCGCGGGGATTCGATGTGCCTCGCGGTCTCTCGCGGTCCAGAATTTAAGTAAGTGTTTGGTGTTCCGCCGAGGGTGACGTATGCGTTTCGTATCCAGCGCCGCATGCAATGCGAATTGCAGCTGGCCATGGCAGGACCCCGGGTAATACTTGCATATAATATCGGTAGAACCTAGCGTAGTGTACCGTTGGGCCCGGATTAATGGCTATTTCACCAAGAGTCAGATGCACGTGCGTACGGTTGCGACTCCAGTGGACCATGATGGTGTAGCGGTCGACCGCTGGCACGCAGGCAGCAATTCAGGACTCAGGAACTTCTTATGACCGCGGTCGACTGCTGCGACAGCCACGTACGCGTGTGGGGGACTCCAAGAATGATCAGGATCAGCTGGTCACCGGAACAACGGTACGGCGTCGGGACGGCCAGCCAACCGCCAATCGCTAACCAACCAGCTCCAGCCAGCCAGTAAATCAACGATGACGTTCTATTACTCGATGAATGTACTGTACTTACCCAATACACTACGGTATACTACATATACGAACGAACCAAAAGTCCGATTGCAATGCATGCACGATTAAAGATGCGTGGTAAGTAAATAAATAGATCGATGTCGATGTCGATGTCGGGTATCTAAACGTCGGTTCATATGAATGGTTGGGTCTCGAGCGTCGGGATGAGGTAAAGATGAACAGAGGAACGAATCGAATGCCCTGGCGTATATCATATTATTAAACCAACTCCAAGAACGATGAGCTGGAACGACGGTACAGTACGTCAGCCAGCAAATCAACGATGTCGTTCTATTACGAATATACTGTACTTACCCAATACACATATACGAACGAACCAAAAATCCAATTGCAATGCAGGATTAAAGATACGTGATAATTAAATAAATAGATCGATGTCGATGAGCCGATGTCGGGTATCTAAGCGTCGGTTCATATTAATGGTTGGGTCTCGAGCATCGGGATGAGATAAAGATGATGGAACAGGAACGATTCGAAGGCTTGTATCAAACCAACTCCAACTCCAGGAACGATGAGCTGGTAACGACGTCACGGGTACTACGGTACGGTACCCAACCAACCGCCAGCCAACCAAGCTCAACCAACCAGCAAATTAAATCAAAACGACGTTCTATAACTCAACTCATATACTATACATACACTACGATATGGCTAGATACAAAAACGAAACTAAATAACAAGTCCGATTGCAATGCAGGATATAAGATGCGTGGTAAATAAATAGATCGATGCCGATGACGGGTTCTCCTTGAGTATCACCAAGGTTATATGGTTGGGTCTGGAGCGTGAATGAGGTAAAGATGAATAGTAAGAGGAAGAGGAAGAAAAACGAATCCAATGCGCAATGCTGCTGTATATCAAACAAAGATCTCAGCGCCTTCAATACCATCTGTAAAATCCAAAACGACGATTTTCTGGTCGTGAGATGTGCTATAGGAAAAGCGTGGTCAGTATGTCTCACCAACAAAAGGCAAGACGATCAAAACCAAAAGTCAAAGCGTGGTGAATTTCACCAATAGCAAACGAGAACCAAAGCCCCCCCAAAAATGGAAAAGAAGCCCAGAAACACCCACCTAACGATCCTCCCCACATCAAACTTGACATCAAAAATATGACTCGCATGTAAATCCCTAAACTCCCTCACCAACCTCCCCATACCTCTCTTCTCACTCATCCCTCGATAGCCAATGACGCCATTTGCGACGCCTACTACACTCGCTACGTCTGTATCGCTTGCGTATGCTGAGGTTGATGAGTTGAGGGAGGGGGTTCTCGAGTTGGATGGGGTTCCTGAGTTGGGTGAAGTTCCGGAGGTGAATGAAGATGACAATGGGGTGGGAGAAGAGGGGGAGGCGATGGTAGGGATGATAGCAGCAGAAACAGCAGGCTCCCTCCACTCCCAAACCCTAACACTCCGATCATAACTCGCACTAACCACATACCCAGTCTTCGGATCAAAACACAAAGCGCGGACTAACAACGTATGACCCGCGAATGTGTGCAGACATTCTCCTGTTGATGCGCGCCAGAGCTTGATGGTGCAGTCGTTGGAGCCGCTTAGGATTAAGTCGTCCTGGGGGGTTGGGTTAGTACCATTCAACGGCAACGCCAATTTGGGTAGGGGCATAGGATGGAGGGAAGAAAGAAGGAAAGGAGAGACACACCTTAAACTCAATACAAGCCAACCCCCTCTCATGCCCCTCAAACACCCGTTCACACCGCCCACTAGCCGCATCCCACAACATCATCCTCCCATCCCCACTCGCACTCACCACTCTCCCGCCTTCGAGCCCGATGGCGTTTACCGGCCCCTCGTGGCCTTGGAGGACGGCGTGTAGGGTGAGTGTTGAGCGGGAGTAGACGTTGATGAGTGCGTCTTTGGAACTGTGCGAGGGAGGTGTCAGTTTGGGTTTGGGTTTGACGAGGGAGATGGGTGCTTACCAACTGACGATCCAATTCTCGTCCATACGCAGATCCAACACACCCCCTGAATGGCCACGCAGCACCGCCCGTACGTCTGCCCGTATTCTCCTGCCACGATGATTCGCATATAGATCCCAGACGCGAACGGTACAGTCTGAAGAACCGGATACCATCAAACCGTGCGATTCCTCTTCCTCCTCGTCACCACCTTCGCACCCAGCCTCACGCGAAGCAGACTTCCGACGAGCATCAAAATCTTTTTCAAACTTCAAACACAACACGCTCCCTAAATGCGCCTCAAATGTCGCAAGACACTCGCCCGTGTGGATACACCAGACTTTGATGGTTCTGTCTCTGGAACCGGTGATGATGCGCCGCGAGTCAAAGTCAAGGCAGTAGACGCTGCGGGACGTCGGTCATCAAGCCCAGCGTAGAGGAGAACTGAAACTTACCTGTCTCCGTGCCCTTCGATCCGCATGACTCGAGGTTCACCACGTGGGTTTCGCCATCTTCTCTCGAGGGTGGCGCGGGAGCGGTAGAGGGTGTGCCAGTTTAGTCGGAGGGGGCCTAGGTTCCTTTCGATCGAATTAGGGTAAGCGATGGATGGGACGCGGATCGATGTGCGGTCAGCTTCTGATCCGTCTTGGTCTAGGAACACGCCCCTGGAGTGTCCGCTCTGCCACAAGGCCTTGACCCGACCCCAATCGACAGCCCACCCACTCGGCCCATCGCCCTCACCATCCTCTCCGTCCTCAAGAAGCGGGAACCCGTGCACGCCTTCATCCGGGTGCGCGTAGCGCAGCGACGACCCGTCCGAATCCGAGTCATCCTCAGAAGAAGAAGAGGATAAACTGGGGAGGGAGTCTCGTGGTACGACGGAGTAGGAAGACATGTAGTTTACTAAAGGCGCGAGTCCGTATGCAAAGTTGTGTGGGTAGGAATAGCTGTATGGGTTTGGGCGGGGTGCGCGTGCGCGTACTCTTGGGCGGCCTTCTCTGGCTTTCCATACTCCTAGCCAGACGCTGGTGTCTCTGGTGAGTGAGTAGAATGAGCTGGATACGAGCATGCATGCTAGCACTGAGCGGAGGGGTAGGATGGAGAGGATGTATAGGGTGAGTTCTGAGGGCAGGGGGAGGGAAGTTTGGGCGATAGGGAGGGATCGGGTGGAAGTAAAGGTGGAAGTGGAAGCTGATCGAGAGATTGTGTAAGCTTGGGAGGGAATATGAGGTGGGAAGAAATAGGGTTGAGATGAGGTTGGGGTGGTGGACGAGGGTGAGGGTGAATCGGAGTGTGTATAGAAAGAGGGAGACGCTGGATAACAAGTTAGTTGGGTGTGAGGAGAACAGGAGAAATACTGACAGATGAAGTCTGCATCGAAATAACCGTCGTGATCTACGAGTTCGCCTTCCTCGCCATCGAGGGGGTCGAGTGCACCGTAGTCTACATCGGTGGTGCCACTTAAATAACCCTGAACCCCGGACCCACTACCAAAAACATCTGTTACTGAAGGACGTTTTATCTTGCGTTTTGCACGCAAGAGATTAGGTGAGGACCTAGGAAAATGTTTATGGGAGAAAGTAGGTGAAGCCTTGCTGCCTCGAGGAGATGGGGAGGATATGCTTTCCCAAAGCTTTGTGATATTTGGACGAACACGGCGTTTAGTACCGGTTCCTAATGCAAAGCTATGACTGCGGACATGGGCAGAGGTGCGGGTTGGGGAGGTACGAAAGAAAGGGAGGGTGTTTCGACCTTGTGGTGGGGAAAGGAATTGAGAGTGGTATTGAAAGTATGAAGGACTGCTTGGCGGTGATATCATGCTAAAATCAGCGGTTGGAGCTGGTGAAGGGGGGCGAGAGTGTCCTAGGGTAGCTTGACTGAAGTCCAAGTCGAGATTGAAGTTGATATTCAAGTGAAGATTCGACCTGGGGTGTACATCCTCAGAATCATCATCTGAGAGCTGTAGAGCAGAAGGTCCTAGGTCAAGGTTAAGTCTGGATGAACCTGGAATTTGCTCCTCCGCCTCCTCGTCGTCTGAATATTGAGGCTCTGGTGATGAATGAGCTGTATAGTAAAGTGGTTCAGGTGAACCACCGCCATAAAAATCGAATGTCCTCCTCGAATTCATACCTAGGAATGTGGTAAGTAGCTACTTACCCTACTCCAAACATGTGTCTTTTACTTCGCGTGTTCAACTACAAACACGTGACTTATCATGACGAGTAGTTCCTATCGAGCTCGTTCGTCACAACAGTGAGTATAGCTAGTGAGTCATGTCCCACTGATGCGTTGATTGTTAGGTACCCCTTGAATAGAACATCTTCAAGGACTCTATGTGATATTGACGTGAAAACATGACGTATGGTACTGCAGGCGAGCTTCAACATAATTCCTCGGACGTGAATGATACCAACACGAGGATGCGGGCATGCATCTCTCTGCCTTTGTTCTCCTACCCCGCCTCTGATGAGTCACCACTGGATTCAAAACTTTGGCCGTTTGACTCCTCAGCAAGTACTCAGAGTCATACCTAGGTCACCTGCTAGTCGTTCAAACATATTGCTGTTCAGTTCCCCGAGAACGATATCCAAGGACTAGTGCTTCTGACAAAGTGCTCCTTCCCGGATCTGGCTTGATGGGCCTGACAGCATTGTACGTTCTAGTAGAACACCTACTAATAAGTCAAATGTCAACGTTTCCCTTCAAGTTAACGTCTGCTAGCTCCACAAACAATTGTCTCCTTATCCTTCTCACCAGTCGCTCTTCTCTTCTAGCACAAAAACGGGATGGTTTAACCTAAGCATCGCATTGATTGATCGCAGAGCGGGAATAAAGACGAGTATTTATTTCCACCTTCTCATCTCTTAAGCCTAAGCTATCTTATTGTGAGAGTTCCACATCTCTGTCGTCGGAACACTCATTGCAGCCATCTTTCGTTCACCTTCTATTGACAGCACCACATCTCAACATACCATTCGCAGCTGAACTCGGACGTCCACGCAGGTTTGTAGTTATCTTGTATGCTGCATCATTTTCTCACCCAAGTTTTGCGGCTAGCACGACTGTGGGTTGGAAGCCAACCTACGTGCATTCGACAAATTAAGAGTATGTACCCATATCTTGTCAGACTCTATTTCTCCTTAGTGTGTTGCCTCATCAGATCCAAATTACTTTATTTCAATCTACGTTTTCAGCACATAAAAGCCAGCCGTCTTCCCTACAAGTGCACCATCTTAGAATATTAATCATTCCAGAGACAGTCTGGACAGATTATCACTGATGCGTATTTTCTTCCTCGCCGTCGTAGCTGCTTTAACAGCATCTTCAACTGTTTTCAGCTGGGAACCGGACTGCAGTCAGAATCACGACTCTTGTGAAAGCGACAGCGATTGCTGCACTGGATCTTGTCGCACGATTCGTTTTTCATCCAGCATCCAAATATTCAAACCCCTTGACTCACCCTATGCGTCTTGTAATAGGTTAGTGGTTTCCTTGATAATCATCGCGAGGGCTAGTCAAAGGAGCTCGCACGTCGCGAGAGTGAGTTATTCCTTCACGTTGGTAATGTCGCTCATGGCGCAATTCTTTCATAGTTGTTTGTTGGGTCATAAGCAACGGGAACTACTCCAAGACCCCCACAAAGTCACTAGCACGTGTTCACAAGTGCTAGCCAAAGTTGAAATACAAACACGGATTGCCACTATCTGCACAACCAGTGCTGCCGAGCGGTTGTCACAACTGCTCAGTTCTGCCCACGATACTCACATTAATGCTATATAAGTAGTCATCGGTGGTCTACTGACCTGACTCATACCGGGGAGCGAACTGAGGGGGGATAAGGTGTTTGAAAGTTTCTGTGCATGTGACATTCTCATTCTAAGAATAAGTAAATCAAACTACTGCCTTCCGATTGACCGAGACCCCCTACCTCTCCAGCTGCGGATGGGTAGGAGCTTTGAGTTTCGAGCCTGGATCTCTAGGTATTTACTTTTACTTCTCCAAACTTGTAAGATGTCACAATCGGGTGTTCATCCACTTGCACGTGACTTATCACCATGAGCGTGTCGAAGCCTTCAAGCCCTAATAGATCCGAACGGCGAACTCATACATACTTCAGTACTCAGTCTCCGAATCACTGAGCTGAGAGCTCACGTTGTGATAACAGTTTTATAGTCCAATCAGAGCTCTCAGGCAGAATATATTCACAGGTTCACGCAGGTGTGTTATATTGTAATACTGTTAGACCTTTCTCCTTCCAAAAAATTTCGGTTCCCAGAAGTCTTGGCTCAGGCGTTGTCTATTTAATCGAACCCGAACCGCCTCCGAGCCGCTGAGCCTGTCTCCATGCCATGTCAATCAGCTCACGCTCGTAATGTCCCAGGTCCAGTAACTTCAAATCTATCCATTTGCTGTTATGTAGCCTCCATTCCTCCTGCCAGTCCCAGAGCCGACCATCGATCACTATTACGCCATTCCTTGGTCATTCCCGAAATCGATAACGATCATAAAAGCCAGCCGTCTTCCCTACATACACTGCAGCATCTCAGAATTGTTCGAGAGGCTGACAGATCCCATATCACCTCATACAACCAATGCGTTTCTTCTCATCGTAGTAGTTCCTACTTGGGTTGCTTCACTCTCAATTAGGTATGTGTGGCAGCACATCATTACCGCCACACTGAACCTTGTTTGCTTATGCCGTTATGAAACAAAAGTTATACCCGCATCTACAAAGCTAAGCGCGTCAGTTTGATCCAAACTGCACTCCCCGTTTGGACTAGGCCAGTAACCTCTATCGTACACTCAGGCTACCAGTAGTCCTTTCCACCAGCGAGAGCGCTCGCTTAACGTTGACGAAAGCTAGGGAAACTTGAAGCTTCAAATTGTCAACGTAAATAGAGGCTCTCTCAGATGGCTCTCTGAGGCCCTCTGGGACCCATTCTGCAGTTCTGCTCACAACCGGCCTACTACTTCGCACCCGAACATGGTTCCACGCACAACTGGTAATACTACAAGTACTTGCCCAAATGCCAGCGAGCGATCGTTTGATATGGCTAACTCTGCTTCATTCCCTCGAGTGACGATGATCCCCAGCACGACTTCGACATATCCCTTTGAACCAACTCCCCGGTGGACGACAGTCAACCCTAGGCCATTCCCGCCATTTAGCGCGCGCAGCGAAGTCTTAGAAAAGCCTCCGTTACCGTCCCCTCCTCGAAACGATCTGTTCAACGACAATTATATTGTTAGCACTCCACCTGGTGCCTGCTGCTTATCCAAGACTTACTCCAGATATACCATTGCCTGTTGTCCCAAAAATCTTCGGCGAATGCCTCAGAACGGAGACAAGAGCTCAAACAGCTTGCCGCCGGAATTGATGAACGACAAGAGCTCTTCATGCAGGGAAAGTTAGGTGGAGAAGGCAGCCAAAAGCCTTTGTGGAACTGCGTCAACCGATATGCGAGGAGTGGTCAAAATGGGAGGAAGGGATTGACATTGCTCCTTACTCATGCAACTGGCTTCCCCAAGGAGGTACTCATCCACTCGACGCGAATCATACTATCCACTGAATATGACATAGACATGGGAAACAACTCTGCGATATTTGTTATCGTCACCCTCAGCCTCACTGATCGACGAGGTGTGGTCTTGGGAGGCTGTTCAGCATGGTGATGCTGCATTGGTCAACGAAGCGAATCTCAGTGGCATATGTGAGGCACCTCGCTATACCGTGTTACATACATCCAAAGGCTAAGTTGAACCTTTATTGCTAGATGATTGGCTAGACAATGCACGGGATATTGCACACTTCCTGTTACACTACTTACCGGAAGATGCATCTTCGAAGGCTTTACCCACTCATCTACATCTTCTGCCGGAGAATATCAGCGAATACCGGAAGACTGAAGGATTTTCATCCCGATCCTTGGTTGTTGTCGGACATTCATTCGGGGGCAGCTCTCCGTACGTTGCTATTGCCAGCGTCAATAGTACTCTTGATCCAGTTCTCAACTTCAATGCAGGATACTAGCGGCTGTCAATTTCCCTGTGCTATTCTCCTCCATGATTCTCGTGGATCCAGTAGTGGTCCAAAGTGGCACTTATCCCCCCAATTACGTTCCAACGAGACTGCTTGGTGCCCTTGGCAGGCGCGAACGCTGGTCGTCGCGGTGAGTCGCGATCTTGTGCTAGTGACTCCTAAGCGTCTAATCAAGAGGCATAAGTGAGGAAGCATTACGTTCCTTGAAGGCGTCTCCATTCTTCGGAGGTTGGCATCCTGATGTCCTACGGCTATATGTTACATATGGCATCTGCGAGGATTCACAAGGGGGCGTAAAGCTGAAGACGTCGGGTCTACATGAGGCTTTGGTGTTCGGAGGTCGTGTAGGATCGTATGAAGCATGGGAGCTGCTGTCAAAGGTCGACGAGCGAATAGAACTACGTTGGGTTGTTCCGGGGAAGCCTGGAGACAAGGGGTGCGTTATTCCTAGTAATGATTTCAGTTATACTTGTACTGAGTTTTATTTTAGGATTGAGGGTGAACAAGCTACGAGGGTCAGAGTGTGGAGAAGGCCCGCTAATTCATCTAATGTAGTGATTCACTCGGCTGGGCATCTGGTAAGCCGATCTTTCCGAGTCGCCTCCTGTAAGGAGCCTGATTTAACTGTCTGTCCCTCAGATTCCACAAGAATCGCCAGAGGAGCTTGGTAAGTGTCATTTTGTCTTTTATTCATGTCATCATGATGATTTTCCTTCAGCCCAAGAAATATCAGCTTTCCTGGAGAGAAAGTATGGGCTACGAAGTAAAGCGTACTTGTGATATTCCTGGATCTAAAGAGGGTAGTTTACGGATTTTTATTCTGGCCTTGGCTCGTTTTTCATCTGACTCACATCCACATTGGTCGTCGTCGCACAATTTTCCCGCCCAACCTCCCTACTATCGTTGTTTGTCATAGTAAGAAGGAACAGCCATCTTCATTCGTCGATGGTCTATCTAGGGGAGACTATGTAGGTCGTTAGTTGTATCAATTACTATTATCAAGAGCAAGTATGTCATTTGCCAAACCTAAACTCATACGCTGTTAGGCTCTATATTGCTCACCGGCGGCATATGACTAGGGTATAGCACGGGTATGGGACACACGGCGGGTACGGGTACGACGGGTACGGGTACGGTGTAGAGAGAGAGAGAGAAATTCTATATTTATATACCGCAACAAACAAAGTGAGCTGTTAAGACGCGGTGCCCTGTTAGGGCTGTGCTGGGGAGTGTTGTAACAGGGTGAGGGATGTAGGTATAGTACGAATAGCCAAGCGGTCCGCGTTTGATGAGTTTTGGTGTGCGTGTGGGCTCGTTTGGTGTCCGGGTACGGTGTAGAGATCTGGTACCCGTGGCCACACCGTACCCGTCAGCACGGTATACGGGTATGTTCACGGGTACGTGCTATCTCCGAGTCTACTCCGCGGTGTTATATAGCCTTCATCAGACCTGAACTTACCTGAACTGCCTTATTTCAATCTAGTCCCGTACCACGGTCATTGAGCTCGCGCTTTGATAACAGGTCTATAAACTTTACCGGACCCAGTCACTTGAAATCTATCCTTTTCCTGTTAGCCTCCATTCCTCCTGCCAGTCGCAGAGCCGACGAACGATTACTGTTACGCAATTCATTAATGTTCATTCTCAGAATGGTTGACGATATTTTCAGCAAATACAACTCAGCACAAGCCAACTGTCACAGGATCATTCGAAAATCTGTCTGACATTGTCTGATCCCATACCACGAACAATCAATGCGTTGTAATTCCTACCTCGTTTCAACTTTCATTCTTGCTGAGGTATGTATCCATGACAGCTGGTAGTGACACGCTGACTCTCGTGCTTACACTAAGCACTAGGGTCGGGCCTTGCTTGCTGATAAGATCTGTGCCGTTATGAGACGACGTTATGGCTCTCTCCCATGCGTTCTGCCCACCATACTCCTGCTCGGACGCGAACTATGTAGCTGGTTGCACAGGTTATCATCCATGATTCTACGCACAACTGGGAATACTATTAGTACTTGCCCGAACGCCGGCGAGAGATCGTTTAATCAGCATTAACTCTGGTTCTTCCCTCGAATGACGATGACGGCCAGCATGACCTCGACATATCCGTTTGAACCGACTCCCCAGTGGACGACAGTAAACCCTACGCCGTTCCTGCCATTCCGCACGCGCAGCGAAGACCTAGAAAAGCCTCCGTTACCGTCCCCTCCTCGGCACGAGCTGTTCAACGACAATTATATTGTTAGCACTCACCTAGTGCCTGCTGTTTGTCCAAGACTTACTCCAGACATACCATTGCCTGTGGGCCCAAAATTCTCAATGAATGACTTAGAACAGAGACAAGATATCCAGCGGATGGCCGTCGAAATTACTGAGCGACAAGAGAGCTTCGTGCACGGAAGGTTAGGTGGAGAAGGAAGCGAGAAGCTTTTGTGGAACTGCGTCAACCGATACGCGAGGAGAGGTCAAGATGGGAGGAAGGGATTGACATTGCTCCTCACTCATGCAATTGGTTTTCCCAAGGAGGTACACATCCACTCGACGCAAATCATAATATCTACTGAATATGATATAGACATGGGAAACAACTCTGCGATATTTGTTATCGTCACCCTCAGCCTCACTGATCGACGAGGTGTGGTCTTGGGAGGCTGTTCAGCATGGTGATGCTGCATTGGTCAACGAGGCAAATCTCAGCGGCATATGTGAGGCACCTCGCTATACCGTGTTACATACATCCAAAGGCTAAGTTGAACCTTTTTTGCTAGATGATTGGTTAGACAATGCACGGGATATTGCACACTTCCTGTTACACTACTTACCGGAAGATGCATCTTCGAAGGCTTTACCCACTCATCTACATCTTTTGCCGGAGAATATCAGCGAATACCGGAAGACTGAAGGATTTTCATCCCGATCCCTGGTCGCTGTCGGGCATTCATTCGGGGGCAATTCTCTGTACGTTGTTGTCAACATTAATACTCTGATCCAGTTCTCAACTTCAATGCAGGATACTAGCGGCTGTCAATTTCCCTGTGCTATTCTCCTCCATGATTCTCGTGGATCCAGTAGCTGTTCAATATGGCACCTATCCCTCCAGAGTCGTTCCGTTTAAAGTGCCCGGTGCCCTTGGCAGGCGCGAACGATGGTCGTCGCGGTGAGTCGTGATATTGTGCTAGTGACTTCTAAGCGTCTAACTCAGGGGTCATAAGTGAGGAGGCATTACGTTTCTTCAAGGCCTCTCCATTCTTCGGAGGTTGGCATCCTGATGCCCTACAGCTATATGTCACATGTGGCCTCTGCGAGGATTCACGAGGGGGCGTGAAGTTGAAGATGTCAGGTCTACACGAGGCTTTGGCGTTCGCAGGTCGTAATATCAGATCGTTTGAAGCATGGGAGCTGTTGGAAAAGGTAGACGAGCGAATAGAACTACGTTGGGTTGTTCCGGGGAAGCCTGGAGACAAGGGGTGCGTTATTTCCGGTGATAATCTACTTCTACTGACTTTCATTTTAGGTTTATGGGCGAACAAGCTACGAGGGTCCGAGTGTGGAGAAGGCCCGCTAATTCATCTAATGTAGTAATCCACTCGGCTGGGCATCTGGTAAGCCGATCTTTCGCCTCCTGTAGGGAGTCTGGTTAAACTGTCTGTCCCTCAGATTCCACAAGAATCGCCAAAGGAGCTTGGTAAGTGTCATTTTATCTTTTATCGTGCCATCATGATAATTTTCCTTCAGCCCAAGAAATATCAGCTTTCCTGGAGAGAAAGTATAGGCTGCGAAGTAAAGCATACCTGTGATATCCCTGGATCCAAAGAGGGTAGTTTGCGTATTTTTTTCCCGGCCTTCACTCATTTTCCTGTCGCTCAGGTACCAAATTTGTTGTCGTCGCATAATTTCCCCGCTCAACCTTATCACTACCGTTAGTTATCATAGTAAGAAGGAACAACTATCTTCATTCGTCTATGATCTATCTAGGGGAGACTAGGCCGTTACTTTGTAGCGTGCTGGAGTTGTAGTACATCAGTCTCTTGAGCCTTGAACTTTTTGATGTTCTTACTCTGATGAATTTCTAGACAATGGACAACCATTGCCTACCCCTGCTCGTTCATGTGGTTTGGTTATTGGGTATTGGCTCGTGGAGGCAGGAATTGCGAGGACTGAGTATCATTGAGAAGCCTTTAAGTACTTACCACACTCCAATTGCAAGGTGAAAGCTAGTCAAACCATTCGTGTTTTGCTAGTCTCGATATTCAACGTCGCGCCAGCCAGATTGTTGACTTCTACCACATTGAGAGCGTCAGCGCGAGGTATCTCAACTGAGTCCTGACTCTTGAAGGTCTGATGATTTGCAGTCGACAAAATCATAAATCTTGCTCGCTGTCGTTGAGTTATGTCATCTCAACGTCATGGCGTGTCTCCAAGCTATCGACCAACATTAATGCTGACTCCACGAAAAATTCTCTGAGACTGTCCAAATTCTCACCAACAACTTGAACGCCTCTTAGACCTCAGAGAACCTCAGACACAAACGGGATGACCTCGTCCGGATGGCGGACGTTGTGAGCTACGTTCAGCGTCTGCCTAATCGGACCCGAACTGCCTGATTTCGGACTGCTGTTCACCTGCATTTCTCCCCCAGTCGCAGAGCCTCAGCCGACGAACGATCTTTGGCAACAGACAACCGATCTGACAGAGGCCTCCATTTACGCTCACAATTTGAAGCTTTCCTGAATCCAGAGCGCCCCCACTGAATGGTGGAGAGGACTCGCGTATAACTTAGACGACGCTACGCATTCGGCTGCATAAAAACTTCGCTCCTACTTACCAGTCGCAGAGCCGACTTGAACGATTATTATTACGCCATCCGAACTACTTATTCCTAGAATGGTTAACGAGGTTTTCAGGACATAGAAGCCAGCGCTCGTCCACCACCTCAGAATTATTCAAGAGCCTGTCTGGCAGATCCCATACTAATCACCTCGTGAAACCAACTTGAACGCGTTTCTTCTTCCTTGCCTTCGTGGCTGCTTTGACAGCATCTATGTCTGTCAATGCAACGCCAGATATTTTTAGCCGGGACTGCGCTAGAGACAGAGAGTCGTGCGCCTCCATGTCATGCTGCAATGGTCTAACATGTGTCGTGAGTATGAGCGGTTACTTGCCATACCTGTTGACTCACCCCTCGCGCCTTGTAATAGACTATTAATGCGCAGAATGACAAACAGTGCCAGAATGACACTGGGGGTGGGATCTTCGAGTTGTAGTACTCGCTTTGATATTCTAAGGAGCTCGCACGTCGTGAGAGTGAGTCGTGTCCCTGCCTTCGCATTGGTGATGTTGCTCATGGTGCGATTCCCACGTAGTTGATTGCTGGGTCGTAGGCAATGGAGATGGGGACCCTTGAATAGAATATCTTCGAGCCTGGATATGGTGAAAACACGACACGAGTGACCGAAGTACCACAGCCCCTGGTGGTAAGCCTGAAAATCAAAACCCTCATAGGTCGGACAGTCTTATTACGCCAGCTGACAGGATCCGTACATGTACTTATACATACTACAAGCAACGTGCTCGCCTGAGGATATTGCGATGGTTTTACCGGGATGCACCACAAATAATATGCGGGCATGCGTCTTGACTTCTGCCTCGTGGTTCCGTTCTCGTCGATTGACTTTCACACGTCCACGACGCGTCTCATAGCTCGCTTTTAAGCCTTTAAAGTTTTAAACCTGCTGGTCATTCGAGTTGATCGAGCTAATCGAGTTTGCGTCATGTAAACGTCCGCTTCTCAGATCTTATTTCTCAAGCCGCTTCTGCCAATCTACTACGCTAGACTCCGCCTCGCCGCGGACCCGAGATCTGGGGGGAAAAAAACAGCTCCTGCCTCTTGTCGCCACTCCCGCACATCGCTGGTAAACGCATCAGTGTCAGACCTGACCTCGTATTAATCCCCTTCGAATACGCAGTCAAACCCTCACGTTCAAGACTGTTCAAGATACTACAGCGTCCTTCGTGTGGGCATGCATCTTTATCAAGATCCACGGACAACTGATGTCTATATAACAGACGGGGGTCGGGGCGACAGAGGCAACATATTTCTTTGTTCCTTCACCCACTCATGACACACACGTCGCACCTTTGCCAGTCGGACCTATTCAAGAAACGCTCTGAGCTCCTCAGCCGCGATGCTCGAGTTGTTCTCTCATACGAGAGAGCCAGGGCTATTGGCTTAGCACACGGTGCGCATGCAGCTTCTTTATTCATGGGGCAGATTTTGATTTCGAATCCAGGCGTCATTCTTCATGACATCTTGGATTTGACTCAAAAATTCTGGGACTTGCACACTGACCCGATCATGACCCTAGATGGGGCTGCGTCCACGTTACTGACGATCCAGTACAATTTGGTCGCAGGAACGCTTGCGCAATATGCTGCAACTACGAGACCTGAGTGGGTTCCCCTCGTCGAGGACATTCTTCAATGGAATGTCATGTGAGTAAATCGCAATGTTAATTTTGTGGAAGCACTACATGATCTCGTCGCAGTGGCCAATTCTGCCTTACTGAGTTGGGAAGAGGCCTGGACATCTTCCGGATGAAGACATCAGCGACACTTCTTCCATCAGGCGAATTCGATCTTCATACGCCCTCGCCCTTGGATGCTAAGTATGATATCAGTATTTCCTTGAGGGCTGTTAATCATAATAGCTTAGATTCATGCCGCCAACTATTCCAGTGAAAGGTCTTCCATGTATTGCCATTGTTTTTGCACAACTGTTCGTGAACGGTGAATGTCGTGGACCTCGACCGTTCCTAGTCAATATAAACGACGGATATCATATGTGCAACGGAGTGACTTCGAAGTGAGCCTGTTCGTTCTATTTCAAACACACTTAGTACTTAACCATTTACTATAGGTTACTACCACCTCGGGGAGGCTCGACTCCCGTCAATCATGCACTCACCAGCTTCCATCACGTCCGCTTACCTCGTTCAGCGCTCCTCGGGGACATAAAGAAGTCCAACAGGATACATCGTGATTTCATGTCCTCCATATGGCGTGTCACGGTCGGATCCCTAGCGCTTGGCTCAGTCGCAATTCCGGATCTCCAGATGTCATTGTACATCGCCGCGCGTTACTTTCAGCGTCGCCATGTGACCGGTGTTCATGGCAAGCCCGTGCCCATACTTTCGTACCGGACACAACAGCTCCCTTTACTACATGCTATCTCTCAAGCATATGTACTAAAAGCGCTTTACAAATGGGCCATCAGGCAGTTCGTGGACAAGAGCCTCGATGTCGGTGTGCGACATGGCGTTGCAGCTTGCTGTAAAGCAGTTATGGTTCAACACGCGCAAGCTTCCAATTTTGCTCTGTCTGAGAGACTCGGAGCTCAAGGCCTCTTCGAATATAATCGGCTGTCCAATCTTTATGTACGAGCGTCTTCTCCTGGTCCGTTATGGAGAATTAATCTGTTGCACAGAGCGAGATGAGGGGGGTCAGTATTGCTGAAGGTGATATTTTAGGTAGGCAAGTTTACCTTCTCTGGTTATATGATGTTGACCAAATATGCCAGGGCTCTCCATGCGTCAGTGCAGAACATTGATCTCCGTGAAAGCTAAAGACTCAAGTTAAATTATAGGACTTGTGGCAGATTCCTTGGCGCACACGTACACATTACATCCCTCGACACATCCGGAAGGCCCCCTTGCCCTGCACGAAGTCTCGTTATTCGAGGAGGCAACTGAAACAGTCTCCTCCTCATCCGACTTTACACAAGCGTTCATGCAATACGTGCAACCGCGTTGTCAACTGATGGTCGAGTCCATGGGACATCGCATGGCTTACGATGCCGCTAAAGACCAGGGCGTCTCGCAATCTCTCATCGATCTGTATCTCATCAATGCAATCAAGATGGATGCCGCGTGGTATGTAGAATGTGGCATGTTCACGCGGCAGAACATCGTGCATATGGAGGATACTGCTTTGTCGGCAGCTTTGCCTCATCTGGATGAGTTACTCACTGCGATGGAGGTCGAGCCGTACGTCTCGTCACCCATCATATCGGATGAGCGCTGGGAGGAATTTAGTAAGACGTTGCCTGTTTATAGCTCCCCTCTGAAGCAGGCTGAGGTGCCAGCGCAACAGAAGCCTTTTGTTTTAGAGCGAGCTCGACTTTGAAGCGAGCTCCAAGTCGTTATGTTGCTCTGGCCTTGCATACAATACTCATGGTAGATCTTTGGTGACAGTTGGATTTCTTGCTCATACTTAATTTTAATAATAATAGTCCGTGTCGACGTCAACTGTATTGGAAACCTTGAAAACCCCAACATGTATATTCCCTCGTAGCGTCAGCAGAATACACCCAGTTTGCAAGGACCGAATCTCTGAACGCTTCTCGATGCTATCAACTGATTGTCGAAACCTTACCTCGATCTATTCTAAACCCCCGTCGAATTCGTATCATTCTCGCTACGCCGTATGTAGCACCCTTACAGGTTTCCAGATATATTTGCTGCTCAGCATCCATTCATGTACACAAATTTTAGAGCTTTGGCTTCGTTGGGGAAATACTGTATTTCCTGTGCAGAAAGTCGGCCATGATTTGCGCTGTATGGGCAGTTAGATGGCAATCAATTAGTCCGGTAGGTAAACGTACCGAGTTCTTCTGGAGCCTCCTCAGGAATCTAAGGCACACTTATGTTAGTTGTGGAAAAAATTCAAGGTGAGATACAGACGAGATGGCCAGATGACTTGATGACGATGTTAGATGAATTTGCGGGTCTGCGCCAAGCACGCTGCTTCTTCCCTTCCTTAAACCTGTCGAATAGTGTCTGTCAGTCAGCGAACTTGGTCCTGTCGCAGCTTACATTTCCTGGCTTGGGCTTCCGGGGAGAATCCACAGCAGCTCAATGTTCTCGTCAAGCCTTTCCATTAACTCCCAAGTTTCGCGGCTAGTTCGTGGGGTGGCGAGGATAAGAGCCTCTTGAATGGGAGGCGTTTTTAATCTAACACATCCGCTTTCATCCTCGTATAGTCCATAATCGACATAGAGCTGAAGCACGTCAGGATGCCAAACGGAGAACACGGGTGAAGATTTGAAGGAACGCAAGGCATCCTCCCTACAATCATAGTCAGTACTCTGCGCGAGGGTAATTACCAAAATTTATGCACCGTGATGGCCATTGTTCGCGCCTTATCAAGGAAGCCCCGACCATGCGCTGCGTGTTCTCCCACACATATCCTAGATATGTATCGATCATCGCATCGATGAGGATCATTGAGGAAAACAAGGCCGGAAAATGCAACGCGGCTAAAGCCCTGCGCAATATTATGAGTTTCGACAGGTCTCTGAAACGCGAATGCATACACCGAGCAACCACCAAATGAGTGTCCTGTTGCGACCAGGGTGCGCGAAGAGAAGCCACACTTTTGACGTGATTCGCCAATGGATGCAGGAAGTCGATGAAGTTGAACAGGTAGTGCAGATGTTTCTACCTCTTCTGGCATGTAGTTGATAAGAAAGTTTGCAATGTCTCTCGTGTTGTCAATCCAGTCAACTGCCGTCCATTAATCTCAAGCGAGCGGGTCTGAGAGACGTCCTCTTACAGGTACCACTGAGATTCTGTCTGTTTAGCAGAGCAGCGTCCCCATGTTGCACTGACTCCCATGACCATATCTCATCTATGACACCAGAAGCAGCTAGTAAATAACATAGAGTGGTCTCCCACATCTAATGTATAGTACATAGTGAGATTCCTAACATGCAGACCATGAAATACATGTCATGAGACTCACTTCCATAGGAAAGCCCACTGCTTGCACAAGGAACAAAGTGATCCCCTTCGTTCTGACGTTAGCCTTGTGGTCCTTTTTCACATATCTGTTGACACAATTCCACAGCAACTTGTCGCTCGAGACACTGAAATGGCTGTCCTCCTCTTGCCTAACTTGTCTTTCCATGAGATCAAGTCCCAGTTTCTTGATATCGCCCAGGGTTCTTTTCGAAGAGCGAGGTGGCAGCTCAGGAACTGGAATATCCGGGGTGACTCTGGGGTTCGCTGCAGGTATGATATGCGTGCTGATGTTGTACATGCCAAGTAAGGTATCAGTCCGGGGCTTGCAGGGCAGGGGCGGGACCTTCGATGTGCCCTTCAAGAGGCTTAAACGGCACCCATGGGCGTGGTTTCACGTTTGTTCGGAGTATTGTAGGTGTGTAAGGATATGAGGAAGTCATGAATGTCAACAAACGCTGCCTGGAGCTGTCCCTTCTGACAAGTCGTTGATATTGGTTCAGAGAATACCGGGTTGACGATTAGCAAAATCAGATGTCGTTGTGCACGTACCCGGTACCGGTGACAGGCAGTGTGCAACGTAACGGGTCGTTTCTGAAACAATCGCGTAAAGAGCAGTCATGATTCAGAAAGTCTATAATCATGAGTACAAAATAGACCCATCAGGCTATGGAATTTTGTGATATCAATCAGGCCTCGTACTTGCATAGCTACAACTTGATCCGAAGTGCATCCCACGCATACTTACAGGTAGGGCTCGCTGCCGTCTCTGGCGGACGCCCTCAATTGTGCCGGGTACCCACTTACACACAATATGTATACCTCAAGGTAGCATGCCAAGTCTGATCAGCATCGCACGTCTGCTAGTCAATGATCATTCCAGTCTAAGAGCATATCAGGAATAATGTACGCCTCGCTTGCTGTGTCACTGGCCAGAGATGCCTCTTAACTAAAACATTCCTGCATTCAACTAAAGGTTGGCGAGAGTCAGATTCAGAGCCTTCCGCCGAGTTAGGAGTGCACATTTAGTTACTACCCGGATACTGATCCAATCCTCAACTTCGTTTCGGGCTCCCGGACTCGGATGTGTGGCTGGTGCATGAGGCGATTAACATCTAGGTCACCAGCTGCACAAAGTTCGCGCTTGAAATTGTGGAGGAGACATTTGATGAGATGAATCGGGAACACCAAACTCTTGAGAGTAATTGGGAGGTCTGGAAAATAAACAGTCCGATGTAAAGTGAGCGTACAAAATGTGTGGGGTGTCAAGCGCGCTATGGTCATAACCATTCGACACGTCATCCTATCCAAACAATAAATGACATATAGAACAATAATTACGATTCTATGATGAAAACTTGATTGCTCCAGTCGCGGGGTCCGTGAATGTGAACATCGCAGCGTGTGACACAATTAGCGCAAACGTGGCCGTCCTAGAAGTGTATCAGACCTAAGGACTACATGGATAGAAACGGTGGACTCACATCAAAGCCGTCCACGGCGTACTTCCACCCTCCTTTGTTCGAAGAGGGTGCTGGTTCATGAAGCTGCTGAGCGCGAGTAGAGCTACTGGCCATGCCAGGTACCTGTACGAACATATGAGTGACGTTCAGGCAAAGAGGTACCTGGGGGAAAAGCAGCATGGAACACTGTAATTACTTGACACTTACCGATTTCTGGACACTAGTACCAACCCGGCGAGGAACATGCCCATCGAGCCCATAGCATCTGTATAGTCACGGGTGAGCTCTACAGAAGTGAGCGACTTTGTCACACTCACCAGCGGACTCCGCATACCATGTTTTTGGTAGAGACAATTTAGTTGCTCGAGTCGGATCTCTGGGAGAGTCTGCGGACATGTTGGAATAGAGTCTTGAAGCAAAACGTATGCATCGTTTCACGCAGCTGAAAACATAGTCACGTGACTGCTTCTTAGCTCGACATCTCACATTTTGCGGACAAGTTCTTTGTACCGTCGTCATAATTATTGACCATGTTTCCCTCCCTCCCTGTCCTCGCCTCAGCGGTGGCTAAAATTTCCACTCCCTTCCGACGCTCTCAACTCGGTCTCTTCCACGGGAAAATTAAACAGTACGGTAACAACGTTCCGCATTCGAAACACAAAACCCGGCGGACATGGCTACCTAACGTTCAGAGCAAACGCCTCAAATCGGACGCGCTCGGGCATGAGGTGAAAGTGAAGCTTACGACGCGTGCACTCAAGACGATAAAGAAGGTATGCATCATTGATTTCTGTGCGTGCAGGCAATTTCTCATCATACCTCTACCCTGGGGAGTAGCACGGCGGGGTTGACAATTACCTTCTTCGAACAAAGCCTGAGTTATTAGGTCTCGAAGGAATGCGTCTTAGAATTTTGGTGCGCGAAAAGCTTGACATAAAACGCGTGGAAGACGAGGTCGCCGCCGCCGCTCAAGCGGAGCAGGAAGCGAAGATGCAGCTCGAGAAGGAGGTGAAGGAAGCAAAGCGGAGACGAAAAGCAAGAGTTGTCCATGCGTTCAAGTTACGTGAGGCCCGACAAACTATCACTGGAGGAATCTTTGGATCCACGACATCAAGCACGGCTCGACCTACCGCATCATAGCTAGCGAGTGAGGTCTACTTACGTCTTGTAAGCGTTCTTTACTGATAGACTGGGCAGGTGTAGTGTCTATATCCTCCAATATGATGCCTCGATCATCCTGCTATCAAATGACTCGCATATCTCGCTTCACCTCAGCGCTCAGTGCCCTGTTTTGCAAGAATAATCTAGTCATGTACCATACCAATGCAATGCGAGTTATATCGTAGTAGATGAACGAAGGACGTAATAGGAGTGTGCCCGTAGGGCTATGGTCGTATGGATGTACGATGCAGTGCCAATAGCTATAGATATAAGTGAAAACCCAAGTGTCCTCCCTGAAGCAGTATCAAGAACTTGAATAACAAGAAAAGCAATAAAAATGTAGAATGAACCCCTACGATGCAGCTCCCGCATGGAGCACCTTCCGCCACCACGCCCGCTTCTCGACGCTGGTCGAATTTGGGACAGCAGTGCTTACTCCGAGCTCGTTGGCACCTAATCGTTTCACAGACCTCGTGCTCTTTACGGATGGGGCACGTAATGAGCTAGACCACTTTGAGTGCATGCTCTGATAGTCGCTCTCCGAATCCTGGCGGGACACTGGAACGTGGTTCATGTCCGCAGAATTCGCATATAGAGACTCCTCTGCAAGTCTCCCCTCATCTTCGCCGTAGAGATGACCATCCTCCGTGGTGGCTTCTCGAGAGTGGTCATGCTCCTGCACTTCGGGCTCAGCAAGATATGTAAAGGGGGTGACGAGCCCTGGTCGCGTGACCGGCATTGGATTAAACAATGCTTCGATCAGCTTCTCCGTCCCGCGAACGCCACGGGTGTTTGGGAGTTGGTTAGCATCCAATGGGTTCCGCTTTTTCTTCTTGCGTTTTCTTGATGAAGTGGTCGAAAGAGTGGATAACGAGGACGATGAGGAGTTAGAGTTAGCGTAAAGATCAAGGGTACGTGGTCGTGTTCGAAAGACGTCTTTGTCGAGCAAACCGGCAACCCCACTCAATATCTCTCCTTTAGGGAGAGGTGGGGCAACATATGACGATTCGCCCCCAATATGTTCTAGTTGGACGGTAAGCTACGGGGGAAATGTAAATCTGACGAAATTGAGAGAGACTAATGGTGGGATTACCTTGAGTGTTGCATTAGTCTTGCTCTGCCTGAGCAAATAACGGCGAGTGACAACTCCAGCGCCCACGTATTGAGCTAGATTTAAGCTCACAGCACCGAGCCGTGGATTTCGTGGTGCATCTGGATCGCCTGGGACAACTCGCTGCAAAACCTATTCAGCAAGGTTTGACAAGAAAAATCACTGAAAAAATGCACCTGCATCACGTCAAATTTTGCCTCGCAACCGCCAAGCTCATTGGTTTCCCTACCAATACCCATCTGCACCATGACATCAAGCGTCTGCTCCCATGTCACGCTGTGTTCCTTTAACTGTTCAAACAGAGTATGACCTTTGGCAGGAGAGTATGCAGTCGGAGGAGATTCAGCCAGAGACGGCGTTGAGTCCGGTGGGGTAGTTTGGGGTAACCAGTCAGCGGAGAGGTGCTGTGGCGGTACATGCAGGTGTGGACGAGAATTCGGCGATGCTGAGAAGGTATTAGGCGTTGAAACGCTGCGCGGAGTTGGGCTGGGTGATACTGGTGTGTTTGAGGATATGACTACTGAGGGGATAGATGGATCGTGTGAGTGGGTCGAGTTGGAGTTGGCCACGCTATGGGCGTCTGAGGTATCAGCGGCGCTGGCTGCGTCCATTTCCCATTCGTTAAGCTTCTCTTTCTCTTTCCCTTTAGCTGAGTTGGCACTTCCGTTCGGGGTGGTATTTCCCATAGCCTTGCCCTTACCCTTCACCTTGCCCAATAGACCTCCGCCAGAAGTTACCCCCTTGAACTTCCATCGCACCTCAAATTCTCCGTGAACAAGGGGAACGCTGCTGAGTTGATGGATCTTAAGCCGCATGAGAAATACAGCATGACGAGGCAAGAGATGTGCAAGCTGAGCACGAAAGCCTGTCGAATGACCTGGGGTACCGGGCGTAGGGCTAGCTGGTCTGGCTTGCCCGTGCGAATGAGCAGGTCGTGTTGGCGATTTTCGCCCATCTGACGAAGGAGGTCGCTTGTCATGTGGGCTCGGGGCAAAGGGCGAAAGATGTAATTTCGGATAGGGTTTCTTGGCGGGCCGTAAGGTGGACGAACGTTCTCTACAGGAGAGTAATGACGTGGACGAAGAGGCACCTGGGGGGTGTATTTGACCTGGAACGTGCCTCGAATCGTGGAGCAGCATGGAACGCGTGCTTCACAGCGTTAGAGCTGCAAAGGACAAGTAGTTTATTCTGGCTTGAAGTATGCCTAGATGACACGCATGAAAATCCGCTGATGTCAATCTCGGCACTTCCACGACAAGAAAACCAACACTGATGGAAGAATAGAATCAACTAGGACCAGTACTTAGTACTTGCAAGCTGGTGTTTGAACTACAGTTCAAGTTGCAGACATAAGTAGTTGACGTCGGAGGTTAGGCCACGCTCACGACATGGAACTTTCCTATTATAGTAGCTTACGTGTTTTCACATGACAAGGGCTGACAGTAAGTAGTCGCAGACTCGCACTAACTACCGAGTATAAGTCGTTGTAAATCATCATGTCTATCTAGCTAGATGGCATTCAAGTCTTAATCGATTTTAAGCTTATGATCATTCAACTCGACCATGGACAGTGGGCATTTATTTGAAGTTGATGAGTCAGCACAGAGCTGCGGTTGGTTCCGCGGAAGCAATTAGCGTCATCCCCATCTTCAGCTTCAGCCCCTGTGGCACTTTCTCGCTGCACACTCGCTTGCACTTCGAAACTGCGAACACCCAGTTAATTACTAGTGGACAGGACCTGAGACGGAAATATCATGAAGCCAGAGTTCCTGTCTCTTGGTGAGGACCTCCACTCTCACATCACCTTCCTTCCTTACTGAGACATTCTTCGTTGTACGTCTGAGCTACTAATTGACGTCGATGTCCTAGATGTTTGTTTATAGTGCTGACAATGTATGTAAGGCATTCTGCCAGGCGTACATGACATCCTCCGAGCTTCAGTACATTGTTGAACTCGGTGCCAACAACTGCTCCCCGTTGCTAACACATATTTCGACAAACGCACTCCTATGTTCGGAAAACTCTCTGTAGCAGACGACGTCGATTGCCATGCAGACTCGGCATCCCTCGCCAATGGCCATCTCTGCACGTGGGACTCGTATATATATGAACTCCGTCGTGATCTTTTCAGTATTACCGAAGCCAAAAATCGACCATCATTTGTCTCCATTACCGCATTCAGTTCCCAACGGGGACAGAATAATGGACGTGCTTTTGGACCCAACGCAAATTCTAATTGCCATCTTGCAGGTCAGTGATAATCCTCCTCACACAGGTGACGAGCAATTCCGTGTTGACCTTGGAGCCCTCGATTGAGATCGTGTACATCCCAAAGCTACTGGACAGACACTATTCCTGTCGAGGCTGCTCCGACGGCATGAGCGCGAACGTATTGTAACAGGGAGTACAAAGACGACGCTCAGTAGGTGGGGAAGATATATCGTACTCCGGATCTACTTTCCGGTTGGTGCTGCAGGCAGCTCTTCATTCAAGCCCACATGGTGGTTGTAGATTTAGGACTGGCAGCACTCACCAACATCCAATGTAAGCCCTGGTCGGAAATAGTTGAAAGACTTGATACCTGACACTTGATTTAGAGTATTCTCAGTGACTATTATACTCAACATATATTGATATCAGCGGTGAACACGACCTAATCAAACCTTATTTCCTCAGCAACGATATTAGAAAGAACGATTATCTTCCTAGTTCGTCTATATAGGGCTGGCTAGGGAAGACTACGGAAACGATAGATTGGTGATTGTCGACAATCAATTGAACCTGAAGCAACTGAGGATATCCTGGGCGCCCCAATTGCTGGCATGATTCTTGTTACCTACATCAGTGCTGTCCATAGAGTCCGTTTTTCCGATGGAGGATACCGCAGATGTCTCCCAATCACCGATGCCAGCCCAACAAACAATGTGGACCTCGGACCCTACATAGTACACATCGACTACTATCCATTGTCACGGGGTGAGTCATTTCCACCAGGATTTTCTTCGATCCGGACTCCTTTTCAGGGATAATGCAATGGGACTATTGGGGCCCTTTAGATGCTCGTATTTTCAAGTATCACTATAGATTTAACGTTACCGGGAGTCGAGTTTTCTGGCATTGCCTGCGGTTGACACGACAACTGGTGCTAACCCGGATGCGATGGAGCCATGTAGGTTACATATGATGGACTTCAGCCCCCTCGCTGTTAAGCGCCGGCAGGGTCTGGGACGAGTAGTGACAGAGTCATCCACTATCGAAATCCCAAAAATCGACAAGGAAGTGGGGGTATTTCCCCCTGAAGCGGGGGAGCAGTTGACAACGTCCCTGCCTTACGTCCAGGTCGTATCGGACAGAAAGTTCGGTAGCCATGAGGTAAAGGTGATATGGGTTGACAATGACAGAATCTATCTCGGAGGAGGCAAACAACCTAACGGTAAGTTCTCCCCGTTTTTCAAGCTATACTTATTTTGAGTAGGATGGGGTGTAGACAAGTTCAGTGAGGTGATTGAAATCAGAACTTAGTCTTTATCGATTAGTTATGTATAGACAATCAGATTCATGACGCGACCTCTTTGGTCCCTGCCGAGCGAATTAACCCAAGAAAGTGCCCGCGCTGATAAGTACGTCGTAGTTGTAACCGTCCTAGTCTCCCTAACGCTGACGGTGCTACAATGAACATCTCTCGTTGACATTGTTCGCCTGTAGACTCGAATCAGACCATCAGATTATTTATGAAAGCGGTTCTGGCCATGCCATTAGGGACGAGTATCTGCACTTCAGTCTTCATCTCTAAATGTAAATGTGACCTCGTCGCGTCTCTGTCCAGAGGACGGTTTGACTATCTCATTGTTATTCGAGGTGTTGAGGACCTGTGTAGCGATGGAGATGAAAGTATAAAAGCTGTCGAGGTTTTTGCTATGTTTTCAAGTTCGCCTCCGATGTTCACCCGGGAGACGCAGGCCGTTGGTGATTTTGAGCAGGGAGTCAACCAGCCATGCGTTTCACTGAAAAAATCAAGAAGACGGAATCATTCTTGCAAGTGAATGGGTATCGTACATCGAACGAGGAAAAAAATATTCAACGTACTTATTACTCATGTGTGAAATATTCTTCCGGAGATTCTGTATCTTTACGTCCCGGATCAATCTGATTTCAATCAAGGGCTGGGTAGCCGGGATGTTGCAGTGAGTTTTTGGGTTAGACTGCCTGCTTCGTCCCGATCCTTCCTTTCCAATATTCAGAACGATTTCAGCACGGGTTTCAGAACGCCATCAAGCAATGGATTTACCGTCAGATGGTTAGCATGCGGCGGAGGCGGAGTCGTGTGCGTTATCTTCTATCCGGCTGGAGCTAGCTCAATTTGAAACAAAAACATCCTAGTCGTATCTGTCTCTGGGAGGTTGATGTCAATATGTTGCTCCGGAAGCATGTAAAAAGGCGTGGGTGCGATTGCGGAGCATTCGAGAATGGAGACCCACAGATCGGAGCGCCGAGTATATCGACGTAAACTTGCCTTCACCATGTACACCACGTTTGAGCAAGTTCTGAGTCCCGGTACCACGTAAAAGGTTAGCTGGTCAGGGTCTGCCCACATGCTGTGATTGCTATCAGCCAAATGAGAATTTTTGATCCTAAAACGAGGTGTAGGTCACCCAGTAGGTGTGATTGCAAAGCTTTCTAAGCGGAACGCTGATCATCGACGTAAATTTGCCTCGACCACGCAAACAAGGTATGCCATGTTTGAGCAGGTTCTTGATGCCACAAAAGGTTAGGTGGGTAAGGGTCCACCCACATGCTGTTAGTTGACGAGAGCTTTGATGACGGCTTCCTACAGTCTACAGAAGCAAGAAGCCTCGAGGAATACTCGCGGATGACCAAAAAGAGGTGGCAATGTAAGAACAAGGTACGTCCTTGTCCTTCGCGGGTTGTGATGACTACAAAGACGCCCGCTGGCTTAAAGTTAACATCTGATCAGTTGCTCGCGGAGGGCAAGCGAGGTTAGTCGCCCACGACATCAAGGGAGTTTCCTAAACGGACTACAAACGATTGACCAAAAAGGCGTCAAAGAGAGTAGATAGCTCTAAACAAATTTCGAACATATCCCTTGTTCTGAAAATAGTGGAGACTAGTACTCGGGATATAAAGCATTTTGACAATGTCATCTTTTTTTCGCTGTCTCCAACTCCCAAAGTGATTTGATATCACAAAACCGCTACTATCACGACCTTCTACTACTTCATTTTATATTTCCCAGCTCCATACACTAGCCACGATGTATCAAGTCCGTGCTGCACACCCCATCCAGACAAAAGCCATCTGGGATTACGAAGAATCAGCTACACCCACCATGGCTTCTTTCCCTGCACAACAGTCTTATCCTTCTAATGTCCAGCTTCCTCGCAAGCTGCAACGTCCATCATATGCTGAGGTTCCTAGACAAAATATTGCTGCTATCGCACCTGAACTCTCAGAAGTACCCATGGACTACGTCCGTCGCGGTCTGAAGCTGCAAGCAAACCAGTGAGTATCATGTCAAATCGCTAGGTTAACCTGATCTAACATATCATCTAGGATGTTGGCTGGTATCGCAGCACTTTCACCATCTCACTTGCCTCCGAGCATGCCTCGCTCGCAGTTGCACCACTCCCCTAGTCTAACCATTCCAATTCGGGCATCTGGCTTCTCCTCTTCCTACCCCACACACATACTTGCACTCTCCAGATCATCCAGCTCTTCCGATCCGTATGTGACCCTCGTGGCCACCCATTCGCTTATTCTCGCATCTAATTGCGCTTCCCTCCCCCGCCTCCCCCCATCAGCTTCATCTCATGGCGCTACTGTTAGCGTCACTCTTCCAGTACTTCCTCTCACTATACCCGCCCCGGCAGCATTCAGCCCCTTGCACACTTTCCTCTACACTCATTCAGCACCTCAACTCCTCTCCGCACTCCTTCCGGCTGTCCCGGGCTCTTTCTTGTCTACCCTTACGTCACCACAAGCACTCCGAGGCACACTTGCCTCCGGGCCTGCACTCCACACGCTTTCCGCGCACCTGATGTCATCTGCCCCTGGTATGAGTGCACTTACCAACGTCGCCCAGAACATCGCGGCTGTGTGGAGAAACGCAGTTGCACTAGGCGTGCATGATCCCGAACTCTGGGACTGCCTTGACCTGGCATGGGAGGTCATATTGGGTGCTATGAACCTCGGTGCCGGAGCGCGCTAATACCATAAAACACTAATAGGGGGCACCCGCGCTGGCGCACCAGCCATCCAAAATCTGTATCTGTCTCGTAACCACCACTGTATCCCTGGATTTCTCCTACATCTCAGATCTCATTCACCGCACATATCTCATCAGACCATGCCCTTGTATCCCTTACTATTTCCCTTGTTTTTTTTCCGTCTCTTTCACTTATCGTCGACATCTCTATGACTACCGTGGAAAGCTGAGATACCAAGTAATTTACGATTGGTAGTAATGGTTCAGAGACCTTGTATCTACTATATAACAGAACGATCAAAATGCCTTGTATAACTTCAATCATGTGCCCCTAAGTTTCATTTTAGCTGTCTCGTCCTGGCAAAAGACGCCTTCCGTAAGGAATTCGAAGGCGCTAACTCTCGAGTTCATTCACAAGACTTAAACGATGAAGTTGAACTGCCGTGGCGGTACTTCTCAATCAATTGAGCTTCGTGCACGATGATACTTACAGCATCTACTCCAAGAGCTTGATTATTATGGGCGCTTCGCAGTCTCGAAATTAACATTGGTCAGTGGTCCCCTTACTGGCTATGAGATCGGGATTCATCACCCGCGAGATAACTTATCTACCTCGCCAAACACCGAGATGAAGACCCTACATAGTCGTACTCGGCCATTGTATTACTATTAATTAGTATCACTGACGCAGAGGACCGACTTCGGAAGATCGAGGTCCTTTTATAAGAGGTATGCCATGGACCGCCATGGATAGTCCCCCTTGTCCATTGCCGCCGCAGGTGACCAGACAGAGGTCGAAGGATTTTCAACACTCGTGGCTAACATACTGCACGTACCATATGTGTAACATCGGGCTCGGCCCAATAAATGGATCTTTGTTCTTTTTTTTTTTTGAAAAAAAGAATGGCGACACGACGAAGACTTGTGCCTCAGCCAACTTTGCACTCGAGAGTCGACAGTTGTGCTTATCGCGTCAGTAAAGTTGGGTTTGAAGTTTGACATTTGAGGGTTTAGAGCGTCAAGAAAGACAAACGACAATGTTACCCTACAAGGAACGACTATCTTCATTCTATTGGGTCTGGCTAGGGGAGACCAATTTACCCCCAGGGAAAGAGAAATACACGACAGTGAATAGCTGAACACACTGCGCACACCAGAGAAATATACGAGGCCGAAATTGTAATGGGACACTGCGATTTCTAGAGTCAAGCTTTCTCACGCAACCTCGGGATCCTTCTGCATCATACGCCTGAGCGCCGATTCCGGAACCCTGCTCTCAAACTGAACAGTGCATGGTTGGATATCTGGCACCACCCCGATCATATATCCCATGTCATCCGCCGGCTTCGTAGGATCCAGAGTCATCCGGAAGGCCCAAAGGACAAGGAGCGAGTGTATGAACACGGATCTGTACCAATCGAAATGAGCTCGAAAGATCATATGCGTGGAAGGATATCTTTACCTGGGTACGAGGTGTTGGGCGGGGCATACCCTAGAAACACGGACGGTCAAAGACGAGATATTTTGAGAGACGAAGCTTACCGCCGACCAAACCCGAAGGTATAGAATTTGTGGTCCTTCCTCAGGCCACCTTGGTCGTTCAGCCAGCGCTCAGGTTTGAATGCGTGAGGGTCAGGGAAGACGTCTGGATCTCGAGAGATGGCCCTGAGCAGTACCGATTAGAGCCTTCGTACTTTCGGAAGATGATGCTTACCAATGGTTGCCGAACACCGTAGTCCCGGCAGGAATGCAATAATTTTCCTGTCGTGGATGTTAGAATATCATTAGTGCGATAAATTGTTCAAAGATTACTTGCCCAAATCACGTCTTTAGTCGTTTGATGAGCCAGCCCTACAGTGTGAACCTTGTAAACTGCAGGTACAAAACAGACATGAAAATACCCACCTTCAGCAGCAGACGGTCTCCATCTTTGACACTCAGCGATGAAAGCGCGCAGAAGGGGAAGGGAATTTTCGTCAGCGAAGGTGGGTACTGTGGTGGAGACATCATTAACTCGACAAGACTGCGATAGGAATGAAGCTACCTCGGTTCCTTCCGATGACCGCATCAAACTCGGCCTGGACTTTAGCTTGCTCCTCGGGGAAAAGCGCGGCTACCATGAGCACCGTGCATAACGCCGCAGCAGTCTGGCACATAATATCAACAACAGGTCTTGGGAAACAACTTAGTAAGAAGACGCCTCACCGTGTTGGATGCTAGCAACAAGCTCCCAACGAGCCAAGCCCTCTCAAGCTCAGTAAAGGGATAACTATGCTCAGTTTCGAGCATGTATTTCGCGAACGAAGGGCCGATGTCTTCATTCCTCTGCTGTGGAACGGGGTCAGGCATCATGGAAAGAATGACAAGGCGATAAGTACTAGTTGATGTTTCACGCGATTGAGCTGAGCGGTGTAGATCTTCCTGCCCCTCTCAAATCCCTCTCTTAAATCTTTGCCATACCAAGGAATGTATCTGAGCCACGGAATCGAGTCCACCAGGTAAGCACCAGGGCGCTGGGATTTACCCAATTCCTCTATGCGCTGGCGAGCATCTTTGAGTTCGAGATCACCAGCAAACGTACGCGTGTTCTTCCCGTATGCAACTTTCATGATCACCGATGAGACAAAACTTCAGAATCCCTGTAAGTGGCGTGTTATCACAACCCGCTGGGCAAGCGCTTACGTTAACGTGTGGTTCTGGAAGTTGGATGGATCATCGATGATGTCCATGACCATGTCTTTTGCGTACGATAACTGTATGAGCTCATGCTGCTCGAGTGATCTCGGTCCGAGATGCAAATGAAGTGCTCTGTACCACATTGCAAAGGTAAGATAGGAGTTATTTCGCAGTGCCCAGACTACGAACCTACGCATATGATGCAACCTTTCCCCAGCGTGTGAAAAGGCGATGGACTGTCCGCCGCTAAGCATTTCTGAAGTAGAATACATAGAAGGACGATCAGATGTCGCCCCGCCCTGCTTCTCCAAGATATCTATCGCGGCCTGCAACAAAATATCAAGTCTGGGTATGAAAACTCAGCTGGAGAGACTGACTTTTTGGCGGCCGATAATCACGATTCTCCGGGTTCCTGAGCGAAAACTGATCACGGGCCCAAGCTCTTCAATCCATTTCTCTACAGTAAGATATGACCTAATGAGCGATGTAACATAATTAACATTAGAGAAACGAATATGTCAAATGTGAAATCATACCTGTGATAGGGTAGTACGTGCCCCCAAAGCCCCCAAGTGGTAGGGGAAGGTGGGAGGGGATATTTACTTCCTGATGTAAGGTAACCGCGAATGGCGGCTCCTACCCCAAAACAAGCTGCAAACGCAAGGACGAGCTTCGTGTTTTCTAAAACGTGCAGGTCAGGTACCTGTAACATGGCTGATGAGTGGAGCGTAAAGAAGGATTAAAGAGAGTTCATTGACAGGGAAATCAAGTTATGAATGGGCTTTTGCGTGGCGGTCACTATACCCAATGGAGTTCAACACTGCTGGCCTGAGCCTTGAGACCTCTGATTGCGAGTCATAGAGGTTGATCATACCTAGAGTACTTGATGTGGCAGGGTTGCACCAAGATAATGGCACAATATGATAGCACGTCCCGCGATTGTCAGGTCCCGGTTCGAGACTACCAAAGGGATGTAACAAGCATGACATGATGGGCGACACGGTGGTGTAAGTAACAGCTGTAAGATATATACGCGAGAAGTAACTGTGTGTCACGTGACGGCTAATCTAATCGGAAGTCATTCCATTATGTAATGTTCTCGAGTCTTGATGTGCCCTCCCTTGGTACAAATGACTCAGCCAATGATCGACTTGCGGACCACACCGTACGGGGGGCGTTCTATCTTTGCTATACAACCCATTGCCCAAGGGATCCACATTTTAGCATGTGAAACTCCTTTTGCGCATGTGATCTACAAAGACTATCGCAGGGAGGTCTGTGCCCAGTGTTTCGCTTATGCAGCAAGCGCTTCTCGAAATATCGGCGATCCACGGACTTGGAGTATCAGAAGTTGTAGGGCAGCTTCAGAGTCTGTCTGGTTCTGTACAGATGAATGCAAGATCGCATGGGAAAGTGGCATGATAGGCCCCTTGATAGCAGATACGAATGCTCTTCTTGCGAAGGCACAGATAGCCACTCGGAAAAAAGTCAAAGGCAGACGTCTTTGCCACGATTCTCCTGACCCGATATTGCCAAATGGTCCCACAGCCACTCTACAAATCACGCAAGACCACATCGACGAAGCATGGACGCATGCCGAGGATCTGGCGTCCTCCCCTGCTCGTCTTTCTTCCTACTGCTCTGCAATGGATTTGGAAGACATGGAACTTGAAACCTCGCGTTCAGTTGCCTCAGCTATTGTTCAGCGATATGTATTCGATTGCCGTCTTGCCGATCTCGCATTTTCTTCGAAAATCGCCACATCAGATCCGTGGACAGAAGTTCTTCGTCTCCAGAACAGCGAGCTATCGAACGTCCGCCTGCGGCCTTACATTCTCGTGGCACATCTACGTGTATACGCTTTTCTGTGTCATTCGCTCCCACAACATCTCAGACCGTATGTTCCTACGATACGAAATCTCCTTGCGCGTGACACGGGGAATGCTTTCGGCATTTGGGATGGAGACAGCAGAGATGAAATGCTCGGGTGGGGTGTTTGGGTGGGCGCAAGTTATTTTAATCACAGTAAGAACCCATTTCCTTGGTAAACATACCTTCTTACTCAACACGCCGGCCCATGAAGGTTGTTGTCCAAATGTCAAGAAGACTCGCGTCGGACGTACCATGCAGTTCACAACCTCTCGCTCAGTCGAAACCGGGGAAGAGCTATGCATTAGCTACATTGATATCAATCAAACCATTACGCAGCGCAGACAGGAACTAGAAGACAGCTGGTTCTTCACGTGTCAGTGTCAGCGTTGTCAATCAGAAGATGCTGATGAGGCATGCTTACATTGATGTGCTTGGAACTTCTCCCGTGTGTAATTTCATACATAACTCGGCTTACACCCTTTGTAGGGCTGCTAGAGATGAATCCACCCCCACATAAACAAAGCGTTATTGGCCCACGTATGAAGATCCAAATACGTTAAGAAGAAGCGGAGCTTCTTCAGTCGCAACGGCATTGACTTTTAGCGAACTACGCACACGCACACACGCGGTACAACATATCATCCTGTGTTCCGTGTCGTCGGATGATATATTGGTGTTTGGTCGTTTTGATTTCATCTCGAGGTCGCGTCGGGCCTTCGAATGTCTGCTGCTAGCACCCGCATCATGGCCGATCAAAGCAAACTCGATGTGTTGTCTTGTTGCAACATGCGCGTACTTATTATGCAGTCTGACCAGTGGTCAGTGACTAGCACTGATCATTGAATCGTGCCATCATGTGTCATGACGGAACCGAACAAAGCTAAGCTGAGGTGGATTTGGGCCCCAGCTCAAGTGACCAGATACACATTTCCCCCATAATAATTTGATTATGAAAAGTGAACTTCGCCGAAGTAATTAGTATTTTGGCCTTGTGGCTGAGTGTGCTGCTAGGCTGCTACGTGATCTCACCTATCATTTTAACCACGAAAATTGCCCATATGTAGCTGCCTACCTGCAACGTTGTTCAAACTTCAGGGCATCATGTATAGTCAACGAGCATGCGCACGCTATACTTAGTCTTGACTCTAGATTTCTTTTGCACCCGATTCTAGTTCCGTAGCGATAGCTAGTTTCATCTGGGCCGTATTTGGACTTGCGTAAGAGAGCAGGCTCTACTCCACTCCTGACGACTACTCTCATGACACTGGCGGAAAACAACGGTTCTCCCGCATGTATGAAGGGAAAAGGAAAAGCTAGGCATTCTGAACCTTCAGAACAAACACCCCTGCTACTACACCACGATGATGTCGCTCCTAGTCAACCACGTGCTACTGACGATGAAGATGCCGACCTTGAAAGCAGCTCGGATGCTCGCCAAAGGCTTTGGTCCAAGCTCACATTTGTTTTCCTGGCATCTCTTTCTTTCTGCATTATAATATTTCTTCTACTTGCTCTGTTGGCATACTCCTATGCTGCAAGGTTGTCAGACGTATCCCCAGAAGACATCCTAGAGAATGCGCTGGTGATCCAAGGGCCATACCGGGTGAGCGTACTCAATGTCACAGCAGACGGCGGGGCATGGATACGAGTACAAGCGAGAATTGGAATCGATGCGGGATCAATTCTGGGAGTCAATACGGATGATGACGAGGGAACATTCTACGACATGTGGAAGTCATTCGGTCGCTGGGGCGTCAAGTTTCTAGATAGAGTCACAGTGGATGTCTCTACCGCTCAAATCTTCTCTCAGCGACAGGCACTCCTAGCCACGGTCGATTGCCCGCCATTTGAACTTCCTCTCACCGCCAATCCCCCGTATGATGATTCGTGGTTATCCCCCATGTCTTTAACTCTTTTTGCCATCCCCACCCGGAACGCGTCCGATATAAACCAGTTCGTACAGGACTCCTGGCATTCCGCTGCCGCGTCTATACACGCTTTTATTCCTAACGTGGTCGTCTCAGGGGGCTCAACGAACAAAGGCGGTTGGAGGCAAATGCTAAGGCTCCAGAGATCAGGTGTACAAACTACATTGTCCATGAAGCGTGAGTATAGCTCTTTATCTGTTCATTTGTTAAGAGTGCTACAGCAATACCGACAGTTCCGCCGATCCCTGGCTTGCCCACACCGGGCGAGGGTGTACCACTACCACCCGTGTCACAGCTGATCACGTTGCAGTCTTTTGGCCTGGAGTCTGAAGATGAAGATGTGACTGTACATGCCCTCGCAACTGTCATCAACCCCGTGCCATCTATAATGAACCTAACTGTGCCCTCTCTACCGTTTATAATCTCGCTCCCGGGCGAAAACCATTCATCAGTACCCGTTGTATCGGTCCACACCGACCCGTTCACGCTGACCCACCCCAACATTACGCTCGCTATCTCCGGAAGCGTTCTTCCACTCCCCCCTCACCCTTCTGCATCTATTTCTGCTTTCATTAGTAAATATCTCTCTCTCGAACCTAGCCCCATATCTGTCGTATGTCCACTATTCACATTTTTTGAGGTGGATACGGAATTTCCGGCCCCCATTTCCAAACCACAAATACTGCGCAATGTAACAATTCACGACATGAAGATCAAACCCACATCTATTGGCAGCGGTTTCCTTGCTAGCGGTACGGTGTTCGCTCGCATAGTACTTCCCAAAGGAATGGATCTCACACTGGATGTTACCCGCGTATTTCCTGATGTCCTGGTCTTCGACGGGGAAGTCCACGAGCTGCCTCCCCTTCTCTCACCTCAACAGAAACTAGCAAAAGAATTACCGGACCCACTTCCAGAACGCGCCTTTGGTCGTATACGACCTGAAGATTGGTTAGAGGCAACAAGCATTCAAGTCGATGCTGAAGAAGAAGGTTCCATATTCGCAGTCACCGCAGATATGGTCGATGTACCGTTGGAGGTACTCCCTGGTCGGCAGAAGCACTTCAGCAATTTCATCAGCAAGGTTTGTGTCATTCTGTCATTCTTTGTATGACCTTGTTCACGTAGAATTGGTTGCAGGTCATATTTGGCGCCCATGGTGCATTGGCTGGTTTGCAGGGAGCTACTGATGTCGGAGTGCACATCCTTGGATTACCGTTCCGTGATCATGAGGATGCGACCACAGGAATGGACCTTTTGGATCTGCCCTTCCAGGGGAGCGTCCGCATTGCAATGAAAGATTTGCTTGTACAACGGCTCGCTTGATCTTCTCGTGAAAGAACCATCTGTAATTTATCATGATACATAGGTCTACTTGTTGATAAACTCATTCCAAGTCATTGTTACATAGATTAGCACTTCACTTTACTATTCATCTTGCAACTTCGTACATATCGTCTGATTCACTACTTGTTTTATGTATTGTCCTCGTGAGCTTACGATGTAATCGTGGAATGAAAGGGTCCACTCCCTAATGGAGGGTTCGATATAGGTGGTTTCATAGAACAGCTTTAGGACTTCCGCGGCCTTCACCTCAATAAGATTCCCGTACTTGTGTTGTTTTACTGGTAGACGTATACTGTTGGCATTGAACGTTACCGCGCTTCCGTAGCAGCTTGGGCGATGTCCTCACGTCAATACTCGCTAGCACTCTCGCACTGGACCTGCATTGTATATATCATCAATATTCTCGCTGAGGTGGAAAGGTATGTATCAGCGGTCTCGCCGACGGCGTCGTAGTCATGCTTGTTCACCAGCATATCTTCGGGTAGCTCAAAGCTACGAGCAATAAGCCTGAGAGAAAATATGTTATCAGATCTATAAACATCCTGAACACACCAGGATATGTGGATAGGATGTAGCATGTTGAAGTGGTCATGTTTGCTGAACTCCTGGATCTCTGGGAGAATAGGACGGAGAGCTTCTGGATGTCCTTGCTTGGTGACATCGCGATTAGCTAGAATAATGTCAGACGAGTCAATGGAAAATGAACGCAGTCTGCTCACTGTGATATTGTTTAAACTAGTCACGTACTCCACCATCGACATCCTGAGTTCATTTATTTTGCGCGAATAGAACACTCGTGTGTTGTGCAAGACACAACTGCGACATGCCTGTATATCCGTGGAGTTGCCCAGTTACTTTTCTTGTTGAAAGATAAGCTTGCCGCTCGCCATCACCGACGAGAAGGATACGTCCGCAATGTCAAACATGCGAGTTGTGTAGGTCGAGATGTGATATATATGAAACTGCACGATATGAGAGATTTGCCTCACTTGGGCTTGCGAGTACCCACGATTGACGACATAGAAGAATACGTGGTTGAGGAGGGCTTCTCCAATTTAATTGTGAGGGCCGCGCGACCTTCTTCAGTAGCGGCTTTCGAAATGTCCATGATCGCAAGGTCGGCATACTCCACTATCAACGCACATGTCTGTGGTGTTCTGTATTGAGTAGACTCTGCACAGACAATTTTCCTCCGTAGGAGGTGCTGCAACGTAATGCGGCACATAGGACGAGGTAAGGTTGGGCATTGTAATCAAGCCCACTAAGGAACAGAAATCACTGCAACATGTCCTTACATCGGGGGCTCATGATCACATACCTAATGAAGGCAAGTCGCTACCAGTACACTTCCTCTATGTTCGCCGATCCATCGGAAAACTTAATCGCACTATTCTATTGCGCCGGTCTTGACTGGTACGCATCCGCGTGGAAACCTTATTAGCTTCGAAACATCACGTGGGCCTCTATGATGGAGTCAGTGCTAGTGAAAATCGAGGTCATGTAGAGATTCGTGAGCTGCTGAACACTTCTTCGGAAGGCAGACCCAAACGCTATTTAAAATAGACATACCTCTTCACAATGGGCTTGCTTCCACAGAATCAATCCGCCGATGCCACGTACAGCCTCCACCTCATTTTATCCTACATGTTCAGATAGCAAAGTTAGATCATGCCCAGGCGCATGCAGCCACGTTATCACCTGGGATCGTATAACTCGATAGATACCGTAAGAACTTCCTGTGAAGAATAAGGTCGGGATCACCAAAATTAGGGTGAGGTAGAAAGATCGCATCATGATTCATGGCAGGTAAGACACGAGAGCATTACCAACAATACGCTCGAGGTAGAGCGTCGTGAAGTTCGACGGTGACTAGTTCCGGGCCTCTGAGCTGGCATGCCAAATTTTCTCTTATCTTCAGTGTTGCCAACCTTCCTTTGATTGGGTCTGCAAGACAACAACGGGTTGACTCCAAAGCAGAGTCACTAGTAGCATTTCTGACGAGTGTGCATAAGCGAGGCAACGACGGGCGAAAACTAGAGCGACCTTTGTCTTCAAGATCTTCTGTCAGACCGATCGATGGAAGCTGAACACAAAATATCAAAACTTACGGTCATGTATCTGATAAATCTTAGAAAATGTAGACTGGCCGCTGAGATGCTCCGAATCTGCCTTCATTCAAAATGGTATAAGAGGCCACGACGACGCTGGCGCGCCGCACGTTGCGCAGAGGAATGTAGAATACACCGTTCCCGGAACGTACATCCCGTTTAATTAAAAGAAAAGATACATCATTACGAACGACACAAAGCGCTCAAGCCTTGGCAGTGACACCCCCAGCAAGCTTCTTCTGGAGCTTAGCCTGCACGAACAAATTAGCTTCGATAAATGAATTCCTAAAACATCACTTACATTCACAGCATCCATGTACTTGTCGGTGACAACCCAATGTTCTCTCTTCATATCCTTGCCGTGGATAGCAAGAGCAAGATCCTTAGTCATGATCCCATCCTTATCAATCGTCTCCACACACGCAGCCTCGAGATCCAAGCAGAACTTCTTGAGTTCTTCATTGCCATCCAGCTTAGCACGGTGGAGAAGTCCGCGGGTCCATGCAAAGATCGATGCCACGGGGTTGGTCGACGTCTCATTGCCCTTCTGATACTCACGGTAGTGCCGGGTGACGGTACCGTGGGCAGCCTCACTTTCGATGACCTGGCCGTCGGGGGTAATCAATTCCGAGGTCATCATGCCCAAGGAACCAAAGCCCTGAGCGAGGATGTCACTCTGCACATCACCGTCGTAGTTCTTGCATGCCCAGACGAAGCCGCCGGAGGACTTGATTGCTTGCGCGACCATATCGTCAATAAGACGGTGCTCGTAGTAAATACCGACCTTCTCAAAAGCGGCCTTGTACTGCGAGTCATAGATCTCTTGGAAGATGTCCTTGAAGCGACCATCATATTTCTTCAAAATGGTATTCTTCGTTGACATGAACTAGACGAAGTGACGTCAACAGACTGTGACCGGATGGGATGAGTCGGACGTACCAAAGGCATCTTCTTGGAGAGAGCCATCTTAAATGATGAGTGTGCAAACCCAGTTATTGACTAAGAATGCAGGTAGTCAATGTCTTGCCGTCGAGACGAAGAGCCGCTGAATTTACCTCATCAGTGTTGTACATGCTCATGGCGACACCCCTTCCCTTGAAGTCATAAACATCCATGACAGTCTTCGCCCCTCCATCAGCAGGGCTGTATACGAGCTGGAGCTTCCCTGGCCCCGGTGCTATGAAGTCCGTGGAACGATACTACACCCACATAAACATGTGTGTCATACATGTTAGACAATTTCATACCTGGTCACCGACTATACTATTGTCAGGCTCCGAAATACCGAGATAACAAGTGGAATAACGAACATGCATGACGGCCAATCACGATTGGCTTCACCCATCCTGGAATTGGCTTGGGAATACGGTCCAAAATGATGGGCTCGCGGAACACAGTTCCGCCGAGGATGTTACGGATCTAGTATGTCATCTGTTTGAGAAGTTGGCGACGATTACTATCGGATACAACACTCACCGTGCCGTTCGGGCTCTTCCACATCTCCTTGAGCTTGAACTCCTCTACGCGAGCCTCGTCTGGCGTGATCGTTGCACACTTGATGCCGACTTTGTGCTCGAGGATGGCATTGGCGGCTTCCACGGTTACCAGGTCGTTGGTCTTTCGTAGTATGAATATGCAAATTGAGGTGAACTGATACAATAGGAGCATACCTGATCACGGTACTCGAGGCCAAGGTCGTAGTACTTGATGTCCAGTTGTAAGTAAGGAAGGATAAGCTTGAAGTAGCAAGGGCGTCTGAGCTAGAGGGTAGCACTAAATTGAAAACACGCGCACCTCTTCACGGATCTTTTTCCAGATAATCCTAGTCATTTCATCTCCATCAAGCTCCACGACGGGTTTCGCCACCACGATCTTCTTTCCATTTTCTGTCAGAGTCGATCAGCGCCTTGTTCAGATAGTCACATATAGAATGAAAGGAGACACAGTATGTCTACCGCAAAGGCACAGCCAGTCGAGCTACCTCGACCACTGTGCTATACTGTATGTTGGAACTACTACTCACGTAAACTCATCGAATTCGCAAAGCCTCGTACCAGCGGTCTGCTCTGCGGACCCAACGAGCGTCTAACGGTGGTAAAGAGCGTAGCTCCTTGCACTGGCATATTTGTTAGTAAAACAAGAAAAGTGCGTGGTAGAATCAAAACAGATGCTGGCAGCCTTTTGTAAGCGTGTGCTCAGGCTTGAAATAACAAATGAAGAACACGACGCGCGCGTGGGATGTATGGGCACTGCTGACGATGCCTGCTGCTGGGGAAAATCGATGCTCCGTACCTTCAATCTTAGAGGAAAAGCTTAAGTCTTGCTTAGGCTGGGTATGGAATGGCGGCGGCCCGTCACGAGAACCGGCTGATCAGGACCGTTTTTGAAGGTCCATGCCAGCACATGCTTGTGATAATCATGAGGTCCGACATAGGCCGACATATACTAGAGGTATCTGCAGGTACGACAGCGCAAAGTGTTTATGACGGCCGCAGATCGTAACAGGTACTTATATACCGACAAAAGTGCCGCAGAGCGGCAGAGCCTACTCGCTTGCAATAGAAATTTATGGCACGATATCGATATCTTCTCACTGATGCCATAAATCTGTTCTGAATCTCAATCAAATGTGGGTTTTCCATTACAGTATCGACTCCAGTCATGAGTTTGCCGGGACTAGCTCGACGATGCGCTCGACGAGACTCCTCATCACCTCTGCCTTTGTCTCCCAGTTTCCAGGACTTCTTCGTGCGACGCCGTCCCAATGGAAGGAAGTTCGACGTGCTGACCAGCAAGCTACAGAGGCCACAGACGGAGCAATCAGTATGGTAGACATTTGTTTTACCTGATCACGCACCTCAGCTTCAACTTCCGCCTTGATACTCCGGTAGGTATCGGGAATGACAACCTGGTTGGTAACGAGGCTGAGCACCATGACCTCGAGCCGCTCTTCTCGCGCAGCCACTACTTCGGGTATCGTGCTCATACCGACTACGTGCGCACCTGCATTGCGCAGGAAACGGCCCTCGGCAGGGGTTTCATATGCAGGACCCGCTACCCAGGCATAGGTTCCTTCTGCCAGTGCAGAAGAGTCAAAGTTAAGATAGTGGGAGGCGAGGAAGGCAAGGCGTCGTAGACGAGGGGAGTATGCGTCACCCAGAGGAATAAATCGGGCATATTCTGGGGACATGAGTGGTCCGAACGAGGGGTTCATTCCTGTGAGGTTGGGGAGGGCGAGGTGGTCGCGGATAACGACAACTGTAACATCGCTCAGCTTTGATCGTGGTATGAATGAGAGACCATACTTGTTCCAACGGGTATCTCTGGTGTTAATGACCCGGCAGCGTTTGTTACTGTATTTTACTCGAGGATCAGACGTTGTTCTGTGAGTCAGAAGTGCACTTACTGATGACATCCATGACGCCCAATCTCTTCATGACTCTGATACCATATGTCACGACTACCGGCTTGTGGCCCTCATACGGGTGGAACTGTTATTATTTATTTTTCAATAAACTCCCCGATGAACTGGAGTTCCACACTACTCGCCCGCCCAAGCATCGCGACGACAGGCACATTATCCTTGCCCATCAGTCCGAATGCTAGCATGCTCTTTTGGCCAACAACTTGGTAGATGATCTTCCTGAGCTCAATGACACTTGATCGTCCTTATCGGTACATACCTGTGCTTTCCCCGAAACCCTCGAGCTGCGAGTACGGAACCTGCACTACATCCTTCAAGCTCGAGACAAGGGTGCTGAGACCAGATCCACACACGATCCCGATGCGTGGCTTCGACAATCGAGGATCAGTAACCAAACGCGAGATGGTTGCGAGAGTTTGCTCGAAGGGGAGTGCTGGTGGAGACATGGTAGGGTTAGATAAAGAGACTGGAACACCTCGGTTCGAGTAGCGCAGAGCGTGACTCGTGTCATACCATACTGGTGAATTCTGGAAGTTCAAGTACTTGCTTCTAGTCTCCTCTACCTATATAGACGAAGGAAGATAGTCGTCCCTTCTAATAAAAGACTTGTTTTCAGCGTTTGGACATAAAGAGGATGACTAGCCGCAGAAAACCCTTATGATGGATGCCGGCATACTTGAAAGCAGGCGCGGCTGAATCAATACAAGCCAGGCTTGGTTTCAACTTGGTCTGCTATGCACTTCACGACTTTACGACCGACCATGAACAAGCTCAGAAAGCCCAAGCCCCCCGCTACGATATCTAGCCAATCTACCAAAACAGCTGGTTCTAACGGTTCTAACCCCTGTTTTGTTTCTGTCCCAAGCAACCCTCCAGTGTCGAGAACGATGCAAATCGCGAGCGCCTCACTTGCTGTGGAAAGAACCTCCGCACACAACGGTACGCTGGAATATGCTAAGACGACATGGTTATCTGCGCCTGCTGCTGCTAAGCCTCGCACACATGTCGAGCAGTACTGGGCTGCACGTGCACTGGTTGCTGAAACGGTGCTGACAACACGTGTTCAACATCAGAAGGAGATGGCAGAAGTGAGGTTGGGGGAGGAGGAGAAGCGTACGGCGAGTATTTGGTTTGCCTAATGTGATTGTCTCGGTGATTAACTGTGATCTCGAACGTAGAACCAGATTGCGGCTCTCGTGCGGGCGAACGAACAGCGTCAGAGCAGGCTCGAGAAGTTTGTCGTGCGTTGAATTCAAACCAAGTTGTTCCTGCAGCTCACGCTATTCATTCAGGTTGTCCTTGTAGCATGTTTTATGCTTCTCTTCCTTGTGCTATTATATATGCTGGTGCTGCACGATTCTCCGAAATCGAAGGGTGCCTCGCACTTCACGATCCCGATCCTGTCCCCGTTTACCTCAGTGGTAAGCTTCGCTATTCGCCGTTCTAGACTTGGGATCATTTCAAATACAACCAGGTCGAACACGAAATAGGAGCTATCAGTGCGAGATCCGTGTCAGTCTTTATCGTCGTACTGGGTGTCCTATCATATGCCATCTTCCGACATTGGTTTTCAAAACATAGAAAAGTGGGGTGGTAATTCATGGTAGTCATGAGGACGGTGGCTTCTCCAGTGGGATTGTGGCTGGTGGGTGCCAAGACCACGTGGTTGCGATACTCGTCCGAATTGGGTCCGGACTCCGCAGCGAGACGCGTTTCTTGTGCTCGCCAGTTGGTGTGTAGCATCTCTTGCCTTGGGATTTTAAGCCAGTTGTTGTTATTTTTATGTATTATATTTTACCATAGTAGCAACAGTTATATTAGACTGGAGGTTGACACTGGATTTTAAGATGAACCGAATTGAGTTGGTTCGGATCGTCGTGGTGTGGGAAACAGGGAGCCGTTCACAGGACGGGCTGGAACTTGGTACCAAAAGGTTACATCTTGCTCAGCCTTCTTCACGCACCACCATTCGTTTGCTCTGTCCTGACCACGACTCTTAACTTCCTGCTGACCTGTTAATTCAGGAAAACAGAGGTCAAAATGTATCCTCAGTCTTCCTCGCCAACAGCAGATCATGCAGATCCTTTCACTGTAACAGGCGGTCCACGCAGATACCTCTACAGCGACAACGACTCTGACAACGTAGACCCCTACGGACGCAGAGACACTTATGCTTCAGACAGCAGCAACAACGGCCTCAACGATACCGAGCGATACTATGATCACAACGGCAACTACGACCCATACGGTGTGTGCGCCGTTCTACTGTACCATTCACATACTCACACTTGTGTGACTTTCCAGCACAACCTGACACAGACTCGGACGTCGATATCTATGGCCAGCGTTACCCACCAGCATCTTCTGAATCACTAGGGCCTTCGAGAATGGGCATGTCAGATTCAACCGCAACCGCATGGGCGGAGTACGCAGGACCCCCAGGCGCGCGCGAAGCCTATCCCGCCTGGTCGGCCGAGCGCCAGATACCACTCTCCAAGGAGGAAATAGAAGATATCTTCCTAGACTTGACTCAGAAATTTGGGTTCCAGCGAGACTCCATGCGGAACATGGTAAAACTTTTATTTTATTAAAAATTATTGCGAATATTGACAACCACTCTAGTTTGACTTCTTGATGCAACTGCTGGACAGTCGGGCATCTCGCATGTCGCCCAATCAGGCGCTCCTCACCCTACATGCAGATTACATAGGCGGTGAGCATGCGAATTACCGTAAATGGTATTTTGCAGCCCAGCTCGATCTCGATGATGCCGTGGGCCACGTTCAAAATCCTGGTCTTCAGCGTCTCAACCGCAGGGCCGGCGCTCGCTCGTCCAATGAGAAATCCCTCGCAACGGCAATGGAGCGCTGGCGCCAGGCCATGAACAACATGAGCCAGTACGATCGCCTGCGCCAGATCGCGTTGTACCTTCTCTGCTGGGGTGAGGCGGCCCAAGTGCGCTTTGTTCCCGAGTGTCTGTGCTTCATCTTCAAGTGCGCTGACGATTATTATCGTTCGCCTGAGTGCCAGAACAAAGTGGACCCTGTACCTGAAGGTCTGTACCTGAGATCAGTTATCAAGCCCTTGTACCGCTTTATACGGGATCAAGGCTATGAGGTAGTTGACGGGAGATTCGTGAGGCGGGAGCGAGACCATGCAGACATTATTGGTTACGATGACGTCAACCAGCTCTTCTGGTACCCAGAGGGTATCGCTCGGATCATACTCACTGATAAGGTATGCTACTATCTGTGGCCCATAACCATATGCTAAACTGATAATTCAATCCAGACGAGACTCGTGGACCTTCCACCCCCACACAGGTTTATGAAGTTTGATCGCATCGATTGGAATCGTGCGTTCTTCAAGACCTACTATGAAAAACGCTCTTTTGGTCATCTCCTGGTCAACTTCAACCGCATATGGGTTATCCACATCTCCCTTTACTGGTTTTACACCGCATACAACTCCCCTAAGGTATACCAGATCTCACTCTCTGAAAATAAGGTCTACAACTCTCCGGCATTGTCATGGTCTGTCACCGCGCTCGGAGGTGCAGTTGCCACGATCGTCATGATCGCAGCGACGCTCGCTGAGTTTTCGTACATCCCAACTACCTGGAACAATACCTCCCATCTCTCCCGGCGCTTGCTATTTTTATTCATCACCCTCGCGCTGACATGCGGTCCAACGTTCTACATTGCCATTGCGGAAAACAGCTCTAATGGAACCACCAGTTCGCTTTCCCTCATCCTGGGTATCGTGCAGTTCTTCATCTCGGTCGTGGCTACGCTCCTCTTCGCGACCATGCCTTCTGGACGTATGTTTGGGGACAGAGTCGCCGGAAAGTCACGGAAATACCTTGCCAGTCAGACTTTCACTGCTTCATATCCTGGGCTTCATACGCAAGCACGCCTGGCCTCTATCGCGCTCTGGGCACTCGTCTTCGGTTGCAAAGCCACGGAATCATATTTCTTCCTCACGCTTTCATTCCGTGATCCCATTGCAGTCATGGTGGGGATGAAGATCCAGGGCTGTAGCGACAAGTACTTTGGCGACAGTCTATGCACTAACCAAGCTGCATTCACGCTGACCATCATGTACGTGATGGACCTGGTGCTGTTCTTCCTCGATACCTTCCTTTGGTATATCATCTGGAATACAGGTGTTCAGTATCGCTCGGTCGTTCATGCTTGGCTTGTCGATATGGACGCCTTGGAAGGATATCTACACTAGACTACCAAAACGGATCTACGCAAAGCTGCTTGCGACGAGGGATATGGAGGTCAAGTACAAGCCGAAGGTCAGGTTTTTGCTATTGTTACCTAAATGCGACTTAAAGATTTCCTCCACAGGTGTTGGTCTCGCAAATTTGGAACGCAATTATCATTTCCATGTACCGCGAGCACCTGCTTTCCATTGAGCACGTGCAGAAGCTGTTGTACCACCAGGTTGACTCAGGACATGATGGGAAACGCAGTCTCCGTGCACCACCGTTCTTCATTTCCCAGAGCGATAAGGGCTTCAAGGGCGAGTTCTTCCCTCCAGGCAGTGAGGCCGAGCGGCGTATCTCGTTCTTTGCACAGTCGCTCACGACGGCTGTTCCGGAGCCACTGCCTGTTGATGCCATGCCTACGTTTACAGTCTTGACGCCTCATTACAGTGAGAAGGTTTGTGGTTCATTTCTTTAAATCCGAAGTTATACCGAAAAAGCATTTATTAGATTCTGTTGTCGCTGAGGGAGATTATTCGGGAGGAAGATCAAAATACCCGCGTCACCCTCCTCGAGTACCTGAAACAGCTCCACCCCATTGAATGGGACAACTTCGTCAAGGATACCAAGATCTTGGCTGAGGAATCTGCCATGTTCAACGGCTCGACTCCTTTTGGCTCAGATGAAAAGGGTCAGTCAAAGATGGACGATCTGCCATTCTACTGCATCGGATTCAAAAGCGCTGCTCCCGAGTTCACCCTGCGGACCCGTATATGGGCTTCCCTGCGCGCGCAGACGCTCTATCGTACAGTCTCTGGTATGATGAACTACGCCAAGGCAATCAAGTTGCTCTACCGCGTAGAAAACCCCGAGGTCGTCCAGCAGTTCGGCGGCAACACAGACAAACTCGAGCGCGAGCTTGAACGCATGGCCCGGCGCAAGTTCAAGTTCGTCGTCTCCATGCAGCGCTACTCTAAATTCAACAAGGAGGAGCACGAGAACGCTGAGTTCTTGCTGCGTGCATACCCGGATCTTCAGATTGCATACCTTGATGAGGAGCCGCCGCGCAAGGAGGGTGGTGAACCACGGTTGTTCTCTGCGCTTATCGATGGCCACTCTGAATTCATTCCTGAGACTGGTCGTCGTCGTCCCAACTACCGCATTGAGCTCCCTGGTAACCCAATTCTGGGTGATGGCAAGTCGGACAACCAGAATCACGCGATCGTCTTCTACCGTGGCGAATACCTGCAACTCATTGACGCTAACCAGGATAACTATCTGGAGGAGTGTCTTAAGATTCGCAACATCCTGGGCGAGTTCGAGGAGTACTCAGTGTCCACGCAGAGCCCGTACGCACAATATGGTCACAAAGAGTTCAAGAATAGCCCTGTGGCCATCGTTGGCGCCCGCGAGTACATCTTCTCGGAGAACATTGGTATTCTTGGTGATCTCGCTGCTGGCAAGGAGCAGACGTTCGGTACGCTGTCCGCTCGTGCTTGGGCGTGGATCGGTGGAAAGCTTCACTATGGCCATCCTGACTTCCTGAACGCACTCTACATGAACACTCGCGGTGGCGTGTCGAAGGCACAGAAGGGTTTGCACCTTAACGAAGATATCTATGCTGGCATGAACGCTGTTGGCCGTGGTGGTCGTATCAAGCACACTGAGTACTACCAGTGTGGTAAAGGCCGTGACCTTGGTTTCGGTACCATCCTCAACTTCCAGACGAAGATCGGCACTGGTATGGGAGAGCAGATGCTCAGTCGGGAATACTATTACATGGGCACGCAGCTGCCTATCGACCGTTTCCTCACGTTCTACTATGGCCACCCCGGTTTCCACATCAACAATATGTTGGTCATTTTGGCCGTCCAGTGCTTTATTGTGACCAGTACGTCTCTTTCATGGCTATGCGCGAGTTGCAGTTAATCGTGTTATGCAGTGGTGTTCTTGGGAACTTTGAACTCTTCGATCTTGGTTTGTCAGTATTCTTCCTCTGGCACGGTCCTGCCTGGCTTCGATGGCTGCTACAACCTGACGCCCGTATTTGACTGGATCCACCGTTGCATCATCAGTATCTTCTTGGTGTTCATGATTGCCTTCCTGCCGCTGTTCATTCAAGGTATGCATGATCCACTCTTTAATCAAGTGCTATTTTGACGCCTTTACAGAACTGGTAGAACGTGGAACGGGCCGTGCCATTATTCGTCTCGGAAAACAGTTCATGTCCCTCTCCCCTGTCTTTGAGGTGTTCTCTACCCAAATCTATACGCACTCCATCCTCAGCAACTTGACCTTTGGTGGTGCCCGATATATCGCAACAGGACGTGGATTTGCAACTACCCGTATCTCATTCAGCATCCTCTTCTCTCGTTTCGCCGGACCAAGCATTTACTTAGGCATGAGGACCTTAGTCAGCCTCCTTTATGTCACAATGGCACTATGGACGCCATACTTGATTTACTTCTGGTTCTCAATTCTTGCTCTTTGCGTCGCTCCTTTCTTGTTCAACCCGCACCAGTTCGCTTTCGCGGACTTTGTGATCGACTATCGGTTAGTTGATTCCTTTGTTTTGTTTGCCTACTTGGCTAATGAGTGCACTGTAGGGAATTCTTGAGATGGATGTCTCGTGGAAACTCGCGCTCGCATAACAACTCTTGGATCGGTTACTGTCGGCTGTCTAGGACTATGATTACCGGTTACAAGAAGAAGAAGCTTGGTCTCCCTTCAGAGAAACTGTCGGGTGATGTTCCACGCGCCGGTTGGAGAGCGGTCGTGTTTTCAGAGGTCATCTTCCCCATAGTGATGGCAGTGCTGTTTATCATTGCCTACATATTCGTCAAGTCCTTCCCCGATTCGACAGGCAAGCTTCCACCAAATCCACTGATCCGAATCGCGATCATTTCCCTCGGTCCAATAGTATGGAATGCTGCAATCCTCCTTTTGCAGTTTATCATCTCTATATTCCTTGGACCCATGATGGACCCTACGTTCCCGAGATTCGGATCCGTCATGGCATCTACAACCCACGTACTCGGTTTCGTCGGCATGCTAGGCTTCTTTGAGTTCTTGGTGAGTGTATGCGCCATGTCTACCGTCTAGCAGTTCTAACTCAATCCACTTGAAGTGGTTCCTTGAGACGTGGAATGCATCCCATGCAGTCCTTGGCATCATCGCGGTCATTGCGATCCAGCGTGCCGTTCACAAGATTCTCATCGCTGTGTTTTTATCGCGTGAGTTCAAGCACGACGAGACGAACCGGGCATGGTGGACTGGACGTTGGTACGGACGTGGTCTTGGCTCCCATGTCATGTCACAACCCGCCCGTGAATTCGTAGTAAAGATCATTGAGCTGTCGTTGTGGAGCTCTGACCTTCTCATTGGTCACTTCCTATTGTTCATGTTGACCCCACCCATTCTTTTCCCGTACGCGGACCGCTTGCATGCGATGCTGCTTTGTGAGTTGCCTACCGCAACATTCTTCGTGTCGTGCTGATGATATTGCTACAGTCTGGTTGCGGCCCTCCAAGCAGATTCGCGCACCCCTCTATTCTCTGAAACAGAAGAAGCAGCGCCGCTGGATCGTGAGTGTTTTCGAGTCTTGGCAGGCAAGCGAAAGATGCTCATGCATGACCCCAGATCATCAAATATGGCACCGTTTATGTGACCGTCATTGTCTTCTTCGCAGCGCTCATTGCCCTTCGTAAGTCGTTAACGCTATCAATCTGTTCTTGGCTGATTGATATCCTCTCAGCTGCTGTCTTCCGCAGCAAAATTCACCTAAATTGCACCCTATGCAATAATCTGTAATGAATCCATCTTCCATCTATATCATCCGCATTCTATAGATTATCCACCATTACTTGTAGTCTTTTCTGAGCTTCCATCTTGCGCGCTGGACATTCACATGAACACTGTCAATATGTCTAGTTTTGACGTCGTCAACCGCCTCGTACTGCATGGACACTATTGGTGTAATGTACGGATACGAACTTCTACGAACTTTTATAAATCACATATTTGGGTTGCATATCATGCCATATGCATATATGGCCATATGATGAAAGGGAGATGGCATATTGATTCTCTCCGAGGGCCCTGACACGTAGGTGCATAAAATTTAGAGATAACGCAGTTGTCAGTTGTCAAATACTTGTTACCAGGCAGCGAAGGGCAGCGAGCATTGATAAATGGAAGGACAACTTCGACCGCGGGTTTCTCGTTGAACGAGAGATGAAGCTAGATCTTTGATCAAAGTAGAATGCAGAATCCAGCTGCAAATTCATTGGGAACACTGACTACTAACGTGCACAGCTACCAAGTATCAAAGCTAGCCTCCCACGAATGCACCAAGAAATACTACGCATGATTGAAACTAGCCCTTATCTCTTCTAACTCCTCCGGGGTGATGATATCGGTAAGGCCGACGATGCCGCTATCCGCTCGTAGAACGCTTGGAAGAGGTAGAGGTGCTGCCTGATGATGATCCGTCTATGGCACCCTCATACGCAGCTACGATCTGCTGGATGATGCTTTCGACATCAGAGGAGGAGTCACGCTTCTGGCCATGGTAGCGTCCCTGAGTCCATGCCAAGGTCGCGCCTCATGCTGTTGCTGCTCCCATCAAAGGCGGAAAACAGCGATGCAGCAGTGCCTCCCACACTAGCGGCAGTAGCGAGTTTCGATAAGATACTTGCAGCGCTGGAAGGGATAGTCAAGCTGCGGTCTTCGAACTGGGGTGTTGCTCCACCCAAAGAAACGATGTCGACTTCATCAGGAGTTTGGACAAAGTCTCGCTTGGTGTTGCTGCTGCCATCGACGGCGCTCAGGATTGAATCAGCACTGAATCCTATGCTAGCAACATTCCCGAGGCTCTTCAACAAGGAGGTGAGACTGCGGTCTTCGAGAAGAGCTGTGGGGATCGATGGAGTGGGGGATTGGTCGTTGCTAAGGCTGCCATCAACGGCGCTGGGAGGCAGCTCTGGGGTGACAAGGTCGCGCTTCATGCTGTCGCTGCTTCCATCAAAGGCAGAAAACAGTGATGCAGTAGTACCTCCCACACTAGCGGCAATAGGGATTTTCGATAAGATGCTGGAAGGGAGTGTGAAGCTGCGGTCTTCGAACTGGGGTGCTGCTCCAGCTCCATCAACTCCATCAGAGGTTTGGATCGAGTCCCGCTTGGTGCCATTAAAGGCGTTGAAGATTGCATCAGCACCGAATCCTATGCTAGCATTATTCCCGATGTTCTTCAACGAGGTGGGAATCTTGAAGCTGCGCTCTTCCGGCAAGGATTCCGCTTGACGCCTGGTGTTGTTGGTGCTAGAGATGCCGTCAATCGCATTGAAGATGTTTGCGAGACCGCCGCCGATGGTAGCCACGTTCGCGGCGTTCCTGAGCCCGCTCGTGACGCTGGAAGAAATCTCTGGGAGCTTGATGGCGCGTTCTTCGACATCAGAGGAGGCTGAATCTCTCTTAACATCGCTCAACGCAGAGCCAGCTTCGTCCAGGAGAGTTTGGAGCGCGGCAGTGATGTCTGCAGTGATGTCGCGCTTCCTTGCAGCAGGGAGTTCGTTGAACAATGCTTCAATGGCATCAACAAAATCGGAGGTGGTGTCACGTTTGGAAGGAACGGGGTCGCTGTCAAGACGTTAGTATTAATTCAAAATCGTCAGTAGGAGGTGGTAGACGCACTTCAGGATGACCGTTCCTATGCGGAACGGGAGGGTACCATTGAATACTGGAGTATCGACGGCCGTATTGGCATCTGCCGACGAAACGACCCAGCGGGGACTGGAAATGCATTCAGTGAGTCTGCTCAGTGGCTGTCTGAGAGAGACATACGAGTGTGGAGTAGGGGCAGCAAGACCAGGGACGGTCGACGCGACGACAGCGAGAGCGACAAGGGCAGCAAAGCGCATGTTGGTCAATGAGGGGGGTCGTAAAACTTTGAAAATAAACGATGGAACGAGATGTGCGAAAACGAAATGCTAAAAGTTGAATGAAAGTGTATGAAGATTTCAAAAAGAGGCTGTAGGATGATGGGGTTAGTAGAAAGCAACCATATGAGACGGAACGAACGTACTGCCTGCACCTGGATGAGCCGAGAAAACGAAGGAGAAGAAAAGGCTGAGGAGTTAGCAGCTGAGGTGCACGCCTTTTAAACAGTAGAAGATTGTAAGCGACGGATCTCCTCCCGCAGGTTATGCGCGTTTCAGTGGTTGAAACACTCCTTGAAACTCGGCTGTGCTGCGTTGCCAATGCTACGTCGAGTGTTTGGATAGTCTACAGATTGGCATCTGCGTTCTGTATTCCAGAATGACGAATGCAAAGAGAATAAGACATCGATAGAACCAAACCCTGTGGTTCTGCTGAACAGTCCTGCGCATCCCACACAGTTCGGTATTGCTTACCGCGGCGCGCAGAGTGCTTGTAGGCGATATCAAACAATCAAATTCAAGGGGTTGGATGAGACGATGGTCGCTACCGACTCGGGCGGCATTGAAATTCTACCGGTTGCGCGACGTGCTCAAGGGCTTGGACGACAGCGCTCATTATTAAAACACTGGTTGTGATTTAGTATGGGTTTAAGACCGTAGATAGATGAAGTGACCTGTGTATTCTCATTAGAGTTCCTCGACGAGTCAACAATAGCGTTAGCACGTGGTCTGAATGTTCGCCGCCGTGTTGCTGGTTCCATGAGAGTGCGCCAAAGAGCCGGGTAAAACGGATGGGCTTGAGAATGACGCAATGGTAATGAAGTCGGCAAACTGTAATCATTGTCGCAAGAATAACTGGTTCATACAATCTCATTCTTACCTCTGATATGTCCTCGAGTTTTGGTCGACAGCAGGAAGAACCTTGAGTAGAGAGATGCAAAAGAAGTATACTCCTCCCATTCTCCATTTGGCGTCTATATAACCAAGATCGACAATCACAGCGAGCAAGGGAAACTTTCATCGAAGACTACGTTGAATGATATTCAGTACACTCTAGCGCCGATTTTTAGTGGTACAAGCTTACGTCTCAACATAACCTTTCTTGTTCTAGAAACTTTCACAGCTAGCTGGGCCAGCCTCCTGCCAGCACATGATGCACGAGTCGACACGTAGAACCATAACTTCCTACATCAATGCACCCATTCATTTCATTTCTGGCCAGTTCCAGGGAAGATGCGTACGTGCTGAGTTGGTCGAGATACAAAAAGCAGACTTGGGGCGAAAGTGAAAACGGTGCCTCCTTCACTTGTTTTCATGTGGCTGAACTTGCATCCAGGTATGCCCGTGTAGACCGACGCCCTCTCGATCCCCCACCAGTCGTCCAACTCAAGTTATTCCACATCTATAATGAAGGAACTGACAATGAATACGAACAAGAAGTTCAGAACTATGAGTCAGTCATCACAACTCAGGTCTGCCATAATATTTTCATATCATCTTTCCAGCGACATACAAAACCTTGGATTACTCTGCAATGTCGACTTGTTTCAAGTCCATAATAGGTCCAATAGCTTATCGGAGCCAGCCTCCCTCGTCCGTCTCCCTCACCAACTTTCACCGGTAGTGGAACCTGTTCGCTCATCCCCCTACCCGCTACCTTCGATTTTACCGAGGATGGCTACCGATCATTTACCTCCCATAAGCGGTACAGGTGGGGTTCCCGCGTCAGATGCTCAGCTACCCCAGTTTCATCCCTACGCCCATCTCGACTCGTTGTCACTCGCTGAAAACATGAAATGCACCACTGCACTCTCAGGTGCTACATTCGTTCAACCAGCATGTATTGAATATCAAGGCAAGAGGGCTCTCGTCTTTCCATTCGCTGTACGTCTCTGGTTGTTATCGAGGTGTTACTTTCACATGACGGATGCACGTAATCTAGGACCTCGCGGTAAAGGCCGAGGGTGACTTTTTCCTCCGCTACCGCATCTTCGATATTTTTTCGCGCATGACAAATCTATCAGATGTACCGGTGCAGGCTGAGTGCCGTGGTGGCCCGTTCCACATATATTCAACAAAAGAATTTCCTGGTTTGCAACCCTCAACAGAGCTATCAAAGGTAACCTGGCACCCCTCGGAAGCCATATTTTAATTGACAATCTGTTGCGTGTCTAGCAACTCTCCAAATACGGGGTACGACTCAATACCCGTGAGACGGAGCGCAAGCGCAAGAAAAAGGGTTTCGAAAGCAGCGTCACCTCATCTCGCAGAAAAGGCAAAGGCAGAGCCACAAGGAATACAAGGAACGGGAGCGAGTGTGATTGAATTCGCTGCAGTGTGAGGTTCTGGATCAGGGCGGCTGTGTTCGAAGGACTTCGCATCTTCACTTCGGTTTCTCCGGCAAAAATTTAATTATACCTTAACAGCAGGCATGTACATACATACACGAACATATATATCTTGCTTCTGACTCGGTTTGTTTTGTTCAAGTCCATATTGGCATGTTCACTACCCAAATGCGCTAAAGATCTGGGCCACTGCGAAGGCGCTGGCTGGTGAGTTGATAATCAGATGACACGAATAAAGTAGCTCACTCTTCGCATCAGCATCGTCAGTCGACATGCCATCAAACGCTCCCACTTCATGGGTCTATTCATCATTATAATCTGTAGTGGTAACTTTGCGACCTTGTCCACGGGCTCGAGATCGTCCGGTGCCCTTCCTTGTAGTCCCAACAGGATATATCTTCGATTTCTGCTGGGTCTTCTTTCGTCCTGACGGTTTTTTAGCTGTGCTGGGACTTGCATCACCCTCTGCAGCTTTGAGAAGTAGCTCGTCCTCCACTGTCTTCTGGACATCCGTCTGAACGGACGCCCGTCCGGTCTTTGGATTATGACCAGGGGAGCAGACCCCCTGACAATATGAATCAAGGGTTCATAACTGAAATTGAAACATATACTCACTTCCTGTTTCTCTTGTAAAGACTGCTTCTTGGTCATAGCGATGAGAGCGTTTCCTGATTCCGCGGATGTTGGACGTGGGGTAGAATCTTCTGAACTGTTGGGTGGAATACCCGACCTCGTCCCAGCGGACCTCATCTTGTATGGAGTCTGACCAGATGAAAGGCATGTTACACATAAGACGGGTTAATGGGGATGTTTACTTGCCCTCGCGGCCGTACTTTTTGCGGCCGTGCTTTTAGGCATAATGGTCAGGGTACGTCAATGGTAAGATGCAGAGTACTAAGTTGCGTCATATACCCCTAGTAGGAACTGGGCGCAATGTGACTTCCTTGGCTACTGTACAGAGTGTAGTCTAGTCTAGTGCTGTATATGCAATGGTGTCAATATGGCTACATAGGTAGTTGTCTGGGATTAAGCAGCTTGTGCAGAACGAAATGGTATCGGTGACTCCGTAGGTATGAGTAGGATATCTATGCGAGAACCCTCTGCAATGTCCTTTATTATCAAATGGGACTCTCGCACAGGGGACACAAAAACACGGGAAAGTTCCTCTTGTTCGGGGGAATAGCTGCTTCGACATCGACCTTATCCTTCCAGTCAGCGGGTAACGTCGAACCGTCAAGCAAGCTGTTGTAGATCAATCGACGAGCCGCAACCACCTCTCTCACGTTCCCGACAACGCCCCCCGCTTGGAAACCTTTTACAATCTGTTGCTGAGCTGCCTTGACTAGCTCTTCCGGAAATTCCTCAAGGGGATCCGAGATCGAGGATTCTAATCCCTTTCTCCTTTTACGGCATGACCGTGAGTCGACCAATTCTTCCACCGATAGCTTTTCATCTGTGTCTGGCCACGATTCTATGAACTTTCGGAACCTTGCAGATTTATTTAATTTGGGCACAGGTAGTACCAAACACTCTTGATGGAAAGCTATTCGACAAGCTGGACGGGGGCAGAAATGCATTACTGGGTCTCGATCGGGATTGTAAGGCACAGTGCAGTTACAAGCAGAAAACGTGACCTTCGGCTGTGAAAAGATCATCATCATGTCTTCCACTTGAAAGTATGAATACTCACGACGATTTTCCGAGCGCGGTATTCCAGGTCGTATCGATGGTAGAAGTCATCGGAGTCGAAAACATTTTGCTCGACCTCGCGTTCATGGTATCTCGCAACACTTGCGTGATCTGGAAGGGGTTCAAACTGATAATGCAACACAAGGGATAATATTTACCACAGAAGCTACTCGTTGATACATAATCGAAGTAGTCTGAGTAAATCTTTTCATATTGGCCACAGCCGCTGACATCGCTGTGATATTTCAGAACACGTTGATCATGAACGTCGATTCTCCGTGATGACTTACAATGACTTGATCACGGTGGCAACTTCCCGAGGCGACCAGTACCACTGCACGCGAGCCCATACCTGCATCATGATTGAGTGAATATGATCCCTGGTTGGTGGCGGGACATACATCTTGGGGGTTTCTTGCCCTAATTTCTTTGATTCTACCAATCCAATACGTGGTCGGATGGTGGTTCTCGTCCGGAAGCATCCCTTCCGGTAGAATAAACGCGCTTTTGAGTGTTAGTTTTTGCTACGTCTTATGATAAAGTGAGCTCGAGACACAGACGTTTCGTCACGGGAGAATGAATGGTGGTTTCCATCCTCATCGACAACTGAAATCCAAACAGTCACTACGTCAAGTCGCAAGAACAGTGGAAATGGCTCGTACCTACAAACTCGCCATAAACTTGCATTGTTTTCCATTCGCCATCGGTGGGTAGGTCAATTGTAGACTTTGGTTTAGAGGCTTTCTTATGCGTGAAAAGCGACTTTTTCTTACGCCGTGCCATGTTAGAAATTAGTATCAGAGATTGTTCAACCTACAGTGCTCAAAAGTTCCTCGAAGTTGCGCGAGTCCCATCTACAAGACGCGTCTGTGGCTCACGCGTAACGAAACAAATGCAATTGATGACGTAATCATCCGCAAATCGACAGTTGCAGCGTTGCAGCCTTAAGTACTGTGCACGCTGATTTCTTTTCTGCCCGTCTAGATATCCTCCACACCATGTTATTCTATTTTGCATCTTGCGTTATTAGGTATGTCTTCAGAGATGTTCAGAGAGTTGCATACCGATGTATTGTTTAGTTCGGTTGTCGTTTTTCTTTATCCTGGCTACGCATCCTACAAGACACTTTCCCAGAGACCTGCCTCCGAGGAGGATTTGGAACGATGGCTCATGTATTGGTCAGTCCTTGGATGTATCGTCGGAGTTGAGTATCTTGCGGAGTGGCTCGTTTCATGGTCAGTCGGTTTTCATCGATGGCATTAGTATTCCATGCTAAGTGTAAATAGGATACCGTTCTACTACCTCATAAAGACCCTATTTCTTCTCTATCTAGCACTCCCACAGACGCGCGGCTCATCCTACCTCTATATCAACCATCTTCAACCATTCTTCCACACTCATGAGTCTCAGATCGATGCAACGCTCGCATCTTTCAAATCTCGTGTCTATACCTTCATCCATGACAGGTTTCGCACCTTATGGGACGCAGTTGCTGCAGCAATCGGTCAACAGCAACAGGCCAATTTTGCCCCTGCGGGCGGGGTGACAGACAACGGTGCACCCCCAACGTTGGCTGACCCAGCGTCAGGGCCTGCCCAACTTGTTAGGGGACTGTGGCGCTCGTACGGTCCTACTATCGTCGCTTCTGGTACCGCATTGCTGCGGCAAAGTGCTGTGGCAGCGGGAACTTCTGCTGATCAAGCTTGGAACACTCCCGCAAACACCTTCACAAGGCATTCTGACGCTGGTCGTCAGGGCCCTGGTTCATTCATGAAAGATCGCAAGCGCGAGCTCGAAGCTGAGCTTGCATTCATTAATTCGGCAGAGCGGCCTAGTATCCCGACTCCCCCCGCTTCAGGCTCTGTCCAGCCACCCTCCCGTGCATCTTCGGACTTTGAGCTGCGGGAGCGTGGGTCCAGCTTTGTTGGGCGATTCGAGGAGGTGGACGTCCCCAGCGATGCAGAGGGGTACGACATTGATGGGGACTCTGGCCGTGAGGAGGGTCATGACAATAATGAGGCAAGGAAGCCGGCCACCTGGTTTGGCTGGGGGAGCGCGGCGCCAAGCAAGGGTGGAAAGTCAGATTAGCTGGGAGCCGGATCATGCTGGGGATTTGTATCATAGTGGATTCTTATTTACATTCGCACGGGTGTACATACTCGGTAATTCCTGATCATGGTGTATATTTGTGAGGAGTTGCACTCCTCTACCCGGCAACCAACGCTACAGAGCAAGACTCGTAGCGTTTCACCTTACCACATTTTCACACTACCACTACGTACATATATGTGTCATAGCTCATTGCACGCGCAATATTTTCCCTTCGAATTCTCATAGTTCTCGCTGTGCACGTCGTAGCAGACTTACACATCTTTCATGTGCAATTTTCATTGACACCATCATAAATTATTTTTTGCCACCACCAATCCACATGGAACGTTCAGAACGTTCGAAGCAAGTAAGTCGCGGACTGAGTACTGAGTACTGAGCGCCAACTTGAAGGTTATAAACACAAGCGCCAATGCGATAACACGAAGTTCCGATGTTCGCACCGCGCAATCTGATGGATCACATATGGCAGTTTTAGACAGATTCTAGATTCAATCAAACGCAAGACTTTGACCTAGAGTAACTTCTCCGTTTCTCCTCCGTCATAGACGCCAGGGTGACAGTGGAACAAGCCGAGGAGAAAGAGCTGCGGAAGCACCGATCGAGTCGGCGAAGGCACTACCAGCCCTGGTGGGCTGTTATCAGTTATTAACTTATGGTGACTTGAGGTCGCTGTAAGACTGGAAGAATGCCATGAGCCTTCTGGTTCAACGTCCAACACGTCCACGTATTACTTCTTATCAAGAATAAATTCATAAATCTGCCAGTTGGTTGATTAACGCTGGTACGGTAGCAACAACTTTGAATGAAGGACCCATGGTCAACGGAGGATGTCGATGAGTGTAGAAAGGATATATATCATATTTGCTTACTAATTTCGCTGTAGCTGATAGGGAAGAGCATGCTCAATACGTAGCGAAAACGTGGACCTTATCTGATTCGGACGTTTGCGTGCCATGGTGCCATGGAGCTAACTTGTAGATGAATGATCTAGATTATCCAGTTGCCAGTAGCACCCAGGCCAGCGGCTCCATGGCAGCACCTAGATTTCAGCAAGCACGCAGCCGACGCTGAGGATGGCAAAGGTGAGTAGCTTGCAACTTCGATATGATGAGAAATCGCCCGCCATGATGGGACTTTTTAGCCTCGAACATGAACGGTAAATGTGAGAGCGGAAGCAAACTTACGTAAATCGCTGTAATTCCATTTCGATGAAAGACTTAAAGTCAGGGACGGACACAAATGTAGGTTATTGACCTCCGCAACCTTTCTTTTTCTTTCTCCTTAACTGCAGCCCAGTTTTACGCGTCTTCGTTGCCCCCCAGACGCCCAGGTCTAAAATTATGCCTCAAGCATCCCGTGGAAATGCTCGTCAGCCTGACTCCAGGGAGGCCCAAAAGGCTATCGACAAGGAGCAGAAGAGAAGCCGAGGCGCTATGTCCTGCGCCGAGTGTAGAAGGTAGGTACTGCGCAATTGTGTAATTCCTCACTCTGACTCCTTGCGGGCCAGGCTCAAATTGAAATGCGACAAAACTGTCCCGTGCTCTTCATGCAAACGCAGAGGCTGCCCGGCTATCTGTCCTAATGGTATGTGCACCCCGCCAATCTGCTGTTAGATGCTGCTTATTAAGGCTATGGGCGCTAGGCTCTCTCACGACTGGTCAGGGAACTCGGTAGGTTTCATGTCAGCCATTTAGGTGGCTGAGGACTCCATGCCGATGTTATTCCCAATTTCAGGTTTGTGCTAGCAGATACAGAAAAATTGCATCAAAAGATTGCACAAATGAGTGACAGGATTCGTCAACTTGAAGACGCACTTGCTATTGTGCAAACCAGTCCTAGCGAACAGCACCCTCTTCTGCATCGAGATCTCCTGGACATTAAGTCAATCATAGATTTGCATGCTGCCGTGGATGAGGAAACGGCAGGTAAATCCAAAAATGAAGTCGATGATGACTCGCAATACATCGAATCTTTTGGGACGCTCGCCATACGGGACGATGGAGCTGCAACCTTTTATGGCCCATCAGCCGGATCTGAGGTGGGTATTGTCAGCTCTGGGCCTGTGACCTCACAACAGCTAATTGCATCACAAAAAATGCATCTAGAGCTTGCTCATTGTAAGCTATTGCAGTCCTGTCAACAATACCGCTAAACTGATTTAAATTATGTAGGGAGAGTCTGCCGTACCACCTGCAACTAATTTTAGTCCAGGTGACAGATCGCAGCATAATGAACGTCTACCTTCCGCTGTCAGGCATCTGTCAAAGTCTTTCCCTTTGGCTCCAGTGTTTACCGACGAGGTTGATTTTAACTACCTCATTCAAAATTATCTACCTCCTTGGCATCGTGCTCGCCACTTGAGTGAACTGTATCTGCAGCAAGCACCGTGGTTCTTCGGAGCGGTAACAAAGCGACAACTGATGGAGGAGAACCTTCCTTTGTGGTACGCGGAGGCGGCAGATCTCATCTATCCGGGTTCTGTGGCGCCGCCGGTGACATCGGAGAATGAGGCAAATGATGCTTTGAGCAAAGGTCCTCATGAGCTCGCGTTGATGTTTGTGATCTTCTGCTTCGGAGCACTGACGGACCATAGATTACCCCCTGCGCCAGACAACGAGGAAGCCGACATGTATTTCAAGCTGACGCGCGCTGCCTTAAACTTGGAGCCTGTACTTGACCGCCCACCATCAGTGGCAACCATTCAAACGCTGGCTTTACTCGCAATTTATCAAGGCCTTTGCAGCGGAGAAAACAGCATCGAGAGCACCTGGGGAATCTTTGGACTCGCAACGAAGTTGGCTCAGAGTGTAAGCTATTGGTATTTCATTTCTTGTTTCTATCTTGACCTGTGCTCGCCTTTATATAGATTGGACTGCGTTAGTAATTTGATCATTTGGATTACGGGTCAAATCAGCTCATCATCCACTGCCAGACCGTGATTGTGCCCGCTGGCAACTACCTACGCAAGAGGTACAAAAGCGCCGTGCGCTGTTCTGGGAGCTTTTTATCACAGATGGGTGGCAGGTAGATCTGACTTGTCTTGTTATCCTATCGAGTGTTCAACTTTTACATAGTCCTTAGCCACAGGTCGTCTTGCTACGTTTTATCTGCCTTTCGTAGACTGCGAGCTGCCCAACGATCCTGATTCCACGGTTGATGAAGATGGAAGTATTTTGCTAAGCTGTATGTCCTCTTTTCTTTACTTTCGTATGTGGGCCTCAACGATAAATACCTCAGTCCCGGCGTGGAAGGCTCGCTTTGGTTTCCAATGCATATCTACAGTCATCCAACATGCACAGACAGCAAAGGTGCCAAAATATTCTGTTATCATTGAACTGGATCGCAAGATTCGCGACATGGAGCTCCCAAAATATGCTCAACGGCCTCCCAGAGAAGGCGCTGAACTTGCGGAAGCAATGAAGCATTACATGCCCCGTAACTACCGGCACCTTAGTAAGTCCCAGCACAGTCCAGTATCAAAGCAACATCTAAATCCATTGCAGCCCTGCTATATGTTCATCGATGCTTTTTTGCGGAAGCTGTATCAAACAATCCCACAAACCCCATGAACAGCCCATACGCACCATCGTTCCTTGCAGGATATCGCAGTGCCTGTGAACTGATTAGCGACGTCCGTACGCAGTTCGACTTGTTCCCAGCACAGATCGCCCGCTTCTGGGTTCTATGGACCCACGCGTTCTCCTCGTCCGTGAGCAGATTCCGCTGCCATACCATCCTAGATACCATGCTGATACTCCACATATTCAGGTGATGCTATCTTCCGTCGTCACGCATGCATCCGGAAGCGGTTCTCGATCCAAGATCACCACTGCAGCCTTGACCGAACTGCGACGCGCTGTTAACCTTTTCAAGGAAGCATCTGCTTTTGGCGGTCGAGCTGGAAAATTCCTTGTACGTTTGCACTCACAATAGCATAGCAAATACCGAACAATGCTGATGGCGATACCTTGGTAGCCTATCCTTGAGAGGCTGTTACAGAAAGCTGAGCAAGCATACAGTACTGCCACTCCTAGCGTGACTCGACGAGATATTTTCTCGGGCACGGGTCCAACGAAGCCCAAGGATGAACTTTCGATTTTCAGAGGTCAAATAAACAAGGTTGTCACTAAGGCCCCCGTGACACCTTCTTCAGGACGAGCCAGCCATACACCACCTGCAAGTAGCACATCAAATCCTAGTCAATCTCCGCTGTTGCAGGGAGAAGCGGCTCCCCCACAGGCATTTAGCAACATTCACCCGTCGCTGCGCGAGCAGTGGAGCAGGTTCGAGGGCGATCTCAATGCTCAGCTTCATAATGCGCAACGAGACGCGTATTACACCGAAGACGACGCTTTCAGTGTGCCCGCGCATGCCGAAGAATTACGCGGAATGGCCACTGCGCAGGAGGGCCCATCACAGGCGCAGTCGGTCCAGCAGCAGCAGCATTATCCAGTTACACAGCCGCCGCAAGGATACCATGATCACTTTTCCGCCCCATCCCATGGTTTTTCCCAGCCGGTCGAGGCACAGACCCCCTACCAAAACGAGAGCCAGCGCAGGGAATCTGCGTACTCGTCTGGCAGTCAAGGTCAACACTATCAGCATGAGCCTCAGTACGCTCAGCCGTTGCCACAATCCCACCATCACCAGCCTGATCGTACACAATACCATCCGGACCCTCATCAGCAACATCCCCAACAGCAGCAGCAGCAACAACAACAACATCACCATCATCCTGACCCACAGCACCAACACCAGCACCAGCAATACTACAGCCAAGAACAGCCTGGTTTTTACACTCATGTTCCATATCAGTCATCATCGTCCTTCAGTACTGCAGACCCGCGCGCTCCTGGTGACTACAATGCAGAACCTTCCCAATCATATTGGCAATCTACGCAGCAGTCGTATCAGGCGCAGGAAAGCACTGTGTATTACCAGTCCTCACACTACGACAATCAGTACCGAACATCCCAGCAATACCAAGCTCCTGCACCCGCTGCAGAATACCCGTCGGTTACCCAGCAGCACCATTTGCAAGAGACGTGGCAGTCATTTAATGTTTACGTCGGTTCGTCGCGTCCGCTGACGTAGAGCACGCTCCTGTTCCTTCGGATCCGTATTGGCCACGCTGTCCCAGTGCTTTCGTTTGGCTCTCATTGCTACTTAGCATTATTTCCTCATTCTGCTTAGTTGTTCTTGTTACCCCAGCGCAATGTGTATTATTACTCCCCAAAACGATGTACATAAATCATATCTGACCTCGTGTGCCTGATTATCCATGTGTCCTTCGCAGATCGATCCTGAAGTGAGACGCAAGAACTCTGTGGACCTAGAGCCCTCGACATAGATATTTCGCCCTTGCAACTTGCGCTCTACAAAGTTCTAACTCGGTAGGGACCGCGAGAATCGAAGCCAGTAAAATCCCTGAACTGTCAGCAAAACCAACGGAAGCTATCTTAAACTCTCGCTCTTGCTTTGTGAGCTCGGGGTCGTGTACCGAGGATGGATCTGGTTGCTCTTGATTAATGCGATGGAACACGTTGACACTAGCGGACAATCAATCAGACAAATCATCAGCTTCTGTGGCTGAAAATAGGACTCACTAAGCCAATCCGCCGCATATGCCTTCTATGCTGATGAGCACAAACACCAGGAATATACTTCCTGCCGCACGATCTTCCGGAAGCAGCCCAACAGAAGATTCTAAGACCAGTATAAGCAGTATCACGAACTGGATGATAGCCGGAGCAGGGAGGAGGTGGGCCGGAAGGGTTTTCAAGCCCAGAGATATGCTTGAACGCGAGAAAAAGACCGTGGTTTGGTAGACTAGCTGTAAAAGAGTCGTTATCAGAACGTGTTCCGAGGATCACGGCAGATGATCAAGCGGACCTGCCATAGTGGATAATAGTCGCGGACGGAGTGGATGATCTTGCTGAGAAGGCCGTGTGACGGAACGGGGTATAATAAGGTTGGTGCGATACCCTGTATATGTTCAGAAAGACTAGAAGCGCGGGACTGTGGACAACGTACTTGGTTGATAGTATACTCGAACTAGGTCGCTTGGGTCAGAAGGCAGGCGCTACACTTGAGATTAATGGATACTTACGGTATAAACGCAAACTGGTAGCAAATTATTAGACGTATAGGGATCGCGAGCAATAGAAACTACTCACATAGTGGAAGCATATATTTCAATAGCATCGGTTTGACCAAACGCCATTTATCCGTGGCTGATAAGGCGACGGTGATCTTGGGCTCTACATGAGATTCTAAGCCATCTTCTGCAGATAAATCATCGGTAATTTCAGTCGCAAGGTCGTCGGCAGGAACGAGTGTGTATGATGCAGAAGATGACTGGTGCATAAATGCTGCTGGACGAGGAAGCAGGAAAAAGTACGCCAGAGGAAGAATAAATGGGAGGACCTGTGATGCAACATGAGAGATGTTTTCTGACCACTTTATTTATATTCTTACCGCTGAGATGCCAACACCAGTACGAACACCCAGACCCCTGAGTTCCCACCACATAAATGCTCCGACAATACCTGCAGCTCCAGTACCTGAGGCGAAGTACCTGTCAAGTAGCATTAATATGGAATAACTCAAACCGTAAGATGACGCGGACCCAACGCTTTGACCTCCTGCCGAACGGCTGTATGTTGTCGAAAGCTGTAAGAAGGACATTTCTCCCAGACCTGTTGTTTGTTGTTCGAAGTGAGAAACAGGTGTGCTTGATGGATTTGTGAACTCACCCGACGAAAACGACGCAAAACATATTCCCAACAGCCTCGAAAAGAGGCTTTCATGCAAGGCAATGACCTGTGTAATATGTGAATTGCGGTTTATAAGTAAATCTGGTGTCAGCTTACCAGCATGCCTATAAAGCTTAACGTGCAGCAGCCGATAATGCGTCGGGCATAACGTATGCGACCCTTGAGAAAGTACGGCCACCCAAGCTTCACAAGTAAGGCGGGAGTGATATTACAGAAGGCAATAATGCCCTTGGGTGTTGACGGAGGGACAAGATCGAGCGCAGCCGAAAGTATGATGACGTAGAGTACTTTATGATGATGAGAGCCTGCTTTTGAAGAAAGAAAAATGACATACCATTGTTTACGAGTCCAAAGAGGAAGAAAGATACTCCAAGCTTCAACGACGACCGTTTGTGCATGCCTGCCGAACAAGCTAATCAGTACGGGCTTCGATGAAAAATGGCGTCATGGTGCAATTCAGTTCTAGCCTGGTGACTGATCACCATGGCGTCAAATTGGAAAGCTTTGCTACAATCAACATACCACTTGCCATTCATGTCTAACACTGACCTGTGCTAGGTATAACTAAAGAATCCTCTACCAAACCTCCTTCACTATGATGAGCGGCGGCGTGTCGTTCAACTGACATCTGGGGGAGCAACCGGCTTGGATATTGTGAGCAGGAAGAGAGTTCGAGCGTATAGACTGAAGTTTGAGATTGTCGCAGGGCTCAGATGTCAATATCATAAAATACTGTGCATCGACGCAGCTGGTCAAGTATATAAATGTGTAAGTAACGCTTGGAAAACATGTTGCATCCCTGTTTGAATCTGACCCCCCTTTTTGGGGTCAGTGAGTACAGTTCGCTGACACAGTAACACTAGTTGGGAGGACCTCTGAGATACTAGGAGGGCTGGTAAGTTTTTCAGCATGTCTAGGTCAGCACATATATTCACCATGGGTTATCATGTCTTAGGCATAATCTGCCAGTGGTAACCTCAGGTCGAAATTTATTTTGATTCAGTAGCAACCGTGGGCCAAAGAGATCGAGTCTTGGCAACGCACAAGTTCTTCGACGGAAATCACTGCGATATATGCAATGCATCAGATTCATATTAACTCAACACCGGAATATCACAATAGCAGGTGATGGACAACCCAAGCACTCATAAATCGAAGAGTTTCAAACCCTGCAAAATACATGCATATACCACCTCATGGTATCAGATGAAGTTGGGGTCCTCACACAGCCTTGGAGAACCCAACAGCGACCCGACTGAGGTCGAAAACTGTGTAATATTGGCGGAGGAACACATCACCTGAAGGGACTTATCAAAAGGAAGCCCATGGCCAAAAATAGATCACATTCGAATGATCCACAATGATGAACCTCCAGGTAGGTTTATCCAGATCGGTGAACGAGGAAATGCACGTGCTCTGAACTTCCAAGACGTAGGCGCTTCCCTTGAGTGTGTAGGGCTTGCTGCTGAGATAGAACGTCAGGTCGGGAAGGGAGGGGACTTGGGAGAAGTCGACTTGGTATTGACCGTTCCATGTCTTGGTGCCGCCAATTTTGGTGTTGAGCGTTTCGGCGATGTCGGTAGGGAATAGAATGAAGGGGTGCCTGTGTGCAATCTGATGAGGAACTGGAGTCGCTCAGACACAGAGGAGACTCGCCAGTATCAATAGCGCCTGTCTGATCAAGGTCCAGCTCATCGTTTCCAAATGGGACCTTCTCAAGCTCAACTTCCCAGTATGCCTTGCGGCGGACAGGGACGTAGGCGATGCTACCAGTGTAGACTGCGTAGTCGATTCCGCCAATTGTGGCCTCACCACCGTCGGCCTCGGAGCTACCGAGATGGAAGGCGAAGACGGGCTCATCGAGGAGACTTTCGTCAAGATAGTGAGGTCACCGATGGTGGGGACGTCTTGGGAGACGTAACCCGCCAAGGAGTCGGCCGGGGGTCGTCCTGGATGGAGAATTCGGAGCCATTGGCCTTGTATATGGAGGAAGAACGGGACTCGTACTTGGCTTGAAAGAAGCACGCAATAGATGTGCACTCGGAGCTGGGGACCCAGAGGTTGCTCGACCTAAGTACGAGTGAACTGTGAGTGGACGGCAAAAACAAAGGGGGAAATTCCTACTCAATGTCAAGGATAACCCTAAATGACTGAGGCGAGGAAGATCTCAGTATAATATTGAACGTTCATGTAATCTGAGAAACGTGAGTAGGTCGGCAAGAGAAGAGAGGGCAGTTACATACTAGTGAAGGGGACATTGTGTCCACCGTTGATGATCTCCTGGGTCCAGAAGAGTTCATCGTCTCTTGTTGGTGGACGAATGTAGCACCGCCAGCACCGATCAAAGGTAGCTGTTGGTGAGGAGCTAGTGTGCTGTACTTTTCAGCGAGATAGGGACTATAATGCCAAATGAGGTACTTGTAAGTACGGTATCGAGGGCGCCGACGAAGGAACAACCGTCTTGACTCCTTCCTAGGGGAGACTAGGATCAACACATTCGTTCCTGCGAGAAAGACTGAATTTTAAGGACAGGTGCGGTTCATATATTCAGCGATATCAGCACCAGTGTTGGGATCTCTGACATGTCTAAAGTTGCGATTTCAAGGAACTTCAGGTCTCCAACCCCACTGTCTTACAAACGGTAAACGTTTGTAGCTCAATACAAACCTGAAAACTACTGTTTGCGACTTTTTGAAAGCGCTTAATAGCCTACCCTGGCTTCGCCGTAGGTAAGTATGTAGTTGCCGCGGACATTTACAATTCCACAAGACGTCGCAAGCCGAGGACAAACATTCGGGTCCTGTCAAGCACCACAACTGATGAACTAGGCCAAAGGCAGTAATCCGGGAGTCCTCCCTTCCTCCTAGCCCATTGCAGGTGACCACTTATAAACTGTAATGGGCTTGGGCAACTCCTGCCGTGAGTAAAGTTAAACTTATCATTGAAAATCACATCTGACCAACATCTGACAGAGTTTTCAGGCCATAGTCATTGGAGCTTTGAGCGCTGTAAATAACAATAGCTTCTATCAGTATCTTTCAGGGGCACACCATCTGATCCCCCATTCGCTCCTTGGTTTATCATATGAACACGGCTTTTCTTGGTGCACGGATCATCTTCGTTGCGTCCTGCCTTTAAAAGAGGGCATATGGGTGATAGTGCTCTTTCAATTTAACAGGAAGCACAAGCCTTACAATGCCTAGTCTGACGATCCCACAAATTCCAAGATATGTCCATGCCCCACCTACCAAGGAGAACCGTGGGTGACATCGATATGATATTACATTATACGTCTAATCTATCCATCATGTTTAGTCCAATATGCAGATCTTGCCATCATCGACCTGTCTAAAGCAACTACCACAGAAGGCCGTGCAGAACTAGCGGTTGAGCTAAGAAATGCTTTGACTACTCATGGGTTTTTCTATATTATCAACCACGGATACACCCAAGCTCAGGTGAAATATGTAAAACCTTGTTTCTCTCGCATATTCTCACTTTCGGAGCAGACGGAGAGGATGTTTGATATCGCAGATGTTCCCATGTCTGGAGTAGCTGAAGACGAAAAACGTGCCTACGCTGGAAACAGCAAGGAGACAGGCATATTCCAAGGCTACAAACCGAGACAGTACTGGGTAGGCCATTTCATGACACCTGCCGTCTACTACCACTAATTCCCCATGGATAAGCACATTGATGCAGGCGTGCTCGACCAACAAGAACACTATAACTGTTCGCGCATACTCAATTATACCAGAGAAAATCTAACGCCCTTTAACTAGGCAACCGCCACGTCCATAGCCTGATGCACCCACAAGCACTCAGACCGTTCCTTCCTGATATCGATGCCTTTGTGCACCATAACCACCACAATATTCTCCATGAGATTTGCAGGCACGTCTTCAACCTTGTTTTCAAATTTTGAAAATAATCGCGCTTCTCAGACTCATGGCATTGAGCCTTGAACTTCCTGAAGACACATTTGTTAAATTGCACGACTTTGATGCACCCGGAGTATCATATAGTACGACTTCTTTCGTTTTTCAACTGCGTTTGAGGGTCTGACGTGGCCGCTAGTGAGGTTTATGAAATAGTAAATCCGCGACCATACGGTGCATGCCAATGTATCTTATCTTCTGTTCAGCTTCCCTAGGTCAGAAGAAGATGAAGTCCGGACAAAAAATGTTTGGATGAAAGGACACACAGGTCGCTCTACTTTCCGTCAAGTGTTACCTCGCTCACATCATGGCAGATATCGGAAGCATCACTCTACTTTGGAGTCAGCCTGTTGCTGCCTTACAGATCCAGACGAAGGAGGGCTGGCGCTGGGTCAAGCACATCGATAATGCTTTGGTGTGTATTTTACCTCCCATAGACTCTTCCATCTTACATAAATGCTTTAGCTGGTCAATGTCGGTGACTCGATTGAGTTCCTCACAGGAGGCTTCTACAAGGGGACTATCCATCGAGTTGTGCAACCTCCGATTGATCAACGTGGCTACACGCGACTAAGCATCCTCTATTTCGCCTACCTGAATGATAATGTCACGCTTGTACCCCTGAAGGGCAGTCCAGTACTTGACAAGGCTGGGATTGAGCGTAAATGTGAAGACGATGTAGCTCCTACGATGGAGGCCTGGAGAGTCGCAAGAATTAGTGCATATGGCGCAAGCGATCTACAGAAGAGCAAAGAGCCTGGCATCGAGGAAGAGGTTTTGAATGGTATTGTTGTCAAGCACTACAACTAGTTTGTATTAGAAATTGGATCTGCCTTAACACATTACTTTCGTCTTAGAGGCTTATGCGGCACTTCGAAGCTAGGATTTTTCCGAATGCGCATCAAGATTGACGCAATGCACCTTAATAATGAAGTGATCAGCTGCTCCAACATTACGGTCCGGCAGCCAGCACATCAGATCTCTCAGGCCTGAGCCCAGGCTTATAAGGCAGAGTTGAATACTACTCCCCCTCTGCCCTTGGTTACAATGTCCAGCCTTACCTTGCCCTATGTGCCGCATTATGTTGCTCCACCTCCTACCAAGGAACCTTGTCTGTGCCAAGTCATCTGCTTAATGCAAAACATTAATGTGTGTATTGACAGTGAAGTACGCCGACCTTGCTGTCATCGACATCTCGAAAGCCGACACCGAAGAAGGTCGCGCCGCGCTCGCAATTGAAGTAAGGGATGCCCTCCTCAACCACGGGTTCTTCTATGTCGTGAACCATGGGTATTCGCAAGACCAGGTGAGGCATTTCTATCATTTTCTGTGGATCGTTTATCTCACCTCGACGCAGACAGCTCGCATGTTTGACATTGCGGACCTACCCTTCTCAGCCGTTAGTGACAGCGAGAAGCAAATTTATGCTGCAACAATGAAACAAACGGGGTCATACCAAGGATACAAATTACGGCAGTACTGGGTGCGTGGCGGTTATGTCTCACCCGACCCATGAGCATTCGGTTTACGCAAGTCAATCAAATTCAGCATATCGATGCTGGAGTCCGCGACCAGCTTGAGCACTACAACAGTGAGCAAAATGCTTTCATTTTTTATTGACTCGCCTGACGTCCTTCTAGTTAATCGTGATGTGACCAAGCGAGGACACCCAGAGGTACTCCGTCCTCTTCTCCCAGAGATCAAGGAATTCGGCAAAAAAACCTACTTGAACGTGTTGCATCCAATCCTGAGGCAAAGATATTAACTGTGTGCTCGAGTATGATCTCCTGATAACATATTTTCGCTTAGGCTTATTGCGCGCAGCCTCGAGCTGCCCGAAGACACGCTGGTTAACAGCCATGATTATGACGCCGTCGGCGAGACGTATAGTACATACCTTTTGAAATATTCCATGCTGTTGCTGACTTCGAGCAGCCAGGTTCATGAAGTAGTAAGCGCGTCCTTGGATTCGTAGCCTCCACAAGTTTATGTAGTTTAGCTACCCACGAACAGATGAAGAAGAAAGCAAAACAAAGAACGTTTGGCTGAAGGGACACACGGGTCAGTGACCATATGATCAAGGAGGAAAACCTGTGCTCACCAGTGTCACCGCAAGACTTCGGAAGCATTACAATTTTATGGAGTCAGCCTATCGCCGCACTGCAAATTCTGACCCGTGAAGGCGAATGGCGTTGGATCCGTCATATGGAAAATGCACTTGTAGGTGGTCACGTTTAGTGTCTCACCGCACAACATAACGAAGGGGTTACAGGTTGTCAATGCAGGCGATGCAATGGACTTCCTTACCGGCGGGTACTACAAGGGTACGATTCACCGCGTTGTCCAGCCCCCAGAGGATCAGCGGAACTACACTCGCCTTGGAGTATTCTACTTTGTCATGCCCAATGACGATGTCAAGTTGGTGCCGATGGCCGAAAGTCCAGTGTTGCAAAGAGTTGGAATTCAGAGACGTTGCGATGATAGCGAGGCACCGACGATGGAACAATGGAGGAAAGCGAGGACATCTGCCTATGGCCAATCAGCACTGGAGAGTGGAAAGGATAAAGGCGTAGAAGAAGAGATCATCAATGGGGTGTTAGTTAAGCACTACAACTGAAGTTTGAAACTTTCATGATATTAAATGTACTTGCTGTCTCCTCGGCGAGAATGTTGGCAATATATACAATGCAACAACGCAAGCCAAGTGCAACCGTGCCTACACTGCCTGTTGGGTACTGGATAGCATATGAATTCTAATGAACTGCATACGTACAGAATCCAAACCCTATCTGCGGTTACGTAGCAGCTGGAGTGCAAGCTCTTCCTCGTCTTCAAAGCCCTTGGAATCCTCTTTGGTCGAAGCTGGACGTCTACTCCGCTTGAGTGGCGGCGGCGAGCACTCCACATCATCTTCAGAAGGCAGGTCAAATTCAGGGGATATATATCCGTCGTCATCAGGGGGTGCAAGTTCTGGGATATGGCCATCGTCGCGATCAATCTGAAGAACACATTCTGAGCAAGATCTCGCAACGGGAGGACGCTGAACTTACACCTTTCTCGCGTTCCTTCCGCTTGCGCTTCTTTTCGCGCTTTTTATCCTTAGCTTCCATTTTATCGACCACGTCCGCGCCTTTTAGCTTGTCCTTTTCCCCTTCCACAAAGGCCTTTCCAGCTTCCTTCGCTCCTTCCAAACCTCCTTTGTAGAATTCTGCAGGGTCCACCATCTCATAAATTTCGTGCGGGTTCCCCTCGTCGTCGAATATCAACTTCTGTCCCAGTTGGCCATATTTAGCAACTGCGCGTTTCGTTCTGGACAGCTTGAGCTTCCTCTTCGACAAATTGTCTATCTCTGGGATTGCGTCAGTGTCAGATAAATCGTGATTTGAGCGCTTCAGCGTGATGAAGTCTTCCTCGTCATCAACCGCGTCACCGTGATCAACCAATTTCGAGTAGTGTGCAGAAAGAATATTTTGATTTTTGCGCTCAAACATTCGATCGTATTTCGTGCGCACGCCGGGCTGCAATGCCTGAGTTAGGAACAGTAAAGCGGATGTAATGTCACGCACTTTGGTAGATATGGAAAGCTTTGAATCATCCTTGACCTCGGGGTCGGGAGGAAGAGCAGCGGTAGCTAGCGCATCATCATCGGACGACACAGCAGCCTCTTCAGAGTCATCTTCAGAGTCAGGAGACTCTTGCTTAGCCTCTGCTTCAATCTCGGCCTGAATAGCTGCCACCGTTCGAGATGCGTTCTTTTGTCTTTTTACAAGGTCTTTGTTTAGAAACTTAATCTTTGGCGCGCCCGGCAGGCCAAGAGACTCCGCAAACTTCTCAACGGGAAGCTCGTTGACTTTAAATATCGATTTATCCTTGTAAAGGTGGACAGAACGAACATAGGACACAAAAGCCTAAACCTCCAGATGAGCAGCAAAATTTATTACGCAGATATGAAGTAGAAACATACACGTTGCCCGAGATACTTGATCTCTGGATCCTGAAAAGAAAGTTTCTGGAGTTGGTTTTGTATACTCTGTGTTTTGCTAGGTCTAATCTTGATGTTGTCGATCTTGATACTCTTCTTCTCTAGTGCGGCTTTCATGCCCTCTTCCTCGCTGGGCATGAGGAGTAGCAAGCCATTTCCTGAGCTTTCATAACGCGCGGTTCTGCCCACTCGGTGGATATAGGTGTCGGCGTCCTCTGGAGCATCGACCTGCACAACCCAATCGACCGAAGGAAAGTCCAAACCGCGTGCAGCTATGTCAGTAGCGATTAGGACTGCGTGTTGAGAAGATGTAAATCGAGTGTACATCGTTAGTCTGGCGGACTGTTTCTGTTTTCCGTGCAGATGCAGCAGCGGTATTCCAGGATGCATCTTGCAGAAAGTCTCGAAAACGAAGCGGACTTGTTTCCCAGTCGACAAAAAGACGAGAACCTTGGAGTGTAGGTGGGTTTTGATGAATGACCACAGGACATCAAGCTTCTTGTCCAATGTACAGACAGAGTAATGCTGTGCAAGTGCGTGGGGAGTAGCAGACGAGCCACTGGCTCCATCCACACCGATGGGAACGGGGTCTTTGAGACTCAAGCGAGCTAATTGTGACACGGACTGGGTTTGTGTAGCCGAGAAAAGTAGAGTTTGTCGTGATTTCGGCAGGTGAGAGAGTAATGCAGATAACGTCTTGGAAAATCCCATGTCTAGTATACGGTCCGCTTCGTCGAGAACTTTGCAAGCATGGTTAACCCTTGGCAACAACGTGCAATCCAGAACTTACTGAGAAGTTGCAAGTTATCACACTCGAAGCCGAACGTTTGATCCATGTGCTGCAGCAGTCGACCTGGTGTGGCAACGAGGATATTCATTCGCGCGAGCCGCTCCCTCTCATCCTTCAGATTCTTTCCACCTATCACGAGCCCTGCCGAAAATGAATGAAACGCTCCAACCGAACGCAAGACATCAAAGATTTGTACAGCCTTGGCCATATAACCATTAAGCGACTGAAAAACTAAGGATAGATGGGGCGTACCAGTTCACGGGTCGGTGAAATTATTACCGCGCCTAGACCATCCTGGGGACCCCATTTTCTTCTGTAAAGTATCTCCAGCGTTGGAATGAGAAAAGCAAGAGTCTTCCCGCTTCCAGTGCGAGCAGCTGCCAGTACATCTTTGCCCTTCAAGGAGACTGGTATACTAGTTGCTTGAATGTCTGTCATGTTAACGAAGAACGACTTTTTGAGTCCTATATGTAAAACACGTTATGAACAATCGTGTTCGGTGAGATGTATATGATATATCACACCTTTCTTCGACAATTCGGAAATAGGAAGATCAGAAAAAGCTTGAAGACCGTCTCGCGGCTCCTGACCCGCACTTGAGATGGTGTCGCACTCAGCAAGGCGGAAACTTGAATGACTCACGAACTCCATTGCTGCACGTTCCAAAGCATCAATCTGCTGTTTTTCCGAGAGTTTTTTGGCTTTCGCCAATCGCAATCCGTGCTTCACATTCTTCCGTGGCTTTTTCAACTGCTTCATTGACGATGGGCCTGCTTGATCCGCCATTTTGATGACGACCTGAGGATCGTAGTTGTCTCGGAATTGCAGGAGTTGTGGCCGGCCCAATGTCACACCAGGATCTATGTAGATCCTCTTGAATGTATGCTTACGTCAGCGCTTTTCTGTGTTGAACAGACTTGATTCCATTGCTGCAACAACAGGAAAATGGAATGAACGGGGGTATACACCTCCAGAATAAGGAAGTTGGCGCAAATTTTCAGAGAATGCGAGTAAGAAACCAAGAACGTTAGAATGTAAGAATGCAATTAAGCGTGATAAATCCTGAACGAAGGAGAGTTAAACAAGTGTTGTGAGGAAGCTATACATTTGTATACAATGATGAGTGTCCCAACTATGAGATGTAGGATTGAGATGCAAATGATCAATGCACGAGGTGATGTTTGTGAGTAAGGATAGAACAGCCAGCGTAACTTTAAGCAGAATTTGGGAATTCCTGGTGAAGCAACCAGAATTAGATGTGGAGGAATGACATTGGAGACGTGGACATCTCAATGACGTTTCTGTGCTACAGTTGGCGGCACGCCACTCTGCTGTTTTTCCCTAATTGACCAAGGGATGGAGTAGAAGCAGAAGTTGCGATGGCCGTGATTGTGGCGCCGCTATTGGTCGTTCCGACAGGTACTGGAGGTGGTTTTCTTCTCTTAGGCGGGGCAGGTGCCGGCCTTCGAACCTTGCGATTGACCGACGTGGCTGGAGGAAGGCTCGAACTGGGTGAAGGATGTCTCGGTTGCTGCACGAGAGCGCCCTTCTCTGGGTAGAGTGTAACAGTGACATCATCAACAGAACTAGCTTTCTCTCGTCGTCTAGGTGCAGGAGTGGTTGCAGCCGCTAAACTCGTCGCACTGTCTGTGCTAGAACGCATAAATTTGTCTGTTGCCGATCGTAGAGAGGGCAGTCGGGGAGATGTGGGAACGTGTATGCTTTCAACACTTCTACTGTGTTTTAGGACCTTCGACTTCGAACTCAGTGTCTTGGAAGCAGAGTTATGTTCCACATCTGGCGAAGTTGGTGCTCGAGAGGACACATTGTCTTGTGTCGTGGACGCAATGACGTCATGACTCGGGCTGCTGTGTCGAAAATCCCCTTGACGCTTGAGTGCCTCTTTGTCGTGCGTTGTCTTTCGCAGCTGCACACACCACTCGCCTCCAAGACATCGTTCGACCAAACGTTTCGTTGTGGGGTTGATGTCTCGGATATTTCCATTTTGAATAAGCGATTCCAGGGCAAGAACAATTTGCGGACGTTTATATGGCACGTTTCGCATTTGAGTCTTTGTGAGCAGTGGATGCAGGACGCGAAGATAGGTATGCCGAAGCTGTGAAGAATAAATTCAGACTACTTCTGTGTGCGTCGCTGCAAGACTCACAGGTTCACTCTCCTCATCAAGGTCAACCAGCTCGCGTAGGAAGACGTCCACAAGAACACGGAGATCGTTTGTATAAAAATATTCTGATGTTGCTCCGTTGGTGAAAAGAATATAAAGAAGTTTGAGTACCAGAAGTTGCATGCACAAGTCTTCGGCAGATCGTGCTATGAAACGCACATCAGTCGGTGACACGACGATGCCCTTGAACTTGAATTACTCACAAGCACGATTGAGCATGAATATCATATTTTCACCGAAAGTCTTGCTAGATCCGAGACGAGATATCAGGACCATGAGCACTCGATTTTGCGACTCTGGCTCCTTGGCTCCAGGCTGTTGGTTATTGCCTAAACATGCTACCATAAACTGCTCATTCAATGCAACCTGACAAGGAGGGTTAGGTACGAACTTCATAAAAATTCGGCACTCTCACGATCAATTTAATCACAGAATAATTCAAAGTTTCATCGGACATAAATCGAGTCTGCTCTACAAGTTCAAACAAACTGTCGATAAACTGATCGTTGAAAACACCTGTGCATGGTGTCGGTCAAAAAGCAGATCACCATTGAAGCAATAGAGGCACATACTCAAGTCCTGCACAGACATTTTCTGGACCCGACACACTTCATAGAGTAGCCTCACACCCAGGCTCCTCAGCATGGCCTCTATTGGTATGTGACCGATCACTATGCTGGAGCGTGAACCGGAACCACTTGATATGGATGGTGCACCAAGATAGACGTCCTCGGTATCTGGGTTTATTTCCACCAAAACGTGATCCATGAGAAGCGGTATTAGTGGTTGCCAATGCTTATGGGAGCGAATAAAGTTCGATTGACGGCGACCGTGGAATAATAGTACGCTGTACAGAATGAGCTGTGAGTGCGGATCTGTTTTCTGTAATCTAGCTTCAGTATAGGAGGAATGGTATGCGGGGGTTCTGCGCACAGACTCGACATCTTCGATGGCCAACTCACACATGCGTTCAGAGTGAAACGCAAACAACTCGGAGTCGAGCAGAAGACTGCATGCATGTTCCAGTTGCATTGGACTTTGAAGGAACTGTTCTGGAAGTAGATATGAACATAACCAGAGGGCTTGTGCAATTGTGACGAAGCTAACCGTGATAGGAAGCACAGAGGGACACAAACCTCCTGAGTGCGGTGTCTAACATGGATAACGTGGCAGATCCGTCGCTGGGAACTCGAAGGACGTCATCAAGCTCTAGAAGTGATAAATGTAGCGCGCGATTGTAAGTTCGAGCCTTCTCCCATGTCCTAAAGAGACGTTTAAAACTTGTAATACGACGTACCTGACCAAAACTGTTGAGCATTCTCTATAAGATAGACAATCCCGAAATCATCTTCAGCAAGCATATTGACTTTTGATCCAGATGTCTGCACAAGCATGATTCTAAGCGCCGCACGGGCAAAACAGAAGGCGGGTAGGAAGTGCACTGCGATGTCGGATCAGACTTTTTGTAGCTTTGAAGATCTGATTTCTGAAAACGAAATTTGCAGAAGGACGGCATCCACTGATTCTTCGCGACAATTCCAAGCTAACCAGAGCGCTGAGCGGCTTAGTGAATGGCGAACAAGACGGTGTGGAGATCGTGGGCAATAGGTTTAACAGTGACAGCCTGTGGAGTTTCGGGGTCTTCACGTGGCCCAGCGTGGCCCCTCCACCACTTGCTCCGGGTCTTTCTCCTCGTCTACGAGGTAAGTTCTGTCGATTTTATGAATTCTGACTCCTGTTCAAGCAATACATCCAGAGCTCGACAAAACTAGTTGCCAGTCTTGTAGTTTCGCATGTCCTCCCACAAATGAAGCCATACACGTACTACGTTAATGGTGAAACGTACCACGACTCTCCCGGGCCGGTCACTTCCTCTTGGCACCCGTTCATCGGATATCGTTCTAACTAACGTTCCTGGGGCCCCTCGACGTCTGATCTCAGCGAGCTGTTGCGGGTAGGCACAGGCCTGACCGCGCAATCATCACGTTCACCCTTGTATTTTTAGTACGCACACATCTTATTTTTGATCCTTGCTAAGACTTCCTACATACCTGTCAAGTGTTTATGGTGCAGATATCTCTCTGAGCTGAGCCAGCCCAACATAGGTCAAGTAACTTGCTCTCGGCGCAGTTGTCTATCTGATGTCAATTCCCTTCGCCCGTCGTTTAGTGGACCAATTTTACAGAGCGGACTTTGTTATGGCCACTGAACGGCCACTCGATTCACCCGCGGTTGTGGCCACGTCTAGACAATAATCATTCAAGACATCCGCTTCAAGACAACGGCCTTGTAGGTCCTTGCGGACTGGTGCAGGCAACTCATTTTTCACTATCGATGTCCGCCAACAAATGCTTGGAAGTGGATTGGATGCCATGGCGGTAAATAATTTATAGTTCATTCCATTTCCTTAAAACCTCAGCTTCTAGGCGCGGCAGATGTCAGAACCTGTCAAGAACTAAATATTCAACTTAGAAGTACTATAGAGTTATGATTGCTGTTCAGCAAAGTAATTCTAAGCATCTGAACGACACACGTGGAAAAAGGTTTTACATGACTATGATACATGTGAGTACCCGTAAATATGTACTATAGGTATTCCATGAAAATCCCACAACAATAGAGTGTGCACTAATCTAGCGGATCATCCAAACAGTATAGGAGAGACGATAAGATCACCAAAAACAACAGAGATAGTGTCATATGGACGATCTTTCCACTGCTGCAACCAACCCGTAGGCGGCAGCGGCAGCAGCTCCGCCAACAGCCATAGTACTGACTGCTCCCCAAATGTATCCCCAGACACTCCTAGCTGCCCCCGTGACTCGAGCTTTGAAGGCACCAAATATAAGAAGAACTATCCCAGTAAGTATGCAAGAATATTTCAATGCTTCAATTACTTGAGTAATGAAGAAATATGGGAGAAGCGGGACGATACCGCCCAGGAGGTATCCCATGCCGATGGTGAAAGCGGAGATGTATAGTCGGCGATTCGGAATTTCCTCTGAGAAAGTAAAAGGCAACATCAATCAGAATGACTTCTAACGCGTCAATAGATGGCAAGATAAACATACCCATCCCCTCTCCAAATTTCAGTAAGAATGGTGTTAGCCCAGCTTCGTGCTTCATCCCCCGTGGTGGTTTCTCCTCATCGGCAGGTGTGGGTCTACTCCCCTCAAACCCAGATTCTTCCTCCACTCTCCTTAGGCAGTTTGTGACAGCCTGAGAAGTCGATTCATCGACACCGACGGGACTCAAAACAGCATGAACCTCCCTCTCCATTTCCCCGACGCAACTCCGCATTACCCGTGAGTAGGTGTGACGTCGCATGAACCGATAATGGTCCCGCTCAGCCTGGGACGCAAGGAAGCCACCGATTCCCATCGATATGGCACCGGCGATGAGTTCCGCAAGGCCCCCGACAACAACTGTTCTCGTAGTCCCTAAGCCCGACAGACCTGCTGTCAGCGCGAAGGGAACAGTCAGGCCATCCGACAGTCCTATAATGCTATGGAAGGCACGAAACGTGTCAATGACTTGCGAGAAAAGCGCAGACAGAAGGCCGCAACTTGGTAAGGGAAAACTCACACGTCTCGGATAATATCAGGATCTATCAGCATTCTATTGTCTTCGTCCTTGAGGTCCTTGCAACAAACACCATCCTGACGGCCATGTTTATCGCATTTTTCGAGAAGTGGTGGACTTAAGGTTCCATTAGATTCCAGTGACCACACTGGTGGCGGTCTGTTGACCGAACTGCTAGCCATGGCATCTCTGGTCGGTAGGGGAACTGCAGCTGTGGTAGTGCTGTTGGACTCTGGGTGAGTTGAGGTCATGGCTGGTTAATGGGAGGCTTCGCGGCCAACGAAGACAGTAGTAAAGAATTTATGGGAGCGATAGGACTTATATATAACACATGACGGGCGTGAAGGAGCCATTAGAAAAAGGCTGGAATCGCACTGGACAAAGGCTGAAAGCTATCATAGCATGAACGCTCGCCGTTAGTTGCCGGTGGCATTGGCCAATCAAATTGTGGCTATTTGGCACTCCTGCCAGCTGCCATGCAGCACATTCAACGTTCGATCATACTTAATGCCATGATGCACGAACCTCAGTCACACTACTAGAAGTTTTCCAACCTGAATTTCCTGAATCCCCCACAGCATTCGTTTTTCGAGTCTCGACGGTCGCAGTCGACGAGTCACAGTACAATCATGTTTCTACGACATTTAACAGCATTTAAATATCCAAAAACTCAGAGAGTTCACTGCAAACACACTCTAATCGGCACCCACACACAGCTATCGCGTGCGGAGAGGCTCGAAATTTTTGGTGATTTGTCTGCATTGAAAACGCAACAATCTAAGCAATCTACAAAGGTAAATGCTACTCCATTTGGAAGCAGCTAACAAGTTATTTTGAGGTGCCCTTTAATAAATTACTTAGCTGTGTTTCCACCAATCGCAACGCCTGTGTATCGAAGCAATCGTAAGCTCAAGAGGAATCAATATCAATTGCTAACTTAACGTTGATTCAGAATCAGAGCCTCTGGTTGGACGATCACCCGTGATCAGCGGTGCGAGAGAAGTTCATGCTATACACATTCTGTCCACACGTACCATGCCTTCCACGAACGGAGAGTGAACCATGAAGCACCGCGTGTTTCCTGCGGGGTAGCCGCTGAACTTATTTTATCCAGGCACTTTGACCACCCCGAGGATTTTACTGTCCTATCTCATTCCTGAGATACATCTTTCAAAAGTTTCGCTGCAAAAATGGAGGTGAGCATCGTGAGATTGGAACAAGGAGTGCGGCTGTGCTTCACGCACAAGTTTTCCTTTGTCGTTTCAACGTCTGCATTGCGCCATCTTTACGAATTTCTCCGCAGTAGTATCATTCCCTTGGCGGCTCAATGCACCGCGGCCGCGGAGTGTCTTTCCGCTCTTGTGTGTGCGAGGATTTTTCCGCTCGCGGATTAGGGCTACTTATTCGATCTCGCGGAGAAAGAATGTTTGGAGCGCCAAGCACGTATATATCCTCCGCGCCCACAGAACTTGTGGCTGTTATCAGTGCAAGCTGTTCGCCACAAGTTCACAGGATTTGAGAGCGAACGTTGGCGAAGTGAAAAAAAAATGTTAAACTTGTGATACTTCTGATCTAGCAAGATACTCACGCATTTGACGCCCCGGAAAGCTTCTATGCCGTCCCTTGTGGAAAGCGCACAGCTTCAGGGGCGAGATATCGCTTTGAATTGAGCAGGGTTTTCAAACACGCAGACTACCCTTGTGCACGACTGCAGTCATATCATCGTACGACTGGTAGTCAGATCCAGTGAAAATGGGTACTGGGAGCAGATCCTTGGGTACACGACCACTGCGATCAAACGTATGAAGTATTTGAATGCAAATCAGAATACATATCTTCCCAAACCCAAAAACCTGCATTCTAGTCTTTATAGAGAAACGACTGTCTTCATTCTATTGGTATGCCTGAGGGAGACTCCATTCTAGTCAAAATCTGGGGTGTGAGTTGGGGAACCTCATGTTCGGAGCTACTCCAGCCGCTTCTTTTCGTCCCGTAGCCCCTTGTTCCTTGGCGGGGAGCTGCTGGCATTTATTAGCACCACGACACGTGTATCCAGGCGTATCCGCGGAAAGATGTGACGGGACTCGGGCTAAAATGATTGAAAATTGACCCGGAAGATATAGACGAAGAAGGGGAGCTTATTAGTCTTGAACCAACGTTTTGGGAAGATTGATCAACCGCTTCCCAGAACGTCCGACTGTACCTGGTTGTCCCAGACGGCTGGTCTAATGAGGCTAGGGAGCTTGGAAGCCTTGAGATAATTTGGGGGAGAACATGTTCTGAACTCTACTACGGGTCTGACTAGGGGAAACTCAGCGCAGTATGAAATAGCTAGTTCGTTCGTCAGCACCAACATTTTGCAAAAAGAGCATGTACAACTAATGAAGCGTCATTCACTTGAGAGTGATCTATCGGTAGACGGGACATCAAGATTGAAGAAAATAAGCACTCACTGTTGACATTCTCTAGCATTTCGTCTATCTGACTCAGACTCAGTATTGGAGAGGATAATCATATCCATTGACTCGAAAGTCGGAACTCACATTTTATTCATACTGCAGAGCTTCGAATTGACAGGTCAGTGAGATACGACCCGAGTGTCCTCTAACGTTACTGTCCTACACGGCGAACGGCTGCGAGAGCGTCACGGCGGTACCACCAATGAATTGATGATCCTTGGTGTTGTAGCCGTGGGATCTAGAGAAGAATATAATTCTGCTCCAGCAAAATGTGAAGAAAACGGAGTTGTCGATACATAGCCCACAAATTCAGAGTAACGTGAGTGGTCCATGACAATGTCATGACATTCCTCCACTGGCTGGTGTTGGTGAGGTTGAAGATAAAGTGGGACTGCGAGAAGGAGAACGCGAGCAAGAGGACAGACTTGGAACAAAGTGATTGATACAACTTGGACGTCGCTTTGCACACTAGCGCGTTTTTCGTTGGTTCCCCTATGCAAACCAATAGAAGGAAGGCCTTCTAGTACAAAGGTGTTCCGTGGCCACTGGCTTTGCGACACGGACGTTGCAATGGGTTGTCTTATAACACGAGTTGTGCCAAGTATGGACTTTCGAGGCTAAGTGCTAAGTGGCATAAGCTATGGTGTTATAAATGCACATTTATTATTTGCGCGTTCTTGTAAGCCCGTTGGCTTACCTGAGTTCCCATAATCAGCATAAATACTGTCCGCGATAATGAAGCGTGAACTTTCATTATCACTGCCTTTTGGCGTAACGGTTAAGGGACGACAGTCTTGACTACTTATATCAGTTCTTCAGCATTTTGTCAAGCGGGGCTTCCGCGTTTGCGCGCTGTCTAAGTCTTGGCAGCGTGCGCACTTCTAATTCCAGCGCTCCATGATAAGTAGTAGGACTTAGCACCTTCGATACAGGGCGTTATTCAATACTCAAGTTATAGACAAAAGAGTTCAATAAAATTATGACTCTAAACATGAATTAATATAACAAAGACTGCAGGGAGATGGCGGATGTAAGACGTCGCAAGGGATTTGGAGAGGTCACAGGGTAGAAAGGTTACATTTAATAGGGACGCTCACACCTGGGAGCTTACGGTTTATGCTTATCTGTGCTTACAACCCCCCAGTTTGCGCAGACGCAGATTTTATAATACACAGTACTAAGTTACCGTTTGTCATCAATTAACAACTTGCAAGCAAAGATGGCACGAATTTCTCTCCATGAGCAGTATCTACATGCATATATGTTGACAATGGTTCTCCGTAACCTGGCAAATCCAGAATCCCCAGTAAAACAAGCCTGTTCTCGTCTTTCTCGACCTCTGACAGCAAGGTCCATGTCATATCCACGGACCAGTGGACATCGGGAATAGGAGGGGGTGGAGGGTCCTTCTTTCTCATGACGCTAACGAGACTCGGACAATCAATAATCCACTGGCAGAGCGCTCGACATTGGCGGTCACAGCGCTCGCCGACTATACTGGGCATGTAATGTATTTTGGTCTGTTTATACCCATATACAAATCAGATAGTGTTGGGGGGTGTAAGCATAAGCACGGATAAGCATAAACCGTAAGCTCCCAGGTGTGAGCTCCCCTATTGTTACAGATGCTAACAGTAAAGAAGACCAAAACAGACCAAAAAAAAAAACTTGCGTGAAGTTACAAGAGGGCTCGGATGCAGCAAGAGGGGGCAAATGGTGCTGGGAGAGTGCGAATTGTGTCAAGACAGTGCGAGGTGCGAGAGGGCGCAGCACAGGTGCTATTAGTAAAAGGAGAACTATAAAAGCTCACCAAAGAGTATATAAGGTTTTTGCATGCCAAAGAGCACCGAGAGGGTGCAAGAATATGCATTAAAGGCGTAGATGGGATAGCGGGGAAGCGCATCACAAACCTCCTCGGACTCCCAGTGGCTGCTGGCAGCAGTACGTTGGTGGGATACCAGAAAAAGGAATTCTATCCAATTCCTCCCTTCCCAGTTCCCACGCCTCTCAGCATTCTGCTGATCGTTGAAATGTTCACGGGACACCTGCTGCTCAACGATGACAACACTAGTACTGGTGTCATGCGTGGCACTAATATTGGCAAATCTTACAGCAGGACTGGCACGAGACAGTATGTTCGTCGGTTTTTTCAAGCCTCTGACAACTCCGTACCATCCATATTGGTGGTCAACCCGTACTACAAACTCCAAAGGTTCCATGAACCACAACTCTTGAAGAAGGTCGTCCGAACTGTCGAAGGATGTCAATCTTGATGGGGCTGTTACTTATGGTGCCGCTTCCCTATTTCCCACCCAGTTTCATCGGCTGCCGCCCTGACTTCGAGGTCGTTGAAGTTAGCGAGGCGGATATCCTGTAGTTAGTGTTGCCGCGAAGCGAACTGAAACGAATCAAAATTAGATACACTTCGGTACACTTCAATGTGGACGAAGTAAGTCGAAGTGCGCTTCGTTCCACTTCGCGAAGTCGGCAATGGGCGGGACAGTTGGCAGAAATAATAGCCTTATGATATCATCCGAGAGACCAAGTACTAATCCTCATTCTTATTCACGAATTGCTGAGTGCATCGAGCTTGCTTGCTGCTACGAGCTTGTTTATGGTATTCCTAGTCACAGGTCCCGAAAAATTATCCACTTCTTCAGTAATAAAATCCGACATGGAATTCAGCCGGTCTTGCTTGTAAGAGAACTTGAGGATTTGTAGTGCCTCGAGCACCGATGATGATAGATTGGCACGCCGAAGTGTGCACATCTCTTTGCTGGAAGAGAACTCGGAAGGCACGTTCAAAACAGACAGATGAAGCTTGTGCAGGAAGGACATCCATTGCGACGCGGAAAGGCAGCGGGAATGTGCTCTTTTTGTATACAGATATGCCATTGATTCAAAAAAAAACAGGTAAAAAAAAACTGAACGGCGCACATACTTGCGAGAGACTCGTCCTAAACCGAACATCAGCTGTGCATTCAGCACCAAGAAGTGCTGCTTCTTCGCAGTGCTGCAGTTCTCGTACAGTATCTGTCCTCTTTTCCTCTAAATCCCGTTGCAATTGCTCTTCCTGTGTTAACATTGGAGTCGACTGGCTGAATGATAACTTGAAGGAGGGGCTCAGGGGAAGTGGCGGTTGATGACGAGGTTGTCAAACATCCATAGTCGAACACTCCTCGTCAAGCGCCTGAATCCTGCCATCAATGATTGCGCAGATACGGATGTAGGATCACTTGTAGAGTGGGCGGACTGTAAATATTGATAGAGACAGGAGGCGCATAAAGGGCTTTGGATTTGTAGTGATAATGGTTGATCTATTTGATAACTTCAATTCACCTCTCGATCGAAGTGAAGCGAAGTTACCTCGAAGTCGCTTCGCTTCGACGGCAACACTACCTGTGGTGCGTAGCTGCATGCCGTTTCGCATTTGCACGTCGTCATGAAGTTCGACGGTGACCAGTTCTGGGCCTCTGAGCTGGCATGCCAAATTTTCTCTTATCTTCAGTGTGGCAGCTTAGGCGCTCATGTTCGACATAGTACTTACCATAACCACATCCTGTAGTTTTTTTTTACGTTTCATATCTTGCACTGTACATGTATTTCTGCGTACCACTGGTAACGGACTTTTGAATGCCGGCCTTTTTAGCCAACCTTGATGACTACTTTGTACCCGGGATTGCTGAGGTACTAATACTTTCACATATTAGAAGTTAACTTCGAGTCTTCAAACCCTGTCCAACGATGGAGATTAATATTGAGTGCTGTGGTGGCGCGCACGAGGTTGTGAAGACGACGCGCAAGCTCGAGAAAACGCGCAGCGCGCAAGCTGCGGAACGCGCACTATGATAATAAATGTGCATCTATAATACCATACTACTACTAAGCAGTAGTAAGCACGGACACCGTCTATCTCCGCCTACTAATCTGAATCGGATCAACCCCTTCAAGGTATAAGTCGACCGCCACCACTTTTTCCGACACAAATACTCTTGGCCAAGGTCCGATTGCGTAGTAGTATGTACCACGCGGCACGCCCCACCTCTAATTGGCAGATCTATTTTAACAGGGTAGTCTAACCATATCCAACAGAAGACAGACAAATCTCGCGTATTTCCCTGTATTTTCCCATGAGGCAACCAAGTTCTCTCGAAGGTGTAGAAGAGTCTAGTAAGTCGTGGACTCGTGAAGGCTTCCTTTTCATCGAGATAACGCCTCCGCAGGGCTCCTGCCGTAGCGGGCGCACCAATACACTAGTATTAGTACAGACAAGTGGCACTGCGGTAGTATTAGTGCAGCAAGTGGAGACTGACTGTGGAGTGCCACCAAATCGGTAATATTCATCCCATCATAATCGGCACGTCATATCGAAATTACAGACCACGGTGAACAGCCGCGATGATCTGATATATGAATGCGCTGCTGACGGGGTAGCTTGTACTACTTAGCGCCCATGCGACTGGGAAGTCCGAATATATTCAAGCGTGAAGTGTTCGATGCATTGAACTTGATTGAAGGAATGTACATACATTTTTTTTTACTGAGACTCAGCACCCATACTTATGAATTACTCTTGATTCAATGCCCCAGCGCATCGTTGGCCCCCGCGGTTCAAGTTGAAGTATATCCGTGCAAAACGCGCTAAAATCTCATAAGCTGCGGGCGATGCGATGTCCGGCGAGTCAACTTATTGAACGCGGATCAATCATCACAGCGACATACACACTATAGTGGCTATATATAGCGGTTCCAGTACGGCAACAAGTCAATGCTATAACGCTCGGACATACCTATCCCTTACAGCGTTGGCTCCATCGATACCAGCCATAGGTTTTGGACTAAGCGTGGCAGTACTTGCTCGCCTTGGCTCAAATAATGCTAGTCTCTCAAGATGTGGTAATTATGGATGATTTTCAAATTGCTATGCACGCTAAAGCCTAGCGCGCTATAAAGCGAGCAAAGCTGAAGTGAAAGGCCTCATCACCTCCTCTCTACAGCAGCTTCAGCCATGGTTAACACCACTACCACGGCGGGTCTCATCGGTGTTGTCCTTTTGGCTCGCCACGGCGATAGGACGGCATACTACCAAGACCCCAATACATACAACTCCACTCAAGCATACATCACCCCTCTTGGAGAGGTGAGAGTTCTATGTTATAACGCTGGATCTTGCTCATGAATGTTTAGACACAAGAATTCGAACTCGGCAGCTTCCTTCGTAACATATATCTCAATCCCGATTCGTCATCTTTCATCCAGAATATCAGCACTGACGTAGTAAACGTCGATCAGCTGGCAGTTCGCGCAGATGCTGGTGGAGGAAATGTTATCCTTAACTCCGCGTATGCTCTACTTCAGGGTCTCTACCCATCTACATCTAAGTCAGAGATGACCTTGGCGAATGGAACAACGGTCCTCTCCCCTCTTGGAGGATATCAGTATGTTCCAGGCAAGTTGGTCGCAGTTGCTCTTATGTCCTCTAATTAATGTGCTACAGTGGAATCTTTGGAGTTTTGGCAAAGTCCGGCTCTCACGAGCTGGATGGAATGCGAGGTATGAAAGCTATCGTATCTTCGGGATATCACTTCATAACGCTCGGGAACAGTATTTCCAATACCATCTAACCCGAATCTACGCTTCATCTGCATTCATAAATATGTCCACCACTGCCGCGCCCTTCCTGACTGCATTGAAACCTTACTTGGGAGGTGTCAACAACAGCTTGACGAACATGGTATGTTATTCCATTGCGTTTTTGAAAGCTTTTCTGACATAATTGTGCAGTGGAATGTAAGGGTTCATTTAAACATTTTCAGACTTGGCCCATATTGTCTCGCAGATATACGACCATGTGAATGTTCAGTACACCTATAACAAGACCTATTACGAAACCCTTCCTCCCACCTTCCTCGAGCAAGCTCGTTATTATGCTGATTGGGTCCAACGCAATGTCTTCACCGATTCTGCGCAAAATGGCGTGGGCCAAAGTAGGTTAGATTCAATAGGAAAATGTGTTTTTACTAACGTTTCCACAGTTCCCATTCGCACACTCCTCCCAGAGATCATCTGGGCCTTGGGTAACATGACCAAGGCTTCTAACAAAGTCAAGATGTCTATACAGGAGATCGATTACAAACCATTCATAAGTCTTTTCAATGTCACGAACGCCACCTTGGCCGACCCCGATATTGCTGGTATCGGTCAGTATCAATAGTGTATGGGTCCAGCACTGCAGGCTGATACGCAATTCACAGCTGACTATGCTTCTGTCGTTGCCCTCGAGTTGTCGCAAAACTCGCAGGGTCAACATGAGGTCAGCATGAAGTTCAAGAACGGTACTGAAAGCAGCCAGTTCCGTCAGCTTACAATGTTTGGCAACACGAGCATCACACTGGACAGTTTTATTCACCAACTTGATGTGAGCCGCTCGTTATAGCACGTATGATTTCTTGCTCACAGTTTCAATTAGACGATTACCATCAACTCTACCAATAACTGGTGCTTCTCCTGCAATCAAACTGTCCTTCGTGGATGCTCTGTCTTTAACTACAGTAACGACCCCTTCTTGAACCCTACGGCTACAACCAACACATAGATGTCATAAAATCACGGATGCCTTTTAGTTTACTGAGATGTAAAATAATATAATTATGTTTGTGTTTTAAAGACCACAAATAAACAATCATTCTCCTGGAACTTGACTTGAATGAAGTGGAATTTCAAGCGGGTATGTAGAACAACATTGATGTCGCTCGGAGTGCAATTTCCCGCGCTTGGCCATGCTTTCGAGGACGAATAACTTTCCAAGGTCCAAAGTTCCCGTTGCATTCATCTGAGAGACATGCTTGCGGTTTCCAGTACGGACAGAGAATATCGATTTTACTTGGCCTCCTACATATCTAAGACTCACCTACCTAACCAGGTTACTTACATACTCGGGTAGGCGCTGTGCTTTTTCCTAATAAAGGGTAGTTATAAGTTATCAGTCCTAAAGCCCTGGTGTGTGGCCAGTAGCTTGCAATGAACGCAGCAATAAACACGGTTGTTACTAATCACGTGCTTCTGTGACCATAGTGAACTCTTCGCAGTACTTCCTTCAAGTTGTCTTCACCACGCCATGTCAAGATCGCCCAGGAAAAAACGCGATACCTGTGCTGCCTTATATTCTGCTGGAATACATTGCGGTATGCCGACTGTCGATGGTGCACTTTGGTGCCCGCGACACAATGAGGTTAATTCCCCAAACACACGGTGATAGTACCGTAAGTATTGTGTGGCCTTGAGCTTAAATTCCGTTCTAGGAACGACTGAAACTGTATACGAACTACAAGGCGCATCATACGCTGCTCGACGCGTTTGTCGATAATCCGGCGTGCAACGATGTCACGACGATCATGGCGTGCACCGCCCTTCCGCTCCTCAAGGACTGGAATGATTCCTTGAGGCTAAAATATAATTTGTTGACGAGGTACATGACTTTATGAGTTTCAGTTCATTGTCTTCCGCTGAGTGCCGAGTGGAAGATGTATAGAAGCTCGAGTCTACTTCTCAGAGCGTTTTTTCGGGTGAGTGGTGTCCCAAGTAGCACTTGACTCGCTTCATTGATCGCATTGATGATAGCAACGACATGGTACGAGACGTTTGCATTGCATGTGGAACCTGATTTCACGTGCACGGCACTAGGACTTTGGTCACAAAGCTTTCTGGGAATCCCTAGTCAAGAAGCGTGCTGAAGTCGAAAGATTAATGTACTACGTCGAGACGCGGGCTTATCAACTCATCCTACAGGCACAGAACGCGCTTTGGGTCTTGGATCGCGACCCTGATGTGCACGAATCAGCAGACTGTTCAGGCTATGGCGACGAGTCCCTTGGTCGTGACGCATCTTTCCACTCCATAGAGAGCGACCGAGGTGCAACTGTCGAGGATCCTCTAGAGGCAGTACTGCGCGAGAAGGCGGTAGAATTCCTGGAGAAGATTAGATTCCGTCTGGCCCGCTATTGCGCTCCTTCCACCTCGAAGTACCACGACGAACGACTAGAAGTCATATATGCCTACGTGCGCCGCGGAATTTTTACAGAGCCAGCTCTTATGTTCCTATCCCAGAGCTACGATAGCGTCATGGCACTTCTCAGCGATGATAACCTGGACTTGGTGACCTTGGAAAAGATCTGGAATGCTGTCAAAAATTTGTGTGTCCACGATATCAGAGATGCGGTGGACGACGTTCTGCGGGCCAACGGCGAAGGCGACTACATCGTAGTCTTGGGGGGCAAAGTGTTCAAGGACGCCAGTGGGGAGGAGTGGCCTTTGCACGCCTGGGGTCATATGATGGCAATTTATCAGTGTTACTCCTGCCTCCGTACGACGTGTAAGACGGTACGTATCTATACAGTCGATCTGTGAGTTACTAGCCTATATTCCAGTTTCCCAGGTGGACGAAATCATTGCCATGACTCGACTTGCCCTGTTTTCTGAGGCACCCCTCTCCCAAGGGTGTCTGAAGTACGACTACGGCTTCCACGGTGCGAAAGAACTGATCTTGGCGGGGTTCATTCCCAGTGACATACCGCTCTCCTCACCCCGACACTCCCTCATCTGCACGGATAGCGGCTCCCAGTCTTTCGGGCCCATCTGGGAAGAGACGAAGCGCAACCTGTCCCTGTACGCCGCCCTATCTCTAAACGATGCCAAAGCACAAGCCTTTCTCAACGGCTGCATCCGCCATCCGGACCTCATGGTGATGTTACGCAAGGGCGCGGACGGGCGCGTCATCCGCTCGCGGCCGGTCGTGTGGACCTCGCGGAGGCGACACGCGCGGAGCCGGTCAGCGCTCGCGTCCATACCATGGGAGAAGACGCGTGATGTTGTGCGCTGCCAGGACAGTATCCTGGAGGAGGCGCAGCCGTCGGGGTGGAGCCACGAGAAGATCGCAGACTGCTTGATGGTCGTGCTCGTTGACGGCGGCGAGGGCAACATGGCCGACTTTGTGCGTAAGCTGGTGGATATCTGGTGCGAGGTATACCATGTCAAGAATAAGGAGGAGCTTTACTGCGCATTGGAGACGCCGTTCGTAGAGGCCGGGGAGCTCGAGAAGTGCACGTGTGGCCGGCACGAGGTCTCGTTCACGCTGCCGACTGTGCATGGAGACGTGATGAGTGCGTATGAGAGTTTATGGGGGACGCCGCCACCGCCGTGGTTGGTGGAGAATCCGAATAGGTTCCGCCTGGCGACCAATTCGTTTTGAACGAAATCCCTTGTCATCTCGACGTCGTTTTCATTCCATGAGATAGTTTCCTTCACGACAATCTACTTATGAAAGCAACAACGCACTTGTAATAGGAGTCAAATAATTAGTTGTGTATAATTCGTATCATAGCACCCCACCCCCTACTTTAGATCATACCCTGTTATACCTACGCATAACATAGGCCATGGGTGGTAATCTCTTATATCTCGGCCAATCCAGATCCATAGCATTATTCATAAATACTACAGTATGCAACAGTACTGTATCCAGAGCAACAACCTACCCTAAAAATTCTCTGCACAAATGTGTTAGCTGAGCCTGGCAACGGAGAGAAGCTGAAACGCACCCTTGCCGAAGAAGAAACGCGTGCCTTTGGGATTGGAGTATTTATTGGACATCTGGTGGAGCTGCCTGGAGAGTACTGGGGGACCACAGAAGAACTAGAGAAGGACGGGTGAGCGGACATGACTTAAAAATAACGATGAGCTACGAACCACCCCAACGTCAGTTTCAGGGTGCTTCTCAACCATGGAACCGAACACCTTGTCCCAGTTTGGCCTGCCGAAATGAGTGGGAGCACGCAAAGAAGTGATGGCATCCTTCTCTGCACCGACATCTTGGACCTAAGGAAAATGCAATTAATACGGAAACCCCCGAGAAAAGGGGCGCAGCGCACGATGATGTTATTCATGTCATCCTCCTTGATCTTCGCAGTGAGGTAAATATTGATCTCGATCCGATTGGACGTGTCCTGCTCTTCGATAGCCTGCAGTAGCGAGTGGAACCACTCGGCGCTGCCAAAGTCGCGGATGACCCAGGTGAAGTAGACCTTAGAGAGACGGGTAGGCTTGGAGTTGTTCAGGTTGTTCATGCGGTACCAGATTGACTTCAGAATGCTGAATTAATACTGTCATTAATGTCATCAAGTAGTTGAGTAACGTGATACGCACGAAGCGAAGGGCGTGACACCAATACCAGCACCAACGAGGAGGACAGTCTCGTAATTCAGGAAGTCCTCGCTGGCACTACCGAACGGTCCGTCAACCATGACACGAGGGAGCACTCGGTTGAGCGGCGGGTTTGTGTTCGTGCCAATAACCTTTCCACCACTAGTGTCGGCATCTTTGGATTCCTTAGAGTCGAAGTTGCAGCCTACAGCCTTCGCAAGCGCAGAGGTGAAGTCACCAACGACACGGATATGCACAGAAATGTAATCCTCTTCCGGAGCGCTGTACTATTATAAGCCTTTCTTCACAAAAACGGATTAAAGAGTCGGCTTACCTCGTAAGCGTGAAGGGGTGCCACTGGAAGTAAGAAATCTCTGGGCAAGATATGAAGATGTATTGCCCCGCCCGTGTAGTGGTCTTCTCCTTTTTAATTTGGATTTCAATGACTTTCGACGGGTGCTGGATGACCTTGGAGATAAACGTCTTGTGACGTGAGCGAACTTCGCGCAGAATGCGCTCGTACGTCCAAATGAGGCCACCGACAAGCCAGTATCGCTGAAAAATTTGTTGTCAAGGGATGTCGTAAAATTGGCTTGTCAAAATTCACGTACCCAGAAGACACCTATAGAGTTGAAGGAACAGAACGGTTGTCTGTCCGGCTTGATCATGCACCACATACCGTGGAACTGCCAAGCGAGGAAAAAGACGACGAACAGATGGTGTGTATACCAAAACCTCTCAAAGTTGGCACGGCGCCTCTTCTCCATGGCGAACCAGACCATGATGCCCAAGGCAGCGGTCATGATCCAACCCGTAGCACCAGGACCGGTGGCAAAATTTGCTCGCAAGAAAACAATCACACGCTTGCCAAAAGTAGTTGCGTTTGGATCAGCGAGGGCGAGTTTGTAGAAGTTGCCCATATGAGCAGCGATGTGGATGACAGTAAATATAACCATGGACCAGGCTGTTGCCTTGTGGAAAGTTATGTTCTTGTCGAATGGAATAAATTGGTTAAGGGGTGTTCTGCGAAGCAGGGAGATGAAGTTTCGGCAGACTGGCAATAGAATGAAGATGACATCGGTGTGTAGTACAAGTGCTGCAGCTCTCGCAATAGCTGTAGCAACATTAAAAGAAGGAAACCTGCACAAATTTGAATGCTTACGATAGGTTATGCCAAAAGTTGCGCGGGCACCGGTGAGGTCGTCACTGAGCTGGTAGTTCATGAAACCGAATGCAATAACAAGCATGTGGAAGAAAATCCAGGCAAAGAAAAAGAGGCGTTTTCCACCCTCGTTAATCATCCACCAGTCAAACTTTTGACCGAGAGTACGAGGACCATCGGGAACTTTGAGTGCACCGATGCCAGCATTTGGTAGAGGCTGCTGGATACCCTGGAGGCGAAGGCGCTCTGCTTTGTTGCGCTGGAGGTGGCTCGGTGGGATAGAATTGAGCGCATAGTCACCTGCGCCGTCGACGAAGGGGTCCTGATCTCTGAATGGATTGCGGTCTTTAAAGTCAAGACCGGATGACCGTTTGAAGGACATGAGTTATTCCGGTCAAGGGTTAAGTGATACAAAGAACGACCTGCGCGTATAATGAAAGGAAGGACCTGCCTACTGATATGATAGAGAAAACTATTAGGGATGGAGGGGGGGACCACGATTAGAAAGTTGGTGACAAGGCAACCCTATGTATATTGTTTCTCAATATCAATCATTCCCACGCTTGCTCGCTTGTGTCGTTACATCCAGACGTTTGAAAGCTATCAACGGACAAGCGGATGCTGTTTTCTAATTTCTGATGCCGACCGGGCCTTTCTTCCCATCAACAAGGCTGCGCCCTCTTGTCCGTTCCATCATATCAGATAGCAGCAGGCGGTGTATTTGCTGCGCCTCATTTGATGACAGGAAACATCATGATCGTCCCCATCCTATACCCCGGCCATCCTCGCTGTTCCCTTATGTTCCCGTGCTTCAACACCAGGTTCATCACTATCCCATCACCGCTCAATCAGAATTGATGGGGCAGGCTGTCCAGATGGCTCCATCGCTAGTGACCTAATACCGGACCTGACTTGAGCCTGAGGCCCTGAGTCGACAGATATCTGATTACAGGATGGTCTTCTCAAGCTAGTTGGATTACTGCCGCGGCCCCAAGCGTCCAGGGGATCACTTGTTGTATTCCTATGACAGGGAAACGATAGCGCGAAAAATTAGGCGGTCCCAGTAGGTGCTGAAATTCCAACATCAAAGGACAGCAATGACACAGCATACGGCCTACATGACATGAACTAACCCAGGAGCCCACTTTCATTGACGTATTTAGCGTTCCGCCAGTAGGTCCATGTCCTTGAAGAGCGCATCAGACAAGGTGCAGCGGGACTACATGATGAAACACGCGGGAGATCCGGCAACACAGTGATATTCATTGCACCAGTCCCCGTAAAGTTGGTGTACGTCAAGTCGCTGAATTGGACTTGCAAGGCCCTGTTTTTCCTGTCCGTTGCAAGCTGTCGTCATGTCCAGATAAAAAAAAACACGCGCAATTCGTCTGGAATCGGTGGATGGGCTCGGCGACCTTGTCGAGCATAACATTGCGAATGTACCATGCGGATGATGATTCAATCGGTGTCTGCAACTTTCAAGCGCATCAAGAACACGTACCAATACAGTTGGAGTACGCCCGTTTGTTCCATCATCGTACGCCAGTGTATTCACAAACCTTTTTTACGTCCCGTTGCAATCACGCAAACCTGCAACATGCTCCCCTGACCACGTTAGGCTGAATCATCGAATCAAGGTGAACTAATATATAGGAGGGCTTACATTCAGTCGCTTTGTTCACTTCTCCCAGTAATTTTTTCATGAGCACGTTCTCACTATCGTCCAACTAGCAGTCACAGTAATCCAGTCCCCACGATATATGATCAGCAACCACGCCGGGGCGAATGACGGGCGACATATAACACACTAGATAAATATACTACTCCAAGGAAAGAAGGCCACACCGCTCCCCTCGTGACAGGTAACACGATGGACGATTAAGTTTGTCATGTTCTGGGTTGTCGATGTGGTCTATATCCGACATTGTGCTCGGAGCACGATGGAAAGCACTTATGCTGAATGGTAAGACAGTGAACGCCGATGTTTGCATTCGGGAGTTACATCAGGTTCCCAAACACATGGTTAAAATAACGAGACTGACATCCCGGTTCAGATATAAAGCATCTTTAAACCCATTCATAGCTCAGCGAGGAGTATACAGCAGTTAAGCAGCTGCAATGCATTTCTATACCTATTCATAGCTCAGCGCTCAGCCTGTACACCATCGCATTTATAAATTCTCGACAACGTACCGTCCGTACTGGTGTCGGGCACGACACTGACAACCCTAAATTAGTTCCTTTGCAGCAAGAATGAATGCCTGCTTAATGTTTAACGTTTCCCATGGGCTTCAAGGTTCAAGGTTCGTTTTTGTCGCTCACATTATGTCATCTACACGATGTCACTCAAGTCGGCAATGGACTCAGAGGGCCTTCGATGCGAAACACGCGTCCGCATAGCATCACGGCAAGGCCTGGACAGCCATCGCCATCGAACCGCGGTACCGTAGTAGTTCAAATAGTTCCACCAGGGCTGCGGGAACCAGCGAGAACCCTGTTAATCGAGTCTTCGATAGGTAGATCCATACGATGAACGCGGCTGACCTGCCCACGGTTGTCATTGATGCCTTCGTTCTCGAACTTCACGCGTCAACGTGGAAGCCGTGTCCTGAAACGACAAACCACGATGCCTGCTGCTGGATTAACACCACTCGATACGTGTTATCGGCATCATGATATTTGTGTGCCTGGAACTGGATGAAAGATTATGCAGCCAGTCAGTGAACGTTTTAACAAGCACCGCGCTTACATCTGCTTACATTTGCCATCACGATCAGTCAAATTCCTTGATTCAAGTTGAGGTACTTCAAGTTGCTGACACTGCATAGTACGTCACAATAAGTACTTTCCGTATGGTACTCCGGAAGTCTGACCATGTAAGTATTCCAACGAGGATCGTATCACCTGAAGTAACGGAAACACAATCGAACAATTCCTGAGGTCTACCCGGAGGCGCTGCGTTTGTGCTTCTTGCACTGTAATAGTATTACATAGAAGATGGTCGGTGTTGCCTAAGTTCATTTGGCAATCGGATGTATCCGAGTTCGGGACTCAGTTTGTTGTGTTAACGGTTCGCTACGGGAACCATTCAAGTTATCGACTTCCAGTTATTTATACCGCAAGAGGAGCTCCAGCTGTGATGACGGCGACGAGTAAATGTGGTTATTGCAGTGAAACAACTCGTGCCACATCATGATCAAGGAGATTCGAGAAGGACACATGAAGGGTGAGGCATCGAACGTTTGTCTCATAATATTGTACACTCTCCGAGGTTACATAGCTCACAGTCCGCACTCGCTTAAGGCTGCATAGTCGAATTAGCTACCTGGAGCTTGCTAGGAACCAGGACTCGAATAGGATTGGTGGCGAAGTGTGTCTGATTCAGTCATGAGGCGATCCTATCCGCGATGAACGTGCGGATATCGGGTAGACTTCCACATCGCGTGGAGTTGGCCGGAGTGCTAATACGGCATATGGTCCTTTACCAACAGGCCCACAGTTCCATATTGCCGCAGCGAACCCCATCGTTGCACCGCATCATGAGGGGCTCGACCCGGGATGCTCCTGGCCCAGGTAGAAGACGAGCATCTAGATGAAGACGAACAATGTTTTTGTACGACTTGAAAGTAAATGTTCACGGCAGAAAGGTCTTGACCTGCCGAGGACACGAACACAGGCATCTCGCCAGCCATGCTGCAGAACAGCCTTCACCCGTGCCCATTTTCGAGTCTAATGGTTCCCGAGCGATTAACTTTTGCCTGTCCGGGGGCGGTGTCGGGGCTGCTACTCGTGCATGGCAGTGAGTTCTTGTCAGTTCAGTGAGTTCTCGTGTGACATACTGTCTGACAACAGTGGAATACAATGTTTGGAGTTAAGGCCTGAGGGCAGTGACATTCAGGCAGTGCTTCACAACATTCGAAAGTGTGAATGCGCTCCTTTTCTCGAGCCTCGCAGCGTGCTCATTTCAGCTGCTTCGATCAATGTCGCACTTTACAATGTGCCCCTGCTGTACAAATCTTCCATGAATGAATCTATGGGTGGTTCGATATGTTCCGAGTGCTTCTGTCCCATAGACCCTGGTTGGCTTCAGGATATTCCTACATATCATCGCTGCACATCGTAGCGCAGTGCAGGTGCCACGTGCATGCTGAGGTTCCATCCTTTATAATCCGACAACGTCTTACAGGCACTGACTAGCACTCAAGTATTATTTTGTATGCATATCTCAACCAGATGTCGAGCTTCGTACCTGATCCTCTCGACGATGGCCCTCCACCCTTAGGACCCCGGAGAAACAAAACCTCAAGATTAGTGAAATGATACAAGTCGTCGTCAATGGTATGTACCATCGATCTGTATTTAGCATGTACCAAGAATTTTCCCGAAGCCATGTTGGCAACACTTTATCTCGTCATGTTTCGTTCTGTACCGGATCCAGTCGATGATACCCTTCTACCCTTAAGTGAAGAGCCAAGCCACCCAGAACACCCTTAAGACCCAGGAGAGAGACACCTCAGTGGAGTGCAATAACTCGACATTACTGGTATGTGCTATGTATCTCCCTTCAGCACATACCGACAAATTTCCCAGCCGTTCGCGCGACTGGTCTTACTCTTGGTCTCCGACGATACCAGCTGGCTTCCACGTGACAGTACAGGCTGACGGCGCTGAAGTGGCAGACAAGAACAAGGCTGTACACGTAGACCAGGACGACCTTGATGGAATGAGGGTATAATTTTGTAAGCTGTTCTTCATGTTATCTTTCCTGCAGATATTGAAAATGTTCTAGGCCATGCAAGCCATCTACTAAAGTTCGGGTCAGAGTTTATGCCTCATTTGAATTGTATCCCATGCTCGGTGATGGAGAACTCCTTCGCACAGTCGAGACCTCTGTTGGAGAATTACTGGAATGCAGTGAAAAGTCACATTGTCGGTAATGTCTGTGGCAAATTGCGCCTGACGGATGTTAACGAGATACCCCAGACATTATCTTCCAGCTAAGGAGGGGGAGGTCGTATCCTCGTGTACTTCAGTGTTCATGACCGTGGTGCAGCGATGTTCCTACATGATGAAGATGACGCCACAGTTCACCCCATTACCCCTGTGAGTCATCGACGTACTCTGATATTCCGACGCTGAGAGCTTGTAGTATCAGTCCACATCCTGTGATATGCGCGCGTCAATACTAAAGACAGATGCCGGACATCGTCTTTTCGCACGATACCGCAGGGCGCAGCACCGTAGGGATCTCGGCCAATCCATAAAGCACTTTGAACGTGCCTCTGATTTCTGCCCCGTTGATCATCCCTGCCGCCATGCAGCGCAATTCAATCTAGCTACCGCGTAAGTTCGCTAATTGCCGAGTTAATGGAACATACCTCGACCTCGATATCCCTATCCCTCTCTTTCAAGACACTCTTGGTTTGTGTCCCACTGACCATCCGGACAGACCCGTCACCCAGCTCCATTTTGCCATCACTCTGCTGTCTCGTTTCGCGAGAAGGCGGTTTCAAGTTGATGCTGATGCGGCTGAGGAGTTGCTGAGTGACGTCCTCGATGTCTGTCATCCGACAGCCACGTTCACAGAGCAGCTCTGCTTGTAATCGAAACCTCTACTCTACACCACCCGGCTAGAAGTACTGATGCAAATACACTTGGGGGCGGAGGAGCCTATTGCATCTATGCTTCCGTGGTGCCCGGATGAACTTGCTCGTCGAGTGGAACTTTGTCATCAGAGACACGATACACATGCCTTAGATGAAGTAATATCTCTTCATTATAATGCACTGGAATACTACAGCGGGACACATTCTCGCCGAGGCCAATCATTGGTGTTGCACTGAATATCCGCTATGATCGCCAAGGCAATGGCCAAGATCTCGACGAGGCCATTGCGCTTCTCAATGAAGCGCTGGTTTTATACCCATTCGGTCTCCCAGATCGGCACATGTCATTGGTTAACCTTGCGGCTGCAGTCCTCACCCGCTTCAGACACTGGGGAAATGACCAAGACCTCGACGAGGCTATTGTGCTTGAGAGAAAAGCACTCGCATTTCTCCCGGTCGGTCACCTGGATCGGTCCGCGTTATTGAATAACCTTGCGAACGCACTCTGCGCCTGATTCGCACACCGAGGTAATGACCAAGACTTTGATGAGGCGATCACGCTGCACAGGGAAGGGCTGGCTATGGTCCCGGTTGGTCATCCAGGTCATTCCATGTCATTGAATAACCTTGTATGCACACTATTAACCCCCTTCGGGCACCGTGGCAATGACCAAGACTTGGATGAGGCAATCGCGCTTCATAGGGAAGCATTGCCTTTACATCCCGTCGGTCACCCAGAGTGGTCTTTGGCATTACACAAACCTTGCAACGGGGCTATACACCTCCTTCCAGCACCGAGGCTATGACCAAGACTTGAGTGAAGCTATCGCGCTTCACAGAGAAGCGCTGGCTTTGCACCCGGTCGGTCGCCCAGTTCGGTCGGAGTCGTTAAATAACCTTGCCAATGAACTCTCCACCCACTTCCACCACCGAGGCAATGTCCAAGACTTGAATGGGTCTATCATACTTCACAGGGAAGCGCTGGTTTTTCACCCGGTCAGTCACCCAGATAGGTCCATGTCATTAAATAACCTTGCAAATGGACTCTTCACCTGCTTCCGGCACCGAGGCGATGACTGAGACTTGGACGAGGCTATCGCACTTTACAGGGAAGTGCTGGCCTTGCGCCCAGTCGGTCACCCAGATCGCTCCATGTCGTTCAATAATTTTGCAAACGAACTCTTCACCCGCTTCGAGCACCAAAGCAAAGACCAAGACTTAGATGAGAGTATGGCGCTTCACAGGGAAGCGCTGGCTTTGTACCCGGTCGGTCACCCAGAGCGGTCCATGTCATTCATTAATCTTGCAGATGGACTCCACCCACTTCGAGCACCGAGGCAATAGCAAAGACCTCGACGAGTCGCTAGAGAATCTCCGCTGTGCATTGACGCTATTGGCGCAACATCATCCTCGTCATTTACTAGTCCATCATTCACTAGCTACTGTCTATCTGCTGTTCCATCGATCTGCACTTGACGGCGCTGGTGAAGATACTGACAGCATCAATGCCGCCATGCATCATCTTAAGGCAGCAGCAAATGTTGTACCTGGGGGTTTGCTATCTCGCCTGCGAGCAAGTCTACGCTGGGTTTACCACACTGATCGACATACACATGACACTAAACTGGAGGCTTATGCAACTTCCATGCAACTTCTGGACACTTACGTGTCTGCGACAGCTTCAGTATCATCTCAACATCGCACCATGAAAGTCTTCCCACCTACGCTTGCAGTTGAGTTGTATCATGTGCTCTTCGTGATGGTGACGTGTGTCGCGCTGTAGAGTTGCTGGAACAAGGTAATAGGACTCTCATCTGGACCCAGATGGCACAATCCCCCGCACGCCTCTCGACAACCTCCAGGAATGTGGCAATTACGCAGAGGCTCTAGTGAAGAAATTCCGAGACCTCAGCTCCCTCCTTGATAAACACCCTGCTGAGCCTCCAGAAGGGTCCTCGAGAGTCACGGTAGAAGAAGAAGCTGCCCGGTACGCACGTCTAGTGGAGGACTGGAATAAAGCTGTGGAAGATATCCGGAAGCTCGAGGGATTTGCTCGTTTTCTGCTTCCCCCCTTGTTCTCCGCTCTTCAAGATGCCGCTCGTGGTGGGCCTATCATTGTTCTTATTGCAAGCAAGTCATCTTGTAATGCAATCATTGTCTCGTACAATCAACCTCTAGTTAGCCTAGCACTCCCTACCAACTTGTCGGAGAGGCTCGAGCGGTTGGTGAATACACTGCGACACGCCGTTTAAAAAGAAGCCGGTCCCCAAAAGACCCAACCAACGCTGACAAAAGCTTTGCGCGAGTTATGGCGTGATGTAGTCTACCCTGTGGTTGAAATCCTTGGCAGAATTGCGCCACGAGGTGCTCGGATATGGTGGTGCCTGACTTCGTTCTTCAATTTCCTGCCATTGCATGCTACTGGCGAGTACTACAGGCACGGCGGAAAGTCCCTTTTGCAGCTATACGTCTCTTCACACACACCTTAACTTACCGCACTAATCAGGGCTCACAGAAGTCATGAAAGATCCTCGCCAGCATCTTTTGCTGCCATTGGTCAGAATCACCCACCAGAACATTCATTTCCTTGGAAAGCTGTCAAGCCCGAGCTGGAATTGGTGCGGCGCCTCCTACCCCCCACTGTTTCGTTCACCACGGTCGCGAGCGCTGAATCAGCAAAGTCAAGAGCGCTGGACATATCGCGAGATAATCACTGGATCCATTTTGCATGTCATGGGACGCAAAACTTGGTGGAACCTTTCAAGTGCGACCAACCACTTTCACTCCTCAAAATTGCACAAACAGATCTGTCTCGGTACGAATTTGCATTTCTATCTGCTTGTGAGACCGCCGCCGGTGACGTGGAGGCTCCTGACGAAGTGATTCACCTGGCGGCTGACCTGCAGTTTGCTGGGGTGAAGAGTGTCATTGGGACGTTTTGGAGAGTCGATGATAGCACAGTGTGATGCTTGGTCGAGGTGTTCTATAAGAACTTATGTGGGGATGGCAAGATGGATTCAAGACGAGCTGCCCGAGCACTGCACAGAGCAGTCCATTTGTTGGCTTGAAGTTGTGACAAGGACCAGAATACGGCTCAGAGAAAGGAAAGGGGAAAGGAGATTGGAAATGGAATGGGAATGAATCCGGACAACGACAAGGATAAGGACGAGGACGAGGGTACAAATGATGATATGCCCTCAGACCAACGTATAGTGTTCATGCATATCGGCCTATAATTCATTGGCAGGTGTGTCTTCTTACCTTGCCGCCGCTGATCAAGGCATTCCTGAGATAATCATGTAGCATCCGATGGCCAAGGCTAGAGCGGTACCTGTGGCAAATTGCAATCAAATGCCTGCTAGATATGTCAGGCTTCAGGACTACTATGCAATATTTAATTCTGTAGAACACGTGTACATCTGACAAGGGGCCCACCCCGAACCTATCACCTTGCTCATTTGGTCCCACGTTTTCCGCCAGCAAGTGACGCTCGAAGAGAATCCAGAGCCTCTTGTACAATATTGGATTCGAATGGAAAGTAGCATGTATTTATCACCGACATACGCGACACCGTTATATAATCCGTATCATGTCTTCTCCACGGTAGAAATCAAACTAGCATAATATCGTGGTTGTTCGCCATTATCATACATGGTAGCCATTCTATGAAGTGATGCGAAGTTCCTGAGAGATGAATTGCAGCAAAAGAAAGTGACATACCCGCTTTCAGGTTGCTGGCGTGTAAAACCCTCGCCTTCACATACCTATGCCCCGCTAATATCTGACACCCGTGGCTGCTTCATGCCATTCGAAGGTAATCAACTTCTCTTTGAATGCCTTCACGTCCCCCGGAGAGATGGTAGGTCCCCCAATTACCTGCAAAGCTTGCAGGCTATTGATAACGACCTGTGAAGTGGGGTCCCTATCCCGCGCTCGTTGCACCACATCGTCGCGTGCATCGATCAAGTCCAGAAGCGTATCCACGGAGAACTCCGTGCAATCTTCTATCTCTAGTCGGGACCAGCTTGGAGACGTGAGTTTCTCTGGATTCCATGAACGATATATCTCACGAATGGTGCGATCGTTGAAGCTGGGACAGTTTCTAATGGAAAGACAACTGCCATCCCAGATACTGATAGCCTCAGACATAGACGTGAAAGGACCTTCCAGTACGAGAGTGTCGGCCTGAGTCAAGCGAATATGCCATATGGGTGCGTACTCGTGCTTGATGTGCACAAGGCGTGGGGCTGGTCCGGACTTGGACATAAAGATGGCACGGGCGGTCGAGAGGTTGATGGACTGCAGGCTCACAGATTCAATCTGAATGTCGTAGCCACCTTGCCGCGTGAGGATGCCATCAAATGAGATATCTTGAAGAGCCAGCATTTGGAGATTTCCAAATCGACGATGAAGCCTGTCGACGACGAGCAAAACGTCGTGCAGGTGCAACTCTCCTGTTGGGTGCTTCCCACCGGAATAACGCGAAACAGATAGTTCCTCTAAGCTTGGAAGTCGTTCAGCCCAGTGAAGGGCGCAAGCGTCACGGAAGTTGCGCCCGTTGAGAAAGAGGCGCCTAAGCGCTGGAGCATAGAAGTTCCACCGCTCGGGAACTTCACTGCCTACCAGGGGGTGCTCGCCATCATCGATCCCACATTGCAGCTTCAGCCGCTGAAGGAGGGGTGCACGGAGGTTCAAATGGCGAAGAGCAGGCAGAGAGGAGCTGCGGAGGAGCTGAAAACATAAAGACCTGCAGCGATGTATATGGAGAGCAATCCGCGCCATGACTGCGGCTGCCCGAGGGCCCTCGTCATCACTATTTGTGCGAGAATGAGCAACGATTTGTTGGTCACGAGTGATGGTGATTTCGAAAGCGAGCTTTTGGGAGAGATGAAGGTATTCGTCGACATCCGAAAGCTTTGTAGTGTCGAGGTTGATTATGATACGCGTCCAGAACTTTGGCACCAACTCAAGAACGTCTCTCCAGGTCTTACATACGGCCGCGGGAGCGAATGGGAACTGAGTGGCATGAGACTGCGAGCTACAAGGAATCCACTCTCCGTTCAGCATACTATCTGCGTAAACGTGCTCGAAGATCATTAAGAGCAACTCTGGTGGCAAAACTTTATTATTGATTCGACGAGGGTAGCCGAGGTCACGATGATGAAACATTCGAATGTTGCGAGGTTCGCGGACTCCGATAAATTGGGGTTTCCTGTGAAGTTTCACCCTAATCAGAAATTGGCTGTACGTGGGGCATGAAGATAGAAGTACTCGTCATGCGAGGCCTGGCCCTTACTACTAGAGCTATGGCAGGAACCTGCCGTTGCACAGACAAGGGGTCTCTGGGTATTCATGGAGACTCCGAGGAGAGAATATTCAAAGACCTGCTTCAACTACCTGATCATGAAAGTTGGTGAGAAAGCAGTTAACTTGTGGCATCGCCAATTTGCTATGGATGGTAATTTAAATTTACGGAAACTATCCACCGCAGCCACTACAAAACAACGCGGCATTATACTTATATGTCCGACCACGTTGCAATGAGCTGTGCTCAAAGTGGAGCCTAGTGCATACTGATAGCCATAGCTTTTGACCATATTATATGCAAGGTGAGGGCGTGTTGCAAGAGCCGTTGCAAGTCGACCGATCAACGGTCACCATCATGCTTCTGAACCTTCCTTCTTGGCAATGCCACGAGTGTGCTGCGAGAACAATCTCAGTGAGAAATGGGCCAATCAGGATGATTGATCTAGCCAACAGATCTCCTAGATCATGTGTTGATGCAACATTTTCAAACGCCCAGGGGTGCAGCAGTGGTAGCAGAGAGCCCTTGGCAGCTGCAGGATGTGATGTGTCTATGGAATTGCATTGCTTCATGGGACATCGCGAAGTTAAAATGCAGGTATAGGCTAATGTCGAGCGTAATATCAAGTCTGCTCCGTAATAACCACCTTTTTGCGCTCTGCGTTTGGTTTGCTCTCCCCGGCACGCGTATGTTTCCGCCGACGCTCCTCCTTGACAGCACGCGTATCGAGCATAGTGCGTTTGAGCTTTGCAGCCTGGTAGACGGGCTTTGGCAAGTGTCGTTTGCTGTGCTACTAGTGAGCGTGAGTCAAAATAAGCGTAATTGTTATTACCGTTGAATCCTGCCAACTTCGTTGTCGTGCTTCCATCGGTCTTTTAAGCTATCGCGGTATTCGATTGCGGCGCGCTCCCGGGCTGTGATGATACCAAGCTTTTCCGAAGCTTTGGCTTTCCATATCCGTACGTTACCATCGTCTGAACCCGTTAGCACGAAACGCGCATCGGCAGTGAATATGGATGATGAGACCCTTCCGTAGAACGTAAACAAGCTGACAAGCGGATATACTGTGTGAGCTTACCTTTGCATTCGTTTAGTATGATACACTTCTGGTGCCGTGCCCTGACCCTCCTTCCATATTCTTACTGTCCGATCCCATCCACCGCTAACAAATTCCAATCCAGTCGGGCTCCAATCACAGCTCATAACTGCTGCAACATGTGCTTTGTATATGTGAGTGGGTGTTTTCAGTTGCCTGACATCGAACGTATAAAGATTGTGATCCTCAGATGCGAGCAGGACAGTCGTTGGGAAGGTTGGTGACCACGCAAGTGCGTTTGAGCGCATCTGCATGATCACACGACGCTCTGCCTTTCCTGTGCGAATATCATAGAGTGTGAAAGTTCGGTCTGAGCCAATGCTACCAAGGACGCTTGTTTCACTCAGATTGAATCGCACAGACGTGATGGTCTCAGTGGACGTAGGGAATGTTAGGTTGGATATTGCGGCGCTCCTGGACAGCAAGTCAGTTGAAACACGAGTATGGAGATGGACGGCGCCCACTTCGTTTCGTCCCATATTTGAACAATGTTTGAAGCTGTAGCAAAAAGTGGATCTGAACGGTGGTGGTCTATTGAGCTGTGAAGGAACGAATAAATCAGATGTAGACAGCGTGTCATAGCAGCGTACTTGAATGGCGATTTCCCAGGATATACGTTCAACGGGCGCTGCTCCTAGATGGACTGGGATATATATGCAAGAAATTATCGGAAACTGAGAAACTGACTGTAATATCATTTTGCGGGCTTGAATCCCAAAGTTTTATGTTGCTGTCCACACCGCAGCTCAGTAGCCGGTCGTCTTGGGCAAAGCAAAGGCCCGACACTTTGCCCTTATGGGCGCCTTGTATTCGACGGATGTGTTTGCGCTCGGAAACGTTGTGCAAAATCACACCTGGATAAGGGAGATGTTTTAGACATGAGCAGTCGTCAGCCGATCAATTTCTGAACCCACCTCCATCCCAGCTACCACTGGCAACAGCACTCAATGATCCAGGCTTTTTGCATAACACCTCGACCGCATCTATGTGACCCTCGAGAGCCCCTACAAATGGCTTCGCAAACAATCTGTCCATCTTTGCAGCATTCAAGGCACGATTTCGCTCGCGAGCGCGAGCAAATGGGTGCATCAAGGGATCGAGGTTGCGAGAGGTAGGCGTTGGGTCTCCAGGACGTGCAGGTAGGTGTACCGAAGGAGCATGTTGGAGAACAGATATTTTCTGAAAAGGTTCAATACCAATTTAATCGATGTAACTGGTCCAATGCTCACCACCATGGCATATGTCGCGCAAACAATTGCTTCAACAAGCCAGAGATAACCTTAGTACTTTAGATCCAAGGAAGTTGCTGCCCGTGGGATTTTGATCCGGCTTAGTCAGTGGCAAGGTTGTAGCTGCAAGTACAAATATTGCAGAACGGTTAAACTTATCGTGCACTATTTAACTCCGAGTTATAGTATTAGCATGGTAACGGACTGGGTCGTATTATTTGGTGGAGTAGGGTTTTCCGCTTGCGAGGTGCTTATCATTGCCACGATCTGATCATACTTATCTACTGCCAGCCTGTCACGAATCGTAGATGGTGTCCGACAATGCTTCCCCGCCCCTCCGAGTCCTAGGATTTGATATCTATCATGATCGATCATTCTATGACGCACCATAATAGCTCCGTGAAAATAACACACACAATACTAACGAGTATCAACGTTTTTTCCTCCGACTTCTCTCGTGTCCCCCCCTCATTGTGTGTCTTAACGTGGTCATTCCTGTGGAGTGGTGGCAGAGATGTTAGATGGCACTAGTTCTAAGTAAGTGATTCTGTTTGTTCGTGCGGATGATCTCCATGGATTGACATTACTTGAGATTGCTGCGTCTTCTTCCGTATTGAGTCATTTCGAATGGCTGTTTGGGGCCTCCATACCGCTGCTTCATGTGGTCGTATCAGATGACACGACATGGCCGGATCGTCTGCGCGAGGTTTACATATTGTGGGGTTTTCACAAAATTCAAATGCAAGATCAGATGCGATCAATACGGTAGTCCTATTTCGCAGCTAGACAAATTCATGGATTTTCCCGTACAGCAGGTGACACTTCGCTAGTCTCGAACCAGACGTTCTAGGACCTCCCTCAAGTTCTTCCGGTCCCTAGAACGGGAAGCACCGGTGTTGTTTTCAACTACACTTCCCAGAACATTTGTGTCGAGACTACCGATTCGCAGTCTTTTAACTCCGTGGAGTATACACGCTTTTGTTCAAAAAGCCATGTATGTTCTTTTGCCGCGGTGTTTGGGAATCTGTATGGTGTCCAGGTTACTATGTTGCATATTCCATCTGCTTCCATTTGTCGTCACCGCATCTGCTAAACAGCAGTTCATTTCGCGTCGCATGCAGTTGCTACCCTTTGCTACCAAGCCCATATTAAATTACAGCCCTTCATGACCTCGGCGGAGGAATCAGGGGCCTGCGACTCAGTCGCCTTCTAGAAAACCTCCATCGCGGCAGATGGCATTACGCATACGCACCTTGCCGGGAGTCAGTTCTTCAACTTGCGTCTCTGTCATGTGCGTCACCGCGTGCGCATCTACTATGACGCAGCCTGAAATAGCCTTCGTTGTTTCTCGGCTACTCGGTTTTGGAGCGTGGTCTGGCATTTCCGTCACGATCTGGGCAGTAGTCATTCCAGACGTACGGTCAACAATTTACCCCCTGCTATTATACTAGGCTGAATAATAGTAGTATGCAATATTTGTTATCAATTGCCATGACCTTGCAATAGCTAAAGCGACGTGAACGAGGAACGAGGAGAGTACTGATAGCGTCTACAGGGCGTAAGTACCTGTGTGCTGCGGCCCTATGCAAAGCTCGTCAGCTCATGGGTAAAGGAGAGGGGCAGGGGACCAGGGCTACGGGTACATGGAACTGCGCAGACTCGGACATCAGTACCGAAAAAGCAAAATGAATTGGTTAGACTGAGGCCGACCTGGGAGCAGTTGCCAGTGGGCTCAGAGCCTCTCTCAGGCTCTATTCTGGCCGTACCCAGCTGCTGTGTCACGTACCGATTGGCCAATATTATCGAGACAAGGATGGACGCTTGTGGCAATTGCAAATCATGTCGATCATATCTTGCCACGTGCGTTGCCGCACACTCAGTATTACGGTTGTAAATTTGGTAGTCAGGTTGGCTGTTACAGTTGCCACTGTCATCATGATACATATCAAGGTCGCTCGATAATACATCGATGAGTATATGATTCTTATATCCTCCCATCATCTAGGCTCCCATCATCTAGGCTGAGCCTCCCTGCCGCCTTTGCAACAACTTGAAGTACTTGCATTGTCGGTTTCGGTCCACGATCCTTAAATCTACAAACTTGTAATACTGAATACTTTTAGCTCTTCTTTGAACCGCTGTTCGCTAGCATGAGTCCATCGGGCTCTGTAGTCTGTCTGCTTTTCGCAGAAAATCTTCGCTGCGTTCCTCTGAACTCCCTTCAAGTCCACGCTCTCACCATCCCCCCTCTTATCGAGCTCGTTTTCTGCGTGTTTTTTGTCGTTTTGACCTGGAAGTCAAGGAGGTGCGTTGGATTTTAGCTGTAAGAGCTTGGGCATCGAGCTCAACGTTTCTGCGCCGTCCCTCGTGACGGTACTCTTAATATGTATCACTATCTGTCACATTAATTGGCTAACGGCTTTACCTGTAGGGCGCACCTATTGCTGGCCGCAGACGGTATTTTCTATTTTATCCTGGCGCTGGTCGACCTGTTGTCGCATGTCATACCCGCTGCGCGGGGTTCAGCCACCATTTCTAACGCGGTCGACTTATTCCTTGGTGTGTGACCATGTCCACCAGACAGCCTGAATATTGAGACTTACTCTTCCAATGCTACAGGATCTGTCTCTTTTATTCCTGTGTTTTTTTACACTTCATATCTACTTTGGCTGAGTCGTAGGGAATTTATCACCCACCTCCCTCGCCGTCAGCAACCTGCAACCAAATACCTACTCATAATTCTCATTGCCGTGGTTGTAGCCCTAAATTTCGTGGCATCTCTTGGAATATCTATTCGTAAGCAATTCGATTCATTTCCGTTATTCTTTACTGATGTGTCGTCAGGGAATTTATCTGTTTCACACTCCTCGCCCGTGATCGACTTCACCAACAAGAGCGAATCGTTGTGGCTGGGTCTCGGCCAGTTGTCACTCGGACTGTATACCACCTATCAATGTTTAATTTCCTTCCTCGCTGCATACCGGCTCTTTACAGCCTTTATGAATCAGCGGCGCATCGACACAAAGCAGACCGACGAGCACCATTTTTTCAACGGCACTGGATGGATTACTTTCGGCATTAAGCTAGGAGCTGTCGAGTGCATCGTTGGGTTTACGATGGGCGGCTTGGCTGTTCCACTTGTCAGAAGAATCCTACGGCTCGCTGCCAGGAGTTGTCTAATTATTGGTGCATTGAAGGGGTAGGTTTTTTTGGTAACATGTTGCGGAATTCGCTGATATTCAACGCACAGAATGGATGAAAACGAAAACTTTGAGCTCCTCAATAGGGAGCTGATCTCGTGGCGTCGCGGCAAGCCTTTATCAACCTTCCACTCGCTCATAGCCAATCGACGCATGAGCACACGATCCTCTAAATCATCGGGCCTGTCTCACGAGTCCTCTCTAAGTGACAAAGGTCTGGAAGGGTGCATGGCAAGTAAACATGTAACAGTGCATGATGAAGGTGGTCAAGCGCCGATCTTGCACATACGCTTTTCCGCACTCCCTCCCGAGCGGGCTATTCATGCAGATGATATTGGAGTGCAGGCGCGGAAGCAATCTGGCCAGGACACGTCCGCAGAAGTGCTCGCATCCCGCAGTTCTGCTTGCCCCTCCAAGAGCGACGCTCGGCACCATTCTGCTCAGACCATCTCCGATGACATGAGCATCTCCGACGACATGAGTGTCTACCACGAGCTCGCTCTTCCCTCTCCCAACGTGTCACGTCATGGTTCTGACAAGTACCGCGGGTCCATACTCCATCAAGGATATGAGGATGACGAGAGCGAGTTTCCAGTCGCTGGGATCCCGCGCCAGCAGAACATGCGTCATGACACTGCGCAGCCATCAGATGAAGAGGACGCAGCTGCTGAAAGTGCAGTGTTATCTGCTGGCGACTCCATGAAACGCAAACCCCTACCTCCGTTTTTAACCATCCCGCAGCGCATCCATGCGCGCGTGGAAGGAGCAATTTCATCATGGGGAGGACTTGCATCACAAAGCAGTGGCAATTATCCAGTCCAGTTTCCCGTAGCACCGACACGGACAGGAATCGCTATTTATTCCCCATCTGTCAAGATGAACGAGGAGAGCTGGGAAACATCGCAACGCCAGATGTCGTCTCTTCAGTTGTTCGAACGTGCAAGCAACACCCACAGTGATTTCAGTGTTCATTCTTCACAGTGGTCAACCATTGCGCGCTCCCAATCACCTGCGAGCATCAAAACGTATGGTGGTGGAACGGTAATAAGTCCACGAGGCGCATCTGCCGATCCTGGCGACGACCCGAGCGGATATATGAACGGCGGTGGAATGCCCACGCCACTTGCGCCAACTACTGCTGGATTCCCATTTGATCGGGGGCATGTAACGTCCGCGCATGGTGCCTCACACTGGTCCATCCGGTCAGCATTCAACCGAGAACAAGCGTTGCGGAGACTAAATGGGCAAGTAGATCCTTAAAAGTTGAGACAGTTGAGGAGAGACGGGTTGGGGAGCAGAGAGAGTATTGGATCAGGCCATGATTTCTTCCTTAATAACTTTTCAGAATCGGACAGTATCACTGTATTGTCGTTTTCTTTACCCCTCCGTAACAATGTCTCAGACCTGCAATAATCGAAAGGATTGTTATGGGTAAAGCAGAAGCCAGCACCATTAGATGATACTATGAGTACAAGAATCATGCAGCACACTACTACCTAGTTCTACTCGAGATAATCAGTGCGTGAAGACAGAATATAAGGCTTCGCAACGTACCTCTGGTATCCTAAATATCGTTATTTCCTGTTCATCAAAGTCAGGAAATTCGGAAAACGGAAAACGACACATCATACCTGTTGCTTGAAGTACCGGCGATTCTCTTCATCAATGAGCACGAGATTCAGGTAGTAACGCGTGCTGAACTTCTTGTTCACTTCACGGAACGTGGGTGTGAGATCGAAGCCACCGAGGAACAGTCGAATAGGGATGGTTTCTCCTAAGCAATGGTCAGCAACGAAGGCAGGAGACTACCTGTACGAGCCCACCTCTAACAGGAGCGCCATCCATGATTTCAAACTTTGTGATCGTTTCGCTTTCGTTGTACTGATTCGGTGGGGAGCCAGTTGTTTCGCGTCGTATTATAGAAAGCTCCATGTGCTTGATTTTAATACGAACAAGTAGAAAATATATCTTGCCAACAATCACGTCCTTCAGGTGATACCTGACGTATTGTAAGCACATATGACTGGTTGTATAATAGAATATAACACACTTGGACTTGTTGTATTCAAATTCAATGTGCAAACAATCCTCAATGCCGACCTCCATCTTGATGGAGTTGTTACTGTCTGGAGGCATGCGGTATGAATGTACCCAGATGTCTCTCTCCTTCGCAACGTCCGCCATTCGTCTGGCAACAGATACTCGTATCAAGTATCTTTGAAACACGTCAATTGACATCTGCGTGGAAAGGTAGATAACGCACCGTAGCTTGACATTGATGCCCTGGTAACTCTCGAATTGCTTCTCGACATTCTTGAAGAGGAAGTCGAAGGTCTGAGCTTGACGTAGGTCCCCAGGCGAAGCTAGTTCTTGAGATAACGATAAGAATTCATGATGGTGCCCCCGATCGTAAAACAGCTCTGGAGTCAGACGATAATGAGATGCTAAGAAACCATAACAGATATGTGGACCCCCACCGATGCTGCCAACGAACTCGACCTTGATGCCCTCATGAGTCATTCGCTTTCCATCGCGAACGCGAATGGTCACCTGCAGCGGCGTGAGCATCTTGAACGTGATAATCCGACTAGACGCAAAGCATACCTGCCCTGCTACTGAGTCACCATCATAGTAAACTGGACATGAAGATGTGCGGTCCTTGTCAGTTTTTATGTCCACTTGCTTACGCAGCTCTTCTCCTTCCAGTTTGATGTCGACATCGACAGGGGATGCGAAAAAGTATGCCATTGACTGGGAAGTTCGGGGAGGAGAAAGTCACTAATATTTACTGCCAAGCCTTGGATCACAGGAAAGGCCAATCCCTAAAGTATAGATTACCGAAAGTTGGCGTTAGTCAGGTGCTGAAGGTGAAGATGAATTTGGAGGTCGCTCAAGCTGTTAAGCACGGTGACAGCACAAGTGGTTACAGCTGCTGTGCATACTTACGGACCACGTGCGCAGCACGTTCATCTAAAGCGGGTATAACACTCTCACGCTCTTCTAAACCCCTCTCTTAGGGGGTCTTTGTAAATACACAGCAAGTCGAACTGCTTTTGTACAGCACTTTCACTTTTCCTTCCTTACTCTTTCCACCATGTCCGACTTTGAAGGTGACTTCGATGATGAGCTCCTTGAGCTTGCTGGTGCAACGGAGAAAAAGCGAAAACACCAAGCATCAAGCTCCAGGGCTTCAGCAGCCAAGAAGCGCAGAACGGAGTGAGCCTTCTCCTTGATCCGGCTCATCACTGTGCTCATTATCAATCTCGGGGAACGTCAGAGTCTCAGATGACAGCGAGGCAGAGGGCGAGCCGGAGAGTGAAGAGGAATCCGAGGTAAAGTACCCGCTGGAGGGCAAGTATATAGACGAGTCGGATAGGGAGCGGTGAGTCCCCTCGAACACAAGTTCAAGTGTAGTTTTGACACTGCCCTCTACCAATCTACTGCTACTTGCTAGGCTACTATCTATGCCTGAGATTGAGAGAGAAGAAATTCTTGCCGGGCGGCAAGAAGAGTTGATGCGAATACAAGACAAGCGAAAGCTGCATGAGATGCTTCAAGCACAGTCTGGAGATCCTGAGAGTGTTTCGAAAGCTGCAAAACGTATTCAGAGCACTTTACGATACGGACGCTCTTTGACACCACTGTTTTGCAGGTCAACGTACTAGCCGGGGCGCTACGAAGGAGAAGTCTCGCACACTTGATGAACTCAAGGCCAGGCGAAAAGCGAAGGATGAGAAGAAGCGTGTGCGTATGCTGACCATCAGTATACTCACCTTCCTTATATTCTAAGTAGACGAAGACACACTCCCCCAAGCGAGATCGGTCCTCCTCCCCCAATGACATGGACATGTCTTCGGGTGAAGAAGAGGATGGTCAAATAACGCGCTATGAAGAGGAAGAAGAGAAGGATAGGAAGCTATTTTCAAGGCAGCCTGATCCAGCGGACGAGCCATCGTCGCTCGAGGACCTCATGAAGTGCAAATTAACGCGGGACAAGCTTGCGAAGCATTCCATGGCTCCCTGGTTCGAGGACTATGTGAAGGGTGAGTGCCGCAGTAGTCTATATACTATGTGCTAATGTCAGCACTGAAGGTGCCTGGGTTAGGTATCTTGTGGGCCAAGACGAGGGCGGTCAGCCACAGTACAGGATTTGCGAGGTACAAAGTGAGTGTTAGGACTATAGGGATAATGTTCTGTACTTATTTGGCCAGACCTCGGAGCAAATCTCACGAAGCCATACAAGGTTGACGAAATCATGGTGAACCAGACGCTTGAGTTGAAGCATGGCAAATCGCTCAAGGCGTTTAATATGGACAAGGTATCTAATGCTCCGTTCACACAGGTTTGTTTTCCATTGCTACCAGCGTTTGCATTAACTTTATCGTGTTCTAGCGAGAATTCGACCGTCTAGGAAAAGTATGCTTTGCGGATGACGTGAAGTTGCCATCCAAGCGCGCCCTTGAGAAAAAGGCTGTGCAGATGTCTAAGTTGTTGACACAACCTATGACAGAGGTATGATTTTTCATTCCCTTTTCGAAGCTATCACTGCTGAATCACGTCTAGAGCGATATCACCGCTATGTTGGCGCGGAAGAGCCAGTTGTCAAACTTGCCATCTGGTGCATCCCTCACGTTACAGCGATCACGACTTATGCAGGCAAAGACGCTTGCCATTCGGCGACAGGACTATGCCGACGCTGCCGAAATTGACGCCAAGCTGGCAGAGCTGCCTACGGTAGCTACTCCTGCTCGAAATGGAGGCGAAGAGTCCCTGAACGATAAACTCGCGAAAGTGAATGAACGAAATCGCAAAGCCAATTTAGAGGCGGTCCGCAAGGCAGAGCTGATGGATGCCGAACGGAAACGAAGGGAACGCAAGATGAATGCATCGGGTACTGCGACCCCAGCGGACCCGAGTGCGAGATTAAAAACTGTTCCGAAGTTGTTCAACGACACAATATCAAGGTTTGTACTTCAACTATTGTGGTCGATGTCACTTGGTCATCTGTCTTGCCTTGATTGCATCATGCTTCGCTTCTCTGGCCATCAACTTCAAATTCGAATGGAACATCATACAGATCGGGAACGCCGAATATAAACGGGACGGGCACGCCTGCACTGCAGGCCCATGATGCGGCCGGTGGACGATCAATATCACCGCTTCCACCTTTAGCCTTGTCTGACCCGCGAACAGGGCCGAAGAAGGACAAGAGCTTGGAAGTGTCTGTCATCGAATCGATAGAGGTTGATCTCGGAGATTTTTAGAGTTATGTTTTATGTTTTGTTGGATTACAATCGTCTTACTTTCGGGACTGTCTTGGTTGTAAATGTTATTGTTCAAATTATAGCTTTGTCTCCAGAAGCAATCCCCTCGGTTGCACTGAAATAGCGAGCAATTGGTCCCGCTATTACGTACGGGTCACGTGTGGATGAGATTGCGCACGGTCCAATTAAACTTCCGTTTTTGGACGATCATCTTTGACTAGTGGTAGTCTTCACATTTACCTGTGGTCGTTCTCGCTGTCATTCTTGCTCGCTGTTGCCCATGATGACGGGCTCTCCAGCTTCACTTGAATCCTTGAGCTCACCCTCTCCATCGCCGCCGCCCCAAGAAGATTCGGGCGCCGGCTTGGATGCCGAGTCCGAGCTATCAGAGCTTACAGACGACGAGCTCGTCCAGGAGTCTCAGTCGCCCAAAAAGAAGGCCAAGACATTCGTTGACGGAGATCCTGAAGATGTCTCTCGTCGCCGGCAGCCCCGTCGCGGAGGAAGAAAAAAGCGTGGAGGCCTGGTCCCTGCCCCGATGTGGGACTGGGCATATAAATCGAAGAACTCCAACTCAAACTCAAATTCGAAGAGCGAGGGAAGCGCCACACCTGGAGTTGAGGAAGAGGAAGAAGAGGAAATGGCTGGCCCACCTCGAGCTATGGAGGAGGAAGAGGAAGACGAGAACGAGGATGACCAAAGGGACGACCTTGACGGCGACTGCCCCGACGGGGACGTCGATGCTGACGAGCTTCTTGAAGATGTTAGCGTCACTGTCAATGGGCGTGCGCAAGATTACGACGACGAGGACGGCGCCGCTGAGCCGCACAATTCCACTTCTAATTCGGCAGTGGACGAAGAAGCAGAGCCCTATGCCTCTGACGAGGACGAGCCTGTAACAGCCATTCCTCTGAAGCGCCGTGGCCTCATTGCCATACCAGACGGATCACATGAAGGAGAAGCCGATGGCGATGAGGATGAGGATCCTCCCGTCACCAATGACCATGACCACGAAAACGACACCGAGTCTGAGGACAATGACGGGCCGCCAGAAGCGGGCGTGGACATGGACATGGACAATGAGGCCGAGGCACCCTCAGCACTGGTCAAGGCGGTCACCATGGTCCCATTGATTCCCATCGATATCACAGCTCCACCGCCAGCGTCCGTCGCGCCCATCGCAGCTGCCGCTGCCTCACACTCAATTATGGCAGGGTCAACAGTAATTCACCCACCATCTCCTACTCCGTCTGCATCCTCTACGTCCGGGTCCCGCTCACCCTCCTCTTCGCGTTCTCCGTCGCCCAAACCCGAGAACGGAAAGCCGCAACGTAAGAGCAAACGAGGCAAGAAGGACAAGGATGAAGACGGTGACGCCGCGACATTAACAGCTCCAGGCGCTGAGTCCGCTCTGCATGAAGCAGAAGGGGATGATGAACTAGACATGGAAATGGAGCTGGATTTGCAGCCCGCCCACCGTGCCGAAGCACTGGATGTGCTTGCGACTATTGAGCTGAAGTTTGCACTATTGCGGGAGAAGGTGTATGTCGAGAAAATGGAAGGGCTCGCTTGGGAGGAGGCATTGGTTTCCGAGGGTGTGTATGCTTGCCAATTTCAGACTCACCATACTGAAGACCTGCTTTAGCAAACCACCCAGAGCTCATCCATCTGCAAGCCGAACTGAACAAACGTCGCGACAAACGTCTTGCTCTTGCTTGCAAGAGACGTGTGTATGAGGTTGTCTCCGCTAACAAGCGGCGGAGGATGAACGAGGACGCGGTCTGGAGTTGGTGGAAGGTGCGTTTTATGCGCGTCCTTCTGATATCCGCTACTTACATTGTATTTGATGACTTGACTTAGGTCGCACGAGATGACCTGCAGACAGAGATGATTGCTGAAACTAACCGTAAGCGCCGCAAATTGGAGCGCGAGCGCAGAGCTATCGACAGACCCCAACCATGTAGGATTCTTTTCTCTTGTTGTGTCTGTGTAGTTCATGAATGTCCTGTTTGCAGTGCGCCGCATTCCCAACCCAATCCCCGATCCCCCTCCCGCGCCCACCATTCGTCAAATTGCACAGATATTGCCGCTCACAACTTCCCGACGACACATGCTGGCGACCGCATACCCCGATTTGAACGCCCTGCCTCCGGTAGATGCAGCTGCAGACCTCGATTTCCTGCATCAGCACCGTATGATGAATGCGCGCATGGTCATAGGCCCCATGTATGGTGCATCTTCTATGGATGCTTTAGCGTTCCATGGTGGCCCAGACGTGCGCATGCCACCCCCACCCCCGCCACCCGTATTTCAACCACCCAACCAGGGGTACCCGTTGGGCGCCCCGGGACGCCTACAGCGGTTGCCTTCGGGTCCTGCCCCAGTACAGTATGATGGCCTCCCTCCTCCCGCATACGGCCCGGGAATGCCGCCACCGCCTCCCCCGCACACAGAACAACAATTCGTGAATACAGCACTACAGGATACAACGCGGTTTGGCATCCCAAAGCCCGCGGGTGGGATGGATTGGAACGCGGGAGCGGAAGGGCGACGCCGTGAGGAAGAACTGGAGCGTGAGCACCACCATCGGCACCCGCACCACGCGCATGTCCCGCCACATCACCATGTTGGTGGTCACCACCATCACCGTCATCACCATCACGTTGTGCATCACCACCATCCGCCTGAGCCGCAGCCTCAACCGCAGCCAGAGATGATTAACCTTAAGCAACAGCACTGGAATAAACATGGGAGCCGACCATCATCGACGCACCCACCGTATGAAGAGCGTGACCGACCTGTTGCGACGCCATTTGCGTTGGCGCCGTCGCATAATAGCATTGCAGGCTCAACCTCGGGTCCCGGATTGCCCAGCGGGCCTGCGCCGTCGCCAAGGCATGGCTGGATGCATCAGGATGACCGGGAGCGCCCACCCCCATCACAACCTCCACCAGACCGCTACCACTCTCCTGGACCTCATCGATACGCAGGACCTTCGTCAAGTCATCCGCCACATCCACAATCTGCCCTATCCCGTCAAAACTCATCGGGAGTTTCCCCACCTCGTGCCCGACCCCTCCCTCCAAGTCCATCATCAATACCGCACCCTGGATTGCGGTCGCCGTCACGCTTTGAACCTCATTCGTCTACGGCCAGTAGCCCAGTGATGAAGCCCCGGCGACCACTTTCTCCACCTCCAATGTCTGTGTCAAAGCTGGGTATGCCGCCTATTGGCCCAGCATCCGGGTTCTCCCCTCGCCTTGCGGGTCCAGGAGCACCCCCTAGAGAGATGGAGGGCGGCATAAATGGTGTCGCGTCGTTATTCGGTGGGGGAAGCAGAACGGCATCCCCTCTCATTTCGTACTCAGCCACTCAAGGCCCACCACGACCTGCCCCGTCAAAGGTGAATGCTATGCAAATGGTAGATGGTCCCTGATTTTATACGTATACACTTCCTCTTTCACCTTGTTTACTACTTACAGCTATTTCATCTTGGGCACTGTATATACTGCATTTTCGTCATTTTTTCACAGTAATTATGCCACGGGAACCTGGAACTTTGTACGTTCTTGAATACATATTACAAAGGCCAGGATGGGTTTCGTGATACATGTATATATGGATCTTTCACAGCCTTGATGAGAGGAAGTAAGCATCGGCCGAAGTAGGAGACAGTACTAGTATAAGATAAGGGAGTGCTTCAGTCTCAGTTGACTCGTGAAGTCAGCAAATGTCCAACGATCCCCCATCTCCTGCATCCTCTCCACTTTCTTACCTTGAGCTCGTCAAGATATGCGACAATTTTCGCCTACCACCTAACTACGGATCTACTGATGTCTTTCAGAAGCCTTCCGATACAGATTCCTTCGTCCCGTGGACACTAACACAGTCTTCGGGAAGTCCTGCTGTCGGGCTCTTGAGGCTCGACGTAGTAGATCTCCTTCGAAAGGAAAAACCTGGAACGTGGGTCATTCCAGAACCTCAGGCGGGGCACCGCGTCAGCTTTGACGCGTCAGTCAACACTCCGAGAAAGCGCGTTGCAGTGCTGAAAGAGCTCTGTGAGCGCTGGCGCGACATTGGTGCATTCCCTGCGAGCATCGGACCGCGGAAATGGCGGAACGAGATGTACCCTGTGTACCGGAATCCCTTTGGCGTGCACGAGCACTGTCCTGAGGATGATTCCGATGAGGGAAACTACGCCTTTGAGATGGAGCGCGCTGCGTGTGCTCTTTTTGGTGTCGTCACGTATGGGATACATATGACTATCTATCAAGGGATAGCCAGCAGCCCACAGGTGAAGATTTGGGTCCCAACGAGGGCTAAGACAAAGCAGACGTGAGTTTAAATTCATCGATACTAGCCCCTGAATGACAACATGATCAGGTGGCCGAGCTGGCTAGACAATAGTGTTGCTGGCGGGATACCCAGCGGCATGCCTATCTTTGAGAGCCTTGTTAAGGAGTGCGAGGAGGAGGCCAGTATGGATACAGACATCGTGAGGAACCATGCGAAACATGTCGGGGGGATCAGTTATTTCTTCAGGTATCGCTTTGACATATTTTTCGGGTAAACCGCAAGGTATAATTATGGGGTGATTATAGGAACAGAATGCACTTCCTGCAACCAGAGGTCGAGTAAGTGCTGGCTGACTCTGTGTATGGAGATCACAACGACACGTTCTAGATACGTTTACGATCTTGGGGTACCACCTGATATTTCGTTCCAGCCCTGCCCATCAGACGGTGAGGTGGAGTCTTTTGATGTATGTCTATCAGTTGTTATTTCTCGATCGCACTAAACGGTTCCTGTCGAATACTAGTTGCTATCCCTGGATGAAGTGAAATCAAAGATGCGACAAGGACTCTTCAAGCCCAATTGCGCTGCCGGTGGGTGCTGACGCAAAAGACCTACAAAGTTTTCATTAACTTAACCCACAGTTCTCATCGACTTTTTTGTTCGACATGGCCACTTAACGCCTGACGATGAGCCCGATTATATGGAGATCGTCACGAGATTACACGGCAGGTTTGAATATGAAAGATGGTGTCAATAGGTATGATAAACAAACGTTTGGCGTACCGTTACACATACTTGTGCGTTGCTGTAACTCTGGGAGTGCGCTCGCGTATTGTATTCAAGCCTACAACCCTCGAGTTGGACTCGAGTAATAGTAATCACTTTGAATCGTAACTACATGATAACAGTATCTCATAAACCACCGATTTGAAGCCTTGTCGGCAGTAGGCTTGAAGCTGCTGTACCTGCTGTTGATGTATTGCAGGAAATGCGTTATGGCTGCTGTGTTTGCGAGCACGAATGGAAGCGAGGAGACTTTACAACGTAGATTGTTTGCTGGAATATGGCGTTCGCGGTTGTACTGAGGGCAAATGAAGGGTGTTGTCTTTTATCGCATCGCTCAAGGAAGTTCATCTTTTTCTTTGCCGCTGGCATAGGTTAGATAATTGAACATGGAGAGGAGTGATGTGGGACATTAAAATGGCAGCCCTTTCGCTAGAGGATGAGTGGTGCGCTCACAGTGATGCAAACATTGTTAAAACCTCACCAGTAAGTTGTCCTATTTCTATTTTCCACGGAGCTGTTAACCGCCCGACCGATCGACTTACTTGCGATACAACTAATAAGAGCGGTGTCGCACTCAGTACCAGGTATGGGAGACAACTTGGAATCGCTGCTAAAGATAGGGAGCGGGCACTTTCTGGCGACAATCTTGAAGCCCCGAATGAATAATGTTTGATTTTGCCGACCATCGTACTCCATGGAGCCTGCTTTCTGCTTTATGATATTTACCGCACCATTATATACGGAAACGCCCCAGGAACTACGCATCCAGTGACTCGGATTAGGTATAGGACGACTGAAATACTAATTCCTAGCAAAATCGAGTCAACATTCTGCATTCTTGAATGCTTGCTCCAAGAATTCACTGTAGAAGTGGAGGTCACAATAAGAGGTGAGTACCCTGAGGAAGGGTGAGGAGTGCACCCTCCCCACTGGATTTTGGATTGAAGGTACCTTCAGTAAGCTAGGCAACTATGTGTTAATGACCATGTCAACAATGTTTTTCTGAATGGACGGGGTTTATCAGATTGTCCCGGGTGAATCAGCGTTTGGGAATATGGAAGAGTCTTCACGTTCTAAACGCACTTGTTGGAAATGCTTTGGTACCCCGCACGCTCGATGAAGAGGATGATCAGGGAACAACGGGATAAGCCGTGCGAAGTAACCGTGCCGACATCTCTAATCCTTATTCCCTCGTGCCAATACTCCTCTAGAAGAGATTGATGTCCAACTCTACAAAAGATAGCCGCGGCCTATTGAGATCAAGAGTCTTGTATAAACTTCACTCGTTTCGTGGTTGCAAGATCGAGTTTGTTTAGGGGGTAATTACCTTGTTTTTTTCCGCACGTGATGTTAGTGGTGATTTATTTATGTAAATCATTTTGATTTTGGCGTAAATGGACATCGCTTCGACACCATTGGCAGTGACACAGACAGCGACCAACTGTCGAGGAGCAGATTGTCTTTCTTCCTGCCTTTCAGGACCAGTGGTTGCACTTGCGACCCTGATCCGACTCTTACAGAGGACTCGGACAAACAGTCAATCCTCGGAGGACCCACATTTCGTACTACTCAATCCAAAACGTCCACTTCGAACATTCGACCAATGGTCACGGCAAACAACCTGAATCTCGACGTGCTCGAGTTGATCTTTGCGTATATCTCCGGAAATGATCTCGTCGCTGTCTCCTCAGTTAGCAAGTCGTTCCTCGCTGGTGTTATTCCGCGTTTGTATGCCACGGTCTCTTTCACCGCAAAGCATGCCAAACGATATAGGTCTGGAGGAGTAGGTCAAGCATTCGTGAAAGAGCGTGCTTCTAATAACAATGAATCAGATAATGTCTCCATTCCTCACCCTTCGCAATCACCCCGATCTGGCTGTTCACGTTCGTCACATCAACATCCATTGTACACCGTTCATCGTGAGTGGACAAGTGCACTCGAACTTCCTTTCGGAAACGGCAGACGCACTACGGGCTTGCAAAAACCTGACATCATTTGTGTGTGGTTCAAGAATCCTCCCAGCCCTGCTCGGCTCCCTGCAGGGGAAGGAACGTTTGGAGGATATTCACATTCATGCCGCGTTCACAACAACGCAAGGGGAGATGCTGCAAAAAATCACAACGCTACGCAGCCTGACTCTGGACTATCCGACTTGGAATGTTGTAGACTCGCTGACGAGATGGGCACAGTCGCTACAGCGGACACTTATGCACCTCACGATCTTTGTGCGTTACTATTGCTGCTTACAACAGCCGATTAAGGTTTGTCTAGATGTCTCAAGAAGTGAATGGCGTATTTTTGGAAGCCTTGCTGCCGCTGCTACCTCGCCTTCGTGGATTGCACATCGTTGGATGTTCAAAGGCTTCTCACACTGCAGTCATCAAAGCTGCTACAACACATACTCCGTCGTTGAAGGAGCTCTCTTTTACCATATTCGTGCGTCTTTGTTTGATCAGACATTTTTGACATTCGCACTCATTTTCGGCAGGAAAATACCCCTCCACCAAGCCTTTTTTGCCTACCTACCATCGCCTTGCCCAGCCTGCGCCATCTCGCCATTGACGTGCGCCCGACGTCCGATGCAACGGCTCTGACAATGTCATCGCTTTTTGTTCCACTAACCTCCCTGTCTACACTTGTGCTCAAGTTTGCAGACCGTCAGCTCCCGGTATGGAGCTCCGTCGTTGATGCCATTGCTCCGCCCAGCGCCGTCACACTGCCTTTGAAACATCTTGCCCTTATGGACTGTGCAGTCTCAATCGACACGGTTAAAAAGATAAGCTCGAGATGCAAAGATCTGGAGAGACTGGAACTACCTCTGCCAATCAAGGATATTGTGCGTTTTATTTTACTTCTACAACGGAAACAGATCATCACATGAGTCATCCCAGCGAGCATTTACCACAGCAATATCAGGTTTAAAAGGGTTGCATACGTTTACCGATGTTGGCGATGCGCACGCAAGCCATGGCCCGCGTGCGAGCTTGACAAGGGATGACGCAAGATTCATGATGCGGTCTTGCGTGAATTTGAAGACGATAGTGAGTGATGGACGGAAGTGGACGGTGAGTTCTCGCATCATGCTTCTGGCGACATTCTTTGAAGGTAGTGCATTGCACTGACTTCTTTTTTTTTACCCACAGGGACGCGAGTGTATTTTTCTTGGTGTAACAGTCACGCCCCAGCGGTACAAGGCCGACACCACTCAACATTGGTTCTCACCTTTAAAAGCGAATCCGTATCCGATTTAATTGTCACTGCTTGGCTTGTTGAGATCAAAGAAAAAATCGACGCGTATAATTTACGACTTACTCGTAATTGATGTAGACTTCTTGCTAATGAATCCTACCAATGGACCTTATTGCGCAGGACACCAGTGGACTTGAGAAACTGATTATGGTATGTTCAAAGTTAGCAGCCTGCTTACTGATGTGATTCTGGAGCTTCTCGCGTCTGCACCACTTCAGATTAAAGATAAGTCTTATTTACCTTCTCTGTCTCATGAATTTCTGTCTCTTAGGGTCATATTTTATGTCGATTTCGGCTAGCATTGATTTCTCCTAGATGCATCAACGGGCAATCAGAGGTGAACGGCGGCAAGCCAGTGTACATGACAATATTTATACTAGTGGTGCGATAGGCTAACAGGTATACTTAACGTCGACAGCCACGCCTTCCTCTTTCTTGCACACAGTACATCGTTGCACATACGACCATTTTGATTTCCACTCACTGCACAAACTCATCCTCACAACACGTACAGAGCGCTCTGGCTTCTCTCGCTTTCATACGAGATTGCGCTATGTCCAGGTCGGGCCTTGACAAGTCCATCCGCAGAAACGATCTCCAGGACCGTACCATTCAGTACCGCGAGGCCGCCGCACTCGAAGACAAGCGGAGGAGTTAGAGGAGGCCAACGGAAAGCAGTAGAACGGGTACGTATTAGGTCTACTAATGATGTACCACGCTAATAAGTAAGACGTGTTCCAGCCGTCCCCGAGAAATTCGCGCGGACCAACCTTCGCTGAGGAAGAGAATTTCGAATAAGGTGCTAGTCACACACATCTCCGTCGTCTGCTCACCGCCGTTCGCTGGTTGGGTAAACGTCAGTCCTACTCCTACCGTCAAAAACATACGTCATCTCCATCCCCAGACCATACGCTCCACTTCAGCGAGTTGCCCTCTTCTGGAGATCATCGTGGTGAATGAAATTGCACGGTATTCTGGCGCCGGGGGTCATTCGGCCACGCATTCTTGCCTTGAATCAATGACTCTCCCCCTCTCCTTCGATCCTCGGGTTGCCGATTGGCACCGGTTTATCGAAATATTCAATGGACTTCACCTTCCCATGTTGCAGAAATTGACTCTAGTGAGAAACCCAAACAAACCAGAAGTTGAGCGTGTTATGGCTGCGCTCGCAGTTACTGCATCTTGCAATGTGCGAGTGGTAGACTTTCAGACAGATACCGCTGGACGAAGTTGACGTGAATATCGCTGAGCCGCTGCTCTCAGTTGTGGGGGAGGTTTCTGTCCATGGGGGAGTGCTCTGCTGTCTTGCCCAGTGCAATTAGTCATGTAACCTTGCATACTCTACAGTCCACTACTTAGAACCGGTACAACGTAAAAGTGGTCCTCGGGAGGGAAAGGAAATTGAAGATACTATTGGTTACCACTTGTTCGTGCACACCACATTTTGTGCAGTCACATAAATGTCGCAGAAAGTCACGGTGTAGTCACACTGGCCGATTTCGCAGTCCGCGTGACACGCTGTGGATTAGACATTAGGAAGATATGTACGAGTGTACGAGTGGCTAGTATGTAGTAATCTAATTGAATATGTATTGTGGGTTGTCAGAGTAATATAAACTGCGACTACTAGGATGTCCAGACAGCAATGGCTGTGATGACGTAGATACGAGCCTCGACAGGAGCGGGGCCAACATGATGTGAGTGGTTTGGATACAGAATGGGGAGAGATCTTTGCATTTGCGGAAAAATCTGGGTGGAACATATTGTTGGCTGCTGTGGGGAGAGAAGTACTTGCTGAGGGTGTTGAGCTTTCACTCGAAGTTGGGTTGGCAATGGCAACGGGCCTGCCGGTGCGTCGTTTCGAACCATATAGCGCTGAAAATCGAGGATTATCTGCACAGCACTGCGAAAACTGCCATGTCAAGGTATCACGGATGACAGCTTGAATGTGAGCCTCTTTGGTGGGATCTCGGGGACCTTTCCGCTTCCCACCGACTCGAGTGCGTGCCATCCGTGCGGCGAGTAGACGCGTCGAGACGCGTTGCCACCAACGCGTCTGAGTTGAAACTCCGCTGTGGCAGCGGATGGCAGGTGACAAGGAAGTGACAAAAGCCTTTGTCACAACCAAACATTTATCTCTCTTGTTTCTTGTCCAAATGCATCCGTCTAAGCTCGTAAGACGTTCTTGTGTATCATTATTTCAAATAGATGTAGTAGTTCTGAAGATTTGTAGTAGGAAATGTGTGGTTTTGGGAGGATGCATGAAATGTGGTGTGCACGAGCAAGTGGTAACCAATAGTACAAGCAGTTCCGAATCCCACCCCGTACGCACTGATTCAGTGATAACCGCGACTTACTAGTGGCTGTTTGACATGTATTTTGATGCTTGAAGCTTGAAATTTCCCATGTATCGGGTTTGGCCCGCGGCACCCATCTGCAGCTCACAGCCTCGGTATCCAAGTCGTGGCAAGTGATGTGAATGAAGTGCTCTATCACACAGCGGTAACGTCGTAGCCATGAGGGACGCGTGTAGCGAGGTTATATTGAGGCGCTCGAGCGAAATCAGTGATAAGTATGTAAGTACATGTGCTGTGAGACGTGATGCCACGTCAGCTAAACCATCTTGTGTAGAAGTAATATCAACTTCATGATTGGAAATGAAGCTGGGGCATGTGCGTCTCCCAGCAGATATTATAATGCGTTTATGTAACAAGGAGATCCCTGGTCTATCATGATTGCACCTGCCAGGGTGACAGTCACACATCTAAAAGGGCTACAGTGATAACAATGAGTACACCATCTATGATACACACGACTCTAAAATGAAAGGCTAGGTTGGTCCATGACCTCTGAATGTCCCATTTTAAAAGCATAGGACACGATAAAGGATCCGAAACCCAAAGATAAGAGCACCTGACAAGACGTATGGCTGTATGTCTGAACGCCGCATGACTGAGCTCGAGGCAACAGTCTGAGCTGCGAACCCACGCTATCTATCAAGGTCGGGCTCGCGCTATTCGTAGCTCGATCTATACGCAGATCTTAGCTCGAAACGATGCTTGTTTCGAGGCTAAATACGGCCAAGAGAATGATGGATGATTCCGAGGACTACGAGTTTTGTACCCGATCATGAAGATGTCCCGATTGCTGCTGGTGATCCAGCTGGTCCTGCATCGCCAGCCAGCCAAAGGCTCCAGAGATACCCAGAGCCAGGCAAACATATGACCGTGATGAAGACTAAGGGACGCTATGCGTGAGCCAGTGAGAGTCTCAGAAAGAATGGTCTCAAATACCTCTGAGGACGACGTCGGGTATTTGTAGCGGGTTATCCGCGAAGGTCCATCAAATATTTCATACACAGGCTCTGAGGGAGATGTAAAGGAGGAAGAGGGGGTATGCGCCTGTCTGTTAGGCGAGGGAGATAGGCGTTGCCGCATTTTGCGACGATTTTCAAGGGCTCGCGGCAATAAATGTGCCGGGCGAGCAGGCCCATCGAATACGATGGGGGGAGGTAGTGAGGAGAAATGGTAAGTTCCGGTGATGTTTCTACCGGCATTTTTCGATTTTTCACCGTTGCGTTCGAGTGCAACGACGCGAATGGTACTAGCGGTTCGTTCAACAAGTGCGGAAGACTCCCCCAGGCGCACTGGGGCGTCAAAAATGTCAAAGATTGGAGGAATAGTGAGTGCCTCGTATTCTTGTGCGGTTACTGTAGCTGACATTGTCGAGGACAGTCGCGCAGGTAAGGACTGTGCGGCTCTTCCACACCAGGTGTGTCGTAGCGCAGTGGCAACTTGGTGACGCAGCGAAGACATGACTGGACAATCTATGGGACGCTCAACATGAAATTCCGTGGAACTTGCCTTTATATACCGGATAGCATACGTGGAATGACCGGTCCTGAGAGCGTCTTTTGATCTGAAAAATATAGGGGGTTAATAGCATCTGGGAACGTTGAGAATGATCAGAAAAGTATGTATTGCTATCTTGTGGCGGAATTGAAGCGGCTATAGTGAAGTGTAGTTTATCATATCATTCAATCGCAAAACAGCGCCGACCTCGGTAGAAAGCATCGAAACTGCAGTTTCTGATGAGCTGCCAAGCGCATAATCAAACACAGGTTCGCCGGGCCACTATACTCGTCCTGGGATAAGCGGTAATAGAGTTGTGCCAATAGCGTATCTCCGTCAGTGTTTGTACTTTCCTAACTTTCGTCGCAGACGCAGGCCACTTTGAGACAAACGTTCTTGGCCGCCGAGATGAAATGGTCCGGACGCCGGACAACTGCTAATCATTGTTGGTAGTAGTTAACTCACGATCCGTCAGAAACGGAGAACTGTGGAAAAGATTTGCATTGAAAGACGAGTGTACGAGTGCCGCATAAACGCCACCATTGTTAGCCATGAAGATCGACCAATTGCAGATCCCCTATTGGGTGCCAGGCTCCCGACGTGGGGTCGCATGTTCAGCGTGCAAGGTGGACAAGTGAACGGCCAAGATAACAAGATTACTAAGGCAAGACGGATGATTGCCTGTTGAGCGTAACTCTTGCAATTTCCGTTGGCACTGATACTGTTGAAGACTCACCTTTGGACAAATAAGAGCTTTCCAAGGAGGACGGGTATGCATTGCCACCGTTAGGAACGTCGGCTTGCTGTCGGACGCACAACTTCGAGAGAGGCGTTCACTTGGCCCTTGAGGCCGGTGCGTGGTCCCCACAAGCTCAGATTAAAGCTTAAAGATAATCGTAAATCAATCTTCAATTGGGATATCAGATAAGGGGGCAGCGACAAGCAAGATTCTAGCATCAGCTGGTGATTTCATCATAATGATCTGAGTCTTCTCCGAGATGCAGCCTGAAGGCGATATCGCATCGAATCGTGCAGGAACTTTCCATGTCGCCAAGCATTTTACCAAGTAAGCCGGAAGCCGGAAGAGGCGTGTTGCAGGTGCTGTGCAAAGAAACGAAGAATCCTCGTTGAGCCTTCCGGTCAAACGTTGGAAATGCATGGCGAAGCCGAACTTACTTACTCGATCGTTTTAGGAATTGAAGTTCAGCGGCTCGCTAAATTTCGGTGTTAGAACTTTTGTTATGCTCGACGCTCGAGCCGTTCGGCGTTGACTTGACCTGCGATACTTATCAGACGGAATACAGATATCGATGCGGCGGCTCATTCTACATTCAAGAATACTCAGTCCTCTCAACATCTGAGCCTCTTTATTTAAATAAGCCTTTATGGTATCTCATCGAGCGAAATCAGTGGTCGACACATACTGCCAATATTGTTCGCCCTGGTCAAGTTCATCAACGAACGCCGACTCACGCGTGGCTGTTCTAGTGAGCGAAAAGCTCATCGAGGAGGAGCTGCCCCACTTTGCTGGTGGGTGGGGCCTTTTCGTTCTATTTCAGATCGGTGCAATTAAAGCCTCGTTGAGTCCATGTGTTTGTCTTCATGTTCAAATGACCCGCATCGATCGATAGGGCTGGAGAACACGAGGATGAGTCCGATTTCTAGAAAAGAGTCTTCTCAGCCAAAGTTGATCCCTATCCTCTGGCCCCTCGACGTTACATACGATGACCGTCGTTCCAACCTCACCTCAGAGCCCAATTTCGGGTGGTCCGTTACCTCAATACGGGTATGGCTCTGATCACACTTTCGATCGCCTTATCCAGGACAACCATTTTTTGTTTCGTGTATACACTCCGAAGCAACGCTCCCCATTCTTTGATACCACTGAGCCCTACTTCGTTGGCCAGAAGTACAACGAGCAATTTAGAGAGGCCGCAGAACGGCTTCGACAGCCCTTTACAGGCCAGTCAGTAGCTTCAACGAGCAGTTACGCGGATGTTGCTCAGCACATGGACTGGACGCAGAGACACATGTCTCCTTATATCTCAACTACGTTCAGCTTTGCCTGGGCTATTTGGGAGGCCACCCGTAGATATCGGGTTGGTCTCAAGCACGATATTGAAATCGCCATTATTGATGCACGCCAGCTCGCCGGTCGAGCTGCAACCGCCCTAGAGCTACTAAGAAAGGGCTCGCCCAATGAGTCAGTGTTTTTTTTGATCGGACTCCTGATTGCTCTGATAAGCTGACTTCGTGATGTAGAAGGCATCTGGACTATTGGAAGTGGTACAGATTCGCCCTGGAGTCGCAAGACGTTCTTGTTCATGGATCTATCCCCAGTTCGGCTGTTCTAGCCTCAGTCCCCCTCCTGAACATCATGGACAAACTCCCATCATACTTCCTCCGCCAAGACACTCTCGTCGACAAGAGGGCGTCTTCTTCACAGTTTGATATCCTATCATGGGATACTATGGATCGCAAGCCCAGTTTCCGCCAGTTCTGCCAAGACATGTCAGATCAGTTCTTGCACCTTCCAACTGAGCATCGTCTTCGCGATGCAACCGGAAGTTCTGTCCGCTTGGCAATGGCATTTCTGCGTCCCTGGTTCCATAGCGTTGTCGTCGCCGATTTCACCGAAGCGACTGAGACTGCTTGCAGTCTTGCGTTCATAATTGCGCAATGGCCAGCTCAGTGGTGGTCACGAGACCATGTCGAGATGTGGGATGTCATTCGCTCCCTCGTCCAAGCAGTTGGCGAGGAAGTTCGAGCGAAGCAAAAGGGGGAAGCGTTCGAAGAAGTCCGGAGATTGCAAGGAGTGGTCTCCGAACTCGAGCGTGTCGTACAGGATTACGAGGAAGCCGAAGTTGCTTCATCAGTCGATCCAAGGAACGACATGGAAGCCGAGGTCGAAGGATGGGCAGTCGTTCTGCCTCCCTCCCCCCCTGCGTCTATCATCGAATGCTCGATGTCCGAAACCGCTCTCGTCTTGGCGCCACCAACAGTTCCCGCCCCGCCAGCGGCGTCAGTTTCACAGGTTGATCAGGCTGTTGCAGCTATACCAGCCTCTGAGAGTCCGGATAGCAATCGGTCGAAGACACCGACCCTCATTTTTGCCCCCACAATTGTCATTCACCAAGAACAACAGCACTTTGCAACGGAGACTCAGCCTACACCAGAACCAGAACCTCCGCATGAAGAACCGCAGCGACACCCAAAGCGCCGTCCTCATTCGCTGGCCGAGACCGCAACCTGTATCGTCACGGGGCTACTTGTTGGCGCTTTTATAACTCTGTGTATAGTTAACTCTCAAAGACGCACCCTCATTTATGTCACGTAGGGCCTCGGACAAAGTACGAGATGGGAATTGAGAAGTGTTATAAGAAGGTCGTGAAGTAAAAGGAAGCTTGTATCGTTACAGTATAACCTATTAGATATTTATGCATCCGTAATTTGCTTTCTGATATGCAACTGATATGATCGATATATACTCGATCTCTAATAGTTGTCCAGATGACCCGTGCGTGCTAGCTAAGGCTCTCGTTATAGCCCCACCCACGTTCTGTATTTTACCACGTCTCCTGCATGACGTTCTACAACAGCATGCACTTCATCTCCCCACACATCTCTCGGGGTTTTCCTTGGATGCGCTTCTTCGGTCCGCGGTGTCAAGCATTCTCTAACGTGCTTCTCTGCATCGGTAGATTCAAATACCACGCAATTCTCTGGAGTGAGTGGCTTGGCTGGATCCCACCGTAGAAGTGTCGGGTGTGCAGGGACGGCATGAGGAGGCACAACCGAGCGACCAAGATGCAGGTCCTCAAATATCAGCGCGACATCGTCTTCGTCAATGGGTAATTTACTGCATGAAGTGTAAGGCGGTGTCAGAAGATGTCAAATGTAAACTCACTTGATCGGCTCCCCGACGAACTTCGATTCACGATGCAGGAGATCACGAAGGAGGCGCTCGTAGAGCTTCTTGCGGTTCTTTATGGGCAGAGGGTTCAGGATCGGTTTTCCAGCCATCTCGCAGAGGATGTAAGTTGCGATGTGCAGCCCAAAAAGCGATGGTAATGGGCCTACCCCGTGCAAGAACAGTAAGACATCAGGACGCCAGTTTGCAAAGAACAAAGGACAGACCGAGGACTGGTAATATTCGCACCCTGAAATCATCTAATACTCCAAGTTCTTTGACGTCACCTTTCTGGAACTCTTCCTCTGGAAGGGGAAGTAGTTTTACATCTCCCGGGACTTCCGTAGAATAAACGACAGGAATCCCCGAGGATACACCCTGCAGCCGTAACCTGCGCCGAACAGAGCGTGCGAGAGGGTCGTACATGGTGTATGATATATCACTAATCTGAATTCGTGTGGGGTCTGCCTTTGCACCAGCGCCCATAGACGAGAACACCTACAGAAGTATGAGCTTAGTACGATTGGATAGCAGTCAGTGACACGGACAAACTTTGATATTGTGCTCATGGCAATACTTCAGCAAGTCGACTTTTGTGGTAATATTGTCTATTGCATCTTTATAACGAGCTAACGAAAGGTGAACGAGATCGAGGGGCGCATGAGACATACCGATAACCCAGTCCGCTCCCTCCAGCAGCCTCCCTCCATCTTCCTTCCTCCAAACCTCAACCTGGCTGTCCACTTCCACCCATGTGGAGATCTGCTTGAGCGTCCGCTCGATGCATCCCACCTTCGGTGTTCCTACATCCGCTCGCACCGCCGTGGCATGTCTGTTCAACGAGGAAAGTGTCACATTGTCAAAGTCCACCAGTCGGATCTTCGACACGCCTCTGCACGTAATTCATGAAGCACGACAACAGGATATTAGACGGTAATAGTCACGTACGACCTGACAAGCATGACTGCTGCCCAGCTACCAACACCACCGCAGCCAACAACTACAACAGATTTTCCCCGAACGCGTGACATGCCCTCATCCCCGAAGAACGCATAACACCGCGCGAGCTGCTCTCTAATCAGCTCTTCGTCATACCCATCAGCACTGATGCGGAGAAATTGTTCATCCAATGGCTCGTCGTAGTTTGGTGTCAAGCGCTGTTTAGAGCTGTCATCCTGGTCTGCTATTGACCTGAGGATGTCTTGGTCGAGGTTGCGTCTCCGTTCGCGTCGACTATAGGCATTATATGCAGTAAATAGACCCGAAGTCAGTAAAGATGCTGATGCAGCTGCTAGAATCAGCTGTGTCTTGTGTGACTGCGCAGAAAAGACATTCATGAATGTAAGATCGTGAAGACAATTGGGGCCAGGTCAAAGTCAGGTCTAAATCAAAACCACTTAGTTCAGAAAAATCACACCCCTCTAATTACAAAAGTGGCCAGTGATGGGTATGCAACGTAACGTCAGGCAACCTTCTATGGAGCAGAGTACGCTGGAGACCAGACTAAAAAATTGCCACTCCCAGGCCGTCATCAATGACTCATCGTACACTTTGTTCAAGCATCTGGGCTCGGCGTCCTCGTAAACAAGCTGTCTGGGTGTGCAAGAATTTCATCGCAAGAACCAGCGGATATGATGCAAGTACAAGATATCTCCCATACCCGGACCGTCTCACTGGGAATCAATGATCATGGTGACTGATCAATAAAGGATGAATGCCAGGATAGATCGAGGATAGACTGCTGAGTGCTCGTTCGTACGATGAATTTGAATAAATGACATGCAAGCTTAGATGCACAGACGGTAGAGTACAGTACTATTCTCGCATTACAAAGATGTAGCACGTAGGCAGTAACGTCCATATGCATCGTACGCATACTAATAGTCGCGCAAAGAGGTTCAGGGCGCAGGGCTACAACTTCAACAGTGACGCATCGTCTGCACCATTCTTCAGACCTGCGATGTCCTGAAGTTTCCTTTCTGCCTCCAACCATTGAGAAACAGCACTACCCTCGCCTTCCCACTTCCACTGGCTTAAGATCTTCCCCCTTTGAATTTCCAACTCTTCTCGTTCATTTCCTTGATCTGTACTCAGCGAGTCAAGGTGGTACAAACGTCCTGTACGTTCCGATTCACGGGCTAAGGATTGAACGAGTGGGAGGCGAACGTCCTGGTATACTTTCAGCGCAGCGGGCACGCTATCCAACGTTGTGAGTGGGTGGGCAAGAAGGCGGCCAAGCACAAATGCATCCTTCGTACAAGATGAGATTATATAGTCTGGCGAATGATCGGGCTTACCTCCATTGCCTGACCAGCTCCGGCGCCAAAGTGGGGTTCCATGGCATGGCACTACATGATTTCGTCAAAATATCTTCCAGTCAGTAAGGAGAAGCGTACCGCATCACCTATCAGGGCAACTCTGCCGTAGGTGAATAGCGGCAATTCATTTAATACATGAAGCGCCCATCTTGAGGGGTTTTCGGAACACTGTGAAGAAATGTCGTCGGTCGAGGGGGGCATGAGCGACCCAGCCCAATACTTACTTTCAACATGTTTCTAACGGCGGGTTCGAAGTCTTGATATAGTTCTTGAACCTCTTCATTGGACACATCTGAAACCCAACGGCCCTCGAAATGTGTGTCAGGTTTCTGTTCAGCAGCAACGAATGCTGCGACATTGAACAGTGTTCCTTCTGAAACAGGATACGAGATGACGTGCTATGAAGTTACGATGACAAATTCATCAGCAAGCAGATTATTGATCGCAACACTCTACCTTTCTCTTCCCGCAGAACTGCGAAATGACAATCATTCCCAACGATCATGACCGCTTCTCTGAAGACTTACTAAGATGAAATCCTTCAAGGCTATGTTATTCGGGTCCACCTGTAAGATCTTCTCCATCGGAATGACGGTGCGATAGACAAGCGTTCCGGTCCAAACTGGATCTATGTAGCGTCCTATCTTACTTGGGTCCACAATGTCTCGGTCTAATGTGTTGAAGAGCGTCTTCCGCACTGAGGAGCGGATGCCATCTGCCCCTATTAACACATCCGTAGTTGCAGTGCTGTCATCAGCGAAGTGAAGGATAAGTGATCCTGACAACTGCTTGTCATATCGAGTGAGGCGTTTATTAAAGTGAAGCCTGCATGACGAAGGGAGGTACTGCTTCAGAATGTCGGCAAAATTCTGGCGGTGTATATTCATTGGGGTGTGTTCGAATTCCTGCTGGAACCACTCGAAACCACCCTGTGGGATATTAGATATCCTGAATTTTGGCCCTGTCGGTACGAATCAAGTTACACACGGTTGAAAAAAAAACTTGATTAACAAACCACGACTGGAGGAAGGGAACTTAGTCGAAGCACGGGAGACCTCTTCGTACATGCCGAGTTCTTTCATGAGCTCCGATGTGCGCGGCGAGACTGAAATCCCAGCCCCAGCGGTCGCAATGGCGTCATACGCTTCGTATAAGTCGATGTGGATATCGTGACCTGCAAACTTTCCAATGGTGACAGCGAGGACAAGCCCTCCTATCCCTGCACCACTGCACAAGAAATTCAGTCTGCGTCACGTTCATGAAAGGCTATCTGACTCACCAGATTGCTATGCGAAATTTGGGAGTGCCTGATGAGAACGACATTGATTATAGGTTGGGAAGAAAAAACTATAGGATGGGTGCATTGTGGCTACATTTTATAGCCAGCTCAACATGACACAAGATTTTGGGGCAACCAGCCGGAAACTGCGTTCCGGAAAAAGTTGTCTTCGGCGGTGAGAGTGGGTCGCCGCGGAGAGGTCGCCACCCGAGGAACAACCGTACGCCGATGGATACGATAGGCTGGCTAGCACTGACAATATTTGAGTCCGGATCGCCCGGAACCAAGTCAACAGAAGTCATCTTGCTCAGACCCGGTGTGACATACCATGACACGATCATCGGGTCACAAAATTATTATGACTATCAGTATTTGCTTGGTAGCTTGGAATGAAATGGTCATGGCTAATGAACGGGTGTAGCAGGCAGCGTGTTGGCCGATCAGCGGGCTGGATAGCAGGACGCCGCAACGTGACAGTGATGCCTGGCTTGACCGGCACCATGAAAAAACTTACGAGAAAGACTCAGAATGGCTCCTTGGATGCGCCGATCAGCGGGTGTATAACATTATGAGATGCGACATATGGTAGAAGACCGCATCAGTATTTGTTTGATGATTTGGGATGTCCGCAGCGCCTATGCGTTGCCGATCAGCGGGCTGGATAGCAGCCTGTAATGCGCAAGATAAGGTAAGTCCAAGGGATATATGTAACGCGAGTCCAAGTTGAGTAGTTGCAATGTAAACAGGTAACAACTTCTGATCATATACTGACTTTACATACTAGATGTCATACTGGAGTTGGACGTTAGAGTCAACTTAGACACAACTATGATATGGTAAATACATACAGTGCCCAGTATCAGAAGTATGTCCGGATCGGTACAGACTTCAGTGGTACCCACAGCGAAACTTCGGCATCGTCCCTGAGTCAAGGTCCTTGTCAACTTAGTGTGCATAACTTAATCAATGATAGGAAAAATGCAGACACATACCAGAACGGAAGACAGCGATATCACGGCCCATAATAACCTCTTCGGAGTTCTGTGCTATTTTTCGATGGCATATTTGCAAAAGCTTGCAACCGTCCGAATTCCGCTACCCAAATCAGAGGAAGTCCAGATCATGACTCGTTGGCGGTAATTATAATAATTGAGTGACGAGCAAGTGATGAGACTTCTCGTGCTGTACAAAACACCAACTTGCCACGGCCCACAATGCCAAGAGTCGACTGTTAATGTGCAATACTTGGTCTATGTACTACTATCTAGCCAGGTTCCCTTGACTCCGGAGTAACCCGACTCCAGAACACTTAGGTAATTCGCATTAATATTTGCAAGTAACTTAGCATTGAATTATTCGACCACAGTTAACCCCAGACCTTCAGCTTGCCATGACGAAGCACAGTAAGAATAACACGGCATCTTCTGTATTCTCATACGCTGAGAGACAGAAGGCGGAGTATGGTACTAAACGGGTACGTTTACTAAGTGCTCAGATTATACAAATCTTTCACTGATAACTGCGACAGCAACGCCTGGGCAATGAATCTATGCGAAATTTTGATGCATGCGCTTTGTGCTTACAACGAGCGAGAGAGCCAATAGCATGTGATCAAGGTCATTTATTCTGCAAAGAGTGCGCGTACACTGACCTATGTAAGTTCGTAATGACTATATAGGCTCATGCATTGAGTATTCAGTGACGCAGAAAAAGGATATTAAGCGGCAGAAGGAACGGCTTGCGCAGCTGAAGAAAGAAAATGAAGAGGAGAAAGAGAGGGCCAGAGAGGCAGCGAGGGAACGTGTACTTCGCGACTTCGAGAAGGGTCAACTGGGATTGTCTGCAAACCTGCGGTCAGTTGCATCTGCGTCTGGCGTCGAAGCGAAAGATTGTTTGTATCTCGTCCATTCACTCCTTCTCCTAGCGTGCTCAATTGTTTTCAGCCCGATCATCGAAGCGGAAGCTTGACTTCGACTCTTCAACAGTTGAAGCTCTTACCCGAGAAGCTGAGGAGGCAGCCCTAAGACAGATCGAACGAGAGCAAGCGGAGTCATTACGACACAAACTACCGGATTTTTGGCTGCCTTCGCTAACTCCCACATACACCTCAGGCAGTTTGCCTAGCTCTCTCAAGGATGTCAAGGTTCAAACAACATGCCGCGGAGGGAATCCACCCCACTCAATAACGTCGGTATATCATTTTTCATGGTTAATTGATTCTCATGACATCTTCAGTCTGAAGTCATTGGTGCCTGTGAAGTTTACGTTGCTACCCGCTGCGTCGGCTTCGCAATCACCAGACTCTACCCCCGCGGAGAGCGACAAGGGCAAAACTAAGTCAGAGGATGCTGGAGTTCCAATTTGTCCAGCTTGCAAAAGCAATCTTAACAATAACAGGGTGATGTTCCGTAAGTCCATGTCTCTGACATCGGTTGCAGGATCTAACCGTTCAAAGTCATGAAACCATGTTCCCATGTTGTGTGCAAAGTATGCGTCGATGAGCTGGTGCGGGTGGCCAAGCAGTGCATCGTTTGTGATCACACACTTAACGATCAAGATATGATCGAATTAAAGAGAGAAGGTGTGTGTATTTCAACACGTTTTGACCCTCGAGAGAGAAAACTATGGTCTTGTTTCACCGCATGCTAATTCAGTAAATTGTCAGGCACTGGGTTCGCAGGAGGTGGTATTGCAGAAGCGAAGAAGACGGGCGTCGCGTTCCAGGGTTGAAAGTTCTCGTATTCCGACTTGATAGGTCTTGATCCGGCTTTCGTTGTTTGTGTTATCAATGTTACCCTCAGGCCTCAGCTGATCGAATGTGCGCTATTTTTGATCATCCCGCACAATGATTTCCGATTTACCACCCATGACGTATTGTCATTGGAACGTCTGGACCGCCAATTCAAAAATTGGCAGCTCACAGTTCTTCTCCCCACCCAGGTCAAAATGTTGAGTTTTACTCTTGTGCTTGCGCTTGCGTCATTCGCCTGCCGGACTAGCGATTATTTTTGGTTGAATTTGACTGGTGCATATTAAGCTCCAAAATTGCTTTGAACGCCTCTTAAGAATGCAAGGCACTAACCAGAAGTACCTTCGCAGGGAGACAACGCTAACGCCCGTACCTATATACATATGGAATGGCAAGTCTCCGGATTCGATATTCTTTTGCCACAGTTTGTAGCAGGGGATTGGAGACAACACCGCTGGCGCTTCCCAGAACCAAAGAACCGAAGGTGGTCTGGTTCGAGACTATCTGAATGCTTAATATTGACACCTTACAAACGACAGTAGCTGCTGACGCTTCGATCTTTCAAAGTTCAGGCGCGACAATTTTCGTACATCACTAGGAACCTTCCTTCCCTATGTAAGCGTGATTAAATGGGTCATTCGCGAAATGTTCATGCATCCTCGATCAAGCATGCGTCTTTTTCGTTTCACTCTGTCACAGTCTAACTTGAAGGTCAAGTACATGGCGTGCCGGTGCGCCTTAATGCAGTCAGGACACCATTTTTTCACGTTGTGTGGCGTGAGTTGATCTTTCCTTCGATAACAACGTGACTCGCCCCTAACTCAAACTTCAGCATTGTGTGCTCGCTGAGTCGCACTCACCGCCACTGGCAGCTTTAACAGTTCACCTCGTGTTTGTATTCCTTACAGGGCAACTAATGAGGTTTCGGTCCACAACCAATTCATCCACATCTCCACAATACAGACGTATAAAACATGATGCAGCCCATGCCCATGGTCCCTCCAACATCTCTCCAACCCTCAACTGTCGCGCTAAATTATGCGGTCGTCCAGCATGCTAACAGATCATATTTCATCGCCAATTCTAGAACAGTTTGACAAGAACTCTCAGCGGCACCTTCTCGCATGTGACTTGGAGAACAGGGGACGTAGGATGATGGAGTGCTTTGCGAATTCCACTGGCACTCTCCCCATGCCGAGCACCACTACGCGTAACGTTTGGAATCTTCTGCCTAACGACACAGCCAACACGATGGCTGTGCCGCTACGGGCGGGCGTTGTTTTCCTTCGCGCGCCGCCACCCACCCCAATGGATGCGGCTTTCACTGTCGTCAATGAATCCTCATCACGAACGCGAAGTGACGACATGGGCTGGTCTCTCATATACGAGACTCGCCTTCCTACTCCGGACACGTTGGTGTCTGAAGTTGCCTCGGATACGTGCGGCACGGACATTGTTTCGTCAACCGATTTCTCTGAAGGCTGTCAACCTAAGGCGGATGAACAGTCCTCCCTGGAAATTAAAGATTCTGATAAAAACGTTTTATCGCCGAGCGATCACGACCATTTATGTCCCTCAGACGCCGAGGGCAGTTCATTCACCCAACCAGGCGGATCCCCGATCCTCGCGGGAGGATTTGAAGAAATTGTCGATGTCAGATTAGAAGAACTCCGAGTCCGAGGCTTGGGTTTCATTGTCGAAAGTCTGCTGGCTGCTGGAGTGGAAAGCGTCCAGTCAGCACCACTTATTTCAATGGTTGTGCGAACGATGTCACACAGGATGACCAAGAAATCACCCACAGAAGCCAAAAGATTCGAGAAGGCATTGCGTGAGAGAGCTTTGGAGGTGTTCCGCCAATATTGGAAACCAGTTGAGTCTTTCTCCACTTTTGAATGGGCAGTGCTAGACCTTACTCTCAGGACGGTGACTGGCGGCACATAAGCTCCACCTCTGGTCGACATTCTGCCCTCACTCTGATAGGGGTAAACAAGGCTGGCCTCATGGGATCACTCTTTTCTGCTAAAGTCGTGACCGGCGGAGACATCGCGCTTTGTTTGTCCATGTTGGAGGAGGAGGTTCACTTTGACCGCCTGTGCGCCATGCACGCCCTCCTTCTGTATGCAAACGACAAACTGTGCAAAACCCGAAATTTGCCAGCATTGACACAGCTAAAAGCCCGGCTGTCTCATGTCGATCCAGTAACTGGTTTGTATCTTTGGGCTCCTGCGCCACATGCCCGGACACTCTTGCAGGTAGGCATTAGAACTTACCGTGGATGCAGCAAAGTCTAAGCACGTCCTTTTCAGGATATTTCTGATATTATTGAAGGTTGGATGGTCGTTCAGGCAGACAAGCGGAAGAGATACCATCCTTCTGACTCGAGTCCGAGGCCTCCTTTGAAGGCTGTAGGACCGCGAATGCGTGAAGGCAGGACGAGGGACAAAGCTTAGCGCTCGTTATCACGCATCTTGCGTTGAAGTATGGTATATGTATTGCACTGATTCAAATTCGAAAGGTGTTGGTGAACGCCTCTTGCCTCATCAATCTACGCCCATCATCATGCTCGAATGACGAGAAATTGCTCCGGGATGTCCGTATTCTCATATCTAGTGAGGATGGGTTCGGTGTATAATTCAGCCTTGTCGTTCATCCGCACTTCACGTTTTACCTTCGCGCTGTAGTTTAGAACGAAAAAAAATGTGCTAATGAGGATGTAACTTACGTCCCAGACTCTTGTATCGCATCCAATCTGCGTCACCGTAGCAGGACATTGTCGAACGATGCGGAGAGCATCATTCATCATAGACCCAGGCTCCTCCATTTCATTCACTTCATGATAGAAGTAGACATGAATCGTGCGGAGGTTCTGAGCAGTAGCAAAACATCGTGCCACGTCATCCTGGCGGGTGTAGATGAACACCTCAAGTCACAAAAGGGAGGCAGGGGAACGTGAGCTGCGTACCAAATCATGCCTGGCGGCGAAGACAAAGAGTTGCTCTAAAACGGAGCACCGGGAACATATGTCACGCAATGCATCCAGACTGATTGTCATCTGGTGAATAGAAAATCGCTTGAGGCGCGACCCATGTATCGTGACAATCGTTTTCCAAAATTCGTCCGTTATAGCCGCTTTGAAAATTGTCGTCGTGGCATAAATTCGTAATATTTCTAATGGCGCAGTGGATAGCAGTTCCGTTACATCAATCATCCATGTCTGAAGAAGCGTTTCAACGTGGACCGCCAAGGTAATTGATTTGAGACGCCTAAACGCCCGATACTCCTTGCAAATGCTGTTAAACCTGGTCATATCCTGCTCGATACAATCAGCAGACGCGTAGTAAGGACGAAGGATCTCAGACACACAAATGCCGGGGAAAGCCCCTCGAGTCCGATACCAGTGAGGCCATTACGATTGGTTGACACGAGTTCAGCAATGCCTCTATGCGTCACCTTTGGGCATCCGGTAAGAAATAACTGATCCAGTTCAGTCATGTTAGGAGCTAGAGATTCCAGTAACGTATCGGTGATTAGACTCGATGTCTACCAAGGGGAACAATGAAAATGAGTTCATATCGCTCCATCCTTTTCGTACCTTGCAGACAATATTAAGGTTGCGAAGGGTTGAACCTGTAGTAGATATCCAGGAGGGAAGAACTTCAATAACTCGCACGCTCGGCATTATGAGGGATATACTGGACAGTTTGGAGAACTGTGGAAGTATCCAAGGATCATAGTATCCGCTGTCATGTCCGTTAATCTCGAGCTCTTTGAGTTGGGGGCATTTCTGGAGAGCCTGTAGAGTCGCCGATTCCAGTGAACCATCTCGAGTCCAAGCGCACGACCTCAGGTTGACACAATTTCGTATCCCTTGTATACAAAGATCCAGGAGGTCACTGTGCGACGAAGAAGACAGCGCCTTGGGAAAGACTCTTATCTCTGTATAACGCCGGTTAGTTGTTACGCTGGTTGGTGTCTTTAACTGATGGGCTCACCAAGGCGTGAAACGTAACGTGCAAGCCCAGGGCAACTCGAAAGTGTCTGGAACAGCAGAAAAATCTATTCCAGGTGTGAGCCACCGCTATAACTGTACTTATTAACATCGTAATATCCACCTTTGACGTAGCCTCTGTATGCCATGCATAGATGTACACGCGCTGATAGAGCCTCGGGATCGCAAATTCGTTGAATGACTTATTGACCAAACATAAGGATGTAAGATGATGTGGTCTCACCACAGAATCAAAGATTACAGGCAATAACTCGAGGGGGATGTCGATAAATTCGACCATGGCTACCTAGCATTTGCACGGGGCACAGAGATTTCTGAATCTTTATCATATGCTTCGAAGCTTCATTATGTAAGAATTCGGTACCGGTCACACACATGTGGTCGACGACATCTTAAAAAGTAATCTTAAAAAGTAAGGGAGAATCTTAAAAAGTAAGGGAGAAGGCAAGGGGGGGAGGTGGGAAGATTTGGGCATTTCCGCGTAGCGCACATGGCGTCGGTAAGCCTCGCCAGCATCAGCTGGCGTCGGTATTTTCGGTTATTTCGCTAAGGTGGCTGAAAAAAGCATCCCACATGGTTCTGTCAACCGGAGTTTGAATTTCCGAAAACCATTGTCCCTACTGTACCAGCTCACTGTCCAAAATTGGGAATTTGTAAAAATTGAGCCACAATGGGATACACCAAGCAAATAGAAAAATGTGAAAAATGCGAAAATGCAAGATGGGATTGGCAGGTGCTCACTGGCCCTCCATTTTGCACAACAACAATGATTTTATATATGTACTGTAACTGTGAATACATGATAAATAGTAAAAATTGAAGGACAACAAGGGATTTTGGGATTTTTGTGGGGAAAAGAGAAAAGAAAACACCAAGTAGAAAAATGTGAAAATGCAAAATTGCGAAAATATAAAGATGGGAAAAATTGGCAATGGGTGAACAGGGGAATGGGAAGATGGAGAATGGAAAAATGGGGTGAATAGGGAGGATGGGAGGATGGGAGGACAATGGGAGGATGGGAGGACAAGAGGAGGACAAGAGGACACAATGGGAGGATGAGAGGACAAGAGGATGGGAGGACAATGGGAGGACAATGGGAGGATGGAAGACAGGAGGACAGACAATGGGACATGGGACATGGGACACGGGACATGGGACACGGGACATGGGACACGGGACATGGGACACGGGACACGGGACAATGGGACATGGGACACGGGACACGGGACATGGGACAATAGGACATGGGACAATGGGACAGTGGGACACGGGACAACAGGACAACAGGACAACAGGACAACGGGACAATGGGAAAATGGGACAACGGGACACGGGACAACAGGACAAACAACAGGACAACAGGACAATAGGACAGTGGGACAGTGGGACACAGAACCATGGGACATGGGACACAGGACACGGGACACAGGACATGGGAGATAGGAAATCAAATAATTGGGAGGAAGTGTATGAGTCAATAGCATGACACAAACAGTTTGACTGAAGGTTACCTGGGACACTGGCTTGCATCCTGCTGGCCGAGGCACGAGGCCACGGGATCGCAAACCAGTGTCCCAGGTAACCTTCAGTCAAACTGTTTGTGCAACATCCCATAACTAAAACAAAACTATATAATGTAAGAAATTATTGATTTGTTATAATTAAATAATATGTAGACACATTGAGGCAAGGCACCAAAGGTGCCTCCAGCAGAGCACGAAGTGCTCTGTCTGCTTCCTGTGCCGAAGGCACAACGGGCTTGGACTCGTCTATAAAGTAAGGGAGAAGGGTGTGGGAACGTCTCTAAAAAGCAAGGGAGAAGGGTGTGGGAACGCAGCCACCCACACATGGATGCCACGTTTCGTCGCATGGACGCCATGTTTTTTTGCTAAGGTCGCTGAAAAGAGCGATGCCATGTGGTTCTGTCAAGCGGAGTTTCAATTTCCGAAAACCATCGTCCGTTACTATACCATCCGAATTGGGTCATATGTACATTTCGCTTGATTTGGCAACCTCACGTGGTTTTTTTTTTCAGCACCGACTGCACCAGACGCGACGCAACACAACACTGCTCTACCATTCCAGCAGCTCCCAATCACCTGCCGTCGCTTCTGATCACCTGCCATCACCTCTCACCATCAGCTATTAAATCCTGCTGCCTCTCAGTGCCCTCAACACTTCACCATGGCCATTTCCTGCACTTCCCCAGCACCTGATACTGGCTCGGACGCGTTTTTGGCCGCGTCACGTGACGCGGAGCTCCCTGTCACACCGGGTCACGTCACCATGTGAGTTTTTCGGTGTCTGTTTTTGTCTGATCACACAATTTACAGCAGCTATTCCCAGTGCTTCCTCAGCACCTGATGCTGGCTTGGGCGCATTATCACGTGACACTCCGGTCATGCTGGGTCATGTCATGAGGTGAGTTTTTCTCTCTCTCTCTTTGTCTGATTGTGTATTTATGGTAGCTACAAGGCAGGAGCCCAGACCTACTGTCGACTGGAATGCCAGGCTTCTGCAGGGCTTTGATGCAAGTTTTGCTGCCCGCCTGCAGCAATGTCATCGCCAGCCTGTCAACATGCTGGCCCCACCTCCCACCTCCACAACTCCTTCAGTACCCCCTCCTTCTGAGTTGTCGGCACCTGCTGTGACTGACTGGTCTGCTGAACTCTGTCGCCGCTGGTCCGAGAGTCACATCACGCGTCTTGAACGGAGACGACTCAACAACCCGTATGCTAAGGTCACCACTTGGCAAGAGAATCGCAATGCTATGGATCAGACAATCCATGACCTCCGACGATATAACGTGAAGTTGGCAAAGGACATCATGTGGTGGGAAGAGCAACATGAGCAAGACCTCAAGAATGATGATAGGGATGTGGATACCTTCTGCTCTCAGTTGGAGGAGGCACGTAAGCATCAAAAGCATCGCAGGGTGGTGGATGCTTGGCGAAAGCACCTCTTTGAGCAGAAGAAGGGAAAAAGTCGGGAGGAGCATCGGCATTTGGATGAGCTACGCAGGGAGGGCCCTCCACCTGGCTGGGAGCCTTCTGAATAGTTTTTTGTGTTAGAGTTGTTCCTATAATATGATTTGATTTCTGATTGGATGGGAGTGATGTATGAAATGGGTGATGTGACATTATTGGAGTGGTGGGAGGATGGGAAATGAGAGATGGGAGATGGGAGATGGGAGATGGGAGACAGGAGACAGGAGACGGGACACGGGACACGGGACACGGGACACGGGACACGGGACACGGGACACGGGACACGGGACACGGGACACGGGACACGGGACACGGGACACGGGACAATAGGACATGGGACAATGGGACAGTGGGACACGGGACAACGGGACATGGGACAACAGGACAACAGGACAACAGGACAGTGGAACAGTGGGACACAGAACCATGGGACATGGGACACAGGACATGGGACACAGGACATGGGAGATAGGAAATCAGATAATTGGGAGGAAGTGTATGAGTCAATAGCATGACACAAACAGTTTGACTGAAGGTTACCTGGGACACTGGCTTGCATCCTGCTGGCCGAGGCACGAGGCCATGGGATCGCAAGCCAGTGTCCCAGGTAACCTTCAGTCAAACTGTTTGTGCAACATCCCATAACTAAAACAAAACTATATAATGTAAGATGTAAGAATTTATTTATTTCTCACAAGTAAATAATATGCAGACACAGTGAGTCAAAGCACTGAAGGTGCCTCCAGCAGAGCACAAAGTGCTCTGCTTGCTTCCTGTGCCGAAGGCACAACGGGCTTGGACTCGTCTTAAAAAGTAAGGGAGAAGGGAGGGGGGGAATGTGGGAGGATTTGGGCATTTTCGGTTGTTTCGGTTGCGTCGGTTGCGTCGGTTGTTTGAATCCCTTCTCCCTTGGAGTGCTGAAAAAGGGAATGCCATGTGGTTCTGTCAAGCGGAGTTTGAATTTTGCGCAAACCTTCGTCCGTTAGTATGTAAGGGTTGACTGATTTGGCAGGTGGCTCCAACAACAATGATGTATATGTACTGTAATTGTGTATACATATAAATGTAGCCACAATAGGATAGAAAAAGAACACCAAGCAAATAGAAAAATATGAAAAATGCGAAAATGCGAAAATGTGAAAGTGTGAAAATGCAAAAATATAAAGATGGGAAAAATGGGCAATGGGTAAACATGGGAATGGGAAGATAGAGAATGGAGAAATGGGGTGAATAGGGAGATGGGAGGATGGGAGGATGACAGGGGGACGGGAGGACAATGAGAGGATGAGAGGATAAGAGGACAAGACTACAGGAGGACAAGATGATGGGAGGATAATGGGAGGACAATAGGAGGATGGGAGATGGGAGGACATGACAATGGGACACAGGACAATGGGACAATGGGACATGGGACAATGGGACATGGGACAATGGGACATGGGACAATGGGACATGGGACACAGGACACGGGACATGGGACATGGGACATGGGACACAGGACACGGGACACGGGACACGGGACACGGGACACGGGACACGGGACACGGGACACGGGACACGGGACACGGGACACGGGACACGGGACAACAGGACACGGGACAAGATAATTGGGAGGAAGTGTATGAATCAATAGCATGACACAAACAGTTTGACTGAAGGTTACCTGGGACACTGGCTTGCATCCCGCTGGCCAAGGCACGAGGCCACGGGATCGCAAGCCAGTGTCCCAGGTAACCTTCAGTCAAACTGTTTGTGCAACATCTCATAACTAAAACAAAACTATATAATATTTTTTTAAATGTAAGATGTAACAATTTACTTATTTCACACAAGTAAATAATATGTAGACACAGTGAGACAAGGCACCAAAGGTGCCTCCAGCAGAGCACGAAGTGCTCTGCTTGCTTCCTGTGCCGAAGGCACAACGGGCTTGGGCTAGTCTTAAAAAGTAAGGGAGAAGGCAAGGGGGAGAGGTGGGAAGATTTGGGCATTTCCGCGTAGCGCACATGGCGTCGGTAAGCCTCGCCAGCATCAGCTGGCGTCAGTATTTTCGGTTATTTCGCTAAGGTGGCTGAAAAAAGCATCCCACATGGTTCTGTCAACCGGAGTTTGAATTTCCGAAAACCATTGTCCCCTACTGTACCAGCTCGCTGTCCAAAATTGGGAATTTGTAAAAATTGAGCCACAATGGGATGCACCAAGCAAATAGAAAAATGTGAAAAATGCGAAAATAGAAAGATGGGATTGGCAGGTGCTCACTGGCCCTCCATTTTGCACAACAACAATGATTTTATATGTACTGTAACTGTGATACATGATGATAAATGGTAAAAATTGAAGGACAAAAAGGGATTTTGGGATTTTTTTGGGGGAAAAGAGAAAAGAGAACACCAAGCCAGTAGAAAAAGTGAAAAATGGAAAAATGCGAAAATATAAAGATGGCAAAAATTGGCAATGGGTAAACAGGAGAATGGGAGGATGGAGAATGGAGAAATGGTAGGCAACAGAGGGATGGGAGAACAATGGGACAATGGGAGGACAATGGGAGGATGGGAGATGGGAGGACAGGACAATGGGACATAGGACAACAGGACATGGGACATGGGATACGGGACAATGGGACATGGGACAACAGGACAATGGGACAACAGGACAACAGGACACGGGACAATGGGACACGGGAGAACAGGACAACGGGACACAGGACACGGGACATGGGACACGGGACAATGGGACATGGGACAATGGGACATGGGACATGGGACAACAAGACAACGGGACATGGGACAAGATAATTGGGAGGAAGTGTATGAGTCAATAGCATGACACAAACAGTTTGACTGAAGGTTACCTGGGACACTGGCTTGCATCCCGCTGGCCGAGGCACGAGGCCACGGGATTGCAAGCCAGTGTCCCAGGTAACCTTCAGTCAAACTCTTTGTGCAACATCCCATAACTAAAACAAAACTATATAATGTAAGAAATTATTGATTTGTTATAATTAAATAATATGTAGACACAGTGAGACAAGGCACCAAAGGTGCCTCCAGCAGAGCACAAAGTGCTCTGCTTGCTTCCTGTGCCGAAGGCACAACGGGCTTGGGCTAGTCTTAAAAAGTAAGGGAGAAGGGAGGGGGGGAATGTGGGAGGATTTGGGCATTTCCGCGTAGCGCACATGGTGTCGGCAGTGACGCTTAACGACGATTTTGGAAATTTCGCGTGCTTTTCATTTTCGGAGTTCCATTTCCCTACGAGGTTCGAAACCCTCGCAATCTAAACACCTCTTTTCCCCCATCATCTGTTTCCTCGCATACTACATTGTTGAAATCCTCTCCCCAGTGATTATTTGTAAATTTGTAGTGAAATTCCCCTCCTGGGGTAAGCTTTACCTATTTAAATACAAAAATATGATAATAACTTGAAAAATTCAAATAAATATAGTGATTTTCGCTTTTCTGCTGTTTTTGGACCGCATTTTGGACCGTTTGGACCGCGTTTGGACCTCCCTTGGACCCCTGGACCCTCCTGGACCCTTTGGACCTCCCCTGGACCCTTTTGGAGAGCAGGTTCGTGTGGTGTGTTTGTTGTTTGTTTCTGTGCCCGAATCCCACGGAGAACTGGGGAAATTGGGTATACAAGACGAACGTGCGAGGAGTCTTGCGGGCATCTTTTGCAGTTGTCAAAGACTGTCCCGTGACATCTCTGTGTCAAGTCCTACCTCCCTGGCTGCCTGTTTTTACAGGTGTTTGCCGGTTGCTATCAGCTTTTGCTGGGACCTCTGATAGCACTACAGTGCAGAGATTTGGTTGGCGGGACGCTTTTTTGCGTTGAGTCTGACTGCTGGGTGTTCTATCTGGCAGTTGCTCACAGTTGCCTTCCTATCCCCTGGGATAATATCTCGGACAGCATTTTTGTTGTCTTCAGCACTGTCATACATCGATTTCCTGACGCGATCCTGTTCTCGGGAGGTGCAGACTTCTTCGACCACCCACACACACCCACTTTCTTGGATTCCGACCTATGTGTGTATAACGCATCTCTCATGTCTTCATCGACTAATTTTGCTGCAGTGGTGTTTCTATCCTGTCCATTGCTATATTTTGCCTCATTTTTTCGATTTTGTTGCTACGTACTGCCATGTTCGTACATCATTTATATACGTTTATCGAGTCCTGCTAATTAATTTTCTCCTTAGGCTTCCTTCCACTCCACCTACTTCCCCTCAACGAGCTCAGTCTGCTGCACGTCGTGCTGAGAGAAATCAACGTAATCTTGGCTCGCCTCCTGCACGACGTCTACCGCAAAATGATCCTGCCCCTGTAGCACCAGATGCTCCCCATATGGTATGTGTATTTTGATTGAAAACTTCGACCGTTGCTGACATATCTTATTCAGAATATTCCTCATATGCTGGGAAATTTAAATCATGCTCAGATCCCTGTGCAGAGATTTCCTGGAATTCCACGCAATGCAATTGAGCGTCATGAGGCGCATCGTCAATGGCGTGCTCATCACCCACCACCACCCCCACCTGCTCCAGGCTTTGGCTATTTTCCTCCTGCTCCTGCTCCTGCCCCTGTCTATCCTCCAGGCTTTGGCTATTTTCCTGCTCCTGCTCCTGCCCCTGCCCCTGTCTATCCTCCAGGATTTGGTGGCTATCACCCTGCTCCTGCTCCTGCCTCTGCCCCTGTCTATCCTCCAGGATTTGGTGGCTATCACCCTCCTCCTGCCCCTGTCCCTCCCCCAGCTCCTGTCTATCCTGCTGCTCAAATGCCAATGCATGGTGCTGTGTATTATGAGGGCGCAGCTCGCCCTCAAAACATGCAGAATGCCCATCCCTTTCTCCATCAGCCTGGTGTTCAGGGAGTACGAGTTGGAGTTGACCATAACTTCAATCTAATGGAAAATTTCAATCGTGCTCAGGAGGATCGTCGAAGGCAAAGACGTAACAGACGGGGTCCTGCTCCCAATCCACCACCTCCTGATCTGCCTCCTGCTCCCTTTAATCCTCCTCACCCTCCTCACCCTCCTCACCCTCCTCACCCTCCTGCTCCTGCTCCTGAACCTCATTATGCTCAATTTAACATCCAGTTTCATCACCATTTGCAAAACTTGCAAAATCAGGTTGAAGACATGGAAGATCCACGTCTTCGCCAACTTAGGGAGGAAATAATGCAGCGACAAGCACAGGAGGCTCACCAGAGGCAGCAGGTTCAACAACAGTTGCAGGATCGTCAGGCTCAAGAGATGCATAGGCAAGCAGAGATTTTGCAAGCCCAACAACAAGCACTCTTGCATGCACAGGAAGAGGAAGCACGTCGTCATGAGATAGCTCAGCAGGAGCATGAGCGTCATCTTCAGGCAGAGCAACGCAGGCTTGCATATGAGGCACGTATGGAGGATGCTTGGCAGGACTATCACAATCCAGGATCACAGGAGCAGCATGACCAGGATGAGGAGAGAAGGAGAGCTCAGGAGCGTGAACGTCGTCAACAGGATAATCCAGAGGATGAGCAACCACCACCAGCACCACCACAGAACATTCCTATTCCTATTCAACAACCACCTCAGAATGCTCCTGTTCCTCCTGGAGGTCAACCATATGCAGAGCCTGTCAATCATCACACTCTTGGTCCTCTCACTGTAGAATGTCCCAACTGTCATGCCCGCCACTTTGCAACTGAAAGACTCACCAACTCCTCTGCACGTAATCCAAAATTTGGCATGTGTTGCTTGCAGGGCCAAGTTGATCTCCCACCTCTCCTACCATGGCCTCCTGAGCTCCAGCAGTTGTATCAACAGCGTGCATTTCTCACCAACATTCGTCAGTACAACAGTACTGTGGCATTCACCTCTGTTGGCGTTAAAGTTGATGACCTTGCTCTTCGAGGCTCTGGCCCAAGCTCCTTTCGCATCCATGGATCTCTCCATCACCTCATGGGAAGTCTTATGCCTGGAGAAGCTCAACAGCCTGCCTATGCTCAGCTTTATGTCTTTGATGCAGAGCATGCCACCGATGTTCGTGTTGACAGAAATCGCAATCTCGATCCTCAAACCCTCAGACAGCTCCATGATATGCTTTACAGACATCATCCCTATGCTCAACTTTACAAGGCAGCCTATCAAGTCATGATAGAGAAGCCTCCAGAGCAGCACAAAGATGTTCAAGTACGCATTCACTTCAAGCCAGGCAGTGATGGTCGAAGATACAATCTTCCTACTTCCAATGAGATTGCTGCCATCATTCCTGGAGATGGATCTGAGGATGTTTCTGACAAACGCGACATTGTATTGCGACTCCAAGGTGGTCAGCTCCGCCGCATCAGCCAGCTCAGTCATGCCTATTCCACCCTTCACTATGTCCTTCCTCTTTCCTTCTGGTGAGGAGGGATGGCATCTTGACATTCCTCTCCGTCCCCCTGAGGGTGGTCGTGGTCGTGCAGAAAAAGTCACACAGCTGCTGTATTATGGCTATCGCCTTCACATCCGTCCACCTGCAATCGAGCCTGACAACATCTTTCGTGCAGGACGACTCTTCCAGCAGTATGTGGTTGATGCTTGGGCTACTATCGAGCAAGGCAATTTGAACTGGATCAGAAACAACCAGAAGAGGCTCAGGGCAGACTGCTATAGAGGCTTGACAGATAATGTCCTCAATGAAGGCATTGATGATCTGGCTGAGACAGGGCGTTCCTTCATCCTTCCTTCCTCTCATAGTGGGGGTCCTCGCTATATGTATCAACTTCTCCAAGACTCCTTGGCCATATGTCGTGCATGCCAAAAACCAGACCTCTTCCTCACCATGACTGCAAATGGGAGTTGGCCAGAGATTGCTGACAATCTTCTTCCAGGTCAGTTCGCATTTTTTGCCTTATTGATGTTTTCATTGCTGATCAGTCATAAAGGTCAGACTGCTGTTGATCGTCCAGACTTGGTGGCTCGCGTGTTTTATCTCAAGCAGCGGGCCCTCTTGAAGAAGGTTCGCGATGGCTTCTATGGAAAGGTCGCTGGATTGGTGTACACCATCGAATATCAGAAGCGCGGTCTCCCTCACATGCATCTCCTCATCTTCCTTGAGCCAGAGTACAAGATACGCACTGCAGAGCAGGTCGACTCCCTCATCTCTGCTCAGATTCCTGACCAGAACCTCCATCCACAACTCTATGAAGCTGTCAGCAAATTCATGCTTCATGGTCCCTGCACTCCAGAACGTTGCTTGGAGAATGGTCATTGCAAGAAGCATTATCCAAAGACCTTCTGTCCTCAAACATTCATGAAGGAGGATGGCTATCCAGAGTATGCACGACCTGACAATGGCCGCACAGTCCAGAAGCCTAATGGCAATGTCTTCACCAACAAAGATGTTGTTCCATATCCTCCAAGGCTGTTGGCAGAGTTCGACTGTCATATCAACATGGAGGTCTGTGCGTCCATCAAGTCTGTCAAGTACATCCACAAGTACATCTACAAAGGACATGACCGCGCTACCTTGGAGATGGGAGGAGCAGTGGATGAGGTCAAATCATACCTTGACTCCAGATACATCAGCTCTGTCGAGGCTATGTGGCGCATCTTTGAATTTCAGATGCATGAGGAATGGCCCTCTGTCTACCGCTTGCCAGTCCACCTCCCTGATGAGCAGATGGTTGTCTATGATCCTGAGGATGATGCCCAAGATGTTCTGGACCGTGCTGCAGCCAAGGAGACTTGCCTTACTGGATGGTTCATAGCCAATTCTGATGAAGACCTGGTGGCAGCTGGAGCCCACGACTATCTCTACCAAGACTTTCCCTCCCGCTTTGTCTGGGTTGACAAGAAGGCATGGAAGGAACGCCAACGCGGAAAAGCAATTGGAAGGATGTATGCTGCTGGACCCAACTCTGGAGAGCGCTTCTATCTGAGATTGCTTCTGACTGTTGTTCCAGGTGTGTATCATTTGAATCTCTCTCATGTTTGCCATTTGCTTACTATTGTTTTTTTGAAGGGGCTACCTCCTATGAAAACCTTCGCACTGTTGACGATCATGTCTGTGCTACTTTCAAGGAAGCATGTCAGCTCAGAGGTCTCCTTGATGATGATGGGGAATGGAAGCAATGCTCGAGAGAGGCCTCTCACATGTGCACTGGACATGGCCTGCGAAGTCTTTTTGTCATCATACTCCTCCACTGCCTCCCTACCAACCCTCATCTGCTTTGGAACGACTTCAAGGACTAATCTTTGTGATGATCTGCGTCACCGTCTCATTCATCGACTGCACATACAGGATCCCACTCCAGAGCAGGTCCATGACTATGGTCTCTATCTCATTGATGGTCTTCTTCACAAGAATGCCAAGTCCCTCGAGGTGAACTTCCCTGACATACCTCGCTCTCATATGAACTGGGGGGACAGGGAGGGAAACCAGCTGATAGTCGAGCAACTGGACTATGACCAGGACGTTCTCCAGGAAGCTGTGGATAGAGGAGTGCCCACCCTCAACCAGGAGCAGAGACAAGTCTTTGATGCAGTGGTTGAAGATGCCATGAATCGTGATGATCAAACACCTGGACATCCTCACTTTGTGCACAGTGCAGGTGGATGTGGCAAGACATATCTCTGCAACCTCATTGCTTCCAAACTGCGTGCTGAGGGCAAGATTGTTCTCTGTGTGGCTTCCTCTGGAATTGCTTCTCTCCTTCTGCCAGGTGGACGAACAGCTCATTCGCGTTTCAAGCTCCCCATCCCCATCCATGAGGACAGCACCTGCAACATCAAGAAGGGTGATCCTGTCCATGAGCTTCTGAAGCGCACCTCTCTGATCATCTGTGATGAGATACCAATGCTCCACCGTCACAACCTGGAAGCCTTGGACCGTACCTTGCGCGATCTTCTTGGTGTTGATGCCGACTTTGGAGGAATTACTGTGCTGTTTGGAGGAGACTTCAGACAGACCCTTCCAGTGGTGCCTCATGGATCCAGGGAGCAGATTGTCAGTGCCACCTTTTGCAGATCTCGCCTCTGGCCAAGACTTCGCATCTTCCACCTCAAGACAAACATGCGTCTTGGTCAAGATCCTGCATCTGATCGATTTGCTGCATGGCTCCTTGAGATTGGGGGTGGTATGGGCACAGATGGAGATGGCACAGTGACTCTCCCAGAAGGAATGCAATGTCCCAACAATGACATCCCATCCCTGATCAACAAACTTTACTCTGATGTCCTCCAACCCAATCATCCTCCCTTGCCTGACTCCTACTTCCTGGACCGCACTATCCTCTCTGCAAAAAACACTGATGTGGACGAGATCAACACCTCAATTCTCGACTCATTTGCTGGAGACAAGAAATTGTTCACAAGTGCAGACTCAGTGACAGACAGGGAATACGAATACATCCCTCAAGAGTTCCTTCACACTCTCAACCCATCAGGGTTCCCTCTGCACAAACTGGAGGTGAAGAAAGGAGTGCCTTTGATGCTCCTGCGCAACTTGGACCCCACACAGGGACTGTATAATGGGACTCGGATGATCCTGGTGGATTGGAACACAAGGATTCTCAAGTGTCGAATTCTCAAAGAGGGCAACAATCAAGTGGATGGTCAAGATGAAGCCACTGTGCTGATTCCTCGGATGAACATGGAGGCCAGTGATGAAGAGAACCCCATTCCTCTGAAGCGTCGACAATTCCCTGTGCGACTTGCATTTGCCATGACTATCAACAAGGCTCAAGGTCAGAGTGTCAAGTGGGTTGGTCTAAATTTGAGGACACCTGTGTTCAGTCATGGACAGCTGTATGTGGGTTTGTCTCGGTGCACTCACCCATCAAGAGTATTTGTGATTTTCCCTGAAGATGAAGAAGAGAGAAAGACAAGCAATATAGTGTACACAGAGGTGGTTAGAAGACTGATTGAAGATTGATGTACAACAGATTGTATAAATGTGTATTTGTATATGACAAAGATTTATTTATTGAAATTGTGTTGAAATGATAAAGACTGGAGGGGCCAACGGCCCCTCCAGCAGAGCACGAAGTGCTCTGCTTGCTTCCTGTGCCGAAGGCACAACGGGCTTGGACTCGTCTTAAAAAGTAAGGGAGAAGGGAGGGGGGGAATGTGGGAGGATTTGGGCATTTTCGGTATGTTCGGTTGTCGGTTGCGTCGGTTGCGTCGGTTGTTTGAATCCCTTCTCCCTTGGAGCGCTGAAAAAGGGAATGCCATGTGGTTCTGTCAAGCGGAGTTTGAATTTTGCGCAAACCTTCGTCCGTTAGTATGTAAGGGTTGACTGATTTGGCAGGTGGCTCCAACAATAATGATGTATATGTACTGTAATTGTGTATACATATAAATGTAGCCACAATAGGATAGAAAAAGAACACCAAGCAAATGGAAAAATATGAAAAATGCGAAAATGCGAAAATGTGAAAGTGTGAAAATGCAAAAATATAAAGATGGGAAAAATGGGCAATGGGTAAACATGGGAATGGGAAGATAGAGAATGGAGAAATGGGGTGAATAGGGAGATGGGAGGATGGGAGGATGACAGGGGGATGGGAGGACAATGAGAGGATAAGAGGATAAGAGGACAAGACTACAGGAGGACAAGATGATGGGAGGATAATGGGAGGACAATAGGAGGATGGGAGATGGGAGGACATGACAATGGGACACAGGACAATGGGACAATGGGACATGGGACAATGGGACATGGGACACAGGACACAGGACACAGGACACGGGACACGGGACAATGGGACATGGGACACAGGACACGGGACACGGGACACGGGACACGGGACACGGGACACGGGACATGGGACACGGGACATGGGAACGGACAACAGTGACACAGGACACAGGAGATGGGATGAGAGATAGGAGAATTGAGGGAAAGGCATGAGTCAGTAGCAAGACACAAACAGTTTGACTGAAGGTTACCTGGGACACTGGCTTGCATCCCGCTGGCCGAGGGCACGAGGCCACGGGATCGCAAAACCAGTGTCCCAGGTAACCTTCAGTCAAACTGTTTGTGCAACATCCCATAACTAAAACAAAACTATATAATATTTTTTAAAGTAAGATGTAAGAATTTATTTATTCACACAAGTAAAGAATATGTGGACACAGTGAGACAAGGCACCAAAGGTGCCTCCAGCAGAGCACGAAGTGCTCTGCTTGCTTCCTGTGCCGAAGGCACAACGGGCTTGGGCTAGTTATAAGTAAGGGAGAATGGTATGGGGAAGGGGTGTGGACGATTTGGGCATTTCCGCGTAGCGCACATGGTGTCGCCAGACGTCGGTTTTTTCGTTTACAAGCCGCTTGGAATGCTTATTTCGCTAAGGTCGCTGAAAAAGGGATCCCATGTGGTTCTGTCAAGCGGAGTTTGAAGTTGCGAAAACCATTGTCCCTTACTATACGAGCTCACTGTCCAAAATTGGGAATTTGTAAAAATTGAGCCAAAACGGGATACACCAAGCAAATAGAAAAATGTGAAAAATGCGAAAATGCGAAAATAGAAAGATGGGATTGGCAGGTGCTCACTGGCCCTCCATTTTGCACAACAACAATGATTTTATATATGTACTGTAACTGTGAATACATGATAAATAGTAAAAATTGAAGGACAACAAGGGATTTTGGGATTTTTGTGGGGAAAAGAGAAAAGAAAACACCAAGTAGAAAAATGTGAAAATGCAAAATTGCGAAAATATAAAGATGGGAAAAATTGGCAATGGGTAAACAGGGGAATGGGAAGATGGAGAATGGAAAAATGGGGTGAATAGGGAGGATGGGAGGATGGGAGGAAGATAGGAGGACAACAGAAGGATGGGAGAACAATGGGAGAATGGGAGGACAAGAGGAGGACAAGAGGACACAATGGGAGGATGAGAGGACAAGAGGATGGGAGGACAATGGGAGGACAATGGGAGGATGGAAGACAGGAGGACAGACAATGGGACATGGGACATGGGACACGGGACACGGGACACGGGACACGGGACATGGGACACGGGACAACAGGACATGGGACACAGGACATGGGTCATGGGACAATGGGACACGGGACAACAAGGCACGGGACAAGATAATTGGGAGGAAGTGTATGAGTCAATAGCATGACACAAAGAGTTTGACTGAAGGTTACCTGGGACACTGGCTTGCATCCCACTGGCCGAGGCACGAGGCCACGGGATCGCAAGCCTGTGTCCCAGGTAACCTTCAGTCAAACTCTTTGTGCAACATCTCATAATAACTAAAACAAAACTATATAATGTAGGATGGAAGAAATTCTTGATTTGTTATAATTAAATAATATGTAGATACATTGAGGCAAGGCACCTTTGGTGCCTCCAGCAGAGTGCAAAGCACTCTGCTTGCTTCCTGTGCCGAAGGCACAACGGGCTTGGACTCGTCTTAAAAAGTAAGGGAGAAGGGAGGGGGGGAATGTGGGAGGATTTGGGCATTTTCGCGTAGCCCACATGGTGTCGGCAGTGTCGGTTGTTTCGGTTGCGTCGGTTGCGTCGGTTGTTTGAATCCCTTCTCCCTTGGAGTGCTGAAAAAGGGAATGCCATGTGGTTCTGTCAAGCGGAGTTTGAATTTTGCGCAAACCTTCGTCTGTTAGTATGTAAGGGTTGACTAATTTGGCAGGTGGCTCCAACAACAATGATGTATATGTACTGTAATTGTGTGTACATAAAAATGTAGCCACAATAGGATAGAAAAAGAACACCAAGCAAATAGAAAAATATGAAAAATGCGAAAATGTGAAAGTGTGAAAATGCAAAAATATAAAGATGGGAAAATTGGGCAATGGGTAAACATGGGAATGGGATGGGAAGATGGAGAATGGAGAAATGGGGTGAATAGGGAGATGGGAGGATGGGAGGATGACAGGGGGATGGGAGGACAATGAGAGGATGAGAGGACAAGAGGAGGACAAGAGGACAGGACTACAGGAGGACAAGACAATGGGAGGACAATGGGAGGATGGGAGATGGGAGGACAGGACAATGGGACATAGGACAACAGGACATGGGACATGGGATACGGGACAATGGGACATGGGACAACAGGACAATGGGACAACAGGACAACAGGACACGGGACAATGGGACATGGGAGAACAGGACAATGGGACACAGGACACGGGACAATGGGACATGGGACATGGGACATGGGACAATGGGACATGGGACAACAAGACAACTGGACATGGGACAAGATAATTGGGAGGAAGTGTATGAGTCAATAGCATGACACAAACAGTTTGACTGAAGGTTACCTGGGACACTGGCTTGCATCCCGCTGGCCGAGGCACGAGGCCACGGGATTGCAAGCCAGTGTCCCAGGTAACCTTCAGTCAAACTGTTTGTGCAACATCCCATAACTAAAACAAAACTATATAATATTTTTAAAATGTAAGATGTAAGAATTTATTTATTTCACACAAGTAAATAATATGTAGACACAGTGAGACAAGGCACCGAAGGTGCCTCCAGCAGAGCACAAAGTGCTCTGCTTGCTTCCTGTGCCGAAGGCACAACGGGCTTGGGCTAGTCTAAAAAGTAAGGGAGAAGGGTATGGGGGAAGGGGTGGGAGGATTTGGGCATTTCCGCGTAGCGCACATGGTGTCGGTAGGCCTCGCCAGCGTCAGCTGGCGAAGGTTAGATACGGTTATTTCGCTAAGGTGGCTGAAAAAAGCATCCCACATGGTTCTGTCAACCGGAGTTTGAATTTCCGAAAACCATTGTCCCCTACTATACGAGCTCGCTGTCCAAAATTGGGAATTTGTAAAAATTGAGCCACAATGGGATACACCAAGCAAATAGAAAAATGCGAAAATGCGAAAATGAAAAATGGGATTGGCAGGTGCTTACTGGCCCTCCATTTTGCACAACAACAATGATTTTATATGTACTGTAACTGTGGTACATGATGATAAATAATAAAAATTGAAGGACAAAAAGGGATTTTGGGATTTTGTGGGGGAAAAGAGAAAAGAGAACAAGCCAGTAGAAAAATGTGAAAAATGGAAAAATGCGAAAATATAAAGATGGCAAAAATTGGCAATGGGTCAACAGGAGAATGGGAGGATGGAGAATGGAGAAATGATAGGCAACAGAGGGATGGGAGAACAATGGGAGAATGGGAGGACAACAAGAGGACAACAGGACAGGACTACAGGAGGACAAGAGGATGGGAGGACAACAGGAGGACAATGGGAAGATGGGACATGGGAGGACAGGACAACGGGACATGGGACAATGGGACACAGGACACAGGACACAGGACACAGGACACAGGACACAGGACACAGGACACAGGACACAGGAAATGGGACATGAGACAATGGGACACAGGACAATGGGACATGGGACAATGGGACAACGGGACAGTGGGACACAGGAGATAGGAAATCAGATAATTGGGAGAAAGTGTATGAGTCAATAGCATGACACAAACAGTTTGACTGAAGGTTACCTGGGACACTGGCTTGCATCCCGCTGGCCGAGGCATGAGGCCACGGGATTGCAAGCCAGTGTCCCAGGTAACCTTCAGTCAAACTGTTTGTGCAACATCCCATAACTAAAACAAAACTATATAATATTTTTAAAATGTAAGATGTAAGAATTTATTTATTTCACACAAGTAAATAATATGTAGACACAGTGAGACAAGGCACTGAAGGTGCCTCCAGCAGAGCACAAAGTGCTCTGCTTGCTTCCTGTGCCAAAGGCACAATCTATAAAGTAAGGGAGAAGGGTGTGGGAACGTCTCTAAAAAGCAAGGGAGAAGGGTGTGGGAACGCAGCCACCCACACATGGATGCCACGTTTCGTCGCATGGACGCCATGTTTTTTCGCTAAGGTCGCTGAAAAGAGTGATGCCATGTGGTTCTGTCAAGCGGAGTTTCAATTTCCGAAAACCGTCGTCCGTTACTATACCGTCCGAATTGGGTCATATGTACATTTCGCTTGATTTGGCAACCTCACGTGTTTTTTTTTTTCAGCACCGACTGCACCAGACGCGACGCAACACAACACAACACAACACTGCTCTACCATTCCAGCGGCTCCCAATCACCTGCCGTCGCTTCTGATCACCTGCCATCACCTCTCACCATCAGCTATTAAATCCTGCTGCCTCTCAGTGCCCTCAACACTTCACCATGGCCATTTCCAGCACTTCCCCAGCACCTGATACTGGCTCGGACGCGTTTTTGGCCGCGTCACGTGACACGGAGCTCCCTGTCACACCGGGTCACATCACCATGTGAGTTTTTCGGTGTCTGTTTTTGTCTGATCACACAATTTACAGCAGCTATTCCCAGTGCTTCCTCAGCACCTGATGCTGGCTTGGGCGCATTATCACGTGACACTCCGGTCATGCTGGGTCATGTCACAAGGTGAGTTTTTCTCTCTCTCTCTTTGTCTGATTGTGTATTTATGGTAGCTACAAGGCAGGAGCCCAGACCTACTGTCGACTGGAATGCCAGGCTTCTGCAGGGCTTTGATGCAAGTTTTGCTGCCTGTCTGCAGCAACGTCATCGCCAGCCTGTCAACATGCTGGCCCCACCTCCAACCTCCACAACTCCTTCAGTACCCCCTCCTTCAGTACCCCCTCCTTCTGAGTTGTCAGTGCCTGCTGTGACTGACTGGTCTGCTGAACTCCGTTGCCGCTGGTCCGAGAGTCACATCACGCATCTTGAACGGAGACGACTCAACAACCCGTATGCTAAGGTCACCACTTGGCAAGAGAATCGCAATGCTATGGATCAGACAATCCATGACCTCCGATGATATAACGTGAAGTTGGCAAAGGACATCATGTGGTGGGAAGAGCAACATGAGCAAGACCTCAAGAATGATGATAGGGATGTGGATACCTTCTGCTCTCAGTTGGAAGAGGCACGTAAGCATCAAAAGCATCGCAGGGTGGTGGATGCTTGGCGAAAGCACCTCTTTGAGCAGAAGAAGGGAAAAAGTCGGGAGGAGCATCGGCATTTGGATGAGCTACACAGGGAGGGCCCTCCACCTGGCTGGGAGCCTTCTGAATAGTTTTTTGTGTTAGAGTTGTTCCTATAATATGATTTGATTTCTGATTGGATGGGAGTGATGTATGAAATGGGTGATGTGACATTATTGGAGTGGTGGGAGGATGGGAGGATGGGAAATGGGAGATGGGAGATGGGAGACGGGAGACGGGAGACGGGAGACGGGAGACGGGAGACGGGAGACGGGAGACGGGAGACGGGAGACGGGAGACGGGAGACGGGAGACGGGAGACGGGAGACGGGATATGGGAGATGGGAGACAGGAGATGGGAGATGGGACACGGGACACGGGACAAGATAATTGGGAGGAAGTGTATGAGTCAATAGCATGACACAAACAGTTTGACTGAAGGTTACCTGGGACACTGGCTTGCATCCCGCTGGCCGAGGCACGAGGCCACGGGATCGCAAGCCAGTGTCCCAGGTAACCTTCAGTCAAACTGTTTGTGCAACATCCCATAACTAAAACAAAATTATATAATATTTTTAAAATGTAAGATGTAAGAAATGATTGATTTCACACAACTAAATAATATGTAGACACAGTGAGACAAGGCACCAAAGGTGCCTCCAGCAGAGCACGAAGTGCTCTGCTTGCTTCCTGTGCCGAAGGCACAACGGGCTTGGGCTAGTCTATAAAGTAAGGGAGAACGGTATGGGGGAAGGGGTGGGACGATTTGGGCATTTTCGCGTAGCCCACATGGTGTCGGTTGTTTCGGTTGTTTTCGGTTGCGTCGGTAAGGTCGCTGAAAAAAGGATCCCATGTGGTTCTGTCAAGCGGAGTTTGAATTTGAAAAAACCGTTGTCCCTTACTATACGAGCTCACTGTCCAAACGTGGGAATTTGTAAAAATTGAGCCACAATGGGATTGGCAAGTGCTCACTGGCCCTTCATTTTGCACAACAACAATGAATTTTATATGTACTGCAACTGTGAATACATAATAAATAGTAAAAATTGAAGGACAACAAGGGATTTTGGGATTTTTGTGGGGAAAAGAGAAAAGAGAACACCAAGCAAGTAGAAAAATGTGAAAAATGCAAAATGCAAAAATGTGAAAATGCAAAATTGCGAAAATATAAAGATGGGAAAATTTGGCAATGGGTAAACAGAGGAATGGGAAGATGGAGAATGGAGAAATGGGGTGAATAGGAAGATGGGAGGATGGGAGGACAAGAGGAGGACAAGAGGACACAATGGGAGGATGAGAGGGCTACAGGAGGACAAGAGGATGGGAGGACAAGAGGAGGACAGGACAATGGGACATGGGACAATGGGACACGGGAGAACAGGACAACAGGACATGGGACATGGGACATGGGACACGGGAGAACGGGAGAACAGGACACGGGACATGGGACACAGGACAATGGGACATGGGAGAACAGGACAATGGGATATGGGACACAGGACAATGGGACATGGGACAACGAGACACAGGACATGGGACAATGGGACAACAGGACACAGGACAACAAGACATGGGACAATGGGACATGGGACAAGATAATTGGGAGGAAGTGTATGAGTCAATAGCATGACACAAACAGTTTGACTGAAGGTTACCTGGGACACTGGCTTGCATCCCGCTGGCCGAGGCACGAGGCCACGGGATTGCAAGCCAGTGTCCCAGGTAACCTTCAGTCAAACTGTTTGTGCAACATCCCATAACTAAAACAAAACTATATAATGTAAGAAATTATTGATTTGTTATAATTAAATAATATGTAGACACATTGAGGCAAGGCACCAAAGGTGCCTCCAGCAGAGCACAAAGTGCTCTGCTTGCTTCCTGTGCCAAAGGCACAATGGGCTTGGACTCGTCTTAAAAAGTAAGGGAGAAGGGTGTGGGGGAAGGGGTGGGAGACGGGTATTCCGCGTAGCGCACATGGTGTCGCCAGCGTCGGTTTTTTCGTTTACAAGCCGCTTGGAATGCTTATTTCGCTAAGGTCGCTGAAAAAGGGATCCCATGTGGTTCTGTCAAGCGGAGTTTGAAGTTGCGAAAACCATTGTCCCTTACTATACGAGCTCACTGTCCAAAATTGGGAATTTGTAAAAATTGAGCCAAAACGGGATACACCAAGCAAATAGAAAAATGTGAAAAATGCGAAAATGCGAAAATAGAAAGATGGGATTGGCAGGTGCTCACTGGCCCTCCATTTTGCACAACAACAATGATTTTATATATGTACTGTAACTGTGAATACATGATAAATAGTAAAAATTGAAGGACAACAAGGGATTTTGGGATTTTTGTGGGGAAAAGAGAAAAGAAAACACCAAGTAGAAAAATGTGAAAATGCAAAATTGCGAAAATATAAAGATGGGAAAAATTGGCAATGGGTAAACAGGGGAATGGGAAGATGGAGAATGGAAAAATGGGGTGAATAGGGAGGATGGGAGGATGGGAGAACAATGGGAGGATGGGAGGACAAGAGGAGGACAAGAGGACACAATGGGAGGATGAGAGGACAAGAGGATGGGAGGACAATGGGAGGACAATGGGAGGATGGAAGACAGGAGGACAGACAATGGGACATGGGACATGGGACATGGGACACGGGACATGGGACACGGGACATGGGACACGGGACATGGGACAATGGGACACAGGACAACAGGACACGGGACACGGGACACGGGACACGGGACACGGGACACGGGACACAGGACACGGGACATGGGACAATAGGACATGGGACAATGGGACAACAGGACAACGGGACAACGGGAAAATGGGACAACGGGACACGGGACAACAGGACAAACAACAGGACAACAGGACAATAGGACAGTGGGACAGTGGGACACAGAACCATGGGACATGGGACACAGGACACGGGACACAGGACATGGGAGATAGGAAATCAAATAATTGGGAGGAAGTGTATGAGTCAATAGCATGACACAAACAGTTTGACTGAAGGTTACCTGGGACACTGGCTTGCATCCTGCTGGCCGAGGCACGAGGCCACGGGATCGCAAACCAGTGTCCCAGGTAACCTTCAGTCAAACTGTTTGTGCAACATCCCATAACTAAAACAAAACTATATAATGTAAGAAATTATTGATTTGTTATAATTAAATAATATGTAGACACAGTGAGACAAGGCACTGAAGGTGCCTCCAGCAGAGCACGAAGTGCTCTGCTTGCTTCCTGTGCCGAAGGCACAACGGGCTTGGGCTAGTTCAAATATTCATGGGCAATTGGAACGCAACAAACGACGAGGACGACGACCTGATTGACGCGCTCATCATGAAGTGCCATCTGTCCGGGCTGGCTGCTCGACTACTGGACTCTGCCGGGGCCTGGGGTAGCATGGGGTAACCGTTCGGTAGCTGACTAGTGCAACTACACGAGCTACACGCTCATTCAGCAGTAACGAGGAACGATTTCTATTAGCTGAGTAGTACATACATGAACCTTGTCGGTAGAAGACATGGTACTGTAAGTGGCCGGACTAGCATTACTATGTAGTACTACCTAAACTTTAAAGGTAGCGGGAATTACTTAATTCTACTTTGGCATCAAAATGCCGTAAAACCAAGTTCTTTCTTAAAGCTCAACTCTTCATGAGACCTAGAGAAGCAGAATTCACGGTTACCCCTCGCCGACTTGTATATCCCCTTCTCCCGCTCAAGTACTTCTGTTCAGGCGTATTAATTGCAGTCAGTTCTCTGGCTTCTTAACTGCAGTTAGAGTGAACTGAGGCCATACAGGGGACCTGAAGCTGCTCGTCAATCTCTAACCGCGATGCAGAACTCTGAACAGGAGTACATCATCGAACCTCCGCCTTCCAGTGGAAATTACTCATCTAGTACGAACTGTGAGTGCCACAAACAGTCGTTTTAGTTGCCTCACTGATTCAATTCACCAAGATTCCCGAACAAATTCTGGCTCGCTTTTTTCCAGTTCCCCTTTGTTTAACCAGTCTCAGTTTGACATCGTTCTTCGGCGGCAGCGTGCTCATAAAGAAGGAAAGCCCAAGTTTACAGCTGTTCCCTCGAGATTCCTGAACCTCACCAATGACTTTGAGTTTGCCGGCTGGGGTTCTATCTCTCATCTCAAGCTTACACCTGAAGATATCGGTGAAGGTGAAGCCAAACAGAGTTTTTTCCAAGACCAGCAAGTTCTTGGGCAGTTTACAGCCAGTGCGCTGGCAGCCAATGACATACTTGGCGGTATATTCTATACTCTTCCAAGTGTTATCGCTGTTGCCGGTGTCTAGTGAGCTATCCGTCAGTTAACATCAATTGGACACCGTTTACCACCAATCTTTCCAGCTCTCCTATTTCGCTCTTTGTGGCTGGATTAACATTATTTCTCTGGCGTCCTATCATGGAGGAAATGGCTTCTGCGCTACCGATTAGCGGGGCTCCTTATACCTACCTGTACGTTGTCTGTCCTTCTAGACAGAAAATTTCGTGACGCAACTATCACCAGGCTTAATGTATCAACAAAATCTGTAGCTCTTCTTGGAGCGGCGCTACTTCTTCTCGATTTTGCAGCGACAGCAATAGTTTCGGCTGCAACTGCGGCATCATATCTTGCAGGCGAAGTCTCGCTACCCTTTCCAATTTATATTGGCACTGCCTTTGTTTTCGTGCTGTTTACTTTCGTCAGCCTTTCGGGCTTGAGAGAAAGTGCTCGCGTAGCAACTGGTGTGCTGGCGATGCACGTGAGTTCCGCTATTTATTGTTCCATCTTCATGCTTCTGATGATCCGGTGGGAGAAAGGCTGTGATAATGATCATGCTTATTATAGCCTCTGCTATTGCTTGGGGCCGAGCCGGGTTGGCTCAGCTTGGTTCCAACTGGTCATTGGGGCAGGTTGGATTGTCTCCTACGGTTATAGCCCGACAGGTGTTCAATGGCATATGTATAGGGATGCTTGGACTGACTGGATTTGAATGTGGGTGATTCTACCAGTAACATACGGTCGTGCAGCGTATAATATCGCATAGGCGCACCCGCATATACAGCAAAGATGAAGAAGAACTGCTATCCTAAGGTTCTGCGCAACTTGCATTTATCTGCGCTTGTCCTGAATAGCGGGATGATGCTCCTCATTGTGGCGTTGTTGCCCCTCGACGTGGTTGAAAGTGGCGACAATATCCTCAGTTTATTAGCTCAAAGGGTGAGTACGCTTGTCATTTTTGACGATTTTGCGTGCTGAGGTACATGGCTAGGTTGCAGGGCGGTGGTTACGAATAATGGTCGTAGTGGACGCTGTTGTTGTACTCTGTGCGGGTGTACTCACAGGTTCGTGAACCAGACTCACGCGTTGTACTGCATAGTCATGTTATATCTCAAGGAATCTTGAGCGCATGCGAGCTCTTTGCTGAGCTATCATACGATCGCGTCATCCCTCACATTTTCTTGCCAGACTGCCGGCGACAGGCGCCCCCTATGTCACAGTCTTTTCATTTATTGCATTTAGTGTTTTAATATATGCAAGCACGGGTGCTAACCTGATTGTGATATCCCAGATGTATGTCTCATATTTCAGCGGTATCTGATGTATTTGACATGAAACAGGTTTACGATGGTGTGGTTGTCCGTTATGGCGCTCTTCCCGGTGTCTCTGATACTCCTCCGTTTCTCACGACCTCGACTTCCGCGTGGGTCGCAATGCTCACTGCTGATCGTTGCTGGTGCTGTAGGTGTCACTATCACAGTAGCGGGAGGTAACATTGCCATCGATCCTACCATAGCAGGGTAAAGCCTCTACATCCCGTCGCGACATTTGTCGACGCTAATTTACTGCTTTAGCTGGTTTGCTCTATACTTCAGTGTCCTTCTCGTCCTGTTCTCCATGTCGCAAAATAAGGTCACTATACTGCGGTGGATATACTGGGAGTACGACCAGCTTCCCTGGCTACATAGACTGCACTTTACCAAAGGGTGGGGTGACGGTCTGATCCGGCTTATGAGAAGCATGCGTAGGCAGGAGGTTTGTTTGCTGGTTAAAACCGACGAGGTACGGGCATCAGACTAAAGGTGAACGTTTACTAAAACAAGCCTGAAGATCAATGATCTATTCAACATGATTCTTTATGTCCGGCATAATGAAGAAACGGCATGTCTGAAGATAGTGCACTTTCATAATGGAGATATACCTTCCGAGATGGAGGCCAATGCTAAGAGCAAGCCTATCTTGCTACCTTTGAATGTTGGCGATGCTGACAGTGTGGTTTCTTAGTTCTGGACGAAGCCTTTCCTGAAATCACCGTTGACCTGGTGCGCGCACAACTTCCTCGCTCAGTACTTAAATACTCAATTCTTGAACTCCCAGATGCTTGTTGAGGGCAAATTTGACCCAAAAAATCTAGCTGCCCTAGCGCACCATTTGAAGATTCCGCGGTCCCTCATGTTCATGAGCAGCCCAGGTCCGAATTTCCAGTACCCTGTAGCAGAGCTTGGAACACGCATTATCTCAATCTGAGCACCACGTACATCGCATCGATCCCATCGGTTATCGACATGAAATTCGCGCTGTATGGTAGGGCGCCGCTCTTTTGATATCGAGCAACTTCTTGTGTTACTATGGGCTTGTCTCCAAGTGTAGACGCTGTATAATTGTTTTTACAAGCTTACATAGATCTAAGTTAATGTTAGGCCCGTCTGTAGAATCTGTAGGCTTTATCTATGGCTACGTCGTAGTGATTGAATCATCTGGTCCCTTCGTACATAATATATTTAGTTGTTGTCGTGCTTGTTGTCGTGACGTATTGGCTTTGACAATCTTCAAGTCGCAAACTTGGTCCTTGGACGCCGCTTGCAGGGAAAGCTACTGTACTAAGAAATTAACTTCCATCGCACTGCACAGGGATGTCGTTCGCGGCTGGCTCTCTCGCTGGTGCACTTGTAATGGGTGGTGTAAGTGTCGTTCCCCAATGCAGGAATTCGTCTAATCGTCCCACCACTTTAGATTTACCATGGGTTTTCGAACTTGATGCAAACAAGGTGAGTATCAATCCATGTGCAAGAGCTAAAGGCGAACGGATTCATTGTTTCATGCCTCAGGACTGCCCAGCACCGTGGCCGAGTTCGTCTACATCCCTCCTCTTTACCTCTAACGCCTACTGAACATATTCTACAGCATTCATACCCTCTCGGAACGTCTCGTTAGCGCCTCGACTACAATTCCCTCTCCTCCGCCTGCGTCCACGCGCATAACGTACCATCCGCTTACATCGCTCATTCAGTCCAAGTGGAACAACGAGGTCGCTGGTTTATTCGGAATGTCTGCCAATGGGAGCGTGCAGTGGAGTTGGGGAAGAAAGTTCTGTATGGTGGTGACTCATGATACCGCCAAGCTAGGCATTAGACTAATCGAAAGATTAATATCTTCGGTCGTTCCTAGAATCTTGACTCCAGCAAACGGCCTCCACTATGCACCACTAACCGCCAGCGACAGCCCCGTGCTCCATTACATTGCATGACTACGAAATTTCTTTCCTTCCAACATACACATTTTGATTCTAGCTCATAAACTCGGAATCTAAGTAAATTATCATCTTCCATACCCTTGGTAATATTGTTGAGTATTATTCCCTTGTGAAGGTGGCGGAGGCGGAGGCATGGTCTGGTACTGTGACCCCTGCCGGGTCGGCTGTGTCTGTGCTGGATAAGGCCCCCGTGACGGTGACTGTGGCGGAGCTTGCTGGCCGTATGTCTGTGGATTCGCAGCGTACTGGGGTCGCTGTGTAGGTGGTGGCGGTAAGGAAAGGAAGACTGCGTGTGCGGAGCAGAAGGTGGAACTGGAAGGCGCGCGCGGGGTGGAGAAAACTGAGATCCGAATGCTCCCAGACTTGCATATGGGTCGGGTGGCGGAGTTGGCGATATTGAATTTGTATATGTTGGGCGTGCGGGTTGTGGTGGTGGAGGTGGAAAATTCAACTGTGCCTTGGTTGACTGGTGTGGAGGTGGCGGGAATGCGGAGGAGTATGACGCCTGTGGCGGTTTCGGTGGGGGAGATACCGGATTCTTACTTCCTTGCAGATTCATGGATGCGAAGGATGAGTTCAGAGATGGGAGAGAACGCGGTGGTGGTGGCACGGGAGGTTTCTCAGCGGGCGTAGGTGGTACCGCAAGCCGCTGCTGGAGGTCCGCTTGCCCAACAAGTCTGTCACGTTCCGAACGACGGTCGGTGATAAAGGACTTAACACTCAGGGCGAGCGTCGCACTCAGTTCAGTGAGTTGTTGGTAGAACTGCAGTCCTTTCCTGAACCGGATTTAGTCAGTAAGGATGGAACGGGGAAAAGAGTACACATACGTCAACCCATCCCTGACCTCCATATACCCGTCTCTCGCATTCGAAAACCTACGTACAGTGTCCTTCTTCCGCCGCTCGCGTTCATCCCACTTCTTTGCACCAGGTCCACGCCCAGCAAGGTCTCGTAAGCTCTTCCATAGTCCCTGGATTTCCTGCAATACGACTTGCTGATTGTGCACAGTAGCTACAAGGCGCTGTTGGTATGGCCGGAACTTCTCAAGTTCTGCGGTGAACAGCGACTGCTCGGCACCAGGGTTACGGCGGTTCAAAGTAACAGGTGCGAAACGTCGTCAGCTT